TTGATCTCAGATCCCAGAGAACCACGTTGGAGTCGAAGGAGCCTGAGATGATGTGGTTGCAATCAGGAGAGATGGCGATTGAAGTGACTTTGCCGTTGTGTCCAGAGAGAGCGCATATCTCCTCCTGCGTGGAGGCATTCCAGATCTTGATATGAGAATCAGATGATCCGGAAATCACCTTGCTTCCATCGGGGGAAAACACCACACAGTTGACTGGTCCGCTGTGTGCGGCATCAATCGAGTAGAGCTCCAGGCCGTCGACATTCCACATTCTGATGGTTTTATCGAAAGATCCAGAGACTACAGACTTGCTATCGGGTGAAATGGAAACGGAGCAAATTCCATTCCGATGACCAATGAGTGTATTCTTCAGTTGGCTTGTGGTGGCATCCCATATTTTGATGGTTTTGTCACTCGACCCAGAGACGATCGACTTGCCATCGGGTGAGATTGCAATAGAGTTTACACGACTTGTGTGCCCCTCGAAGCTATGCTCCAGCTGGCCCGTGGCGGAATCCCATACTTTGACGGTTCTGTCACTTGAGCCAGAGACAATCCACTTGTCATCAGGTGAGATAGTCACGGAGGTTACCCAGGAAGTATGTTCCTCAAGAGCAAATTTCACTTGACTAGTACCGACGTCCCACACCTTGATGGTCGCATCTTTTGATCCGGATACGATCCACTTGCCATCGGAGGATATGGCCACGCACTTGACATCCCGCATATGACCAAGGAGAGTGGATTCACAAGCACCCCAAGTGGAATCAAGTCCAGTTTTAACTTCAAACGGGATCTCGCCCTCGAGCTGGTCGGCATATGTCTTGTAGATCACGGTATCCTTCGGTGTGAATGCATACCCCGAGTTGTACACCTGTGGTGCACTCTTGATGATCGGGTCGGCAAACTCGCGGATGAATCGGTACGTGTCCTTGACCAGTTCCTTCGTGGTGTCGTCGACGATGGTGCTGGGTGCCTTGACGATCGCTCCTCGCAGCACAGCCAGTTGCTCGATGATCGGCTTGACCACATGTGTGAGCGATCCACACTCGAGCCAGAAGAACACATGGGTCTTGACGAACCGAGTGAGCACCGCTGCCACATCAACCATCTCGGCCGACTGCCACACCGGACTCGACTCGGCCACTCCTTCCACACACCACACAAAGTGTGTGATCCAGTGGGCGACGCTGTATCGCAGTGAAGGCGTGATCTTGTCTGCGACCCTGTCCTCGAGGTCTGGGATCTTGTCGTGAAAGTCGAAGATATCGCAGATGTTGATCACTGGCTCGTGCGAGAGGATCACACCGAGACATCCCTTGGCAAACACCGTGTGGAACGAGTCCGACACATGCCACGGATGGCCAGTCGATGCGTCACCGAGGAGATAGTCCGCCACCGACTTGTGGTTGAACTTGACCTCGGTGTTGGTGGACTGGCTGTCTCGGGGACCCAATCCATTGGCGCCAGGATCGAGGACCAGACTGAGGCTCTTGAGACACTCGCGAACGACGCCGATCTCGAGTCCAAACACATCGGCGATGATCTGCGGGGTCAGGATCGACTGGGCCGTGGCGATGGCCGACACCACCGTGACCAGCTCGGCCGGATGGCTCGACTGCGAGTGGATCTTGGCGAATGTCTTGTGGTACAGTCCCTTGAGATCCACCGACGAGTCGTTGATTTCTCGGATCATCTCGACGGTCAGTGTCCGTGGCTCGTGTGTTGCGTCGCTCTCCTCGCACGGAGTCGATCCAGGCTCGGGAGTCTCCAGCTCGTGCTCGACGGTGTTGAGGATCAGGTTGATCCACACGAATGTCTTGGACTGGTCCAGCAGGATGGCGACTGCCTCGGTGCGGTTCGAGTCACTGAGAGTGTCATACACTCGCAGTCGGTGGCGGATGAACACATCGAGGTCACGGATGTTCTCTTCACTCGAGGGCTCGATCGTCTTGGTCGGCACTCCATCGAATGCTGCCTTGATATCGTCCTCGGGACGGGATGTCAGCAGCAGCTTGAGCCACGGACGAGTCTTGTTCAGTTCGACGAAGCGCCAGGCAAGCAGACTGAGCAGCTGATCGCGCGGAGAGCACTCGTCGAGTGCATCCACCAGAATCATCACCGATCCCTTGGGTTTGTAGTTGCCAATGGCTTCGAGTGGATCGGCAATCACGGCCTTGAACAGATCGTTGATGCTCATCTTGTCGAGGTCGTCCTTGGTGTGGCCAGCGTCGAGCAGCTTGCGGCCGATCGGCGAGTACCACTTGCACAGACCGTATGCGAGGGTGTTCAGCACCACTCGTGGATCGCTCTTGCGGGTGTCGTTGTACTTGAGGAACAGCGCCGACACCAGCTGGTTGGATGCAGTGAGGATGTTGGCGATCTGGGCAGCAGCGACAGATTTGCCCACTCCAGCAACGGCATTGACCCACAGGACAGTGTCGGTGGTGTCTTGGTTGACCCAGTCGGTGGTTTGGTCAAACAGCCACTGGCGGGTGCCCTCGACATACAGATCCTCGAGTGCCCGTCTGTCCAGGCTCGAGTCGACGGGATCGAGGAGCGATCGCAGGAGCGAGTCCTGTTGGGCGGTAAGGACGACATTGCCGCCTTTCGTGTAGATATCGCCTTGCTTGTCGGCAATGGAAGTCTTGGTTATGAGCTCACGAATATTGTGCACCAATCTGTCAAATAGAAAGGGCGTGAGTTCGTGCCAACAAGGTTCCATGCGACAGCGAAATCCATACCTCCTGAGAGCGTTTCCATCCGCAGCATCGAGGGCCTGCAGCTTCATCAACTCGGCAAAGGTTTCGCGGATCGACATTGGCTTGCCATCAAACAACGGACTCTTCTCATGGATCGGCGTGTAGTCGGGGAACTCATGGATGGATGGGAAGTACTTCTTCTGGAATGTCTCGCCATCAATCTCTCTGGTGGACCACATGAAGATGGGTTGGATGATGACAGATTGTCCACTCTTCTCGCCGCCCTTCATTCTTTTGAGAGCGTGCTGGATCTGTGGAGGGAGAACGTGAGAGTGAGAGTGAGAGTGAGAGTGAGAGTGAGAGTGAGAGTGAGAGTGAGAGTGAGAGTGAGAGTGAGAGGTTGGACTGACTCAGTCCTTCACCGTCGATGCTGTGGGCTCACTCGTTACCTCGAGAAACTGGTTGTCCGGCTTGAGGTGGGCCTCGAAGGTGCGTTCCAGACCCTTCTCCGACAGCAACAAGACAATCACATTTGATCGATACAGCCCGTTGATGAAACCCTGCTCCCACTCAGCGCCGTCACATAGGCACGTGTTGTCGAGATATGGGTGTATTGCTGTCTCGCCTCGACTGTTGGCTAACAGGGCTCCATGCAGGGCAGCGGCCATTCCCTCCTCGCTGCTGACTCGGTAGCTGCGAAGGGTGTGAGGAGTCAGTTGGTGGCGAGTGGGTCCGATGAGAAATGCGATGGCCCACCCACCTGATGAACACATCGTGGATGTCATATTTCAACCGGCACTTCCACTCTGCAGTTGGAGTCGCTGCGGCGTAGTCCTGGGAAGGCATTTTCTGCCTCACGTTGGGATCTGAAAGTCAGGCCGAGCGCAGGAGTAGAGACGAAGCCCCCCCTTTTCAGTTGGCTTTTCCCTTGGTGGCGCACTTCTTCCTCCTGCCCCGCCCCGCCCCGCCAGGCAGCAAAACAGTTCGCCCCCACCGACTCCATGGCTGTGACCTTTCCCCTCTTTCGCCCCAAATCGCGTCGTCCGTTGTGTGTCAAGAAGTGTCAGTTGCCCGCGGGTGGGACGCGATAATGGCCTCAAATCAAGAACAGCCTTGTGTATCAGCAATTTCCGAGAGTTGATTGCAGCCTCGCATTGCCATCACCGATCAATGCACCTACAACGGGCTGATGCTCCAACCACCAATTTGCTCCAGGCAGCATGGGCCCAGCCCGGAACAGCCGCCTTTCCTTTTGCCAGCTCGACTGACCAGAGCCATCGGTATCGCAGCCGTAAATCGAGCAGGGCACTGGCTCGGTTGCCGGTGGTTTGAAGTTCGACACTGTCCCCTCCGTTTTTGGAAGCCGCCAGACAAATTTGCTCGTCCTTGCCACTGACGCGCGCGTGATTGGCGGACACGCTTCACAAGGGCCGACCAGCCCGTGTCACCTCTGACTGCAGCGCCACCAATCCGACAGCCACGTCGTGGCAGGCCATACTCTGGTTCTCGCTCCCCGTCCTCTCTCCTCTCCTCATCTGCATCATTCCATCTGTGCCATTCAGGAACAGCTCTCGATCTCATGCATCCAGGTATCCCTGCCCAAGACGGCTATCCGCCGTCGTCGCTGCCAGGTGCACCATTCCTCGATCCATCCGCTTCCTTTGGGCATGATCGGGAGCCTGCCTCTCCGGCAAGCCGACGATCGCACACCAGTGTTAATTCCATCGCAAGTCCCTGGCAGCCCGATTCAACCGACTATTCGAACTCCTGATCTTTCCATCATCCCCGACAATGGATGCGTCAGGGAGACGAACACGCAAGATTCGATAGCCTATACTACCAACAACATTACACTCACATTGCATACGATCCGGCACCCTCCTGGCCGTATGTTCATCGATCCGGGGCTGCTCATCCTGTTCAGAGCGGCGCACCACCCTCAACTTGGAGTTGAACCATTTGTCTCTGTGACGGGCATGGTGCAAGATGCGATCGCACTGGATATTCGGCCATGGACCGACACCGCCAGCACATACGACGACTCGTATATGTCTGATCGTGATGCTGTGTCGGATGATCGGATACCATATTCAAGACCCTCGACACCCTCCCTCCATCGTGAATGATTGTGTCGATGGACTGACCCCGATCGAGCACGCTCAATGTCCTGTCGTTGAGCTGGGATGTGGGAGCCATGATGAGGAAGCCCATTTCGTGGGACAGGGATGCCGACACAGCTGCGAGCATGATCCCCCTGGCTCGAACAAAACGAGGCGGCCAAAGTGGCTTGCAGAGGAATCGCCCGTCTGTGAGCATTCGCCCTTTCGCCCTCTCTCACCATCGCCCGCGATGCGCTTCCCGTCCGCTCTGCTATTCGCCATTGGCATTCTGCTGCCGTGGCCGTCATGTCTGGGCTCTCGTGTCGCAAGCTTCGATTTCACCAGGCATCTGGGAACCAAATCGATATACCCCGAGCCGCCGTCCGAGTCCAGCCGCGCTGACGGTGCATCCATCGACTCATCCCCGTCGTCCTGCGAGCTCGTGCAGATCCAAATGGTTAGTGAGGGTGCCGCACTCGCTCGCCAGACTCGACAAGCCAGCAACGCTCATCTTGCCGCCCCATCGTCTCTCTCCCTGACTCGGTGCTCTTTGACCCTTCACAGATCATCCGGCACGGCACACGAAACCCTGGCAGGTCTGATATCCTGTCGTTCAAGGACATCGAGGGTTTCTTGAGAACCCAGCGTCCTGCAGCAGGATGGAGCCGGTATCCGTGGATGCAAAACTGGGCAAGTGCAGCCGTCTATCGTCTGCTTTGCTGTCGAGGCGAGCTGTGCTAATGCGCATTCATGTCCTCTTTGCGATCCATATGCGATCCATTTGCGCCTGACGCTTGCTGTTCGTGCGTCCAATAGACCTCGCCGTTCCAGCCTGAAGACGAAAGCTTGCTGACCCGGTCCGGCGAAGAGCAGCTCTATCGACTGGGCTCGCGGCTGGCAGACCGATTCCAGGCGTTCCTGGGTATGTGATATCGGCTGCATCTCCGTTGGCGCCGCTGTTGCTCTCCTTTCTCTGATTCCATCTCGGAACCCACTTTGAAACAGAGCCCTACTCTCCCAACCTCTACGATTTCCGGGCCTCGGACAAGTCCAGGACGGTCCAGAGTGCCCAGGCCTTTGCCTTTGGCCTCTTTCGCCGCCCTGGCGCTGCCAACGAATGCCCGCGACCAGCCACGATCCACTGCAGCACCTTGCCGGCAGTTGAGTATCGTCTGTTCATTCACCGGCTCAATGAGTGGATGCACAGCACACTGCCCCGCTCGACATTCATGAGATATACTCGGGAGAATGCTGCCAAGACCTTTTACGAGCATCCCCGGGCATTTGATCCTGTTTGCCTGCAGCGCTTCTCGCCAGGACCCGCCGATTGTTGCGCATGGCCCAGGATGATGATGTGCCGTCTCAGCTGGAGCGATAGTGGCTGACCATCCGCCCCACCGACAGAGCATGGACTATGAGATCGAGCCCGCTGCCAACTGCAAAGCGTGGGAAGGCCAAGTCCTCAATTCAACTCGCCCAAGCAGCGAGAGCGCCGCGTGGAGGAAGCGGTTTCTCCCAGACATCACGGCCCGAGTCCAGGACCGCGCCGGCATTCCGTTCACCAACGAGCATGTCTCGGCCATGTTCAAGCTCTGTGCCTTTCAGGTCGCTGTCCAAGACATCCGCAACGAGTGGTGCTCACTGTTTTCGGAGGATGACTTTCAGCGGCTTGACTATGCCGACGATCTCAAGCACTGGATGCAGTTTTCATACAGCTTCCCCATCAACCGGGTGATGGCATGCTCACTGGCCACCAACATCGCCAACGGACTAGTTGAGGCCATCGATGCCCTGGCCAGCAACCGCCAACGACGACTCGGCATCTTTCGTTTTGGCCACTCCGAGACTCTGCTGTTCCTGTTCACGCAGCTGGTAGGCAGCAAGCAAGTCGAGTCGCTTCGGTGCTGCTGGCTTTCCTCACGATGTCGGCTCCTTGGAGTCGCAGCTGGCATAGACGACATAGTTGGCTGACGGTATCTGTTGCAGGGTCTATACGAGGACACCGAGCCCTTGACGGCCAACATGACTCGGCACCTGCTCTACGATCGCCAGTTCCGCACCGCCGCGATCTCGCCTTTCGGCAGCAATGTTCTGATCGAGCTTGTCCACTGTCCTGGATCGGAACCTGCAAAGATCCTTGCGAACGCTGCAGAGTCTCAAGAGAGCCTTTTGCCGACACTGCCAAGCGAACAAGCGGCGTACTGGAGCCGTGCATTTCCGGTCCTGAGGCAGGGACACACCCTGCGCGATTATGCGATCCGGGTCTCAGTCAACGAACAGTACCTGCATCTGCCGCGATGTCAGGCCAAAGGAGAAGATTACTCGCCCAAGGACGTGCCCAGCTGCCGTCTCGACCGCTTCTTTGAGTCGATCGCTCGGAAGGGATATCTCGACTGCGACTACTCGGGGCTGTGTGGCATAACCGATCGAAACTGCACCTGGTCGTGAGAGCCAGGGAGAGGAGAAAGGCCACGGAAGGGAGAAGGTGAAAGCGGGCCCGCGATGGGCCGTCCTCTGGATGCTCGCCGCTTGTGATTCGACTTGATCTCAGTACGGGATTATGTCATCCGTCATGGGTGCGGTGGAGTCAATCAATCGAATGGCCAGAGTCAGTCCAGTGACTGGATCGCCGAGGCGCTCAAGCAAAATTACCTCCGTCCCGCTGAATGACGCTGCCATGCGGTTCACAGCCGGGAGGCAAGCGGCATGCGTCGTCATGATCGGGTGGCATGGATGGGTAGTTTTGGATAGGGCAGGGCAAGGACGACGACAAATGTGCTTTCCCACGAGGGCGACGGCGGCACTGCGTCGATCCCGATCGGATTCGAGCGGGAAAACTGCAGGGCGGTGAGTCGAGGATATCGCAGCCAATCCTCCAGCAGATCGCCGTGGGATACCCGCATGACCAAGACGAAAGGACGGATGGATAGATGGCTGGGCAGCGAGGGAGACACGCAAAGATGCTGTTTGCGCAGTGGCAAAGTGAATCAGAGGGCCGTCGAGATCCAAATCGGATGCAGCGAAAGCCAGGGGCGGGACAAATGCATTGAGTTGCGGGAGGGATGGGGAGGGAGAGAGGGAGGGAGGCAATGCTGGAGCCAGTGCCCTTGAGAGCAGATGCGAATGTGCCTGTGAGGGCACCTCGCTCAAAACTGGAAACTGGAAACCGGAAGTTGGATGCGGCAGGCAGCTCTGGCACTGCACGGCCTGATCTGCTCCCACAAGCGACAGTGATCCCGACAGAGCCAAGCCCATGGGAATGGGAGGGAGATTTGGGGCAGCCAGCAGGATCGATCGTCTTGCTCCCGTCTCGCTCGCCGGGATCGCTGCGACGGAACGCAATGAAGTTGATGATTTTTATTGGCTTCCGAGTTCCATTCATACTTTCGACAGGGTGAGGGTTGCAAATACAATTCAAGAGTGAACAAACGATGATGTGGGGTACAGCGAGATGAGAAAAAGTCGGGACGGCCACCCAGCACCGGCATCAGCCCCGAAAAATGCAGGCTGATGGGCTGGAGAGGCCACTACAGACGGCTCTGGGATGCAAAGGCGCTCGTCCAGATCCGTGGGCACCAAGGACCGGCCTCTGGCCTAGCTCAGCCAGGATTCTTCGACAATCTCTCGGACTCGCTTGACGTATTCCTTTCGGCTTTCCTGGAACAGCCGGGCAGCTTCGGCGTTGGCGGGGCTGTTTGGGTTGGGATCGTTCAGAAGCGACTGTATCGAGGTCAGGATGGCGGCGACATCGTAGGTTGGCGACCTGAGCGGGCCGGGAAATCAAGGGGCAGAGTCAGAGATCGTTGGGCAAGATCAGGGCCATGATCAGGATAACCCCGGACTACGGGGCCGTGTCTGCAACGCCGATGGTCCAGGCCGGCTGCAGCGTTCCAGAGTGGGCTAGCTCTTGGACGAAAGAAATGCCGGCGGCGAGCAGGTTTGTGTCGACCAATGCAGCCCACTCGGCCAGCTGGATGCTCCGAGAAGGAATCGCAACGATGGCATGGCAAGAAGCAAGACTGGATCCAACAGCAGAGCATCCCAGCATCCCAGCATCCCAGCGGACAGCCATCCTGCGAACAAAGGCTCTCTAATGACGAGAGCACATGCAAGCCCCAGACACAGATAGGCGGGTTGAGGCAGGATGTGATCAACAACGGGTGCTCCCACCCGGCTGCTGCAGCCTTGGCTACCAGAATCGAGGCATCCGAACAACGCCGACGCACTCACCATCGGTTCTGCAGAATGTCAAGGCAAAGGTCGCCATTAGCGTAAACGTTGGGGTGGAACATTTTGCTGATGAACCGAACGTGCGGCGGCTTGGTTGGATAGGACTCGTCAAAGTTGAGGATCAGCTTGAAGGTGCCGTCTTCGAAGGGAGTGTCTTCGGGGCCAAAGATGACGGCGTTCCAGACGAGGACGTTATCAGGGCAAGGGGCACCGCTGAGCTTGTCCGGCGGGTCGGTCTGTAGCCGCTTGAAATCACGCATGAGACGTCTTCGGGCGGATGTCGACATGGGGGGCGGGAGGAGAGCAAAGGAGCGAGCGAGGGACGGGGGGAAGCGAGGCCTGGAGAACCGAGGATGACGATGACAGAGACGATCGGAGGGGATCGGGTTCAGACGGCGAGGGAAAAGGAGCCAGACAGGAGGGGGGCCAAGTCTTGCAGCCCGGGGCGACGAGCAGAGCGGGCTTGGGAGGATGGGCAGGTGATGACGATGAAAACGAAGGTGGGGATGCAGACGTGCGGGCCAGCAGCGGCCTTTTATACCCACGCCCATGCCCACACATCCGCCAGCGTCGACATCGCCACTGCCGTCGCCGTCTGGATCGCAGTAGCCGCTGCGGTTTCCATCGACATCCGCACCGCAGCGGCAGCGCAGAGGGGCAGCCGCTCTCCGACGCCGGTGGACTGGCGATTGGCGATCCCGCCTGGCGACGATCCGACACCGCGCGGGATCGACGACCACTTCCCTGGGCCCAGCGAGAGTGGCTCGACCGCCGATCAGCCTTGGCGTGGCGGCCCAAATGGCAATCGGGATGCACATACTCGGATAGCATTGCATCCATCGATATCGGCATTTGAGCCACAGAGTGCAGCTGGCGTATCGGCTGCGGCAGGGCCAGGTCGCGGCAACTCATTCTTGTCGTCCAGCCACTTGCCCTGGCGCCTTCGCAGGATCCATCGGGACGTTCTTCGCTTCCCGAAAGGCGGTCAGGGGCGCCATCGACCACGCCGAGCCAGCGCAAAGCCCTCAGCGACATGTGAAGAAGCCTTGATCGGTCAAATGGCGCCGACTCTGCCCCCGTCGGCTGACTCTTGGGACATATCGGACTTGGTTGTGATTGGGCAGAGAGGCTTTCGGCAATCGGACGCATCGTCTGTTGCGGCTGGATCATATCATATCATGCATAGCATACATAGTATGCATATCATGCGCATCATGCACATCACGGACTCGGCGTGAACGAGCAAGTCGGCAAATCATGGCCGCCCCATCGAGCCTGTCCCTTCGAGTTTGTCCATCTTGCCAGCATCGCAACAGTGAGAACGACATCGTTCAGCCGGGCGATTACACTTTATTCAGAAAAAAAACGGGACAACATAGCCGTTTCCATGAACATGTAGTATGTGCTGTGCTCGCGTCTAGCAAAGCCACAAGAAATAAAACAGATCACTTTGGCAGCCTCTGAGTGAAGACCACCGGTCGCTCTCCGATCTCCACAATCGACCTGCATACTGTGATCATGTTGCGCGCCGCATTGACGTCGCGATTCCACACTGTCCGGCAGCTGGGATTCTTGCAGCTCCTGACAAAGTGGGAATTCGCAACACTGGGCGCATCGAGTCCTTCCAACCGAACTGGCTCCAGGCACTTGGAGCACACTTGCGAGGTGTTGAACTCGTTCGTCGAGACTACCTTGACGCTTCCATGAGGGTGATTGGGACGGCGTCGGTGGTGCTCGAATTGCTCAAAGTACCGAGCAAACCGCTGCCTCCGAGGGCTGGATGCATAGCCCTTGCCCTGTCGCCATGACGCATTGCCAAAGGCGATCACCACATCGGTCCGTATCGGGGCGTGCTTCAGGACGGCCTTGCACATCCTGTCGACGGCCACTTGGCGCCTCTTGTGGCCCATGAAGCGATGGTGACGGGCCTTCTTGCCAAGGTGGAAGTCGAGCTGCACCCGAAGCTCCGGTTGCAGGACATGGGTGAGATGGACCTTGAAAGCCTCCGAGGACGACACCTTGGGCGAGGGAGTGGTCGACATCCAGGTCTCGATGCTGAGTCGATACTTCATGATATTGTGCCACTTGGTGTTGGACGTATGGCCACACATGTGCTGGTAGTGGCCATTGGAGAATGAGACCACCTCGTCTTGGTGACCCGGTGCTTGGATGACCGCCGTGAAGATGGAGCCGACTCCAGGATCGATGCCAATCCAAGTGGTGCGGTTGGGGTCTGGGTCACCGATGTGGGCCTGGATACGCTGCTCGGCGGTCGGAGGAGGCTCGATGGTCTCGGTGTGATCGGTTCGAGGCAGAAACTTGACGAGGCCGATGGTGCATCCAATGCCATCGGTGCTGATCTCGTAGTTGAACAGCTTGTGATTGATATCCCGGTCACGGAAGAGGGAGCTACGCAGCTTGAAGCAACTGCGCCAGAGTCGATCCTGGTTGTTGATGCCGTCCTCACCTTCTTCCTTGAGCTTGTCCCTGGTGAGTCCAAGACGATGTTCGGTGTCAAGGAGTTGCCAGAGAGTGACCGTGTCGATCTTGACATACTTGGCCCTTGCAGTACAGAGAGGGACCATCGTGCACACGGCCGGAGGAGTGTCGACGGCGAGCTGCTTGAGTGCCCAGTTGATCCTGGATGCCAGCTTGTTGATCTTGGACTTGGTGGTGCCGAGCTCAGACTTGGCCTTGGTGAACCTCTTGTCGTCGGAGGGAATGCCTTGGGTAGTGAGCTCGTCCAGCTTGGCCTGGCGCTGCAGTTCGGTGACTCGGAGAGCGGGCATGTCACAGTCGATCCACTTGTGGACATTGTCGACCATCTTGTCTCGGGCGAGGATTCTCACATGGTGTGAGAGGCGATGGAGGGCCCGGAAGCGGTCCTGGTCGCTGCTGTACCGAAACTCGTCCAGGACGTGGCCAAAGTCTGGATAGAGGAACTCGAGATCGGCCTTGGGTGGAGTCTGCCCTGGTTTCTCGAAGAGCTCGAGACAAGCCTCGATGGCTTCGTGCTTGTGCTTGTTGGCTGGGAAGACGGCAGCGCAGAAGCGGCGAAGGAGTCGCCAGTAGGCCAGGTTGAGGTGGGTGGTGCAGTTGGTGGCATAGGCATTGACAGCGAGAGTGAGAAGCTGACTGTGAGCACCATCAGGCAGACGAGGGGCCGGAGGCAGGTCTGCGTGCCGAGTGGTCTGGTAGTCGCGAAAGGAAGCGACCAGATGCTCGTTGTATTTCTTGGTGTCCCTGGCCGTCGAGAGGGCACCGTCCTGGACGATCTTGAAGCATTGGCGGATGAAAGCAGGGGTGGCCCTGGAGATGACAGGGACGGGAAGATCCTGCTCGATGCACCGGAGGATGTGCAGGTTGAGCAGCCTGGATGCCTCGAACTGGATCTGGGTCATGGTCTCGACGGTGGCCTGGATCTTGTCGCGGAGAGCGGGATTGAGACAACAGCCATCCATCGTCTGCTTGAAGCAGCTGAACTGAGGGGCGGATGACCTTCCATCCACGAGTGGGACGACAGAACTCTTGAGGGGCCGGTATTTGGGACATTTGCTGGTGTTGCTTCGCTCGTGGTCGGTACCATCGCACTGGCGACATCGCTTGCCGGTACTCGAGGAAGTAGATGGACCAGGCTCGGTGGGATCGACATCCATTGGATCTGCAGAAGCAGTGGTGGTGAGCGACGGAGCAACAGACGACCAAGCATGCGTGGGATCAGAGTACGAACCAGAGACAGGCTCCGACTGTGACTTGGCTTTCTTGGGCCTGGGTGGCCGAGGCTGGCCATCACCGGCACCCTTGCGCTTCGGAGGCATGGGGACAGAGAATGCTGGATGCCTGCCAGTGGTACTGGTCAGAGCAGAGACTTTTTTTTATCGTACAATAGCGCGATGATCCGATCAAGGCGAGATGAGGGAAGAAAGCAGCAGGACGAAGGTGTGGCATTTATACCCGAGAGCAGGAACCCGTCTGCGCGGGCTGGTTGGGGAAGTGACCCTGTTCAAAAATCGCCGAGAGGTTCAAGCCAGTGATTTGAGCGTGAAAATGGCGGCTTGATTGGAGGGAACTCAACCCCAGAAGCGCATCGCTCGCTCAATCAGCCGTGGGAAGACATCTGGAAGCACCCTCCGAACGGCAGACTCAAACAGGGTCACCATCCCGACTCTGAACCCCTCGGACGCATTCAGCGCTGCCACCTTCCTGTACTGGTGCTTCACAATCCCAAAGAAGTTCTCGATGGGATTGAAGTCGAGTGAGGCAGGTGGGGTGAAGATCACTGACCATCCTCGGTGATCGATGCAGTCCAGGACAGCCATTGTCTTGTGCATGCTGACATTGTCCATCACAATCACAGAGTCGTCTGGGAAGCTCGCTCGATCAAAGAACTCGACCATCGAGTGTGTCTTGAATGATGTGGGGATGTACATGCGATGCAGCACACCAGAGTGGTTGATTGCAAATGCAGCCGAGACAGACTTGTGCTTCATGTGATTGCGCTGGCGAAGCGGAGCACCCTTCGGCGAGTATCCGTAAAGAGGGAAAATGGATCTCCTGATCCCTGTCTCGTCGACAAAAACGAATCGTCGTGGGTCGATGGAGCAGGCCTGGTCCCTGAACTGTGCCACCCGCTCATCCAGTCGCTTGGACTTGTAGAGGTGTGTTGCCCTCTTGTGTGAGAGACCTGCTCGGTGGATGGCAGTGTGGCAGAGTGAGAGTGATACTTTCCTCTGGAGGATGGACTCGAGCTTGCACCGCAACACAGGACCAGTCTGGAACGGGTCCTGTTCAATCAGGGTGCGAATGACTGGACATGCCTGCTCAAAGAAAGTGGATCTGCGAGCTGGGACCCGGGATGGGTCATCCAGCTTGCATCCTCGGTGCCATCGATGGATGGTGCTCTTGGATACACTGAATATGGAGGCGACCTTACGCAGGCTATGGATGAGGGCGTAGCATCGCAATGCGGCGGTGCGAAAGTCGGATGTGTGGCGAATGGTCATGGCCAGCGCGCGATAACATTGGGTAACAAAATATTCGATCAATGGTCAAAACCCGGGTGTCCCGTTTTTTATTGGATTGCCTGTAATCAGCGCCATTCAATCACACGCCGTCCGCGGGCTTGGGTGAGCAGCCGATGCATCAGTAGCAGCAGAGCCCTGTGACTGTCAACTTCAGTAACTTGCCCCAGATCACCTTGGATCGGCTTGGACCGCCCCGTTTGATCGCCGGCCTCAGCGCCATCAACGCCATGACCTTGCATCAGCCTCTGTCGTCGCTCTTTATCGCCTATAGCCATTTCCGAGCACGCGACTATGCCAGCTGCATCCAGCTCTGCAACGAGCAGCTCGTGCAGAACCCAAAAGACCAGGTCAGGGCCGTTTCAACAGCAACACCGTTTCCCACGGGCCAGCGACTGCCCTGTCCATCCTCCATCCTCCATCCTCCATCCTCCATCCTCCATCCTCCATCCTCCATCCTCCATCCTCCATCCTCCATCCTCCATCCACCACTCACCGCCTTCCGTCCGCTCGTCATATCATTGATCTCCGCGCTCTGCAAGCAGGCCGTCTGGGTACTGCGAGCCAAGGCTCTGATCCAGATCGAGTCGCTTCTCGAGTCCGAGTTCAACCCTGACGATGCCGCCTCGGCCCTGGATCGCGAGTCACTCTCTGCTCTGCCCAGGTCAGTGGAAATCGACCAACCCCGGATCTTTCGCAGGATCGACCTGGCCTTTGCCAGATGTTGGGAGGGGGGGGAGCGTTGCTGCAATCCAACGCTGGTCATGGACTGTGATTCTCGCCGCCGACCATCAAAGTTGATTCTTTCCTCGTCGTGTCCTTGCAGGCCCGGAACATCAATTTACCACCCCACGCATGCGGACGCTTCGGCCGATCCGCTCCTCCTCCATGGCGGCGAGCAACCCGCAAGCCAGGCCATTCGCCCCACCACCCAGCTCGGCCGTCCGCTCACAGGCTTCTCACGGCCGCTGACCCGCAACGCTCCCACGCGAGGCGAAAGGTACCCCATCTTTCCTTTGGAATCGCGAATCTATAGATTGCGACCACGAGTGCCTAGCCCGACATGAGGCCTGGTCGTCTGCGATGACTATGCACTCTGCGACGATTACCCCTCCCTCGGACGCGGATCGACCTTCGATCCAGGGCAGGTTGATGCCGTCGTCATCAGAGCCAGTCCCTCAGCTCCCTGCAACTTGGTCCACCTAACATTGTACCGAAATCCCACCCATCAGTAGCCGTGCCACAGCGGTTCAGCGGCCGCCGACCACCACAGCAGCGCTACAGAGCTCATCCGGTCGTCTGGTGCGCCTGGGCACTGCTTCGCTGCTTCCTTCGGGGACTGGCAGTGCCGGATGCGCCGAGATTGAGAAGATGGACATGCGCATTGTCGCATCCAAGCCGGGCCTTTCACGAGTGAGCATGCAGGAGCGGGAGCAGGAGCAGGAGCATTGGATCTGACGTTCAAATGAGTGTGTATTGATGGTTTGTGTGAACGGCCCGTATCGAGGTGTTTTTTCTGTACCTCTTCCACGTCGTCAAGAATCCCAGAAAGGCCCTGGAGCTCGCCACACACTCCATCACACACCTCGGCTACAAGGACGGTTGGTGGAAATACCAGATTGGGCGATGCTTTGCCAAGCTTCGAATGTGGCGGGAAGCCGAGCGACACTTGAAGAGCTCGCTCGCCGACCAAGTAGGTTGTGGATGCGGCTGTGTTAACCGAACGTCGAGGGACGGCGACAGGAATGGAGGAAGCTGCGACGATTCTGGCTGCACAAAATCGGTGGAGGGGCGAAAGAATCCACATGGGAACGGGTGGGTGCCAGCAGTAGTGCCGCTGATGCAATTCCTTCTGACTCGCAGCACATACCATCACTCTATGGTTCCAGAGCATGCCCGTAGTCTATCAGTTGCTGGGACAGGTGTACATGCATCTGGACCAGCCCAATCTGGCCCTGGAGATTTACAACAACGGCAACGACTTGAACCACAGCGCGTCGATTCTGCTGCTGATCGAGCTCGCCCGCACCTACGAAGATCTGGGCAATGTTGAGATGGCGATGAGACATTATCGGATGGTAACGATGCGAGCGTCACAATCAAACGCACGGCCAGAACGAGCCTTCCTTCCATCGAGCTTGATTGCGTCCAAGTCTCGCTCACTGGGCCCTGTTCCGTCCCGTAGATACTGCAACTTGACCACTCGCACCTGGAGGCACTGGCTTGCCTCGCATCGTCGCATTTTTACAGCAACCAGCCCGAGATTGCCCTCAATCTCTATCTCCGCTTGCTCAAGGTTGGTCTGCCGGCACCAGCACCGCTCGACGATGGCAGCATTCCCACCCCGATTCATCTCGGCGCTGACATTCGCAGATGAATCTTCGTCCTGTGTCGCACCCAACACCACGATGCGCCCCCCCCCGCACATGGCGATGCAACCTCCGTGCTTTGACTACACCAGATGGGGGCTCCAAAGAGCTCCGAGCTGTGGAACAACATTGGATTGTGTGCCTTCTACGCCAGCCAGTTCGATGTTGCAATGGAGTACCTCCAGAGAGCACTCGATGCGGCGAGCCAAGATGAGCTTCTGGCCGAAATATGGTGCGTTTTCGCAAACCAAGTCGATGGTGTGCTGCTCGCGGATACTTCACAGGGCTGGCGGACACCAAGAACGATCGCTGGCCGACGATGGCTCCGTTGCTCGGCACATCGAGGCAGTCTTGCTCATTCCTGCCGCGGCTGGGTCTTGGGGCCCCGCAGGTTCAATATTGGCAACGTTGCATGCAGCATGGGCGACCTGACGCTGGCCCACCGATCGTTCCGCCTCTCCGTGGCCGCCAATCCCAAGCACGGCGAGGCCTGGAACAACCTGGGGGTAAGTCTGACCGAATCCAAATCGTTTGGTCGGTTGTCTACCAGCATATCAACCAATGGCAGCATCCACTGAGGGCGAACCGCAGTTACTGACGCTTAGGAACGACGGCGCTGTATCTACCCAGGTCATGGAGTTCCAGATGAACGACAATCTCGACCGATGCAAGAGCCACCTCGTCTCAGCCTCGCAGCTGGGGCCGCATTTGTATGAGCCACACTATAACTTGGGTACGAGTCGCTCCCGGCTGTTTCAACGATGCTCACAAGTCGGTCCGCATAGCTGCTCCACTCGATCATCCTTGCGCTAATGGTTTTCTATGCACGCTGGTCTGCACAGCGCAACTCTTCCTTTCCCAGGGCGACATCCAGTCCTCGCATCGATATGCGAGCTTGGGCCTCGAGATCTTTCCAGGCCATGTCGAGGGCAAGGAGCTGCGCGAGACACTCGACGGTCTCTTGGTTGTCGGATCATGAGACTTGGGGCATGTTACGGTCGTTGCATACGGGACAGAGCTGTGATGAGTGAATGGTGTTCATCGATGGAGCCTCATTGCTGTTGCTGTCAAGTTCATTTTGGCTGGACTGTCCACGGACTCCACGCATCCACGGACTCCACGCATCCACGGACTCCACATATCCACGAGCTCCACATATCCATGGATCCGCGTGCGATGGCTGTGGTGAGCCAGTGCCGACCTCCCTTCCTCCCCCTCGATGAACCAATCATGATGCCAAACGACCGCCTTGAAAGAGCAAAGGAGTGGGACGAATGGGGGGCGAGGCCGGAGCCGACTGGGACTTTTTGTGGTTGCGGGGAGGTGAGGCTTTTTTTTTGTTTTGGTGGCAACTAGTGCGTGTTACTTAGTACTTTGATAGAGTTAGACGACTGGACCGAGCGATTGAGACATAGGACAGGAGCATCCGAAAAAGAGAAAAGAAGCGGCCGAGGCACGCGCCACCGAGCAAAACATCGGAAGAATCCGTGGCGGGGTCGTGAGTCGATGGACTCGCAGATGTGCAAGGCGGATTGGGTGAGGGACAAATCAAAAAAAAAAAAAGGAAACTCGGCGGCGATGCAAGAGGAAACTTGGAAAGTTGGATGAAGGTATGCATTGGGATCGGAACGGGGCGGGCCAAGGGGATTGGGACTGAGAGCATCCTGGCGTCAGGATCCCGGTGTTCAAAATCGTGAGGCGAAGGGAATCGAGGAGAGGAGGAGGAGGGGGGCAAAGACATGAAGGCAATTCATAGATGGACATGACCAGTGCCCACGACAAAGACAAGCGGAAAAGTCAAGTATGTACAACAGGGCTCTGGGACGGGGGGGAGATGCGGCAGAGCATGTGATGGTGAGGAGGCCATGGTGCGTTGGGCTGCAATGGGCCACAGAAAGAGGAAAGAGGTGGCGGGGAGTAGACACGGGTGCTTAGCTTCTTTCAACAAGTTCAAAGTTCTCACGGCTTGATACCTCGGCCTCATCGAATGGAACCCATCGCAGAACACTGAGGACCAGAACGTGTTGGGCTGGTAGGAGGACGACGGTCGGGGCGGTCGGGGCGGTCGGGAATGGGTTGAATTCGAGTGATTGAAGGGATTCAAGGTTGGACGATACGATGGTGAGATTGACGGTCGAGTCATAGCCGTGGAGACCAGCAGGACTGCGAGGCAAGTGAGCAACGATGTGACTTACAAAGCGTGAACAGCGTGTTCTTGATGTTGAGGATCGGGGGCCCGCTGTGGAAGATCTCGTAGAGCTTGGCGCCGCAGATGAAACTGCCAAGGCCGGCGGTGATGACAAGACGCTTGAGCTCGCGCGTGATGGACTTCATCAGCGAGTTGCGGAGGTGCTGCATTTGCGACTTGTGCTGGCCCATCGTTTTGGGATAGGCGATGCGATACACGGTCCAGATGATCGAGAGCGTGCAGACGACATCGACCATCAGCCAGTACACATAGAGGACCAAGAGCGGGATCTGTGCACTTTCTTCATCGACGGCGGTGCATTCTGTCGACAAAGAGAGAGACAGATATATAGCCGTCAGAAGATGTGCTCCAGGGCTTGGCCAAGTTGTCGATACGGGCTTGATGACATGGTGGCTGCGGGTTTGATTGCACGGCATAGGGAAGGGCTGCGGATCCAATCCAGACGGCCCGGCCCGTGCGCTGGTTGATTGATACTGCCGACCCAAGGACTACGAAGAGCGACTGCTTACGTCGGAATCCGCTGTAGTAGAAGGCCATAAACACGGCATAGAGAACAAAGGAGACGATGCCGGCGCCCATCGAGCCAATGTGGACCCAGATGGGATCGATATCTTGGCGGGTGGCTGAGAAGGTATAGATGGTTCGCCAGACGATGTACGTGAATTTGAATGTGTCCTATGGCAAGCAGAGTCAGGGGCGTCAGTGGACGACGGATGGGTGCGATGGAGGAACGTGCTGGGCTGGAGGGGGCCGACCGATGCGCTTGAGGCACACGAGAGCCAGAGAGAGGGTGGGGCCGTTACCTTGATACACCACACGACGTTGGAGAGGACTTGGAACGTCCATCCAGGACAGGTGTCGGGCAGGTACGTCAGCGAGAGAAAGTCAAAGACCCAGGCGACGCAGTCGGTGTAGACCATGAGCCTCAGCAGCGAGCGGTAGTTGAAGGAGATCCGCCAGCTGTTGAGGAAGATGATGGTGCATAGACTGGTGATGCTGACGACGCCGGCGACGCCGTCCAGGCTCTGCATGAACAGCACGGCGTTGGAGGGCGTCAGTTCATCCAGGAAGGGCATGGTGGGCGGGTGGGGAGGCAGGCGAGACCAGAGACCGACGTGAGGGGGGGTCGAAGTCGATATAAATGGATCTCGAACCGGTATTCGAGGTGGGGTCGTGAGGGGCAAAGGGCAAGGAATCCCCGCCTCCGGGAGCGCCGAAGGGCGGCAGACAGCGTGTCAGCCGACAGACGCGGCCGACGTGCCGTACAGCGGCCGCGACGGGGTTGCACGGATGACAGCCTCGGGTGGTGCGACGCCGACGCGGCGAGACAAGGGGGAGACACAAGGCGGCAATCGACCAAGGGCAGCTTGTTGTGTTAATGCGTTGTTGGTGTGCTGCTGATACGTTGTTGGTGTGCTGTGCGGAGTGTGTTTGCATCAAGTGCCCTGTGTGTGTGGTCTGTGCTTGCATGCTGCAACACTGGCACCCAATGCACACAATGCGCTTCAGCTACGGCAACAGTTACGGCAACAGTCGCTGCGCTCTTGGTGGCGCACTGCTGCAACGCGCGCCGGGCCATGGGCAACCACGCAGCGGATCGCAAGAAACCCCTGAGCCAGCGGGTGCTCGTCAACCGACCGCGTGTCTCCAAGTCCCAGCCCCGGTCGAGACCATCGGCCGACCGGCCAGCCTGGATATCCGGCTTGAGCCGATGCCTGATTGTCCCCGTTGCGGCCAGTGTCCCTCGTCGGGGACGCTGCTGTCTCGGTGCGCCGGGCCTTGGTGCAAGGCAGCGGTCGCAGGCTCCACTGCACCGCGCGGCTGTCTGCCCTCGAGCTCAAATTTTTCGACCTTGCGTGCCGTGCGTGCAACACGGCTCCACAGACAACGCCGCAATGCATGCAGCCGGATCCGACTCTTGCCGGGATGCAAATCCACCTGCATCCTCCATCGACTGCAATCCATCGACTGCAATCCATCGACTGCGAGTGCGAGCAGCATCAGCAGCACCGCTGGCATTCGGCATGACCTGTCCAGCTGCACCAGCCCGGCGATCTGACCTTCTGTTTGTCTCCTGCCCGCCTTCCACTTGCCTCTGCTCGCCTCTCGGTTGGTCATCGAAACAGGGCCGCGCCAGGCACTGCCCTTACTTGTCGCGTCTGGTCGGCAGCGCGGTATAAACAAACTGGTCCAAACAAACAACTCATGCAACAGCCAGGAGGCCCTGTTCGCCCGACAAGGCCGCTGAAACATTGGCCCGTGATTGACGCCGACACCGTGGCCAAGGACACCCCTGCAAACTGTCGCTTGCCTCTCCTTCGCCTCTCCTTCGCCTCGCATCAGCCCGCTCCTTCGTATCGAGTCGCCTCGGTCGCATCGTCGGGCCTCGCAATGCGGACCCGCACCGACCCGCACCGACCCGCGGACTGCTGGCCATGCCCGCTGCGTGCGACCATCGCCCATCACCTGTCGCTGCATCGCGCTTGCGGGCAGTGTTAACCGGGGACACACGGCGCTGTGCATCAGGCACAGAGCCGGTTCACGTGTCGCTGTCGCCAGGCTTTTTCTTTTTGCACCGTCGCCACACGCCGCGAAATGGCCCAATGGCCCCGCCGCCACAACGGCAAAACGGCCGGCGGCATTGACGCCGGGACCTTGTGCTCCCCCTGTGCGTCGGGGCGGCTGCGTCTGTATGGATCCGGCTGCGGCCTTGTCGAGCCACGGGCATGATCCGACCCATGCCCGATCTCGGCGCTCCTTGTCTGGCTCAGCGGCACAACGCGTCCGTGCCACCGCCGTCGCTGCCACGGGCCGCATCGCGTGTGTCTGTGCCACCCGAGCTGTGGCGATCACGTCGCACGCTCGGGCTGTCGCACACCCGTCCTGGGACCTGCCTTTTCCGGCAGCCCTGCCCGAAATGGCAGCTGGCCACAGCGTGGCCGTCTCTGCCCTGCACAGCCCTAGATAGCCCTAGATAGCCCTAGATAGCCCTAGCAGGGCTCGCCATGGCCGGTGCTCACGTGCATCGTCGCCGTCTTCCTGTCCGACCGTTGCCAGGAACAAGCGCCTTCCCATCGACACCCTTGCCTCCAGCCGCCATCGACCTGCGTCGCTATGGGAAACGCTGCAGCCAAACCAAGTAAAATCACATCAAAGGACAAGGCCATCCTGGACCTCAAGGTCCAGCGGGACAAGCTCAAGCAGTATCAGAAAAAGGCAAGCCTCGCCATGCGGCATTCATCCCTGACCCGGCCGCTTTCCGAGGCGAAGCGCCGTTCTCTCCTCTGCATCGCCAAAATGCCGCTCCTCGGCTGCAATCGACCGCTACTCGGGTGAGTCTCTAATCAAGTGTCTCGCCTCAATTTCCATTCGCGCTCTTGCGTCGCAACGTTGTCCAGATCGAGCTGGTCCTGAACAAGGAGGTCGAGGTCGCCAAATTCCATCTGGCTCGTGGAGACCGGGGGCGGGCGCTGCTGGCTCTCAAGAAGAAAAAGTACCAGGAGCAGCTGCTCGAAAAGACAGACGAGCAGCTCCTGAATCTCGAGCAGCTGGTATGTCTGCATGGATTCCGGTCATCTCAGGATCTGGGACAGCAATGGATGCATGCATTTCGCGAAACGGCCTTTGGCAACCAGCCGGTCAACAAGTCGGTCAACAAGCCGGCAAGTCGGTACGTGGCTGGTTGACCAATGCACCATCCTGTAACTGACGCCGGCGGTCTTCTGCAAGGTCGGCACGATCGAATATGCATTGGTGGAGCAAGATATTCTCAAGGGGCTGCAGCAGGGCAATGATGTCCTGAAGGAGATCCACAAGGAAATGTCAGTCGACGCCGTGCAGAAGCTCATGGACGACACGGCCGATGCCATTGAATACCAGCGGGTCAGTGTCCCACCCAGATCGCCTGGCCGCGGGACTGCATCCCGAGACTCTTGTCTGTTCGAGTCCTTTGGCCCTGCTTACCTGCTCTCAGTAGCTCGTGTGTGCGTGAGGCAAAGCTCCGCTGACGCTCGCTGCACTGTTTCTCTTGATACCATCAGGAAATCGACGACATTCTCAGCGGACAAATCACCCAAGAAGACGAAGAGGAGATCATGGCCGAGCTGGACCAGATGCTGGAGGAAGAGGTGCGCGTGCTTGGGTGTCTGGGGCATCCGTGACTGCTCCTGATTGTGATGGACTCGCTCCTTGGCGCTGCGACCCGTGTGCTTCTCAGAATCTGCAGCGAGGATGGATACGAGCATGTGCTTCCGGCTCCACAAATGCATTCAATGCCGCCACGACTTGGGTAAACACACAGGACATCGCTGACTTGGCCGCTGGTTACTCTTCTCGACACAGGCCGCTGCACAGGTTGGCAAGCTCCCCGACGTACCCATCGATCTCAACGCGCGGATACCCGATGCCCAGACAACCAAGCTTCCAGCAGGTGAGCCCTTCATTTCCTGGATATCGCGGCAACATGACTGTCCCCAGTGTTTGGCTCCACGACGATTCCGAAACCATGTCGCACTCGGTCGCTGGACAGCTCATTCTCACGCCAACACTCCCTGTGTGCTTCACCCGCTATCAGATCCCATATCGCAACTTGCGAATCTGCCGTCTCCTCCATCAGAACTGCCAGGTAGGGCTCGACGACTGATGTTTCAATCGATGTTTGTGTTGATGAGGGCCAGCCTCTCTGGTCTCTGCGTCTCTGGCCATAACCACGGATGCTGATCTGATCTGGCCTGATCCGATCCCGTCGGCTCCCACCCGTTCCTGTCCAACCCACCGCCCTCCCAATCCAAATGCCTTGCAGAGCCGAGTCAGGAGCAGCGTGTCCAGGCCAAAGCCAAAATCCGCAAGAGTGCCGAAGAGGAAGACGAGGGCCAGCTGGTGGCTGCGTAGTCGCTGGTGGCTGCGTAGTCGCTGGCGACCTGCATCGCTCCACGGCGATCCTGTATTGCTTCATGGCACCGCGAGGAGCGGCGATACACCTGCGCAACCGCCCCTGTACTCGTTCCCAAATGAAATCGCCCGTCTCTGCTCCCAGCCGAATCGTCTTGGCTGACTGCGAATTGCCTGTGGATCGAGTCCGTCTCCGCTCCCGCCAGGCCTGCCCTTGCTGCTGGCGCCATGCACATCCCCCATTGCCTTCCTGCGCTCGCTGCTCCTTGCCAATTCCATGCGCCTGTTCCCCCGTCCTCTGTTTCGGAACAGGCAGAGCCCTGTTGTCCGGCAGGCCATTGGCAAGCACCCCGGCTGATCCGGCCGCGACTGCGCTCCAAGGGTGTCTCTGTGCGACGCCCCGCCAGCCCCCCGGCCGATTGGGCGCTCCTGCCATTGTCTGTGTGGCTGCCCCACAGCGCCTGCCTTCCAGCCCCGTCGGAGGTATTCCCGGCGCCGGTCTGCGGTTCGGCTCGTCGACCGATATAAATGCAGGGTGGCTATCCGCCAGAGCCATCCGTCCCATCGTGGAATTCTCCTCCTTTCCATCCTTGCTCTTTGCTTGTCGGCCTGGCCAGTTGGTCACTCACATCCGTTGGATTCGCTGTCCGTCTCTGCTGTCTGTCTGCGCTGGGTGTTTTGCCTCTATACCACACTGGCGGTCGTATTCTGTCTTGTCCCGAAATCGCCGCAATGAACCGAATTCTGCGATCGTGGTAGGAGACCCCTCTTTGTCGCCACGGGAAGGGCCATTGGGAGTCGCAGCGGTGTTTCCAACGACAATGGCATCCATTTCCCTGCCCATGCCTCGCCCGTGCTCGCCCTCCCTCTTCTCTTTCCGTGCAGCCCGCCTGGCACGGTGGCATCCCCGTTGCGCATTCGCACTTACACCGCTGCCTCTGTCTGTTGGGCTCCAGTCACTCTGCCCTGGTCGGGTCTGGCCGTGTCTACAACGCCGCGCTGGTTCGTCCCGCTGTGTCTGCGCGCCTTGCAGCCAGCCGGTCATTCATGTCCGGTAATCCCAGTGTCAATGACCAGCCCGTGCCCTCTGTCGCAGCAGCCCGCTGTTCCGTATGTCTGTGTCGGGCGTCGCTGATTCTGGTATTCTGGCCAATCCCCAACGACGATACCCGCTCCACCTTCTCTCACTTCCGTTCCGATGTCTCTGAACATCCCGATGCAACAACGGCGACCGTGTCGCTCATTCAGCCCCGACCCTGCGCAGCTCGAACGATGGCGACCTGAGTAAGTATCAGGGACACGAGAGCAGCAGCTGGCTCGGATATAACTCGAAAGCACAGGCCGATGATCGTGCGCTGGCATGGGCTCGTCAATCGTCCGGCTTCACCAGTGGATCGCATTTCTGACCGGTCTCGTCTCGTCGTGGCCCCGGATTCTTCAGACTTTCTCGATAGTGTCCAGGTCTTCTTTGACCGCGCTGCCAAGCACTCTGGTGTGGACGAGGGCACCATGTAAGTCCTCAAGGATGGAGCAACAGCGCATGCACACGGGACACTTGGATCTCGATTATATCTGCACAGCTCGCTACTGGACGCTCCCACGTTGTGGATAGACTCGTGCTTTTGCCATGCTATTCACTCTCCTCCCTGTTGCTGCCACAGCGCCCATATCAAGGCGGTCGATGCTGTTCTGAGCGTCACCTTCCCCGTTGATCTCCCTGACGGCACTGTCGAGATCATCAAGGCCTACCGTGCCCAGCATTCTCGCCACCGCACCCCAGTCAAAGGTCAGTCTCGGCCGATCGCACCAACCAATGCTGACCAGTCTGCCCATCATCGTCGCCTGTAGCGAAACTACCATACCTTTGGGGCACCATCCAGCCCAGGATCCATAGTCCGTCGTCCGCAGCACATGTCCCTGCCCAGAACCCTCTCACTGACTCTTGGCCCCTCCATTCACAGGCGGTATCCGCTACGCCCCTGATGTGGATCTGCAGGAAGTCGAGGCTCTTGCCTCGCTCATGACTTTCAAGAACGCTGTCGTCGATGTCCCTTTTGGCGGTGCCAAGGGAGGCATTTGCATCGACCCTCGGAAGTACGATGTTGCGGTATGTTGCACGGCATTGTCTCGGCAGAGGGTCCGTGCCGAGGGTCGTTTCTAACCCCGGCCTGGCATCTCGACTCTGCACCCAGACTCTTGAACGCATCACCCGACGATACACCATCGAGCTCTGCCAGAAGGTATGCATTGCTGCCACGCTCATTGGCTGGATGTTGAGATCGGATTTGGGAGGGGAGCACAGCAACTCATTCACGACTGCGCTGAGCGGCTGTCCCAAGTTTGCCAGACTCTGCCCGCTCATATCCTGAGTATCTTCAATCGTTTAGAACTTTATCGGCCCCGGTGTGGACGTCCCCGCTCCCGATGTCGGTGAGTATTCGAACACATGGCAAAGGCAATCCAGGATTGCTGGATAGCCAGCATGCTAGACAGACTCTCCGAGCTTTCCCCTCATTTTCTCACGCGACTGCGTTTCCTCACTTTGCACAGGTACCTCTTCTCGCGAAATGTCGTGGATCATGGATACCTTCCGCCAGTTCAACCCCAACGACGTCAACAGCATTGCCTGTGTCACAGGCAAGCCCGTCCATCAGGGTGGTGTCCGCGGCCGCAACGAAGCCACGGGTCTCGGTGTCTACTACGGCATTCGCGAGTTTATGAGTTTCCCTGGTATGGCTATGTCGCACCCCCGAAGCACTGAGGCTCTGGGACACAGCCTCGCCCGGATGATCGAGTAAAGGCCATTCACTCTGTGCCCACGCACAGAGCGACGTCGCCGATTCGGAGCATGCCTGACGTGTGCCCGACCCTCTCCATCGCAGAGATCCAGAAGCAAACCGGCCTCTCGGGCAAGATCAGCGACTGTAGCGTGGTCATCCAGGGCTTTGGCAATGTGGCAAGTATCACACGATGCCCAAACGTGTCTGGCAGCCGCGACTCACGCACTTCCACTCGACGAGGGCCCTGGACGGGCGTCCTTCGGCTTCGCTGACCTCTCATTGTCGTTTCTTGGACCCTGATAGGGATACTGGGCCTCCAAGTTCTTTGAGGCGTGAGTGTTGATGGACTGCTCTACATTTCTATTGCTTGGTGGAGCAGCCTGATGCGCTGCTGCCCGCCCGACAGAGCAGGCTGGATGGACACTGACACGAATGAGTTTCTATCGGATCATTTAGCAACGGCGCCAAGATCATTGCCATCGGCGAGCGCGACTGGTAAGCCCGACCGACCGACCGCATGTGCCATCGGCTTGGATTTGGGCCGGTTTCCGCTGGGGTGGTTCTCCAGGCCTCGGCACACCATTCTCGAGCTGACATTCGAATCCTTTTCGATCGGAATTCTCACTTCAGCGTCGTGTACAACCCTGCGGGTCTCAAGATGGACGACCTCCACGAGTACCGCAAACAGACCGGCAGCTTCAAGGGCTTCCCCGGCGCGACCATCATCGATGAGCCTTCCAAGGTCCTCGAGCTTGAGTGCGACATCCTTATCCCTGCCGGTAAGCTCCGGCGCGAAACGAACAAGCGGCGGAATGCAGGTCGTGAGTCCAAAGAACCAGTCTGATGATGTCGCTCGCTTCTGCAGCCTTGGAGCGACAGATCACCTCCAAGAACGCCCACAAGGTCAAGGCCAAGCTCATTGGCGAGGCCGCCAACGGCCCAGTGACTCCTGCTGGCCACGATATCTTGATCAACCGCGGCGTCGTCATCGTCCCGGATCTGCTCCTCAACGCCGGTAGGAAATCTGACTTGTTTCCAGGCTGCATGAACCGCCATACTCTTGAGTGTTTGTTTGAGAATGGCAGGGCACGACACGGCTGCATCGCTTGCGATAGCGTCTGACGATGTGTCATATGCGCCGGAGTCTAATCCATCTCGTCGGATGGGTACAGGTGGTGTCACTGTCTCCTACTTCGAATGGCTCAAGGTAGGTCGCATGGATCATGAGCGCAATGCCAGACGGGATCTGCATGCTTTGATCTGACACTGTTGCTGCTCGGATGCTGTCCGCCCTTCTCTTTCCCTCAGAATCTCAGCCACGTCCGCTTCGGTCGTATGAACAAAAAGTGGGATGAGCAGGGCAAGTCCAAGCTCGTCGAGCTCGTCGAGGAGATCAGCGGCCGCAGCCTCTCGGAAGCCGAGCGTCGTCAGGTACGGATCGCCCTCTCGGCGGCTGTGGCAAACAGACAGAGGCGGTTGTACATGCCACAGGCATTTGCCTGTGTTCCGAGTGCCCGGAGCAAAAATCGCCGATGAAGAAGAGCCACATGCCAGCGACCATCTCGACTACAGCGCTGCCATCCAACTATGGCCGCTCCAATAATCCCTTGGCCCTTCCCCTCATCACTCACAGGTTGTCTACGGTGCTGAGGAGCACGATCTGGTTTACTCGGGTCTTGAGGACACTATGATCCAGGCCTGCCTTGAGACCCGCCAGACCGCCCACGAGAAAGGCATCGACCACCGCACCGGTGTGTAATCCTTTGCCGGGTGACTTGCGCTTCCTGTGGTGTGCAGCTGGCCTCGAGAGAGATGGCGGCCATCCAGGGCTGCTGGCCTTTGTGTGCTCTGATCCGTATCTGCTTCCCACTGATCAATCCGTATCTGCTTCCTACTGATCGCACTCATCTCACCCATCGCATTCTTCCAGCCGCTCTCTGCAACGCCATCGTCAAGATTGCCCTTGTCTGGGAGGGCAGCGGTATGATCTTCAAGAACTCCAAATAAGCGCCGAACATATCCCTGTCGTTTGGAGGAGTAGAATTTGGGTATACAACTAGAGTCGATCCAATAAAAAACGGGACACCCGTGATTTTGACGATTGATCAAATATTTTATTACCCAATACAATCGCGCGCTGGCCATGACCATTCTGTGATTTGAATCAAGGACGCCATTGTGTGAATCGCTTCCAGCCCAAGATGCGCTGGATGAGCACCACACCAAGTCCCAAGATCCCTGGGTGGCTTCCTTCCTGCAATACATTCGCCATGTGTTCGATGGAGACATGCTGGACAAACAGCTGTACTTCAGCCTGACCCGGCGACGGCGATTCAAGCGACTCGATCTCTACGGCAAGCGACAGCGCACCGTCCACGAGATGTGCAAGCAAGTCATCGACCAGGCACCAAGGGAGACCGATATTGTGATTGCCTTTGGGAATGCATCCTGGAAGCAAAGGAAGGGATATGCATCCAGTCCCAGGAGACTCAGGCTTGCCAAATACTTTGAGCAGTTCATACACCACCAGAGACGCCCACCAGACCGAGCCGTCTCCAAGATCCATGTGTGCTCGGTGAACGAGTTCAACACATCCCAGGTGTGCTCACATTGCCGGGAATTCAAGCGACTTGAGTCACCCGAGTATCTTGATATCGAGAAACCACACTTTGTCCGGAGCTGTGCAAGCTGCCATACGCTGTGGGATCGAGACATCAATGCAGCCAGGAACATGATCTCGGTATGCCAGTCGATCATCGCCACAGGAGATCGGCCGGGTGTATTCAAGACTGTGCTCCCGAAACCAACAAAAACAAAGCGATTGCCAACGAAGACAGGAGTGCAATGCCATGGCCTGCCCGCTGGGCCGACAGTCAGTCAGCGGGGTTCAGGCCTCTGAAGCCAGGAAGGAACTGTCCCGTTTCTTTCTGGATAGACTGTAGAGCGGAAGTTGGTGGCATCGTTGCGCTGTGCTTCGCCGGCCTGCTCCGCTGACAGTGACTCGCAAATGAAACGGGGTCGCTCCTATATCATCCTCGATGCCCACGTCGTTGCGCTGCCATGTTCCGTCTTGGTGCCGAATCTACACAGGCCGCATCCAGTATCAGCATGTCCACGAATATCGTCCGCAGAGGCGATGTTCAGGGGGGGGTCAGAGGGCTGGTGGCAACAGGGGTATTGTTGGGCTTTGCCGAGGCAGCAGCAAGCGAGTGCGCATCGGCGATCCGCACGGTGCCCGCCTGGCTTCTGTCCCGAATCCCTCACCGGCGTCCCTCATCGAGCCTCATGCTGACGCTTGTCCAGTTCCGTTCGTCCCTTTGTGGTGCTCATGCGTTCTCATGCTGATCGCGGCGCCTTCTTGATCTGGTGGCCGCGCAAGTCAGCCGCCCCATCCGCCGGTCTCTCCGATCCCACCTTCTCTTCGCCAGACGCCGATCCGCACGGCCGTCCATCGCAATCCACCGGCCTTCGAACGCAACGCACAGCCCTCCACAGCAGCACGCATCGTCACCGTCCGCCACCCGCAGCGGCATGCAAGCGCCGGCTGGGTGGGGGGGAGACTTGTGTCGAACCTGGCCAGCAGCCATCGCCACCCCGGGACCAGAAGCCAGCTGCATCGCCGGTGACTCAGGTCGCCTCCTGTCATGGACGGCCCCTGCCGCACAGGAGCCACGGGTCCGGGGGAGCGTGTGCGGCTGTCAAGGGCTGGCCGGCCGGCACACCAAAGGACTGGTCTTGTGGCCACTTTGTTCCCGCAGCGACCAGTCCACGGCGGAGGAAATATATTCCCGCCCATGGCGGCAAAAGGACATGCGGACCATTTTGCGGCCGAACCGGCGGCGTTTTTTTCCGCAGCGCTCGCACCGACCAATCCGCAAGCGAGCGGAGCGATGCAGGCAGCGTCACCTTTGCACCCAAGTGCTGATCCCGCGCCGACCCCGTGCTGATCCGGCGGGGAGGAAATGGCATTCTCACCATCACAAACGATGAGTCGATCTTGCTGGACTACGATGCAGCCGCCTGCAGATTGTGTGTTGGGTGCAGGAAGGCGGGAGAGAAACAAAGGATGTTGCCGAGTTTCGGAGGGGAGGCGCTCGGATGGGCAGGCCCCGAGTGTGAAGGGAGAGGGACAATGAGGGCAGTTGGTCGCTTGGCCTGAACCCGGTCGAGACAAGGCCGACACACGCCATGCAATCGAGACGAATCGCGGACACAGCGTGCGGCCATCGATACGAACAATGGTGCAGGCGGTGTTGGCTCCCGCCGCCCAGCGAGCTCCAGTGGTGCTGGCGGCCAGGCCAGGCCAGGCCCGTTGCGGACTTTGCTCATGGACGCATTGCGGCTCCGCAACCAGCGCGGCAAATGCAGTCTCTCGTCGGGGGGGGGCAATTGGCTACCATCGTTCTGGTCGGTTGCGCTGCCGGATCTACTGGAGACCGCGCTCCCATCGAGGCGATAGGATGCTCAAGGTGCTCACGGTGCATCCAGCAGCATCAAGGCGCCAGCAAGCCCAGCGCATTCCACAGAGATATGACGGAACCAGCAAAACGTTACGCGAGGGGCGTGACGCATCGTCAAGGGAGTGGCTCGTCCGCGCTGTCGCACAGCCGTGGCACACTAGTCTGGTGCGGTGCCGGCGGTGGGTACTGCCGGATGTGGGTGTGCGTCCCGCACAGATCCACCGAGCGACGGCGGCGGAAGAGCCCGTCAATCACGGAATCGAGGCCAAACGGATCGCGAGTGGTCGGGTCGCCGGCGGATCTGTGGCAGCGAAGGTTGTTGCTTTGGTGCTGAAAGGGCGGGGCCATGAAGCATCGAGGGCCAGGTGAAGCAGCGCTGGCGACGGCGATCGAATCGTGGGACTCGAGCAACGGCCAGCAAAGGGTCGGGATTGGCGACCACAGAAGTCGCCATATCCACAGGCATCGGGCGGCACCCACCCAAGGCCTGCCCGACACAGCCCGACAGACGATTCGACCGATGGACCGGCCGCCCGCAGACAAAACGGACATCCGCGCATTCACACAGCGGATGCATGTGCGCGATAGCCACACTACAGAAACAATGCCGATCCACCGCCAATGCAATGCCGATCCGCTGCCCGTGCAATGCGGATTCACTACAGATGCAATGCGGATGCACTATAGATACAAACATTCGCTCGGTCGATACAGAGACACACAATCTGACCAATCGGCCCGTGTCATTCGCACACACACCCCATCAGCAATCAGTCCATCGGCCGGGTCCTCAGCCTTTTTTTTTTCTGCGCCTGCGCCGAGCCCCAAGCGAGATCAGTCTGACTGATGTTGTCGCCAGCGGGTCGCAACCTTGCGGTGGAGGACACCACGCCCGAAGCGCGCGGACGAAACGGCGGCCGCAACGATTGGCCCGCGCCGTCGCACAGGCCTCCTTGTTGTGGCTCGCAATGACTAACCCTGACCGCGGCCGACTAACCAAAGAGCTGGGACGCGGACTGTGTCGGACTGTGTCGGACTGGGCGATTGGACAGGCCAGCGAGCAGCGCCCGCTCGCCGCCCGTGCACAGGCCCTCTCAGTCGACCCTGCATATAAGCCCGAGCGGCGATGCGTCCCTCGGTCTGGCCGATTTTCCCACAGCGTCTGCCTCTGCAAGTACCCTTCTCCCCCCCCTGCTCCCTTTGCAGCACCTTCTCGCCTCTGCCGCTCTATCAGCCTAGCTGCACCCCTCGTTCTCCAAAATGTGCAACCCACGAATGTCCACCGGGCCCGCTCAGGTCGCAGCGAGCGAGCATGGCCGGGTTCCTTGCTCGGCATACACTGAGACTTCGCCGTGCTCAGTTTCGTCGACTGGGAGCGACCAAACCCTGCGCTCGTCCTGTGGCGAGGATCCAAAGAAGCAGCTTGCCGACAATTTGATAGGTATGGTATTAAATCTTCCGCGTTGCGAAGTGCGGACGCGAGCGGCGGGGGTGCCTGGGGTGTTTCTTGTTCTTGATTGAGCCGCAGATGGCGGTCATGCTCCAGGTGCCTGGTGTACCCGGTCGGCCCTGATGTACCAGCTATCGTGTCAAGCTGGCTCGGCTGATTGAGGTGCTCGCAGGAAATATCATGGTGCGGCTGTGGGAAAGCCGTGGTGTGCTTGTCGTAGCTGAGATAGGCGACGTCTCCGGACCACCCCCGCGGCTCCCCTTGCCACTGCAGTCCTTGGTGGATGATGGTGGCTCTCTGGGTCGGCGCCGGCGTGATGGTCCCAAACCAAGCAAGATCAAAGGCTCACCCGCCGACCTTTCTCTCCAACCATCGCAGATACTGTCGTCCTGCTTATCGAGCGGATGTGGCCTCCCAGCCCGACCCCGGCCCCATCCGGCATCCCTCCCAAAGTCGTCCCCCTCCGTGTCTTTGTCTATGAGCTCCTTCGCCAGTCGCACACATCCTTCTCGACACTGCATCTGGCCCTCCTTTATCTCGTTCGTCTCCACACCAACATGCCCAAGGATACCAGCGACCGCCACCCGTCGCTCAACTGCGGCCGCCGCATGCTGCTGGTAGCCCTCTGTCTGGCCACCAAGTTTCTGCTGGACTCGTGCCCAAACAACCGGGCTTGGGCCTCGGTCGCAAAACTGCCCATCGACGACATCAACGCCGCCGAACGCGCCTTCCTCGAGGCCATCCACTGGAAGCTCGATGTCAGCTTCGAGGACTATTCCAAGTGGTCCAGCATGGTCTTCAACTTTGCCAGCCAGAGCAAAGAGTTGATCCACCAAAAGAGCCAGCTCCAACCCCGAGCCAGTGTCAGCCCGCTGCCCATTGCCCGCTCTGCTTCACTGAACTAGAGCCCCTCGCCTCCCACGTCTCCAGCCAAAGGACACGAAGAGGATTTCCTTCTGCCGCAATATGCAACTGCTCTCCATAGACGCCGTCTTGGTTATACCATCTGCCTACCTGTCCACCAGCTTATGCTTCTCGGTCAGCCTCGCCGCTCCATCCATCCATCCACCATCCACCATCACCTGCCCTTCATTCCTGCCCCTCCTGCCTTTCTCCCGCCTGCTCCCCTGCCCGGCCGCCACTCCAGTCTCCACAATTGCTTGTTCCTCCGCTTGCACGTTTGTTTTGAATGGATACTACTTCCTCCGTGTCGGCTGGCGGCCACGATCTTGGTCAGGATTGTGATCACGATCGTGGTCTTGGACGGCAAATGGGTGAATGCACTGCCTTTATTATGTATCTATTTTATCAAGTTTTGCACCGGATACCGACGTCCGTAATCCGTTTCTGCTGCCATCCTGGTGTTGAATACAGCCCTTCCAAAAATGAACGAGACAAGACAGGCGAGTTTGTTCATGGTCCAAGATTTCGTGGTAGTGAGCAGTGTTTGTTCGTCAGCGAGAAGCCACTGACTCACCACGAGGCTGTCGTTGGTCGCCGTTGCCGGACTGGTCTTGGTCAAAGACACATTGATCCAACAAACCGATCCCGATGAGCGATCGCCGACCTGCACGCCAGGACCATGTTGCTGCATGCATCGATGCATCGATGCAGTATCGATCGAGGGATTGCAAGAGCGAGAGCATGCGCGTTCCCATCCAAAGAAATGGGCAGTCGACGAGGAAACTGCTGTCTGGTATTGTTGGGCGATTGTAGGCCGGGCCCCATCCGCATCGGCAGATCCCAGGGCCTCTCCCAGCCGCCATGCTCTATCGACCGCCCAACTCGATCGCGAGCCATGTCTCTGACTCCAAGAGCCAGCCACCCGCAACACCGCCACATGGCCAAGCCACATGCACTCCGCGGATGATGAATTTCATTAGCACTGTGTTACACCAGCAGCCATGAACCGCCCACAGAAAAAAAAAATCGACACACAGCCAACACGCCCAGGCCGTTCCTGCGCATCCAAAACGGCCGCCGCCAACCCGCCTCCTGTCGGTCTCTTCGCTGTTGCCTGCATCTCGACCCCACCCCCAAGCACAAGCGCATCACCATCATGAGCTGGAAGGAGTACTCCCTGGGACTGGCGGCCGCCGTCGGCATCCTCGGCGTCGGATATGCCATCTACTTTGACCAGCGACGACAGCACGATCGCGATTTCCGAAAGAAGATCAGTACGCATCCCGCTCCTCCACTTTGCCCACACACTTCCTCTGCAGCTGCTCCCTGCCCTCCTGCTGCATGTCGATCTGTCCGGTGCATTGTGGCTGATCTGGCTGGCTGTCTGTTGCCGACTTGACATGTACAGAGAAGCAAAAGAAGGAGGCCCAGCGCTTGGCTGCCCTGGACAAGGTCGCCCAGGAGGATGCTGTTCGCAAGGCTGCTGCTGCCGCCGGCCCCAGCGAGCCTGTCAAGCTCGAGGATCCCTCCAAGCTGTCCGCCGAGGAGCGACAGGCCTACTTCATGAAGGTCCTCCAGACCGCTGAGGAGCTGCTTGCCCAAGGTAAGATGGGCGTGATCGGAATCGCGGCGCCTGGGTCGAGCGGCACATAGATCCATACGGCACAAAGGTCTCTCTGTTTGGTCGAGTGTTGGCCGGTGGCCCGCTCGTGCGGCTCCGGTCCCTGTGTCCAAACGAGCCAGTTTCTCAGCAACTATCACGAAACGCCGCTGCTGACCCGATCGGACCATTCCATGTCGTCTCCAGGCCCCACTCAGTACCAGAAGGCCGCCCAGTACTTCTACCACGCCCTGAAGATGTACCCTGATCCCATGCAGCTCCTGATGGTTCTGCAGCAAGCCGTCCCGCCACCCGTTTTTGAGCTGATCATGGAGCTTACCTCGCAGGATGTAGGTTCTTCCGCTGGTGCTGCATCCAACATCGAGGAAATCACTGTAGAATAATCGCCACACCCCGCTTGCCGCTTCCTCCCTATGCAACTCCCTCCCAATGGGCATCCATCCTTCTCCCCACGTTTCATACACCCTCCAACCACGATGCCCGGTTCACCCCTCCCTTTTGTGCATATTGGTTGTTGGCCCGGAGTCAATCCGTTGCTCTGGATGATAGAGCCATGTCCTCCCCCTCCACCGCCGCCGCCACCACCCCCACGACCACCGTCCCCTCGCACTTGATTTTGTAAAATATGCCGTTTTTGTGACGCCTATTTCCTCTTTCAAGTTTTGCTCGCCCTTCTTAATACTCAATATATTCACATCCCATCTCTTGCACACTTGCCCTCCCATTCTGCGTCCACCGCCTTATCCTCGCTGTCCACTGAATGCGTCCTTCGTGGTCGCTTGGATGGCTCCTACCCCGCTCTCTCTGTTCTGTCTGATTGGCTGTCGGCCTCAACGCGATGTCCTCTATCGGACTGGTGGCGAACTGGATGGATGCTTGGAACATGGGCCTGGAACATGGACTTGGAACACGGGCTGGGTGGATCTGGAACTCTCATATGGCCAACTGGATCGCTGGATGGATCGCTGGATGGATCTCGCGCTGCATCGGCACCCCCAACAGGTCAATGACAAGCAGGCCAAATGTGGGTAGAGCCCTCTCCAACATGTGCGATTCTCGGAGCTGCGGCCAGAAATCGTGCCCTCCCCTGAACTGCACTTCCAAATGAATGCGATGCTGGACAGGGGACGGAAGCGAGTTTATCGAGTGGAAAACCCACTACCACCTCGCCCTCGACCCAGTGCCATTTCGCCGAGCAGCATGGACTGGCACTGATGCCTCTGTTCTCCACCCATCAGACTTTGACATCTTTCCAGCCGAGTCCATGAACGTCAAGGTTGAGGAAGTCGTGCATGGAACCACTCCGGACGGCAAGCGCCTGATCCGCCGCGCTCTGATTGCCCTGAAGGACTTTGAGGAGAACGAAGTCATATACCAGGAACAGCCCCTTGCCTCGACCCGGAACTGGAGACTGGAGGTGAGTGCGCAGCGCGTGCAGATGCGGAACGACGTTGGCAGTGGCTATTTGACTCTCGTCATGATGCTAATGACCCGATATGTTGTGTCTGTCGTTGGTTTGGTTATCGATCAGAGAGGCCGTGTGTGTGACCAGTGCCTCAAGACTCTGAGCCCTGACAATATCGAAGAATATCCCGACTGCAGCAGCTGCCACAGCCAAGTCTACTGCTCTGAAAGCTGTAGGAGCACTGCATCGACTCTCTACCACGGCTTCCTGTGTCCCGGTGCTGATCAAGCCGCCGATGCGCAAACACCCCTCGAGCTCTATGCCCAGACCCACGACACGTTGATGGTAATGCTGATTGCCCGATTCATGGGAAGGCTGGTCCACGAGGAAACTCAAAAGAACGAAACAAGCACAGCTAGCGGCGAGTCAAAGCCGGAGGAAAGATATTCGACCTGGGACCACGTTGAACGCCTCCAGCGCCTGAAGCTCGATACAATCGATTTGATGGCCGAGAAAGCACTGATCGACGAGCACATGGGCAGCAAAGTCCCTGGCTTCGATGGCTGTGAGTTTCGCATATGTGTCTTCAGTCGATTATGGAGTCGCCGAGGCACCAAACCGCCGTATTCTTGACAGGGTGATGGATATGGACTGACGCAGAGCCCGCAACGGCTCATCTGCATGTTCTCCGCCACTGTCACCATCTGCACATTCCGCCCTGCCCCTCGCCCAGTCTTCAACGATGAACGATACGAGCAGCTTCGATCCAAGTTCCAGTTCAACGCTTACCAGATCACGGGCAAGTCCACTGAGGTGGATCAGCTCAAGACCGAGGGACGAGTTGCTACCAAGCACAACGCCAAGGGCCTCGGCGTGTATCACATCTCCAGCTTCATCTCGCACTCCTGCGCACCCAATGCGGCAGTCGAGTTCCGAGGCGACGACCACGAGCTCACACTCGTGTCCAAGACTAAAGTGCTCAAGGGTGACGAGCTGACTCTCAGCTACGTCTGCACGGACAGCCTCTCCAAGAATGCCCGGAAGACGCTGTTAAAGGACCGTGTGGGTATCTTGTGCTTGATCGCGGGTCTGTGGAGACATGCGATAGGACGAGCCAGTGCTGGCGGCGGTGCTGAGCAAAGCTGTGGTACTGATCGAATGCCTGTATTCTCTTCCGTTTCCTTGCACTCTCCCTGCTTGCGCTCCATGCACCCCTTTGATGCAATGAATCCTTCCCGCTCCAACGCCACAGTTCAAACTTATTTGCAAGTGCAACCTTTGCAAGGCGTGATGCACGGACACTGCGTTGTAATATACGGCAATAGTACAAGAAAATGGAGCAGCACCCATTCCCGCTGCAGTCATCACGGGCCTGGGGGCCGCTCCCGTCTCAACTCTTTCGTTTGTGCAGGCCGTGCAGGCCGTGCAGGCGGCACCCCGGCCCCTGCGCCCCTGCGCCGCCCCCTGTGGCAGCCCCCGGAGGCGCCGACGGGACGGCCCCACGCCCGCTCCGGGCCCAACGGGTGCTGGGTCACGTGGCGCTCCTGCCCAGGCGGCGTTTGGTCGGAGAGCAACCGAGGCCAGCCGGGACCAAAGCCGATGTGGGAGCAGCGACCTGCCCGAGACCGTTGAAGACCTGCTCGGAGGCGACCGCCCTCGGCTTCTTCTTTCTCTCCAGGTACCCGCTGCACATCTGGCCTCTCGACGATCGTGGCTCTGGACTACACAAAGCACATTCGGTCCCTTCTTCCTGCCCGCTTGTTCATCTCCCAGGTTCGTCGACGCACCACCACCACCACCCCAGCCGCACCTCAGAGTCGCCCGATCGCCAATGCCATCGAGGCTGCTATCGACTCTGCCTGCGGTATCCAAGAGGGCCACTCGTTCATGCGCCATTACCCAGGCTGCATGCCCCCCCTATATGCCCCGCTTGCGTCTGCCGTCTATTCTCCGGCATCTGAATGGCATTACTCATTCCCGACTCGCAGCCCTCAACCATGTACGCGAGACGTAGCCTCCAAACCTCTGCCCGCTGGATCTCTGGCGCCGCCCTCTCGGCTCGAAGAGCGATCGTGGAGCGAAACGTATGGATGAATTTCATCGTCGGAGACGGAGTGCCGGGCCGTTGCTGGCCTCCATGAGCTTGGTTTCTGCAGGCGTGGAGTGAGCAAGTGTCGCCGTGCTTCGGCACCGACTCATCGACGCACTGTTACGAGCAACCAACTGGACCTCCGGCGAGGCGGCTGGCTCTCGCAAACTATCGGCTGGATGTGCTCGCTGATAATCTCGCTCTGTCGCTTCGCTCTGCCCAGATTGCTCCTGCGACATGGCGCCGATCGGTGTCGTCGACGGCCACCACGGGCAACAAAGTCTCGTTCCCAGGAGCCGTGGACGGATCCCACTATACCGAAAATCTCACTTTCCTCCTGAAATACGAGACCATTCCTACCTACCGAGTTCTTGATACCGAGGGCAACGTCCTGGACCCTGCCCAGGACCCCAAGGTAAGTGCTCGCGTGTGATGCAGTGCCCAGCGTCCACGGGCGGTCGATCAACCCTGTCTGAACGGCCGATCCCGACTGCTCTGGTTGCCGGCCGGCTTTGCGGACCCGCACGAATCCTTCAGCGCTCTTATATGCCTCCATGTTCTCTTTCCCCAGCTCGACAAGGACCTCTGCCTCAAGCTCTACCAACACATGCTTACCCTCAACGGCATGGATCTGATCCTTTACGAGGCCCAGCGACAGGGCCGCATCTCCTTCTACATGACCAACTACGGCGAGGAGGCCGCCCATCTCGGAAGCGCTGCCGCCCTGACGCTCGAAGATGTCATCTATGGCCAGTACCGCGAGGCCGGTGTGATTATGTACCGAGGATTTACGCTGGACCAGTTCATGAACCAGTGCTACTCGAACGCCTCGGATCTCGGCAAGGGTCGACAGATGCCTGTCCATTACGGAACCAAGGAACTCAACGTCCAGACCATTTCCTCGCCCCTGGGCACCCAGATTCCCCAGGCTGCCGGCACCGCCTACGCCCTCAAGCAACAGGGCAAGAAGGCGTGCTGTGTTTGCTACTTTGGCGAGGGCGCTGCCTCGGAGGGTGACTTCCACGCTGGTCTGAACATTGCCGCCACCACCGAGAGCCCCGTCATTTTCTTCTGTCGCAACAACGGCTACGCCATCTCGACCCCGGCCCGTGAGCAGTACCGCGGCGACGGCATTGGTAAGGCAGCTCTGTCAGTCGAGTCGGAGAGAGGCCATCGTGCGAGTCGGAGAGTGGCTGTCGTGCGAGCTGGAGAGAGGCTGACGTGCGAGAGATTGACGAATGCGCCGAGCCAGAGGGATGGGCACCTCATGTTCGCACGGCGGAAGCTAGGGCTGTCGGCATGATGGCGAGGCTACATATCCATCGCTCTTGCTGACATCCATGCCATCTGCTGCTCGACAGCGAGCCGCGGTCACGGTTACGGCATGGCCACCGCCCGAGTGGACGGCAACGACATCCTTGCCGTCTACAACACCATGAAGGAGGCGAGACGAATCGCCGTCGAAGAGGGCCGCCCTGTGCTCATCGAGGCCTTGACTTACCGCGTCGGCCACCACAGTACCTCGGATGACTCGTCTGCGTACCGCTCCAAGAAGGTGAGCCCAGATTCTACCGGACCGTGTGAGGCTGCAATGGCAGCAACGTGCGCTTGGCTGGTCTTCCAAATGCAGGAACGCTGACCTACCTGGCACTCTGGTTGCATCCACAGGAGGTGAGCGACTGGCAGCGACTGGACTCGCCCATCAACCGCTTCCGCAAGTACCTTGAGAACAAGGGCTGGTGGGACAACGAGAAGGAGGCAGCCTTCAAGAAGTCGAGCCGTGCCGAGATTCTTGCTGCCTTTGCTCGTGCCGAGAAGCAGAAGAAGCCCCCGATCGAGAACATGTTCACCGATGTCTACGACGAGCTCCCCTGGAACCTCCAGGAGCAAAAGGCCGAGCTCGCCGAGTTGATGAAGAAGTATCCCGAGGCCTACGACGCCTCGGGATACGCCACTTCCGCACCCAAGGCCTAAGCGATCCGTCAACATCCTGCTCTAGGCTTGGCATGTTGGGTCTGAAGGTCCTCGACCCTGTCTCGCCCCCACATAGACAGCGCTGCACCAAGGTGCCGCTGCCATGCGCTTGGGCTTCATCGCACATATTTGCAATGCTTGTTCACCCACAACTCTCCCGGCTTCTGACGTCGGGCAGCATTCTCACCAATGAATCCATCTAGAAACGCATTCCGTTGATACTGTCCCGGAGCTGCGGATTTTGCCGGTTCCCATCACTTCAATGGCCGCTCGCTGGCATGCCAGCGCATCATCTAGCATGGCAGGAGCCTTCGCATTCCACTCAGGCAGATTTCTTCATATGTACACGGCGCATGGGGCTTGATTGGCGCTGATTGAGGCGGACCGATTACCCCGGGAGAGGCTGCACCAGATGAGGCTGAGATAGATGCGCGACATATCGATGAGGTGGCATACATATGTCGCACTATTGAGCACCCTCCAACGTGGGGAGTAAAAAGTGGGCATGTTTGGCCGGGAGTGATCCTGCAGACGGCGAGATATATATGGCTGCGATGTGATTGAGCTAGGATGATAATGCCGGGATACGATTGTTGGTGCGGCCTTGGACACAAGCATCGAAAGCCGCTCACCCGACTGAAAGCCAGGGTATAAAGTGCACCAACGACACTCGAGTTGGACCGGCACCTTCTTACAACGCTGGATTGCTGCTGTTAGGCGCCAACGACCTTGGATCCCGCTTGTTAACGTCCGCCAAGATGAGGAGTCCAGTCCCAACGGGGTGTCTCTGGTCTCTGGCAATTCATCTCCTGCTGACACTCGGTGTCCACGGACAGGGTTAGTGTTTTCCCTGCACCTGCCTCCACAACATGCGACTCGAAGTGTTGGCAGATATGGCCAGGATCGGTCGTCGTAAGCTACAAAAGTTCGGCTGACAATCGTAGCGGTGACGACAACCGATCGGACCGCAAGTAGAGAGTTTGCACACAACTAATCCATCGGCGCACTTCCTATCTTCCAGTCCCAACATGCATGACATACAACGGAACCGCCTGTAGCGCCATCCTGAGCAATTCCTCGTACTATGCACCGATTCCGCAGTACCAGTCGCTCGTGGACCCGGTGCTTCTGCAGAACTTTTCCTCGCCGAACTTTGTGGCGCTCTCGAGCATGGACCGTACCTGCGCGACGGCGCTGATGGCCGGCGCTTGTCGTCAGGGGTATCTGTCGTGTGCTCCTGGGGGATGTAAGTACGATGCCAGCAGTTGCTGTGGGCTCGGGCGATCGGCTCCGCACAACGAATGAGAGCGTACTCTCGGCACTCGCTCACTTGCGGCTTCCCACGCCCGCCCGCAGATCCTATCCCGCTGTGCCGTAGCTCGTGTCTGCAGCTCCAGGCCGTCTGCAATACAACGCTCTCGGCAGTCGGCATGCTCAGCATTCTCCCAAACTGCTCCGCGCCTGTCTTCGCTTCGGCCAACTGCACAAGCTCCTCCGGCCAGTTCATGGCGACCGATTCATCGTCCAACGTGACCTCTACCAACGGAACGGCACCACCTCCGAGTTCAGGAGCATCCTGTCCACCCCCGCTCATCGTCGACCCGAACCCCCAGAGCGCTAACCCAAACTGCCAGTATGGGTGCTGCCTGCCCTGTCCAAAATACAAGCTGTTTTATCCACAAGGGTAAGCTGGAACAGTGGCCCAAACCGACGGACAAACACGCCGGAATCCAAGCCAGATGATGTGCATGCTGTGAGCTGATCAGCGCTCGGTGTTTTGCGGTGGCCGCACTGCGATTCACCATTTGACAATCGGCTTGGTTGAGTGTAAGCTGATTCGATGGCCCGTCGCTGCCATTGGCATTTATCCACCAGCCCGATCCAGGCCGCAGAAATCCTATACAAGACCCTGTTTCTTCTGTCCTTGATTGGCTTCCTGCTCGTTGCTGTTGCCGTCCTGGTTTCCAAGAACGGCCACAAGTTCCCAAAGTGCCTGACGGCATACTTTAGCATAGCTGGGGTTCTGATGATGTCAGTTACCTTTGGCACATACCCATGTGAGCATCAACGTCGTGCACCTGAAGCACGCAATGGCCCAGGCTGCATCATGCCTCGCCAGTATCTGGTGCATCCCATAAGTGCAGAGGCAGTCCATGGCTCGACTCTCACCCTCGGGAACTGCCAGCGGGTACAAACACAAACAGCGCCAGTGTTACCGATGCTTGTATTCTTACGATCGTCCTTTCCTGTGCCTGCCCAGCCTATAGCAGTTTGCAATGCGCCGCAGATGGAATAACGGATGCCACGCAGAGCAACAACGTCCGCTGCCTGGTGACGGGAACTATTCTGCTATTCTCCATGTGGTCGCTTGTCCTGTGGGCTGGGCTCTTGCTGCTCTCGATCCATATGGTAAGCAACAGGCTCTGGATGACCGACTGTGGCCATCGCATTCCGAAGACCTCATCTGCTAACAGACATCCTGTTTGATTGCCATGCGCTCGAATCCAAATCTAGATCATTGTTTGGAACAACCGGCTGCTTGCGGATCACCAGAAAAAGGTCCATGTCTTCTGCTGGGGTGTTTCCTTGAGCATGACCCTCGCCGTGGTGCTGACGGGCAAACTCGAAGCCTACCCCGGCGACATTTGTCTGTGAGTGTCGGATCTGCAGACCCGCTGCCATTCATAACATTGCCTCTGCAGCCTATACCGCCGATGCAGTTGCTGAAGGGTCATCCATCTCCAGTCCAGGCGGCAACGGCGATCTGAGTCTCTTCTTTGGGCCGCATCTGGGCATCGTTCTGCTATCGATTTTGCTTCATACGGCCACATCAGTCCGGATCTTGATGGTAGGAATGCACGACACCTGGCGCCCCATGCCTGGAAAGTCATCTCCGGGACGCTTCAACGAGCACGATCGCCCACACCGTGCCTGCTGACAACATCGTTGGATCACATCCCCAGGCCACCATCCAGCGGCGCGATCTGGTCAAGCGCGGCTGCATCCTCAGCGAGATCAAGGCCCTCTGGCAGCCGACACTGCTGGCGATTGTCTTCATCGCCGTCTACATACCCTTCCTATACTCTCGGCTCGTCATCATCCGGCCGCTCTTTGGTCTGTCAGCCAGCACACCCTGGGTGCAGAACTGGCTGATGTGTCTGATCCAGAACCAGCCCAACGGATATCAGCAGTGTCTTCCGCTGGCCACGCCGAACGTCCCGGATATCCGATTGCTCATCTTCATGAACGTTCTCTGTCTCGGCTGCGGAATATGGGTGGCCATGATCATGCTGCCGGGCCACGGATACCGCAACATCTCGACGGCCGTAACGAGCTTGGTCTCGGGAGCAACCTCCAGCAACCCCGAGAACCACCTGATCCCCCCGAGTCCCGGCGTGATCACAGATCATCCTGCTGCTCAGGCAGCCGGGGTGAGGCGCTCCATGAGCCGCCACAACTCGTTCACGGGCATCCGCTCGCCGGGATCAGCCCGTGTAAGCATTGACGGGACAAGTTCGATTCAAAAGGACAGCAGCGGTTCCCTCGTCCAGCCATGAGCGCCAGCCAGTCCAGTCCGCCAGCCGGCAATCTCAACCGGCACCCCACCGACGCTGAGCGGAAAGTGCAATTTGATGGCGATCTTGGCAATAGAAAGGGAGCAAGGATCAAAGGACCCATCCACATGCACACCGTACACCTTTGGTCTCGCAATACACCAAAGCGTTCTCCCACAGCAGCGACGATGGTATCGTGTGCCAAGGGACGCAAAGACCACCCGGCGATTGCGCCAGAGGGTGGTCTGCAGATCCTACAGCATCGTCAGGGACCGGCCACTCAAGCCAGCCCCACGCACGATCTGAGTCTGGATCTGGATCCGGATCTGGGCAAAGCCCAGCTGCGGTCGAGCCGCGCTGGAGATGTCACACAGTCTACTATCAAACCCAGGTCATCGGTGTCTTTCCTGTGTTAGCGAATCTGTGGTTCGTTGTGTCTCCCCATTATAAAAATGACGCCGTCGGGTGTGGTACTGCCGGCGACGAGGTAAGGAAATGGGTTGAGGAGAAAAAACGAAAGCGGCGCCGGGAGGCAGCAATAAATACCGGTGGCTCGATCCGGCGGCTTTCGGCTCGATCCGGGGCTGGCTGGTTTGTGTCGCGTGGCGTGACTGCACTGCCACCGCCGCGATTGTCTCTGTGGCGGCCGCGACTGAGCCCACAAGGGCAGCGAACACGGGGCAGTGCAGCGACGAGACAGGAACTTTTTTTTTTTTTTCCAGGCCCCAACAGCACCATCACCTCCCAGGCCGCAGCGATTCAGCCCCAAATCGTCTCTCGCAGCAACCAGCCCTCACTGCACCCGTGTCTCGGCGACCAAGCCCACCCCTTGTGCATCATCCCAGCAGCGTCTGTCCAGTTGCTTCCCCGGCTCTCTCCATGAATACCAATGGATTCCCCGTGCTCAATCATCACTCTTCCGCCAGAAGTGCTCATGGTCGTGGTCCGCTTCCTGGGCTTGCCGCGCGATAGTGCTGCCGGAAAAAGAACCCAGTTGGACCTTTACCATGCCTGCTTGGTCTCGAGGCGCTGGTACAAGGTAATTGCGCAATGCCGGTGCGAGGTGCCGTGCGCTCCCTTTCCAGTTCCGAGCCGGAAATCAGCTCGACAGAGTGTATCCATCGCAAGGCCACCCACCCTGAAATGGCACTCTCAATCCCCTCTTCGCACCACTCGCACCACTCGCACCATTAGCATCGTCCTTCTATCATATCGCCCTTGCTGCGGTCATCGCTCTCTCTAATCCTGTTCCATATCGGCATGCAAATCGCCTCGCTGCATCCGCGCTGGTGTCGTCTGTCTCCCCGGATCACTGCCTCGCCGAAACGGCTCCTGTTCTTCAATCACCCATTTGGGCCATGCTAGGTCGCCAACCCTGCATTGTGGTCCCGTATTGCCCTCACCACCTCCAACGCCGCCTCCATTGGGCGGTTTCTCACCATTACTCCGGCGATTGCCAGCATGCAGACCGGATGGGGCTCGACTACATTCCACCAAAGCCCGCTCAACTTCATCACCACCTTGCAGCTCACTTCGTCGGCGCTGTCGATGCTCGAGGGCCGCCCTGACTTTTGCAACAAGTTTATGGTTTCTCAGATGCGCTCGCTCGCTCGCTTCCATTCAGACCGCCTCTCGACCAGAATCCTGGCCCTGATAGCCAGCTGTCCCAACATCCGATTCATCAGCGTCAACAATATCTTCAAGTCGGTCGATTCCAACAGCTCGCACGACGAGGACGGTGACATCCTCGCGGTATTGCAGCCTCTGTCGCTGGCGCTGCAGCACAAGCTCGAGGGATTCGTCCTCCAGTTCGACGACAGCATGGGCGATGAGGGCTGGCAAGCTCTCTCGCAGATGGGCCAGCATTGGGACAACCTCACCTCCCTGACCGGCCATGGCATCCCAGCGCACTTGATCCCCATCATCCTCAAAAAGACACCTGGCCTTGAGTCGCTGCGGCTCCTGCCGGCCAGAGGCAATGAGGTGCCCATGAACGACCTGGTGCTTCGGTTCATTGCTCGACACTGCCCGAGCCTTACCACCCTGCACCTCTCGTGCCGTCGCTCAAGCTGGAACGGCGTGACAAGTGTCGATGCGTGGCAGGAGCTCATCATGGGGCTCAGGCGGCTTGCCCACGTCAACCTGTCGCCGTCGGACCAGTTCTTTGAAGCTGCATCGATGCTCAAGCGCACCGTCCCAACCATCCAGCAGATCCATGCCAAGCACATTGAACAGGACCAGGTACTCCGGTGTCTCGAGCGCGGCTTCGGCACTCTCTTTGGGCACGTTGAGCTCTTTGGAAGCGATTTGCAGTGCAGCGCCATCGATACCTTTGCTCGCCACTGCCCAAACTTGACCACCCTGCAGCTGTATCTGACCCGCACTGCAGACCACCCGAGCGCCGGTGCCGACTGGAGCGTCCTGATCGAGCCCAAGCTCAAGGATCTCGTTGGTGGCTGTCCAAGGCTTAATGAGGCCCTCGTGGTCTGGGAAGAAGTATCCCACGACGAAGAGACCGAGGAAGCCGAGCTCGTCTCTGGCTGCTGCGGGTACGGACCCTCGGGCTTTTACAGCTTCACCTTTTGATACATCTGCAACCGTGACTCTGCTGCTTTTGGTTGTGTGGCCACAGTTCCGTGGCTGTGGCTATGATCTTCCTTGTTTTGTTGTTCCTGGGATCGCTACCCGCCCTGGTTTTGTGCACGAGCTTGGCGCAAACCAATTGAGAGAATGGTGATTTTTGGCATGGTTTTTGAATACAAGTGCGACACTGTCGCCAGATAGGAGCATGAGCGCAAGCAAGCGTGCTTGGTGGATAATGAGTTCGCGGGCAGTATGCGGGATGCAGCACGTCGCTCGAGCAACAACTGGGATATATTGACGTGAAGATACACATTCGACTCGCAAGCGCAGCCGGACGGGCCTCAGTATGGCCAGTACTGAGCGGGGTCGGGTTCCTCTATGTTGAGGTTGCCCTTTTCCATATCGTCGGCGGCCTCATCGCTTCGGCTGGACGATCCCGCTTGTGGAGTTTCATTTTGTGAGCGCTGCGAATGCTGATTGCCAAGAAGACTCTGGGCTTCTCCTTGACTGGGCGGGGAGTACCCAAACCATCGGGTGCACAAGTTTTCGATAAAAGTACAAGCGATAGGCGACAAAACAATGAAGATGCAAATGATGACAAAGAGGCGCACTACACTTTATTCAGAAAAAAACGGGACAATATAGCCGTTTCCATGAACAGTAGTATGTGCTGTGCTTGCGTCTAGCAAAGCCACAAGAAATAAAACAGATCACTTTGGCAGCCTCCGAGTGAAGACCGCCGGTCGCTCTCCGATCTCCACAATCGACCTGCATACTGTGATCATGTTGCGCGCCGCATTGACGTCGCGATTCCACACTGTCCGGCAGCTGGGATTCTTGCAGCTCCTGAAAAAGTGGGAATTCGCAACACTGGGCGCATCGAGTCCTTCCAACCGAACTGGCTCCAGGCACTTGGAGCACACTTGCGAGGTGTTGAACTCGTTCGTCGAGACTACCTTGACGCTTCCATGATGGTGATTGGGACGGCGTCGGTGGTGCTCGAATTGCTCAAAGTACTGAGCAAATCGCTGCCTCCGAGGGCTGGATGCATAGCCCTTGCCCTGTCGCCATGACGCATTGCCAAAGGCGATCACCACATCGGTCCGTATCGGGGCGTGCTTCAGGACGGCCTTGCACATCCTGTCGACGGCCACTTGGCGCCTCTTGTGGCCCGTGAAGCGATGGTGACGGGCCTTCTTGCCCAGGTGGAAGTCGAGCTGCACTCGCAGCTCCGGTTGCAGGACATGGGTGAGATGGATCTTGAAAGCCTCCGAGGACGACGCCTTGGGCGAGGGGGTGGTCGACATCCAGGTCTCGATGCTGAGTCGATACTTCATGGTATTGTGCCACTTGGTGTTGGACTTGTGGCCACACATGTGCTGGTAGTGGCCATTCGAGAACGAGACCACCTCGTCTTGGTGGCCCGGTGCTTGGATGACCGCCGTGAAGATGGAGCCGACTCCAGGATCGATGCCAATCCAAGTGGTCTTGTCGGGGTCTGGGTCGCCGATGTGGGCCTGGATGCGCTGCTCGGCAGTCGGAGGAGGCTCGGAGGTCTCGGTGTGATCGGTTCGACGCAGAAACTTGACGAGGCCGATGGTGCATCCAATGCCATCGGTGCTGATCTCGTAGTTGAACAGCTTCTTGTCCCTGACCCGCTCTTGGAAGAGGGAATTACGCAGCTTGAAGCAACTGCGCCAGAGACGATCCTGGTTGTTGACACCGTCCTCACCTTCTTCCTTGAGCTTGTCCCTGGTGAGTCCAAGACGATGTTCGGTGTCAAGGAGTTGCCAAAGAGTGACGGTGTCGATCTTGACATACTTGGCCTTGGCTGTGCATAGAGGAACTATCGTGCACACGGCCGGAGGAGTGTCGAGAGCGAGCTGCTTGAGTGCCCAGTTGATCCTGGCGGCCAGCTTGTTGATCTTGGCCTTGGTGGTGCCGAGCTCAGACTTGGCCGTGGTGAACCTCTTGTCGTCGGAGGGAATGCCTTGGGTAGTGAGCTCGTCCAGCTTGGCCTGGCGCTGCAGTTCGGTGACTCGGAGAGCGGGCATGTCACAGTCGATCCACTTGTGGACATTGTCGACCATCTTGTCTCGGGCGAGGATTCTCACATGGTGTGAGAGGCGATGGAGGGCCCGGAAGCGGTCCTGGTCGCTGCTGTACCGAAACTCGTCCAGGACGTGGCCAAAGTCTGGATAGAGGAACTCGAGATCGGCCTTGGGTGGAGTCTGCCCTGGTTTCTCGAAGAGCTCGAGACAAGCCTCGATGGCTTCGTGCTTGTGCTTGTTGGCTGGGAAGACGGCAGCGCAGAAGCGGCGAAGGAGTCGCCAGTAGGCCAGGTTGAGGTGGGTGGTGCAGTTGGTGGCATAGGCATTGACAGCGAGAGTGAGAAGCTGACTGTGAGCACCATCAGGCAGACGAGGGGCCGGAGGCAGGTCTGCGTGCCGAGTGGTCTGGTAGTCGCGAAAGGAAGCGACCAGATGCTCGTTGTATTTCTTGGTGTCCCTGGCCGTCGAGAGGGCACCGTCCTGGACGATCTTGAAGCATTGGCGGATGAAAGCAGGGGTGGCCCTGGAGATGACAGGGACGGGAAGATCCTGCTCGATGCACCGGAGGATGTGCAGGTTGAGCAGCCTGGATGCCTCGAACTGGATCTGGGTCATGGTCTCGACGGTGGCCTGGATCTTGTCGCGGAGAGCGGGATTGAGACAACAGCCATCCATCGTCTGCTTGAAGCAGCTGAACTGAGGGGCGGATGACCTTCCATCCACGAGTGGGACGACAGAACTCTTGAGGGGCCGGTATTTGGGACATTTGCTGGTGTTGCTTCGCTCGTGGTCGGTACCATCGCACTGGCGACATCGCTTGCCGGTACTCGAGGAAGTAGATGGACCAGGCTCGGTGGGATCGACATCCATTGGATCTGCAGAAGCAGTGGTGGTGAGCGACGGAGCAACAGACGACCAAGCATGCGTGGGATCAGAGTACGAACCAGAGACAGGCTCCGACTGTGACTTGGCTTTCTTGGGCCTGGGTGGCCGAGGCTGGCCATCACCGGCACCCTTGCGCTTCGGAGGCATGGGGACAGAGAATGCTGGATGCCTGCCAGTGGTACTGGTCAGAGCAGAGACTTTTTTTTATCGTACAATAGCGCGATGATCCGATCAAGGCGAGATGAGGGAAGAAAGCAGCAGGACGAAGGTGTGGCATTTATACCCGAGAGCAGGAACCCGTCTGCGCGGGCTGGTTGGGGAAGTGACCCTGTTCAAAAATCGCCGAGAGGTTCAAGCCAGTGATTTGAGCGTGAAAATGGCGGCTTGATTGGAGGGAACTCAACCCCAGAAGCGCATCGCTCGCTCAATCAGCCGTGGGAAGACATCTGGAAGCACCCTCCGAACGGCAGACTCAAACAGGGTCACCATCCCGACTCTGAACCCCTCGGACGCATTCAGCGCTGCCACCTTCCTGTACTGGTGCTTCACAATCCCAAAGAAGTTCTCGATGGGATTGAAGTCGAGTGAGGCAGGTGGGGTGAAGATCACTGACCATCCTCGGTGATCGATGCAGTCCAGGACAGGCATTGTCTTGTGCATGCTGACATTGTCCATCACAATCACAGAGTCGTCTGGGAAGCTCGCTCGATCAAAGAACTCGACCATCGAGTGTGTCTTGAATGATGTGGGGATGTACATGCGATGCAGCACACCAGAGTGGTTGATTGCAAATGCAGCCGAGACAGACTTGTGCTTCATGTGATTGCGCTGGCGAAGCGGAGCACCCTTCGGCGAGTATCCGTAAAGAGGGAAAATGGATCTCCTGATCCCTGTCTCGTCGACAAAAACGAATCGTCGTGGGTCGATGGAGCAGGCCTGGTCCCTGAACTGTGCCACCCGCTCATCCAGTCGCTTGGACTTGTAGAGGTGTGTTGCCCTCTTGTGTGAGAGACCTGCTCGGTGGATGGCAGTGTGGCAGAGTGAGAGTGATACTTTCCTCTGGAGGATGGACTCGAGCTTGCACCGCAACACAGGACCAGTCTGCAACGGGTCCTGTTCAATCAGGGTGCGAATGACTGGACATGCCTGCTCAAAGAAAGTGGATCTGCGAGCTGGGACCCGGGATGGGCCATCCAGCTTGCATCCTCGGTGCCATCGATGGATGGTGCTCTTGGATACACTGAATATGGAGGCGACCTTACGCAGGCTATGGATGAGGGCGTAGCATCGCAATGCGGCGGTGCGAAAGTCGGATGTGTGGCGAATGGTCATGGCCAGCGCGCGATAACATTGGGTAACAAAATATTCGATGAATGGTCAAAAACCCGGGTGTCCCGTTTTTTATTGGATTGCCTGTAATTGAGAGGAGAAGTCGCGAAAGAATATAGGGTCAAATCCAGTTATGTTGCTGTCCGATTGCGAATGCTTCATTTCGCCAATCACCAGCGCGGGAGAGCTGATACTTACTAACTGATGAGCCGGTACTATCATGGTGGCCACGGTCCCAATCCCAGTGGCCACCACCACCACCACCACCACCACTACCGCCGCCGCCGCCGCCGCCGCTTCTGCCTCCTCCACCCTTGCGCTTGAAGAGTAAGTAGCGGCTTCGGCCTGGGCTCCAGGGTTGACTTGGAATTTGATTTGCATGTTTGCGACGGTGAAGGATGCGGGCGAGGAGGCAACGCTGGCATATGAGTTCGTTGGTGGGCAGCGGCGGTGCTCCCCGACCGCCTGTGGCGCGGGCACGTTGATACCGTCGGGGCAACGAAGATACCGGGGTGCGGATTGCTGTTTCCTCGGCGGGCCTGTCCTCACGTCTGCCGAATCAACCTCGTGGATACCATCGCATGTCACAAGATCAAGATACCGACGGCGGCGAGCTGCACCGCAAGACATTCGCCAAGATCCACTCGCAGTCGAGCCACCCGGCCGAGCTGGTCACGGTGGTGTCGGCGATCGCCACGGCCCAGTCGATCCTGACCCTGCAGATCATCGCCGATGTGTTTGGACTCGAGATCGGCGTCGTTCGCGAGTGTCTCAAGAGCCTCAGCCCGGTCCTCGATCCTGGCGCCAATGGACTGGGTCCCCGAGACAGCCAGTCCACCAACAACGAGGTCAAGTTCAACCACAAGTCGGTGGCGGACTATCTCCTCGGCGATGCATCGACTGGCCATCCGTGGCATGTGTCGACCTCGTTCCACACGGTGTTTGCCAATGAATGTCTCGGCGTGATTCTCTCCCACGAGCCAGTGATCAACATCTGCGACATCTACGACTTTCACGACAAGATCCCAGACCTCGAGGACAGAGTTAACAAAATCATCACACCGTCGCTGCGATACAGCGTCGCCCACTGGATCACACACTTTGTGTGGTGTGTGGAAGGAGCGGCCGAGTCGAGTCCGGTGTGGCAGTCGGCCGAGATGGTCGATGTGGCAGCGGTGCTCACTCGATTCGTCAAGGCGCATGTGTTCTTCTGGCTCGAGTGTGGGTCGCTCACACATGTGGTCAAGCCGATCATCGAGCAACTGGCTGTGCTGCGAGGAGCGATCGTCAAGGCACCCAGCACCACCGTCGACGACACCACGAAGGAACTGGTCAAGGACACGTATCGATTCATCCGCGAGTTTGCCGATCCGATCATCAAGAGTGCACCACAGGTGTACAACTCGGGGTTTGCATTCACACCGAAGGATACCGTGATCTACAAGACATATGCCGACCAGCTCGAGGACAAGATCCCGTTCCTGGTCACTTGCGGTCCAGCACCCACCTGGGATCCGTGCGAGATGACACTCGCTGGACATACCGGTGATGTAAGCGCTATACTGGTCTCGCGCGATGGCAAGTGGATCGTCTCGGGCGATCGCGACGGCGTCGTTATTATTTGGGATGCTGTTACGGGCCAGGTGGAACACACGCTCGAGGGACACGCAGATACTGTGTGGTCCGCAGCCCTCTCATCCGATGGCAAGTGGATGGCCACCGGCTCGGCGGACAAGACAATCAAAGTGTGGGACACCTCCACGGGCCAGCTGAAGCAAACCATTATGGGGCACCGGGACACGGTCTGGTTCGTCACCATCTCGCCCGACGACGAATGGATTCTGTCAGGCTCGGGCGACAAGACGATAGCCATCTGGGAGGCACCGACAGGCCATCTCAAGCACATCCTTGAGGGACACAACGACAATGTCGACTTTATCGTCTTTGCAGCCGATGGCAACTCCATCCTGTCCCACGACCGTGAAGACAAGCATTTCGTCTGGACTCGTTGTGGCACCGGGTTTGTGCGTTCCGATCAAGATCCCGATAGCTTCGAGCTTGCCCCTCGTCCGCCAGCTTCAGTCGCCTGGGCTCGAGTACGACCGCTGATCTATAACCAAGCCGGCTACCAGTATGAGGACGCATCCCAGTGGATTCGTCACGGCGTGCATGTCATCAAGGTCCCACGATCCCTCTCCGACTGGTGCTACAGCGAGTACAGCCAGTCCGGGTCGTTCATCCTGATGAGCGCCACGACCCCGTCTCGACCCGTCTGCATTTTGGTAAGGCTGCCCTCGTCGCCGCTCTCTCCCTCGCTCATTCGATTGCCTCCCTCTGACCCGCAGACCTTGCAGCCCATCTACCTGAATATTCCAGAGACACAACTGGCCGCGACCCGGTACAACGAATCGCGGGCATAGAATCGAGAAACGGAAGTCAGGCTCGAGATATGAGGAGCCGGGCCAGCAAATAATAGCGGGGTTGATGCTTTCGACTACATTTGGAGAGCGATGAATCTTGTCAAACGACGCGGCTGACTACATGCACACCAGTGGTCACGGTTACAGCGATAGTCTCTGCACTCAATTATTCTGGAGCCAGGTTGGTACTCCGGGAGCACGCTCGTTTTTGTATTACGACCTATTCGACTGAGACATCCACCTTGGATATGCTCCCTCTCGCACGTGCCGACTTGACCGATTCGCTTACAGCTGCTCTGGCACAGGAAGGGAGTGCGGCATAATCTTCGCCAACTAGTGGAAAGAAGCAAGGATACACCGGCCCGGGCAACGCAAAGCCCTCGCTTGAACGATCCAACGCTTCCACAGTGACTGGAGCCGCGTGCCAAGGTGTCCAGATCGTGTCTCGCTGCGGCCGATCTATTTCAGAAGCATGTCAAAATAACACTCTGACGGGCTCGTAGCCGAGTCCATCAAGGACATGAGTAACAGCGGCGATGATCCGCCTGCTGGATTTTGCTCGTCCGGCTCTGGATCGTTGTCTGGAGTGACGGTCTTGGCGAGCTCCAGAAGCTGCTCCAGGATCGAAGGCTCTGTCGTCGCGGCGGTCGAGGCCGGCACTGTGAGGGTTATGGGCAGAGTATCACGGTCCGTTGTCGCAGAAGCGAATGGCATGGTATCGGGCGTGCTCGACGTGGTTGCGGAGAGGTTTTTCAGCAGTAGCATGGACAGCGGAGACGAAGCTGTCGCCAGACTGGATGGCGACATGGGCTCGGCATTGGGAGCGATGTGAGACAAGTCGAATGGGAGATGATCCAGCGTGTCTTGGTAAATCGGCACACCGTCAGGAAGTGGGAGCTCTGTCGAAGGCGTTGCCGGCGAGTCTAAGAATGGGAGTGTCGTCTTGAGGAACGCCAGATCAATGGAGAGAGGTAGAGGAGGGTGAAACAGCATGTCCGCATCGCTGGGTTGAAGCTGCGGGGTCGCTTCCGAGGGTATGATTTCTGGAGCAGGGCTTGGCTTGGCCGTGGAGTCGTCTTTAGGGATGACCATGTGAGTCTTGAGATGTTTCTTGAGATTATCCTTGCGAACAAAGGTTTTGTGACAGCTCGGGCACTTGAACGACCGTTCGGAAGCATGGGTGCATTCGTGATGAGCTTTGGAGCTCTTGCTCTGGAATGAGCGGCCGCATCCCTCGAAAGTGCATACGAACGGCCGTTCGCTCGTGTGGATGATTTGGTGCTGTCGGAGCATGTAGGACTTCATGTAGCTCTTGCCACAGCCTTCGAACTTGCAGACGAACGGCTTGTCTAGCGAATGGCATCGTTTTGTGTGCTCGCGGAGATACTGTGGTCGCTTGAAGAACTTGTGGCAGCCTGGATGCTGGCATACTGCGGCGAGCGAGCGAGCGAGCGAGTGAGTGAGTGAGTGAGTGTGTGAGTGAGTGAGTGAAGGAGTGAGTGAGTGTGTGAGTGAGTGAGTGAAGGAGTTATACCCTGGATTCTCCCTGCATCAACATCATTCTTACATAGCCATGGCAATTCGTCAAGCTTCCACTTGGCCTGCAGTGTTTTCAAGAGACTCGTCGGGAACGAGTCCACTATCAGCTCGAGGATCTTGCGCTTGAGGGCTTCGTTTATGGGAAGGTCCTCGAGGCTGATGAACCACTCGGTTAGTCGATACAATAGCCGCTCGCCATAGGTCAGCTCATCCAATACGACATGTTTCTGCTGCGATTGTGTCACTTGGGCACTGTTGGTCGATACTTGTGCTGCTGTCGCTGCACTGGCTGAGGATGCTGGGTTTCGAGCTATGGCAGGTTCCGATGCGAGCGCCATTAGGAGCTCGGCATTCATGTCGGCCAATTCGGCATTGGAGCTCGATGGGCACACGTTGGGATCGGTTACAGGTACTGCCGATGATCCTGATGACTTGGATGTCTTTGGCGAGGCCGCTTGAAGGGTGTCGTCGGATGCGCGGATCCTCTCGTGGCTCATTCGCTCCATGAGAGCGCTGCAGATCCTATGCTCGAGCGCTCGACTTAGGCTCTGATCGACCGCGTAGTTGCGTCTGAGGAGATCGTCCTTGGTCTTGAACATGAGCGACTCGATGTGCTTGACGGTGTCTTCAAGAATAGCCGAAACGATGCCCGAGAGCTGGATATGATGGACCTGCTTCTGCTTGAGCTTGGCTATCCGGGGGTACTGGATTGGAGGAGCGGCGGCCGCGGCTTCGCTCGGCTGCGGCAGCGACTCGAGGCGCGGCAGCGGCACGACGGGATAGGAGTCGTGGAGGTTGGTCGAGTTTAGATCGACGGATACGAATGGGTACGGGGGGATGAGCGGCGGTGCATGCAGGATCGCGGGCGAGTGTGCCTGAGAAAGACCTGATGGAAGACGGTGGTGCATATGTTAGCAACCGCAGCGTTTTGCGACAGTCGCTGGCCGCATACATGGTAGCGAGCGAATCGCAAAGTAACACCGTGGGAAGGAGCCGATCGACTGTTGTTGAAGGCGCGTGGCCGGCAGCCGCATGAACGATGGCCCTCCATGGAGTACTGCAGGCCGAGTACTGCAGGCCGAGTGGCATCGAGCAGAGCGGCCAGGCCATCGGCGTTGGCTTGCATATCCATTGTCCTCGCGCCATGCCACACTCCAGCTACGAGCGCGATACTTGAGCATTGGCGTCAGGTGCATTACCTTCCTGTGGTCGCCCACCGGATATCGACCGTTTACGCTTGAGTCCCAACGCGTTCTCCATGTGCAAAGGATCGATGGCGGACGGCATCGCGCCCATACTGGCGAGAACGGCCTCATGCATCCAGGGCATGTAGATCGAGTTGAAGTTGTCATTCATCGCGGCGCGAGCAGCCGGCAGAGCAGGGCGAGGAAGTGGGACGACCTCGTGGTCTGGGTAGACGGGTGGTAGTCAAACAAAAGATGGCCGAAGGGCGAATGGCGGAAAACGTGAACCAAAGGGCGGGCTCACGACGGGGAGGATTTCGACCGGCAAGGCGAGCGAATGGCAGAATCCGCGAGCAGACCGACGGGGGGGGAGGAGAGCCAGGAGAATGCTGACTACAACGCTCGTGTGCAGATGAATTCCACAGGCATTCGCTCGGCGACCGGTGGGCTCTGCGGCTGATGGGCAAGTGCACCACGGCCAGGGCAAGAGCACTTTTGAGCACGGATGCCGCCTTGGCGAAGGAACCTTGGCGCGCGCCCAAGAGCAAGTCCAGAGGCCTCAATGCGAGTGTCAAAATGGCCGAGTAGGCCCATCGTCTTTGCGGGTTTGTGACTCGAGACTCGGCAGACGATTGGGCACGGGCGCTCATCCACTCGGCGATCAAATCGCCGATTCGCCTGTTGCTCGATCGATCGGAGGAGATGGCGGGGGAGGGAGGCATGGCGACCACGGCGGCCGCGGATTGGCCGACGAGGGCGGTTTTCTGCCCAGTAGCGCCGGCGGTTGCGGTCGCCGAGGTCGGATACGGTCGGGCTGGATCGACTCCGGCGCGATCATGCCATGTCTCGAACATGGACCTGCCTGTTCCATTGTCCCCGAGGGCGGAGCGCGGCGGGACTGGAAGCATGTGGGGGGGGGGAAGATTCGATGGGGATCGGCGCCGGTGCGGGCACAGACTCGATGGGGAGTCGATACGAAGTTGACACTGATTCCATGGTGATATCATGGCGATGTCATGGTGGTGATATATCATATTCGTATCATATTCGCATCATATTCGCATCGTATTCGCATCGACATCGACAGGGACTCGGCGTGGGTCGTCCACCCCGCAAGCAGGCCATACAGAACAAGCACACAAACAAACAAACAAACAAACGAGCAAGGCCACCGCCACCACCGCCCGGCCACAGGCCCGGACAACTGCATTGCAGCGACAGTGCCGATCGAGTGGCGGCTGCATTTTAACAACATCCACCCGGGTGATCGACATCGACTAACACATAGACTATCACATCAACTAACACATCCACTATCACATCAACTATCACATCCACTATCACATCCACTAACACATCCACTAACACTCCACTATCACATCGACCATCACATCCACCACCCCGCGCAACACCGAACACCAAAACACCCGAGCAAGGCGCTCAGTCGCCCGTCCCACCGCCCTCTGTCCCCCTCTCGCCGCCGACCGCCGGCCATGTCCGGCTTTCCCGTCGTCTTCGTTCCTCTTGGTCTTTTCCCTTCGTCTGGCCGCGGCTCGGCCTGCTCTTGTCCTTGGGCCCTCTGCCTGCTGACCCCTTTGCTCCCGGTCTCTCGTCTGCACCCCGGCTTCTGCCCTTGGCCTCGCCTTATGTGCAAATGCTGAAGGATCGGCTCTCCTGGGTCGTCTTCCCTCTGCTCGCCCGGCTTGGCTTGCTGGCCATGGCCCAGCCCGCCCCCCAGCCTTCGCCCTCAAGCATCCCTCGCTCCGACGGCTGTTTCTCCCTCGCCTCCAGTGCCGTGTGCTCACAGTGGGCTGCCTATGACGTCAGCCAGGCCGATGCCTCCAGGATGGTCCAGTCCTTCGGGCCCAACGACACCGTCGTCGTGACCAGCACAGGCGTCCTGGACCAGGCCTTCCAGCAAATCGCCCAGTATCCAAGCGCCTACGACACCGATCTACTCTGCCTCCCGGTAAGCTTCTGCAACTCACGGCTGGCAGGGCAACAGACACAACCGCGTGGTTGTGCTGTTGGCCGGGGAGCACCCACCTCCCTTTCGACTTTGGGCCTGCTCTCCTGCCACAGCCGATCGGCAATCCACATCCACCGCCCCGGTTGCGCTTGCAGCTTTCGTGCTGGACCAACCGGCCTCCCAAGGTTGATCACTGTCTCCCAGCGCTAATCACTGTCTCCCAGTGCCGATCTCCATCTCGCGATCCATGTCGCCGATGAATCCGCTGGCCAGCTATCCTGCTAACAGCTTGCTCCACTTGCTTCCAGAACTCGACCTGGAGATACTCGGCCAGCAGCCTCTGCAGCATCCTCGTTGGCATCTCCCAATGCAACCAACAGTCCAATGCCCCTCCTCGCGCCACCCTCTGTCAGTCGACCTTCAATTCGTTCTGGTCGTCCTTCAACACCTCTTGTCCGTACTACTCCAGCGTTGGGGACTGGATCCAAAATTCCTACTACGCGACTGCCTCTCAGTATGTCAGTTCGTCAAACAGCACCTGCATCCGCGGCACCGATCAAGACGTAAAGCTCTGCGGTACGTGTATGCGCATGCACTGGGTCCGAGGTCCCATGGTGCCATGGTGGGCCCATGCTCGACGGTCCATCCGACATGACTGCCACCTGTCGTCTGCAGCGCCACAGGCTGCGGTACTTGCTGCCATCCCAAAAACCTTCCTATGGTCGGTTGCTAACCCTCCATGGCTACAGGCTTCCCGACGCATGATCTCTTTGCAGCCTTTTGTGCACGCAGCCCATCCGAGTCCTGTTGTCTGGCAGCAGCTTCCCCCACTGTCTCGCCTTCGTCGCTGCCTGTCGTCTCCAGCCCCGTTGAGCCACAGGCTCCCCCGCCTCAACCTCAGTACCTGATCCCGCTTGCGGTCGTCGGTGCCCTCTTCGTTGTCGTCTGCGCCGTCGTTATCTTTGTCAGTCGAGCCAGGATCAAGCGCCGCAAGGCCCGCGAAGTCTTTGGTCTCGGAGAGCTCGCTTCCCAGAACTTTTCCGAAGGCGATTCCAACGTGCCCATCTACGCCAATCCCGAGCAGCGATCGGGCCTGTCATCCCTGTCGACGCTGGAACCGGACGAATATCGGGTGCCTGTTGCCGCTGCCGCTCCTGCTGCCATTCAGATTGCCGTCTCAGCCGCAGCCCCTCCTCCTCTAGCTCAGGGCTCCTCTGCGCAGGGTCTCCACCAGGCGCATGCTCCCGAAAACGCTGGCCCTTCTCGGTCCTTTGATGAGCCCGCGGATCCATCCCGCGAGCACAAACCCAAGCGCGGCGGGACCGAGCCTTTCAAGAGCCCGCAAGCCGGCCACATCACCTCGCTTACCCGCACACTCTCGGACCGCAGCAGCTTCCCACCCACACTCCATCAAGAAGACCACGGCCAGATGGAGCGGCGCAAGAGCATGCAAACCTCGCAGAACTTGCGCGATGTCAACGAGGACGGGAGCCTCAACGAGCTTGACGCCATGCTGATCGGCGAGTGCTTCCGGACCCGTCTCAAGCAGGGCGTCCACTCGTCTCTGCCTGAGCCGTCCAACTACAGCGCAAATATCAAACTCCAGCGCGAGCGCACTGGAGCAGCCGCAGGCATCCATCCGACTTCTCCACCAAATGGCGACGACCAAGCCAAGTAGGAGGCGGCCCAAGCACCACCTCCGGTCTCTACGAGCACCACATGGTCGTCTTGCCCCCTCACTTTGTCCACTCTCTATCCCCCATATTTTTATTTTCCTTCTCCCGCCTTATCTTCACACTTGTTAGGTAGTAGCACCCACTGTCAGTGCAACTCCTGTCGGGTCGGTTCCAGAGCCGTCCTGAGCTATACTTTCATCCTCCCCCCCCCATTGCATGGCCACATATGCATCATCGGCGATCATTGCCTTTCATTTGCGTCGACCGAACCTCGCGGAATCATGTTTGCTTGACCCTTTCCCTCCCCTTTCGTCCATCTGTTCCGTGCCAGTATTTCCTCTCCTCTCACCCTTGACGCTGCTCCGACTTCTCCATTCATCGGCGCACAGCCGGTCTGGGCTGCTTGTCGGCTTCCAAACTCGCTGTTGTGCCAGGCATTCCTTTCCCTTCCTTCCCCTTCCTTTCCTTCCTCTCCCTTCCCTTCCTTCCCTCGGGCTGGACACCCGTCTAGATTCGCACCGTTATTATCTTTGGGCGTTCTCACGACTCTGTTCCCAGACACCAAAGGGTCTCGCTGAATATCGCCCTTTCCGCCCGTCACGCCGACCGGATCTTGTGTGTCCGTTTGGTCGATCGCTTGAACGGAATAGCAATCGCTCCCTCGCCACTGGCTCCTTCGCAGTCCTTGAACCGGCTTATGAAACATGGGAGACTGTGCGATTGTGTATTAAGGCTATGTACATGTGTGACTTGACCCAAACGGCGGGGCTTGTGTGGCAACCTGGGACGTTGCTTGTTTCTCGTTCCATCAGCGTTCACATTGGCTGCGTCTGCACCGTCAGTTTTGGCTTTGGTCCCAACGGCGTTGACTGTGCTGAGGCTGTCGTGGCAGATGAGGATGCCTTGGAACTCGCTGCACGCCCTTGCAAACTGTCGCCGATGCCGTTGATCTCGATTCTGGGTGGATCGCTGCGGCCCCGTTGCTGGCCGCCGCCCTGGACTTCGCCGCGCTGGGTCGAGGGAGACAAAGGTCGCCCCGTCGGTCGTCTGGGAACAGCTGGCGTCGGCGAGTTGGCTGGCCGCAAGCGCATCGCGGATCCGCTGGCAAGCTGGGCCTCGTCTGGGGCAGCGCCCTGGTTCCAGCTGTGTATCGGACTGGTTCGCTGGGGCGAGGTTGGGCTGCTCAGCACCCGCTGGTGCGGCGGGCTGATCTGTCGCTGGAGCGGCTGCAGATTGACCAGCAGGTCGCGCCGCCGCGGGCTGGTTGCAGAAGCCGTCGTAACAACATATGCCTCTGCCTGGGCCTTGATCAGATGCGCTCGTGTCTCCTCGAGATCTTTGCGCAGCGAGTTGATATCAATGTCCATCTTGACAGACGATAGATCGATCCTGCGCTGGTTGATGGACTGTTGCCAGATGAGGAGCAGTCCAAGGGCGGAGGAGTACGATGCAGGGAGTCCGAGAGCATTCAAGACAGCGAGAAGGTAAGCCGGTCGTCCAAGACGAAGGCAGCGTCTCGGGAAACAGCAGCACACACGGGACAGTATACCGCACAGATCTCGGCCACCGCGTCGATCTCAAAAATGGACTGTGCTTACATCCAATCGGGCCACCGCTTGGGCAATCAGCTCATCTCGCTTCGAGACCGTTCTTCCGAGACGCTCGCACTCGGCTTGCAGTGCTTGGATCTGCATGCGTATCCAGCATATCGGCAGGCCGATGAGCTTGTATCCTGGCCGCAGCATCAAAACCGCCGACTCGCAGATGGCAGGACGCTGCCAGGACAAATCATGACTGCGGCGATCCGCCCGCACACACACGCACGCACCTGCAACTGCAAATCACGCAGGCGATATTCGGCATCTTCGGCGGCCTTTGTTTTCTCCTGCAAGTCTTGGCGCAAGCTCTCGTTCATCTGGTGCAGCTTCTTGAGATCATCCTTGTTGAGCACGCCGCCGCCCGTCTGGAACACAATGTGGGCCAGAAGTGGTCCGTCAATAGCTGTTTGCGCTGATGACCCGGTGAATCTGACTGATGGACTGGGCAGTGACTTGCTGGCGAACGAGTCGAACATCACCAGATCCGCACCTGCGGGACATACCTGCTGCTGTGCCGCCGTCTTCTTGTGCTCTTCAAGATACCGACACCGCCGCTGAGTAATGTCCAGCTCCCGCTCGAGCCCGCGACACTTTTCCTCAAACTCACGGATCTTGGTTTCGGCAGCGACTCTCTCGATCTCGAGGATCTCGAGGGTCTCGCGTACTTTTTGCTCCAGTTCGCGGATTCGCGCCTCAAGCAGGCCGTCGTCCGAATGGCCGCGGTTGCGAGCACTGTCGAGCCGCTGCTCTGTGTTCTTGAGCTGCTCCTCCAGCAGTTTCTTGGTGCTGCGGAGGTTGGTCGCGGCCTGCTCGGCAATCTCGATTTGTTTCTCGAGATGCGCCACGCGTCCCTGGTCCAACATCGTACATGTGTCAATCAGGTTTGCTCCATTATCGACCTCCAATCCCAGGCATTGGACAGAGCACGTGCGAGTCTGCACACCGAGAGCCACTCGCACTGAGCGCCAGCTGTGCGGTGAAGTTGCGTCCGCCTTACCTGTTCTCTTTGAGAGTTGGCCTGGAGCTGCTTGATTTCCTTCTCCAGCGACTCGATTGTTTTCTATTCGACAACACACATGCAGATCAGCACACGGTTGGTCTACTTCGAGACCGCAGGGTCGCCATCGATGCCGCTGGAAAGTTGATGGCGCAGGATGCTTACCAAATGCGTGTCTTGCTGCGAGATCAGTCGCCCGTTGCGCTCGAGAGCCTCGCGATAGTTGAGGGTGGCGATGTCGATCTGGACTTCCAAGCGCTTGATCTGGTCGTTTCGGCTAGCGAGATTCTCTTCCCACAGCCTGAGTTGCGGACGAAGAGGACATTGATGAGACGGGATATCCAGCACACAATACACAGCGCACAGCGCACAGCGCACAGCGCACAGCGCACAGCGCACAGCGCACAGCGCACAGCGCACAGCACACAGCCCGTGACCGATCGCTGGAAACATACTTGACTTCCTTCTGCACTTTCTCCGCAAAGGCAGCAATCTTTTCCTCGTACGATGCGCGGATCTTTTGCAACTGCCTCAGTTTCTTGATGAGCTGATCCTGGAAGACCGCGAACCGAATCGTGACCTGCCGATTCGCCAGGACAGATCGTTTAGCTTCTGGCTGGATTGACACGATATTGCTGTATCTCCAGCCACACAGGAGCTATCTGGGGAGAGCGGCGTCGCGCCATCGTGAGCCCTTCTGCTCGCTGCTCACCTCCTTGGCTTCGTTGCCGTCGTTGTCGTCACCGGGCGGACCATCGCCGTTGACTCGCTCTGAGTCGGCCGCGTTCTTGTTCAGATGCTTGGCTTTCTTGCCGTAGAGGGCCCAGTCCAGCTGCTGAGACACAATCTTGAGGAGTCGATTGCGGTCCTTGAGCTGGAGCTGCTGCCGCTGGTCGATCTCGGTGGCCTCCTTGTTGTTTCTCTTGGTTGCCTCGCGCATGTCCTCGATGACACTCTCGAGCTCCTCGATGCTGGCTTTCTTGGCAGCGATCTCCTGCAGTAGCGAGTGGATGCGCTGGTCCAGTTTGGCCCGGGTGATTTCAAGGCTATTGATTTGGTCGACCAGCTTGCGGCTCTGCTTGGCCTGCAAAGAACAAACCCACGGTGGTGGTCAGCGCTCATCTGGAGCAACAACGCAGCGACAAGAGATCTTTCGTTGGCCCCACCTGCTTGTCCAAGTTTGATGTCAGCTCGTCTATCGTGGCCAAGTGGCCCTTGGTGGTCTCGCGCTCTCGCAGCAGCTCCAGTCGCAGGCTTTCGTTGTCTTCGCGCGAGCGGCTGAGGTCCTTCTTGATCACGTTGATGACCGAGGTGTGGCTGCTCTGCAGCTCCGTCAGCTTGCGAGCCTCGAGTTCGGTGTGCTCCTCGAGCTGCCGGATCAAGTTGGTCTTTTGCCGCACGGTCGCATTCAGGGCACTGACTTCGGACAGATGGCCCTCGATAGTCTGTGAGGGCGGTGGCGACGATGGAGATGGAGGGAAAAGCATTGGCGCTGGTGAGAATCCATGTGAATCGCGCGACTACAGCAGGTGATAGAGCCGCATGTGCAAATCGGCAGTCGATGCCGATGCCGTGCAATCAAGCCATCGTATCCCAAACAGCAGTGGACACCGAGCCCAGAGCCAGCGCAGGTGGCTCGCCCACCCACCTGTTCCAGTTCGGACTGGCTTTCGCGCCGTTTGCGCTCTTCCTCCTTGTACTTGGCCCGCCACTGGTCGCGCTCCTTCTGAGAGGTTGCGAGCAGCTCCTCTTTCGAGGCTAGCTCCATCTGGTACTTGCGCTCGACAGTCTCGGCGTACTCCTGGAAGCGGTGGTCCTTGCCGCGAATGGCATCGAGCTCCTCGCTCTTCTTGACAAGCATCTCCTTCCACTGTGACTCTTGCTCCTTTAGCTCTCGGATCTGCTTCTGCTGGATCTGAATGTCGCTCTGGAGGGTCGTTATGGTCACTTGCAGCTTGGAGATGTGCGCGGAATCGTCCAGGGCTTTCTGTTGGTAGTGCACGATCTGGCCGCGCATGTCGGTGAGCTTGGCCTCGAGATCTCCGACAAGCATTTGATTGGCCTTGACACTCTTCTCGGCATGCGACGAGCTCTCGTCCAGTCGCATAGTAAGCTCCGAGATGTGGCTCGTCTTGACTCTGTTCTCGGATTCTAGGGCAGTGACCTGTGTCGTCAGCTGTCGGGGAGAGGCGCACGTTAGGAACCGAACCAGACGGTAAAGTTGCCAGCCATTCGACTCCAAGAGTGCAGGTGGCTTGAGACCGATCCTCAATGGCGCTAAGGAGGGTCGGTGCGGAAATGTCAATCTACCTGAACGACTTTCTGGGACAGACTCTGGACCTGCCCGTGGTACTCCCGCTCAGCACTTTCCATGGACGATTTGTTGGTGTCCTTCTCCTTTGCAAGCTGGCTTTTGAGCTGGCCGATTTCCTTGGTAAGGCTCTCTGCTTCGGCCTTGGCTTGCACGAGTTGCTTGAGATTCCAGTGAGCAGCCACACAGGCGGGATGGGAAACCGTCAATGCGGCTGTATCGGCGAGCAGCAACGACAGGCTCCAGCACACGCCACCCAAGCCGCTGCTGGCCCTTCAGCGACACTGCGGTGCCACTGGCCCATCCCACAGGAGCAAGACTGGCGGCGCTGGCTTACCATTTGAAGGCTCGAAATGGTGTTCAGCGCCTTGGAGTTCTCTCGGCTCCAGCTCTCGTTGGCTTGCTGAAGCAGCTTCTGTGCTTCTTCTCGCTGGGCGTCCATCTCTTTCAGCAGACGATCTGCCTCAGAGCGCTTCTCGGCCGAGAATCGCTGGGTGAGCTCCAGGATCTCTTTGTGGTTCTCCTAGGTTGTCCGACCCGGGGGCGGTTCACGAGGCGGTCGAGTGTGTCGGCAAGCCAGAGGAGTTCAGGCGTTATTCGACCATCGGAGTTTATGCCATCAACTTGCCAAGCATAGACCAGCACAACACATGCCGGCGCCAAGAAACGCTCGCCGCCGAAGGCAGCATTTTGATACGTGGTCGTCCAGAGTGCACCGAGAGCGCAACGTGTCACCTTACATTCAATTCGCCACGGGAGGCGCGGCTCTGCGCCAGAGCATCCTCCAGTGCCTGTCGTTGCTGCTGCAGCTGTCGCTCCAAGGTTTTGATGGCCTGGTCCTTGGTTCCGATCTGTTGCTGAAGCTGCTGGTCGATCAGCACACGCTCTTGGTAGGCATTCTGCTGCACTCGAAGCTGCTGCTCAAGCTCCATGATCTGGTTCTTGTATCCGTCCAATTCGGCGAGGAGCCGTTGCAGGCTGGCTGATTCAAACTGCCTCGTGGGAGAGTCCTGATATTGTCATCATCGATCCATGACGTTCGCCAAGCGACCGGCAGTCCATCAAGACCACACAACAGTGTGAAAACAGAATCAGTGACTTGTAAAGACAGCCGGCATCCAACAAGCGTGCGGGTGCTCGATCTTGCATCTCCGGAAGAGGCGGCCTGCAAGCTTCGCAATCACGTCGCCTTACCCTCGCTGAGCGCTCGGACGGATGCGGGCTTGCCGATGATCTGCGTATCGACTGGATGGCCGATTGGAGCCGCTCGATTTCGGCCGTCTGGGCGGACACCCTGGCGCGCTCCTGCGTCAGATTGAACCGGGTCTCGCGAAGCTCACTTTCCAGCAAGACGTTTTTCTGGCGTTCAAACCAGCCATGGATCCATGCGAGTCATCAATTGAATTGGCAAGTTAGCTGCCTGTATCGACATGATGCTCCATCAACCAAGCATCATAGTTCCTCGCGGCTGGCCAAAGGTCCCCTTACCTTGATAATCTCGTCCACATGTGTCTCAGTTGGGGTCGCTTCGGTCGATGCACGCGACGCCGGTCGGCGGGACACGGAGAGCCTCTCCTTGCGCATGTTGCTGTAAAGCTCCTGGATGATGTTTTCTTTCTCGCTCAGCGCTTGGTGGAGCTCGCGGTTTTCCTCCTGCAGTTTCTGTGACGACGCAGGTATGGATAGGGTCTGTTGTTTTTGCAGCTCGCGCTTCAAGACGGACAGTTGCTGGTGGATGATAGATGGGGGACATATCAGCAAATAGTCTCCGGATGCCTCTAGACCCGCAGCAATGCCAAGTGCGAAGGACAGCGGCAGACGTCCATTCTCAGACGACCATGGGATGGTGTCGCACGATCAGTCGAGAACAGAGCAGCATGGGTGCTGATCACGTACATCATGCAGCATCTGGTTGACGCGGTTGTGCTCCAGAGCAACCTTATGTCGATAGTTGTCCATGTCGGTTTCGTACTTTTCCTGGTACTCCCGCTCCAATTCGGCACGTGCGGTGGAATAGAGGGACGCTTGGGTCGATTCAGACGTATGGTGATCGAGCTGCCGTGTCAGATCGCTGATCTTGTCGTTACAGCCCCGCAGCTCCTCGTTCTTGAGGGTCACCAGCTTCTTCTGCTCCTTGAGCTCGTCCAGGACTTGATCATAGAGCTTTGCGATTGCATCAGAGTGTTGGTCCTTATCTGCGAGCTGGTCTCGAAGCGCAGTAATAGCTCTCTGCATCGAGACAGTCTCATCCGAGCTGGCTTCCCGCAGAACAGCGAGATCCTCGGCCAGTTTGGAAACGTCGCGTTTGGAGGCATCGAGCGCAGTGTCCTTGGCAACAAGCTCGTCCCGGAGCCGGCTGAGCTCGAGTTGAAGGGCACTGTTTTCGGCATAGGCCGCATCGAGCCGCCGGTTGTGATCGGCCCGCACCGAATCCATTTCCTTGCGGCTGCTTTCTTGCGATCCTCGCAGGGCCTTCAAATCGGCAGTGAGGGACTCGAGCTGCTGCCGCAGCCGCGTGGTCTCTGACAGCTGCATCTGCAGCTCGGCTTGGTAATGCGCAGCTGTATCCTGCAGTCCCTCCATGTTCTGTCGGCTTTCGCGGAGATTGGATTCCAGCTCCTCGATGACGGCAAGATAGTCGTATTTCTGTAGATTGTCCGTGTGTTACTTGGTGATCTTGACACGGCGCACACATGAATCTGGCGTATCCAGAACACCAACAGCAACAGCAGCAACACCACCAAAAACAAGCCTGGCGACCTACCTCCTGGGTGAGCTGCTCTCGCCATTCAGGAGAAGACTTGCGCAGTTCCTCCGTCAGATAGTATATCCGCAGCTTGAGGTCAAAGTTCTCCTTCTTGAGGCCGTTGACCATCTTTGCACAGAAGGGAGGGGAGGAGCGACATGAGTATCGTCGTGGTAGCGGCCAAGCGAATATTCGAATACGACCGATTGGCGAGCCAGCTTGCAGCCGAGAGCCGAGAGGGCTTCATTCGTGGATGAAGCACATGCGATGCGGCGGCCAAAAGTTCCCTCCGCCTCTCCTTCTCCCAGCCCAGCCCAGTCCAGCCCAGCACACAACCTACCTCTTCGCGCTGCTTCAGCCCAAGCTTTGCAAATTCGGGATAAGCATTGCCCGCAGCACCCGCTGCCTCGCTCCGGCGGGTAGCGGGTGTGCCCCGGGCCTCCGACGGCCGCGGGGTCAGCTCGATCAAATGAGGCGGGCCGGCGAGACTCGCCCGGGCAACCGACGCAGGGGCGGGCGTCGAGGACGCTGGCACGATCGGCTCGTCGTAGGTTTCCTGGAGCAGGCCTGTCTGGAACCGGTTCGCGGCCGGGGTTTTTGGCAGTCGAGAGGACTGCAGAGGCGAGATCGATACCGATGAAACGAGGGACGACAGGCCCTCGGTTCGGCTTCCTGCTGAGCCAGGCCGGTTGAAGGAAAGAGGAGACAGCCCCGATCGGCCTGGACTTGAGGGGACCTTGCTGGTCAAGCGCTTCAAAAAGTCGCTGGCGCTGGTCGTCTCGTGCTCGTCATCGTCGTCGCCGTCATCATGGTCGCCGCTGCCGTCCAGATAGCTCAGATGGTGTGACTGATCTAGGTTGGGAGAGGAGCCGTTCATGGGCTGGCCCTTGAACTTGAGTCGCTGGCGCTGTTGAAATGACTGCGTCGGCGAGGCCGGAGCTTGTCGGGGCCGGGCAGAGTCCGACAACGAGTGGGCCGAGGAGAGCTGGGCCGCCGGAGAGATGCCGTTTGTGGTCGAGCGCAAGCCGCTCATCTCTGCGGATATATCTTGGATGGAGATAACCGTGGGCTCTTCAAAAGGCGAGAGCGAACGGGACGACAACGAGGTGTCGTTGCCGTTGACGGCGGCGGGCTGCAGCAGCTGGCCCGAAGGGACCGGCCGTTGGTCGGGCCAGTGCAGCGAGCTGCGATCGGGTCGAGGCGAGTCGGCCAGATCCGACATCTCAGCCAGCGATGGCTCCTGGTCGATCCACGGCACGTTCCCGGAGGACGACGGTGGGTAGAGCTCCGTGCTTGCTTGGATTCGGCTCGGATCGGCGACGGGGCTGGAGCCGGACCGGCCGCTCAGGCTTGGAATATCATAGGAGCCGAGGCTTGAGTTGGGATCGGTGGGCTCCAGGTAGGAGTCCGGGGCGTGTTCGCTCTGGAACGAAGTGGATGTGTCTGCCATCGTCGCAGCAGCGAGGACGGTGTTCCGGATCGCTGGGAGGGCTGGGCAGTTGGAGGGGTTGGAAGCGAAAGAGCACACCGGCAACAGCGGCGCCGTGTCCGCCATTTTTCGCATGCAGAGACATGGTGACACGGAACTGGTTGCTGCTCTGTCCATCGCCGCCGTGGTTGCTGATGCAGACATGGCCGTAGCCGCTGTGATTGCTCCAACGATTACGACGAGGACATGGATGGGCTGGAGAAGGCACTGCCGACGGGGTGGTCGAAGCATGCATGTCGAGCCAAGGACACATCGAGCCAAGGACACGCCGATGCCAGCCCAATCGCACCACACACATTCGACGGCGCCGGCCGCTCTGTCTCTCCCCGAAACAGAGGGAGGAGTCAGTGGAACAATACGATATATACAGGACGTGTGTGACAACGTAGTACTTTGTTATTGGAGGAGGGAGGGTAGAGGTATAATTAATGCATCAGATCTAGAATGAAGGATTGGGGATTGGCAGCGCACGGCGTCTGGGAGAAGGTTGGCGAGGGGAACAGGGAAAGTAGATATGAGGAGCGGAATCAACCGCCGGGGATAGACCGCGCTAACTGCCCAGGGAAACGGTCCCACTGCTGTAGCGGGCGCGATACCGCCGAGCCAGTACGGTGTCGGAAAAGGCAACCGGGTCGTCCCGTGGATATGGGTGAAAGCGTCGGAGGGGCGACTTTCGTCGGAACACGACAAACAGCTGGCGCATTTGCCAGCGAAGGTCCGACACCCTAGAGTAGTCGACGATCTGGAGCGAGCATGTGGACCGATTGAAGTGGGTAAAGTGAGTAAAGTGGCTGGCTTGACTGGCGTGGCTGACCCGGCCCATCGACGGCGGCTGGGAGTGGTAGCTGTGGGCGATCGAGTCGGAGGCGTCGCTGCGGTTTGCCGGGCGAATGGCTATCATGGGCACAGCCTCGGGATATCCGATCTGAATGATGGGCTCGGTCATGGTTGGGTACGTCATTGACGGGAAGTTCATGGTCGAAGGCGAGGCATTGTTGGTCGTGGCCGAGATCTGTCCGTCCAGAAGCGACTGGTTGACGGAAGAAGCCAGCGCGGCCGGATTGCCAAAGATCTGGGTGACAGCCCTCGACATCATCTCCTGGGCCTCGTGGGCGGCTCTTTCTAGCTTGTATCGCTTGACGCGCTTCATCAGAAGCGAATATCCCAGAAACGCAACGAGGGCCTCGATCGACAAACCGATGATGGCGACTTGTCCAGAGAGGCCAACGGTGCGGCTAAAGCTCTCGAGGGCCCCGTGAGTATTGATGTCCGCGATAATGGCCACAAAGGTAACGAGCGACACCACGATCGAAACGACCAGGAGAGCAATCACGACGCTGATTGCTAGCTTGGACGAGAGAACAGGTTTGGTTCGGTTGCCGATCCGGTTGTTGAGGGTGATGAACAGAAGGATGACGGCGAGCAGAAAGATGGTGCGGTTGGTGATCAAGACGATGCCGCAGCCGTACAGGAACGTTATGGTTGTTGCCAGGGTGCGGGAATTGCCCGGAATGCAGCTCAGGCCAGACTGGAAGCTTATTTGGGGAAAGTCGAGGTCCAGCGAGGCGTATTTGGGCACGGCGATGGTGGAGTTGAAGCTGGGGACCGATGCATTGCAAATCTGCCAGAGTCCGAGGGTGAACCTGAAGGAGGGGGTGGGCAAGGCGGTGCCGTTTGCACTCATATCTTCATCCGGTGTAGAGTATGTGATGACTACCCACTGCGATTGAGGCAGATACATCGGGAACAAACAGCGAGTTATAAAGCCGGCACAGTCACAATCTTACGGATCCGCTGGCATCTACACCGCGTCGACGCCGTGGGCAGCCCGAAACAACGCACCAAGTGTGTTCGAAGCCAACCGAAGCCAACCGAAGCCAACCGAAGCCAACCGAAGCCACAGACACAGCTGAGCCCAGAACGAGAGAGCGAGTGGTGGGAAGGCAGCGGACTCGCTGCCAATCGGACACGCATGGGTACCCATCGCCAGGCAAAGCAGATGCAGTGGGAGTGGGATATCCACTGGCCAGCAGACCGAGAGGTGTGGCCAGGAAGGGCGGTGGAGGGGGGTGACGTTGCTCTATTTCGACCGAGCCGCAAAACCAAGAAAGCAGACCTACCTCTGGGTACACAATCGAGGCAATAGCAAGACCAGAGCTGAGTAGAGGAATGGTCAGACTCAGGATCTGCGTGAGCAGTGTGGGCGGTGTAAATCGCCAGTCGAGGCCGTGGTCGTCTGGGCCCGACTCGACGGGCGATCCCTGTTGGGGATCGACAGGCAAGGGCTCTGGGGGCTCATGGGTAGAGATTGGGACGGCGTCGAAGATGGTCTCATCGGATACAGAGCGACACTGAGGGTCAGTCTGGCTCTGGCTCATGGAGAAGGATGGGGAGGAGGATGGATGCTGCTGGCTGGCGTTACGGCTCTGTTGGTCGGGGGAGGTTCTTGGCGCTCAGCGGAAAGGAGGATGCATGTAGGCAGGTCCTGTGGACAGCTGGAGAGATGACGGAAGAGGGAGACGGACAGGGCAGCGACGGTAGATGAGGGACAGGTCGAGGGCAGGCCGAGGAGATCGAGGACGACGGGGGGTCGGTGGCCTGGAGGGTGGAGGCGAGTGAGCAAGCACCAGCCCGGTGGGTACGGGTTCGGATGACAGAAGGAGAGGATCCGGATGAGCTCGCGGGCTCTGTGGACAATGCAAATGTGGACAACTGGACGGCTGGGACAGTGCTGACAAACGAGGGCACAACAAAGCAGACAGGGCCAGGGCCAAGGGGAAGCCACGGTGAGAGGGTTGGCAGTCAGGCCAGCCGAACAATGTCGATGGAGGTGAGGGAGAGAAAGACAGAGGTTGTCTGAAGGCGACAATGGCGGGGCGGCAGGGCAAGAGCATCGGCAGGAATGGATAGACCCGGGGAAGATGCAGGACTCGGCAAGAACTCGAGAAGCAGTGCATGGGCAATGACAAAGCAGCAAAATCAGCAACAACAGAGTAGAAACAGAGACAGAGACGGCAAAGACGAAAGTGCAAACCTTAGCGGGTCGACAAAGGACTGCCTGGGACGGCAAGGCGACGGCCACAGAGCAGCAGTGCGGAATGGGAGCGACGGCAGATCCGGGCTCGCTTTCCTGGAGATTGCTGTTGTGAAGTAACTCGCTGTCCTGGATATTGCTGTCTTGGACAAGATTGCTGTCTTGGAGCAACTCGCCGTCCTGGGGCTATAGATTGGCCCTTGCCGAGCAACAACACCCGCCGCAAGCACCTGCACGGCCGCGATACCTGCCTCGGGCGTGGCTGGCCCAAGGGTATCTGAATGAATCGCAGCTCGCCGATGCAACTCCCACGCTCTGCAACGACCGGTCTGGCGATCAGGGAGGGGGCCTTTGTGCCGGCTTGCGACAATGCATGGCGCATTGTCCATCCACCAGCCCGGTCCTGTGGCCACAGCGCACGCTGTTTGTGTGAACAGACAAGCTGTCGGGGCGGGGCGTGCGCCGTGGGACAGACGCGCGCGGCTCACCAGCCCAGTGGTCCCTCAGCGCCGCGCACCATCCATGACCTCGAACAGGACCGGGGCTCTGGGCGATCGTGCGTGGCGAGAGCCTGCTATCGTCAAGCCCAGATCAAGCCCAGATCAAGCCCAGATCAAGCCCGGCCTCAGATGCAGTCACATTGCCGGAGCGATAGAGCGATGGGTGATGAAGCACCGGGCGGCAGTCCAACCACTACAACACAACCACTACAGCCACACAATCAACGCAGCCAATACTTTGCCGAATCGGTTCGTTCATTCATCTGACCGTCGCAGCCCCCTCAGTCATTACTCAGAGCTCGACATCGATCTCCCCGCAGATGCGCCTGACCGACGCATCCCAGCGAGCAATCACATCCCCGTCAAGAGAGTCGTTGCATCGGCCGGCCTGCTTGCAACACTGCTCGCCCTTGCTGCATGTCTCTTCAGCTGCGGTCGAGCGAACGAGCTGTTCGAAATGGCAACCCTTGAGCGTCTCCAGCAGTGCAGCGCACTCGGCTCGGGTTTGCTCGTCCAGCGACTTCACGAGGTCGAATCCACCGCCAATCATGCCTTGGAGAGCGCTGGAGAGCCCAATCGATTTAGGACCCGTCCCCGGCCCATGGAGGCATTGGCATTGGCAAATCTCTCGTTCGGCGCCAACGAAGTGTACCAGCAGATATTTTCATTTTCGTCTGTGCGCATCCGCAGACTTGTCGCTTACCTCATTGTTCCGGTCATGCGTCCAACCTCGAATCCGGTCCGGAATCCTTCGCGATAGCCGGCGTCGAATCCCTCCTGGAGATACTGCTCCTTGGACTCATCGATGCCTTCTTTGTAGCCTTCCTATCGACGGGCCGGGATAGCAGGCGTGTGAGTCGCATGTGAGAGCTGCCCATCCAGCGAGCCTATCGGGCTGCCATGTGCGAGCATGCGCTGTGCGAATACGATCCCAATCGAGTCCGTTGGATGATTACGCTGGTGCACGAATAGTCCAGACACGACAGCACTCGCAGCAATGTCGCTTCGAATGCTCTGCTGGTCAATCAGGGCAAAGTGCCGGCGCATGGCGGCTGTCGTCCGGCTTGGAAGGCAGAGCCACTGGGCCACCAGCCGATCCGGGCCACCGACTGCGCCGCCGACCCAGTCTGCCGCAGCTTACCACGCCGTGTGTGTCCTGCAGCCTCGTCCAGTTTTGATCTGCGATTCGTCGGTCATATGCAACCTCGTCTTGGCTGTCGTCGCCCCAGATGTCGTCTGCGCCGTCGGTGTCGGAGGCCTCGGCGTGCTGGCCGGAGTCGTGGTAGTAATGCGACATGGCGCCAAGTTGCTGCGGCAGAGGCTGGGTGCTTCGGGTCCGGTCCTGGTCCTGGTCCTGGTCGGCGTGCGGGCTTGTTCGTAGGCCGGAGGCGCAGATGCAGCTGGCCCTGGCTGGGAGAGTCGGTGAGTCTGGTACGTCGATCCGCCCCGACTTTGCCGTCTGCTTAGTCAACAGCACGTGACCCACCCTGCTTGCGCCACCCACGCTGCCGCCTGATATTTACTCCCAGGGCCGAATCTGCATTTGCTCTCCCCTCTTCCTGCACGCCTCGAAAATGACTGTAAGTAGCAGCCGCACACAACAGCCAGGCGTTGACGACGGATCGAGGATGCATCCATCCATCCATCCATCCATCTGTCCATCTGTCCATCCATCCATCCATCTGTCCATCCATCCACGCATCTGTCTGTGTGTCGGCCAGCCAGCGCAAGCGACGAGCCCATCTGGATGAGGGAGGCTATCAACACATCGACGCATCAATGCATCAACACACGAAACCGGCCGGCTGTGGATTTGACCGCAAGCGCGGCATCCCCGTGGCAAAGGACCTCTCGAGTACAAGTCTCATGCGAGAGACTCTGCTGAATTGAGACGAGACGATCCGATCCGATTACGCACCATCCGTCTGGGCATTGCAACGGATTGGCGAGGGCTGACTCTCGGAATACACAGGATCAACGAAGGCTGGCGCAGCATCATGGACGGATGCGAATGGCGGATAGGACGGCGGATCAGACTGGACCAGCCGCAGGGCATTCTGAATGATGGCACGCGGAGTATCAAGTCTAATCTGGCCCATATCGCTCTGTGTGCATCAGCTCGCGGTCGATCTTCTTAACCCTCTGGAGACCTCGGAGCGACGTTCCCACAAGCTCAAGCGACTTGTGCAGTCCCCCAACTCTTACTTCATGGATGTGAAGTGCCCTGGTAACTGTCACACTGCGCTGTCTGCGTGTCGTCGCTGTCCCGGTTTGATTCTCGACCGAGTCGCTAATCACCAAACCCCTGCACACAGGCTGCGTTGCTATCACCACCGTGTTCAGCCATGCCCAGACTGTCGTCCTCTGCGGCAGCTGCTCTTCCGTTCTCTGCCAGCCCACTGGCGGTAAGGCCCGCCTGACTGGTGAGTATTGTCGAATCGATCCTGTTGTCTGAGCCGTTGGACAACAACAACCCATCTCGGCTGCAGCCTGGCTCGGCCTTTCTCCGGACACCGTTGCTGACCGGGGACACATCTCCATCGTCTGGTTCACAGAGGGCTGCTCCTTCCGCAAGAAGTCCGGTTAAGATTCTTGATTGTCTTGCCAATTAGTTGATTAGTATTGGTGAAGCGATCTCGATTCGTTTGGAGAATAAAATCATTCAAGAACATCCTGGCTGTATCCACTTTTTGGCCTGATCCCGTCCCACCAGCGGCGATGCTTGTCGGTTGACTGCTCTGCATGTTCAGCATCATTTCCTGCTGGTGTCCTTCCTGGTCGCTGCGCCGGTAATCCTGCAGGCACTGCCCGCCTTCTGCCCTGACGGAAGCTTCCCGCGTAGACAATTGGGCCCTCTTTTCGCTGTCTGCAACGGGGCCCTGTCGTGCGCCGCTTGCTCCTCCCTTGCCTCCCGCCATCGTTCCCACGGCCGGCCAGCATCCTCCTCGCAGGGCCGAGCCTGTTGCAGAAGCAAAAGGTGTCTCCCAGATTACCAGCTGACCGTGGATCGTCAGGGTGCATCCAGGGCCGCCAAGCGATTCCCAGGCACCCAGGATCAAGCTTCCCAAGCCGCTCAGGGCCGCAGCGAGGGTGAGCAAGAGGGGAAAAGGGGTGCCGCTGCTGTCCGTGCATCTCGGCCCTCCCGCCTGAATGCTTCCTGGCTCATATTTAGAGAGCCATGTTCTCGAGGGCCAGCAGTGTTGCCCAACCCGCCTTCGTTTGCCGCCGTCGATCCAAGCTGCTGCCTCCAAGCCCGCCAACGAATACCTCTCTGTTCGTGCACTTGAGCTTGCACTTATCTTTACCCCGTTACTGTATACTCTGCCTCTCCTGCCATCCCGATCATGCAAACCGCCCGATACTACGACTCACTGCGGCCCTCGTCGGGCGAGAGTCTACTGCGGGTACCGCCTCCGTCTTGCCCCGGCAGGATCTGCAGACACCCATGCTGCTCAAAGCGCCAGCCATGCGCACCTCTCCATGGTGGCTTGGGCTGCAACGACCCGGCCTTCCAGGCAAGGCTGAACCACCGCTCATGCAACGCAATGCGCCCGCTCCAGCCCATGAGCAGACCAGCCGGTGCCCCAGGCTCTTGCGGCTCTGTCCCCAAGCGCCGACCGGGACTGAGGATCCAAACCAGCGGCCTCCGGGTGACAGGATCGCTTCCGAGCAACGGCCTCGGCCATTATCTGCCATCGCCTCCGCTTGCGTCCGCCGGCCGCGATCAATGCAGCAGTCCGATCGAGCTCTCGGGTAAGCAATTCCCACCGCGATGCAGTTCCCACCACGCTCCGGCTGATACAGCGAGCGACACCAGCATCAGCGCCACTGCCCCATGCCGAATCGACCCTGATCATCGTGTCGACCCTGATCATCTTGGTCTCTGCCGACCGCTCCTCACACAGATCCGTATCAGCGCCACTACGCTCGCTGTGTCTCAATGTCCCCGGCCTCGAAGCTGCCCACCTCACCGGCCCATTCACACGCCTTTGCCTCTGCCGATGCAAGGATCCAGAGCCGTTCAAGCTCGGCCATGAGACTACCCAGCCCACACGATCTCGCCTTCACGCACTCCTTGATACCCACCGTCCTTCCTCCACTGATCGAGCACGGGGACAGTCTCTGGGCTCACCAGAGCCAGGCGCCTATCTCGCCCACTTCGCCCGCTCCCAACATTGGCCAGGCCCGCAGTAATGCCCGGTCCAGAATCGCCGTCTCGAACCTCATCGATACCACTCTTGATCGGTGCGGTTCGGACATGAGCCCGCATCGATCTGCCCGCAGCTCCACCGACGACAATACCCCTGCATCGGATGCCCAGGACCGACAGCGCGAGTGCTCAACTTCGCCTCGGCTGTGGACCTGCCAGTATCCGGGATGCGACCGGATCTACTCCACTGCGGCCGGGCTGCGATACCACCTCAAGGCCTTCCACCAAACCATAACTCAGCGAGCCGCCGACCTTAGACTAAAGCCCAAGCGCTACTGTTGCAAGATCTGCCGCAAGACCTTTGTCACCGGCGCCGGGCTTCGATACCACCACAAGACAACCAAGGATCATTGAGGCGGCAACGCCCGCATGCTCTCGGGAGTGCTGCAGCTCGAATATGCTGGCTCGGCGGGCAACACGATCAAGCACCCAGAGCACGATCAAGCACCCAGAGCACGACCGAGCATGTCCACCCGCCCCCATGCCTCGCTCCCACAAACATACCTACTACATCCGCTCGACGAAAGACCAGGAAGCCCCGGATGAGCGGGGCTGCTGTTGTGATGATGAGATCAATAGATATTTACAGGCAATCCAATAAAAAACGGGACACCCGGGTTTTTGACCATTCATCGAATATTTTGTTACCCAATGTTATCGCGCGCTGGCCATGACCATTCGCCACACATCCGACTTTCGCACCGCCGCATTGCGATGCTACGCCCTCATCCATAGCCTGCGTAAGGTCGCCTCCATATTCAGTGTATCCAAGAGCACCATCCATCGATGGCACCGAGGATGCAAGCTGGATGACCCATCCCGGGTCCCAGCTCGCAGATCCACTTTCTTCGAGCAGGCATGTCCAGTCATTCGCACCCTGATTGAACAGGACCCGTTCCAGACTGGTCCTGTGTTGCGATGCAAGCTCGAGTCCATCCTCCAGAGGAAAGTATCACTCTCACTCTGCCACACTGCCATCCACCGAGCAGGTCTCTCACACAAGAGGGCAACACACCTCTACAAGTCCAAGCGACTGGATGAGCGAGTGGCACAGTTCAGGGACGAGACCCGTTCCATCGACCCACGACGATTCGTTTTTGTCGATGAGACGGGGATCAGGAAATCCATTTTCCCTCTCTACGGATACTCACCGAAGGGTGCTCCACTTCGCCAGCGCAATCACATGAAACACAAGTCTGTCTCGGCTGCATTTGCCATCAACCACTCTGGTGTGCTGCATCGCATGTACATCCCCACATCATTCAAGACACACTCGATGGTCGAGTTCTTTGAGCGAGCGAGCTTCCCAGACGACTCTGTGATTGTGATGGACAATGTCAGCATGCACAAGACAATGCCTGTCCTGGACTGCATCGAGCGCCGAGGATGGTCAGTGATCTTCACCCCACCTGCTTCACCCGACTTCAATCCCATCGAGAACTTCTTTGGGATTGTGAAGCACCAGTACAGGAAGGCAGGAGCGCTGAATGCGTCCGAGGGGTTCAAGATCGGGATGGTCACATTGTTCGAGTCTGCCGTTCGGAGGGTGCTTCCAGATGTCTTCCCACGGCTGATTGAGCGAGCGATGCGCTTCTGGGGTTGAGTTCCCTCCAATCAAGCCGCCGTTCTCACGTTCACATCCCTGGCTTGAACCTCTCGGCGATTTTTGAACAGGGTCACTTCCCCAACCAGCCCGCAAAGACGGGTTCCTGCTCTCGGGTATAAATGCCACACCTTCGTCCTGCTGCTTTCTTCCCTCATCTCGCCTTGATCTGATCATCGCGCCATTGTACGATAAAAAAAGTCTCTGCTCTGACCAGTACCACTGGCAGGCATCCAGCATCCTCTGCCCCCATGCCTCCGAAGCGCAAGGGTACCGGTGATGGCCAGCCTCGGCCACCCAGGCCCAAGAAAGCCAAGTCACAGTCGGAGCCTGTCTCTGGTTCGTATTCTGATCCCACGCATGCTTGTTTCTCTGTTGCTCCGTTGCTCACCACCACTGCTTCTGCAGATCCAATGGATGTCGATCCCACCGAGCCTGGTCCATCTACTTCCTCGAGTACCGGCAAGCGATGTCCCAAGTGCGATGGCACCGATCACGAACGTTGCAACACCAACAAGTGTCCCAAATACCGGCCCCTCAAGAGTTCTGTCGTCCCACTCGTGGATGGAAGGTCATCCGCCCCTCAGTTCAGCTGCTTCAAGCAGACGATGGATGGCTGTTGTCTCAATCCCGCTCTCCACGACAAGATCCAGGCCACCGTCGAGACCATGACCCAGATCCAGTTCGAGGCATCCAGGTTGCTCAACCTACACATCCTGAGGTGCATCGAGCAGGATCTTCCCGTCCCTGTCATCTCCAGGGCCACCCCTGCTTTCATCCGCCAATGCTTCAAGATCGTCCAGGACGGTGCCCTCTCCCCGACCGGGGACAATGAGAAATACAACGAGCATCTGGTCGCTTCCTTTCGCGACTACCAGACCACTCGGCACGCAGACCTGCCTCCGGCCCCTCGTCTGCCTGATGGTGCTCACAGTCAGCTTCTCACCCTGGCTGTCAATGCCTATGCCACCAACTGCACCACCCATCTCGACCTGGCCTACTGGCGACTCCTTCGCCGCTTCTGTGCTGCCGTCTTCCCAGCCAACAAGCATAAGCACGAAGCCATCGAGGCTTGTCTCGAGCTCTTCGAGAAACCAGGGCAGACTCCACCCAAGGCCGATCTCGAGTTCCTCTATCCAGACTTTGGCCACGTCCTGGACGAGTTTCGGTACAGCAGCGACCAGGACCGCTTCCGGGCCCTCCATCGCCTCTCACACCATGTGAGAATCCTCGCCCGAGACAAGATGGTCGACAATGTCCACAAGTGGATCGACTGTGACATGCCCGCCCTCCGAGTCACCGAGCTGCAGCGCCAGGCCAAGCTGGACAAGCTCACTACCCAAGGCATTCCCTCCGACGACAAGAGGTTCACCACGGCCAAGTCTGAGCTCGGCACCACCAAGTCCAAGATCAACAAGCTGGCCGCCAGGATCAACTGGGCACTCAAGCAGCTCGCCGTCGACACTCCTCCGGCCGTGTGCACGATGGTCCCTCTCTGTACTGCAAGGGCCAAGTATGTCAAGATTGACACGGTCACTCTCTGGGAGCTCCTGGGTCCAAAGAAGCGCCTTGACCTCACCAGGGACAAGCTCAAGGAAGAAGGTGAGGACGGTGTCAACAACCAGGATCGTCTCTGGCGCAGTTGCTTCAAGCTGCGTAGTTTCCTCTTCCAAGAGCGGGATATCAATCACAAGCTGTTCAACTACGAGATCAGCACCGATGGCATTGGATGCACCATCGGTCTCGTCAAGTTTCTGCCTCGAACCGATCGCACCGAGACCATCGAGCCTCCTCCGACTTCCGAGCAGCGCATCCAGGCCCACATCGGCGACCCAGACCCCGGTCGCACCACTTGGATTGGCATCGATCCTGGAGTCGGCTCCATCTTCACGGCGGTCATCCAAGCACCGGGTCACCAAGACGAGGTGGTCTCGTTCTCCAATGGCCACTACCAGCACATGTGTGGCCATACGTCCAATACTGAGTGGCGCAACACCATGAAGTATCGACTCAGCATCGAGACCTGGATGTCGACCACCCCCTCGCCCAAGGTGTCGTCCTCGGAGGCTTTCAAGGTCCATCTCACCCATGTCCTGCGACCGGAGCTGCGAGTGCAGCTCGACTTCCACCTTGGCAAGAAGGCCCGTCACCATCGCTTCACGGGCCACAAGAGGCGCCAAGTGGCCGTTGACAAGATGTGCAAGGCCGTCCTGAAGCACGCCCCGATACGGACTGATGTGGTGATCGCCTTTGGCAATGCGTCATGGCGTCAAGGCAAGGGCTATGCATCCAGCCCTCGGAGGCAGCGGTTTGCTCGGTACTTTGAGCAGTTCGAGCACCACCGACGCCGTCCCAATCACCATCATGGAAGCGTCAAGGTGGCCTCGACGAACGAGTTCAACACCTCGCAAGTGTGCTCCAAGTGCCTGGAGCCAGTTCGGTTGGAAGGACTCGATGCGCCCAGTGTTGCGAATTCCCACTTTGTCAGGAGCTGCAAGAATCCCAGCTGCCTGACAGTGTGGAATCGCGACGTCAACGCGGCGCGCAACATGATCACAGTGTGCAGGTCGATTGTGGAGATCGGAGAGCGACCGGCGGTCTTCACTCGGAGGCTGCCAAAGTGATCTGTTTTATTTCTTGTGGCTTTGCTAGACGCGAGCACAGCACATACTACATGTTCATGGAAACGGCTATATTGTCCCGTTTTTTTCTGAATAAAGTGTAACTGCTCACCTGATCGGGGCGCCATTGTTGTCTACTCTGAGGGGGAGGAGTGGAAGGTGTGAATTCCGCCTGAATTGGCGCACCATGGCCACAGCCCTGCTCCCGTCCAAGATGTTGTATCGGGGGAGGGCCCACAGTGCGAATTGTGCTCCAGTCCAATTTAGGACAAATTTACTGCATATCGTTGGCTGATTGTGAGGAGTGTGTGTATTCAGACGTCAGTGGCATGGTCGAATCAACTTCAAGATCCAGGGAATCGGGGCTGCTCGTGGATAGGTCGTAACGGTGCGGAAGTGCCGTCGTAGGCTCCAGGCGCATGTACTTGGACCACAAAAGTACTTGCTCGGCTTATGGCTCGCCCACTTTGGATGCAACGTGTCCGATTTCATATCCCAGCGGACCGACTGCGTCCCGGCATCGATCGGCCTGCAGATCTCGGTACACCTTGAAGTGATGGTTGATTGACGGGTGTGTGTGAATCTTGTAAGCCGAGCCGAGGCCGCCGTAGCTCTGTGGGAAGCAGTAGAAGACTCGGCTGATTCTCGAGTGTACCAGAGCCATCGAGCACCTGGGCCATCCGGCCGCCTTGGGTCAGTTTGGTGGCACTTCATACTGACGACAAGTCTTCGTCGTCCCTGTCGACAGCCGGGCTGTGGCAATGATGTGCAGCGGCGTGATGCTATGCCTGCCTCTTCCACAGCTACTTACATCACACACGGCTCGTGGGTCACATACAGATCCAGACCGTTGCATAGATATCCCGACTTTCCGTCCAAGTCATCCGGTCGCACGATCGCTGAGCCGTTTTCAGCCTCAGTGCCCGCAATGCTTCCAGTGCCCTCGGTGCCCCTGTTGTCCTCGTCCTCGGGTGACTTGCGCTTGCGAGGGTACTCGTCCAGGCCTCCGACCTTTCCCGAGCGAAATGACAGCTCCAGTTGCGAGGCCTCCTCGATACAGTTCATGACGGCGTGCTTGAGCTTGAATGCGCCTGCGATCTGCAAGTCGTGTGAGCGGCTGATGCACTTGTTGCTCTGCGGATCGACCAGAACGGCCCCAACTGGCCGCTGAACAAGTGTCCACATCGACGGTATTAGACCGTGCTCGTACAAGCATACTCCATGATTCCGAATCGCATCTTTGCTGTGTGTGGGAGGAAAAGGACGAGGAGGACGAGGAATGTGGATGCAGTTGAGCATGCCGAGGATATTGTCTTCCTCGGCCTCTTGTTTACCTCGCCATTCTGCTTTGCGGTGAGGGCTTCGTCGATTGCCATGTCCATCCATTGCTTGGCCCGCTCGAGATAGGACCAGTCAAACTCCTCGTCCTTGCTGCAGAAATGGCCGTGTCAGCATCATGCGAGAGCGTGCCGGCCTCGGCCTAACTCTCTTGGCCGACCGACCAGCATCGGGGGACGCACGACAACGACAACGACAACGACAACGACAACGATCGCATCCGTTTCCTGGCGGCCCGCGCTATGCCCACGCATGGAACCGGGAGCTCATACCTTCTCTGCAGATCGTGGAACGAGACCGGCCAGACTTTCTTCCATTCGTCAAACTGCGCCGGCGTGAGCGGCGGATGCTTCGGCACCTTTTGTATCCGCAGGTCGCTCTTCAGGGCAGCTGTATGTGCCTGGAAGAGGGTTTTCAGCTGCTCGGCCGTGGTTTCGGTTGCGACTGCCAGAACGATCGTCAGGATCGCTTCACCGGTGGTGGATTCGGAGGGCGGCGTTCGCTTGATCCGTTTGATGTGCGGCAAGGCTGTCAATGGATACTCCTTGCCTATAAGCCTGCATCCAGAGGGTTTCCAATTTAGCATGGAGATTCGGTTTCAAATGCCAGGTGCCGTTGTGGGGTCGGCTACGACCAACGCCTCTGCCATCGATGGATCTTGGCTGTTGGCCTCGATTCAAGCCACACGCCCGAAGCTCGGGGGATTAGGACGGATGCGCAACATACTTGATAATGGTGCTCGTGCTCTTGGGCTCGACATCGACAACAAAGACGTCGACTGGGGCAGCAATCCGAGGCATCCGTCAGCAACCGCACATACTCTCTCCGGAGCCATTGCGCGGATTGAGTTGAGCGACTGAATGTTCACTTGTTTCGAGAGTGCGACTGTAATCATCCGAGAGCACCGGGATCAGGGCCGTTCGGGGGTCAGACTCGGTCATGGCCTGTTGTTTGTGCGAGGAGTTGTCGGATCGGGGGAGCGATTGCCTGAGGAGGCGACTTGCGATCGTGCTGAGATCGGGTCTGTGTTGACTCGCACTATCAATTTTTTCCGGCCCCTCACGGCTGCTCATCTCGGTCACCTGAAAGTCACGTCGAATGTGGAGCAGCAAAAGTTGGAATCCGGCCATGGTCGGTTGACGGCATTTGGTATCGTCTTGAGCCGATTGACGGTGATGGTGGGCATTGGTGTGGAGGAATGACCAATTGTATCATTGTTGGAAGCTCCACTCCGATTGCGGACAAGAACCACCACCATCTATCTCTCTGGTTGGAAACCTAGTCAAGCGTGGCTGTGTGTCAGCGAGATGACATGATCGTTTGGCTATCAGGCAAGACTCACCTTGACAAGATGTCTTCCCACGACTGATTGAGCGAGCGATGCGTTTCTGGATCTGGATCAAGGACGCCACTGTGAGCATCTCTGCCAGCCCAAAATGCGCTGGATTTGAGGAAAATTTTTCTTCCCCAAGGGCAGAACTGTCATGAACCGCGTTCCCACGCCCGGTGGATGGTTTCATGGGCGCCCCAACCCGTGTCCTGTTTCCTTGATGTGCAATGTTGGGTAAGGCACTGACATGAAACCTCCCGGCGGGCGAGGGAAACGTTCGGATCTAATCTCCCCCCGTCGCAGATAACTAATCTCCCTTGTAGTGGAAGAAAAATCTGCGGTGAACAAGGACGGCGTTTAGAGATATAAACGAGGTGCTGTGGCCTCAGAACCAGCACCTCACCTTGCCTCTTGTATCCTGCCCTTAGCCTATTGAATACACTCCCCTTCGTCCTACGACCGTCCGTTCGACTACCATCAGCTGTCTGGTGCCAAAGTCCAGCTCCGTTCCTGACAAGAACCAGCCATCGCTGCTATTTTCTCGCCAGATGGCTCCCAAGAGAAAGACACCCCCCGATCCCGACCCGGGATCACCCAATGACTCTCCTGTGGCCAAGAAGTTCACCATCAAATCGTGTCGTGCCTGTGGCCTGACCAACCATGTTAGGCCCTTCACCAAGAAGTGCACAGCCAGAATCGACAGCAGCCCTGCCTCGGTCGCTGAAATGGTCAGCCAAGCACCCAAGGTCCCTGTATGTGCCACGTGCAAGCAAGAGGGCCATGCCAGAAGCAACACCCCAAAGTGCCGTTTCTATAAGCCACTCTGGAGCTCTACCTTGCCTGGCTGTGGCCCAAACGAGCAAGTCAAGGCCGACTACTCGATCATCAAGTGCACTCTGGACGCCATCATCAAGAACGACACCTTGCACGACAAGATCGAGGAGACTGTCCGGGCCATGACACACGTGCAGTACGAAGCATCTCGTCTCCTGGAGCTGCATCTCAGGCGGTGCTTGGACGAGGGCATCACCCTCCCCACCGTGTCATCAACTACACCTTCGTTTGTTCGAAAGTGCTTCAATATGGTGCAGACAGGAACAGTGGGTGTCAGGACGAACACCCCGGAAGAGGACAGGCACCTCCTCGACACATATGAGCTGTATCGACGTGCATGGAGTGAGACGTGTATCCTGCCTCCAGTGGCCCTCCCAAAGGGTACTGGCTCACAGGTCCTTGGTTTGGCTGTCAAGACCTATGCTGTCAACTGTGAGAACCACGTTCTCGATCGTTACTGGTCTCTCCTCCGTCGATTCTGCAACCTGGCCCTGATTGCTCCCAAGGATGTGAAACGGCACACACACGTCGACAACTGTCAAGCTGATGGAGAATCCCCTCTCCAAGACACTCCTCGGTGATCTGAGGAAATCCTTCGCCCACCATGCCGACCAGTTGTATGAGTTTCGGTACGAAAGCCACCAGAGCCTGTACAAAGTCGTACCAATTCTGGTCAGTGAGGTCTCTCGCCTGACCCACCTGAAGGAGGCCCTCTTCATGGTGGTCTTTCAGAAGATGATCATTCCCAGGCTCGCGAGGGATACCGATGTTCTGAAAGGAGAGCGTGGACGACTGAACGAGGAGATGTGTCAACCCATCCACCACATCGGGGCTGACAGACTCGAAGCACTCCAGACCCAGCACGAGGAGGTGTGCAAGCAGATCACCATCAACATGAAACGGATCAAGCGCCTCACCGACCGGCTTGCCCAGACCAAGAAGCGCCTCAACATCCCTCGAGCACAGTGCACCTTGGTCCCACTCTGCGATGCCCGAGCCAAGTATGTCAAGCTCGACACCAAAGCACTGTGGGAGATCCATGGATACCAGACTGGCACTGGACTCAAGTGGGGCGACCTGAAGACCAAGGTCAACGACACCACAAAGCAAGAGACCTTCTGGCAGACCAACTTCAAGCTGGATCCGAGACTCTTTGGTGCCAGGGAGAAGGGAAAGCAGCTCTTTGGTTGCGAGATCACCACCGATAGAGTCGGGTGCTCGATCACCACGCTCAGGTACAAGATTCTGAAGCAGGACCCTGATGCCAAGCCAGAATCCACGGACAAGACACCCAAGCTCACTCCCGAGAAGAAGATCCAGACCAGGGTCGGTCCCATTGACGACTCTCGGACCACATGGATCGGGATCGACCCTGGAGTAGGATCAGTCTTCACCGCTGTCATTCGGGCACCCGGTCAACCATCCATCCAGGAGCGAGACGGTGTCAAGGTGACCAAGGCACAGCATGCCAACGAGAAGATCGTGTCGTTCTCCAACAAGGAGTACCAGCATCGATGTGGCACCGCCCAGGCGACCAAGTGGATCCAGAGCACCCACAAGATCCTTGGTCTGCAGGAATGGATGAGCACCACACCAAGTCCCAAGATCCCTGGGTTGGCTTCCTTCCTGCGATACATCTACCATGTGTTCGATGGAGACATGCTGGAGAAACAGCTGTACTTCAGCCTGACCCGGCGACGGCGGTTCAAGCGACTCGATCTCCACAGCAAGCGACAGCGCACTGTCCACGAGATGTGCAAGCAAGTCATCAACCAGGCACCAAAGGAGACCGACATCGTGATTGCCTTTGGGAATGCATCCTGGAAACAGGGGAAGGGATATGCATCCAGTCCCAGGAGACTCAGGTTCGCTCAGTATTTCGAGCAGTTCCACCACCACCAGAGACGACCACCAGACCGATCCGTCTCCAAGATCCATGTGTGCTCGGTGAACGAGTTCAACACATCCCAGGTGTGCTCACATTGTCGGGAAGCCAAGCGACTCGAGTCACCCGAGTATCTTGATATCGAGAAACCACACTTTGTCCGGAGCTGTGCAAGCTGCCATACGCTGTGGGATCGAGACATCAATGCAGCCAGGAATATGATCTCGGTATGCCAGTCAATCATCGCCACAGGAGATCGACCGAGTGTATTCAAGACTGTGCTTCCCAAACCAACCAAAACCACTCGATTGCCAACGAAGACAGGAGTGCAATGCCATGGCCTACCCGCTGGGCCTACAAGTCAGTCAGCGGGCTTCAGAAGCCAGAAAGTGACTGTCCCGTTTATTTCTGGATAGACTGTAAGTATCTCGCACTGTTCATTGAGTATTTCTACAGTGGATGCCGGGTCGCCCATATTCTGGGCAGTCCACTTCGGGGTTGCCATCCCTCTTGGGATGGTCGATGGGAGGTGTTTGACTCCCTTGCAAAGTGTGTGTGTGTGTGTGTGTGTGTGTGTGTGTGTGTGTGTGTGTGTGTGTGACGGCGAGAGGCTTCTCGCCTTCCCTCGGGGGTCTCTCGCCAGAGACTGCTCTTCTCGCCGACCGAGGTGGCCCCGAGAGCGCGTTGTTTCGTTCTCGCTCATTTTATTAACAAGAAATTTTTTCATAGTGTCGCGCATGACGGAACGGAGCGACCAGGATTTTGCTGCACTCGACACCCACTCGGACCCGCACCTGACCCGACGACGACATCCAAGCAGGATCTCAACATCAACAACTGACACCATGCAGTGCACGAGATGTGCAGAAAGGCCAGCCCCCTCCTCTACGCATACGGACGTTTGGTTGCCATGGCGACTCGTCGACCTCCGACTGCCATGGTGTCGAAGGAGCCACAATTCGCACAGTGGTTGACTGCACATCTCACTCTCGCACCGGGGCACCAAGGCCTCGATCGCTGCCCCATGGAGATCGACCGGGTGTATTCAAGAGCGTGCTCACTCAAACCCGCTCCAAAGCCTCGATTGCCGACAGATCATCGGGTTTCATGTCCATGGACTGCCGTAGTGATAATGAGCACGTTTCGACGCCATTTTTTGTTTTTGTTTTTCAGAGGGAGGAGGGGAGGAAAGCTCTGCACCCCCGCAGCTGTATTCGTTCACAAGTCGAGCTTCTCTGCTCGGATGCCGTTTCGGTCGACGACTTTGACATTGAACTCGGGGAAGTTGCCAATGAACCGGACCTTCAGCTCTCCGATGCACTTCTTGAGCAGCTCCTTGGCCTCCTCCAGCGTGAGGTCAGGCCTCCAGTATCGATCCATGGTGGACATGCAAAAGTACGAGGCATATCCGTGCGCGGCAAAGTCCATCTTGTGCGATGAGGCGTAGTGATCGAGCCAGTAGAGCTCCGGGTGGCCGGTTTTCGGATCGGTTCCGCCCACCAGAAGGTTGACATGGTAGGGATGCTGCATGGTTGGCAAGAGAAGATGGAACGAGAGCATGAGAGTGTTGCGGGCGGGACCGATGCACTGAAGCAGCACCCCACCCACATCCTCGGTGCGGCTCCCAGGTTCGCTCGCTGTCATCAGCAACACGACAGATGAACGCTGGCCATGACCACCCGATCAGGAAAGCGATCGTGCATCGGTTGGGGCGAGAAAGGAAAAAAGGGAAGGCCAGCACCAGCAGCAGCAGCAACACCAGCAGCAGCAACACCAGCACCAGCACCAGCATCAGCAACGCCAGCAGCAGCGGCGGCAACGACCATACCCTGCTTCTCAAGCTCGTCGCCATTTCCTTTCGAGTGAAAGCCACGGCAGCCTGGGTCGACATCTGGGCCGAATTTCGGATGCCGTAGAGCTTGATGTTGCACTGGATGTACTCTGCAAAGTTGACGGTGTCGCCGGGCTCGCCCATGTACATCATCAGGATGTTGTCGGTCAGGTTTCGCGACTTGTCTTCTCCGTCCTTCATGACGACGATGCTGCGGGCGCTTCGGGCGTCTGCCGCCAGCAGCACAAAATCTTTGCCAGTGAGGCCGAGCAGAACTTCCATGGTTGGGGGAGGGGTGTCGTGCGGTGTGGTGTGGTGTGGTGTGGTGCTCGCAGGCGGGGCGCTGGTCGGTTGCTTGCGGCCGGCGGGTGCTGATGACAACCTGTGGGACGATGGATCGGATGCTGGTCCTGTCGGGGGCATTGACCCTTTGCAACGGCCTCGCTGCTGGGCGGCTTCGACCAGGGTAGCTGCACGTGACGGCCGGATCCAGCCACTCGAGCCGGCTGCGGCCAGGGAGCGCGTGGGAACCTGGGGCAGTCCATCCAGCCAGCACAACCTCGGAGCAGCTCCCTCACTCGTTCAGTGTATCGGTCGAGTGCTCATGTATTGCATGCCGAGATGAGTCCGCACTATCTATGAGATGGGCCCGCTCCATGATGGGATGGGTCCGTCCCGCGTGCTCGCATGAGTGGTCCTCAAACAGAGCCAAAGTCTTTCTGCCAGCGCTCATATGCCCCCTGAAGCTTTTCGGTCGAGGTCGACTTGGTGGACTGGATTGCAAGCTCGACGTCCTCCATCTCAATCGGTCTTCTTAATTTGTAAACTGTGGGTCCGAGCACGAGGGTCCGAGGCAGAACAGATAAATGTGTCAAATCGCGAAGCAGAGCCACGGCGCTGCGGATGATCGGTGCCTGGACAGTCGAGCATAGTGTGCTTGATGGCTCTCCGGCTTCGCTGAAAGCTTGCATCGCAAGGACAGGTGCGCGCTGCAACCAGCAAGGCAAACCACATGGACTCACAATCCGCCCTCTGGCATGTACTTGTGGATGAGTTTGAATCATCCTTGTTTCCGTCGGTATCGAGTTGCTCAAACAGCAGCCGCAGCGGTCGCATCGCAGCTTCTTTGCACACCAGCCTGATATCGGATCCAGAGTATCCTGTGCAAAACAGCCCGGTGAGCTTGGTTTGCATATCTGCCTTTGCGATCGGCGCGAGCGTCTGCCGTACCATCTGTCTGCGTTGCCAGACTTTCGTAGTCGAGCGATTCGGACACGATCAAGCTGTCAAAGCTGTCCCGCTGCCCCGATGGCAAGTAGTGGCGAAACATGGTCGCGCGTGCGGAGGGGTCTGGCAAGTCGATGAGAATCTGTGTTGGAGGGACGACGACGAGTGTCAGAGGCAGTGTGTGCCCAAACTTTGGCTTGGAAGAGTGTCGGGTCTTGAACACATGAGCCCCGGACGGATCGTGGCCAGCGATTACCCGCTTTTCCAGTCGACGCAGCATGGCAACGTCCAGATCCCACGGCATATTGGTCGCGGCGAGGAAGAAGATCTGGCTGTTGGTTTTGGCGAGCCCATCCATCTGGATCAGCAGCTCGGTTTTCATGCGGCGGCTGCCCTCATGTTCCTGGCCGTCGCTCGTTCTCTGACTCATGATGCTCTGGGGCCGTGTTCAAGGTGGATGTAGGCTTCAGTGGTCGATGGCTGATCAAGCCTCCCCCTCATCAGTGCATCGATGCGTATGCTACAGGCAGGTGAAGATTCAGCGAGCTGGCGGGGCGACTGACCTCGATTTCGTCCAGAAATATGGTTGATGGCGCGTGATATCGTGCAAGCTCAAACAACACCCGGACGAGTTTCTCAGAGTCCCCTGTCGATATTGACAGCGATCCCGTCAGAATTGCTCGCGCGTGATCCTGAACGCCAATCCAGCTCAGAGCCAAGGATCCGAACGCAGGCAGAGACCATACCTCTCCACTTGCTGACGATCGAGGACGCCGATATGTTGAAGAACGTGGTACGGCACTCTGTTGCCACTGCTTTGGCGAGCTGTGAGCGGGAGATGATGGCTCAGAGACAACATCGAATCGCTTGGGCAATAAACAGCAGCAAATGGTCGCAAGTTTACCATGGTCTTTCCTGTTCCAGGCGGCCCATAGAGCAGAATGCCCTTCCACGGTGTCAGCAGCCCTGTAAATAGTCTATCCAGCCATCGCGTGGTGCATCAGCGTCCATTCGTCGACAGCCGTCCCGCTCTTATTCCGAAACTGCGTTTCCGGTCCGGAATCGAGGCGTACTCTGGATAGCGCATTGGATAGACCACTGCCTCCTTCAGCAGTCGCTTTGAGTCTGAAAGACCGGCAATGTCGGTGAATCGCACATTGGGGTTTTGCATGAAAATATCGCTGTGAATGGCGGCGATGGCCGTTTTGCCGACACCAACGGGAAGAACGATAAGATTGGCTGTCAGCAGGCATCCCCAGCACAGCAGCGAGGGTGGGGTGACCACATTGGCACGTAGGTGGCTGCATCGGCAAGTGGGTGGCTGCATTGGCTCACGTTACCGAGTGATGATGGTGGCAAGCTCCCGAAACTCGGAGCCGCCAAAGTCTGGGAGCGGTTTCAGGAGCTTATCGGCATAGAGATCGTCGTCGGGCGCCTTGGTGCCAGTGAGACGAGATGCGGATCGTGAGTGTTGCTGCAGAGTGGTGGGCATTGCACCATCGACATGGCGTGCAGAGGATCTGATGACACAGCGACCCAAAAGTCGCTGGCTCAGGCGACAAGATTTGGCAACCAGACACAGCACAGACACACCTCCTTGGTCGGCTGTGGCATCGGAGCGTCCTTGTCCTTTTTGTGACTAGTCATCTGCGAATCATGTTTGACTTGCAGCAATGAGGGGCAGTGCGCGGGCGATGTGGTTTCTGTTTCGCAACAGCCCCAGCACTACTCGTTTGCCGGAGGGATAACACCACAGCTCGGAATCGTTCGAGCGCCATGGCCATAGACACAGCCATGTCGGCTGCGAATGACTCGGTACTCCCAATCCGCTCGAATTCAGAAGCAGTGCTGTTGCTCACCGTTGCCATTGTCCCGACCACGCCGTCGAGGCCAGACTCGCTGGTGCCCTCAGGCTTCTTGGAAGAAGGTGGGCCAGATCGTGCCTTGTCTGGGAAGTGTGTCCTGTCCGATTAATCCCGAGCGACGACGGGCCAGCACAGCAGAGTGCCAAAGCCAATGCCCAACTGCTGCTCACCTTTCGGATCCTGTCGCAGACTCTGTCGCGAGCCAGTTCCGATCTTTGGGAGAGGAGCCGACGAGGCGCTCCCGGCTCCATCTTCGCTCTGGTTGCGATAGCGAGGCAGATCGTCCAAGGTCGGCTTTGGACGCTGCGGCGGGGGTGTCCGTCGCTTTGGGTCGTCGGAGGCCACTTTGCGGGTGAGTTTGGGTGGGCGGCCAAACTTGATGACATAGAACGACTCATATTCCTGCAAGCGGGATGCGGTCCGTGGTGAATATCGAGCCCCAGGACAGCGGGAGCAAGACTGTGCCTGGGTACCTGCAGGATGTTGAGCAGATCGATGTTGTCGGCGGCGGTGACCTTGCTGGCGGAAATGTTGGCCTCGTTTTGGAGCCGATCGGCGGTGTCGAGATAGCTGAGGAGTGTGCGGTGAACAGACGGGTGGCATGCTCCGATAAGCGCGAGAACCAGGACAGCAACCCCAAGGGCGCATGGATGCCGACTGATCGGGGCATGGAGGATTGCATAAGAGTGCACGCGTGGCTGGTCCCAGCAACAGCGCTCTCGGCCTGTGTGGGTGAGGGGCTCTGGACCTCGGTTCCCGATGCTGCCGGTGCTTTCGCCGCTTCCGATGCATACCCGTGTGTCTGCAGATGGTCCAGGATAAGCACCATCAAGTTGCGCTTGCGCTGGTCGATGCGGTTCTCTTCCTGCAGCGGATGATGGAGATATCAGGAGAAGGTATCCAGCGACGAGGGATGCGGCCTGCCCGCTGGAAAGCACAACTTGACCATTACCGCCTGGCGGGCCTCGCTCGAGACCTTGAGCTTCACGAGCGTGGAATCAGACAGCGACATCATCGTGGCGACAGAGTGGGCAGTATGGGTTTGTCTGGAGAGGTGAAATGCGATGCGATGCGGTGTGGTGGTGTGGTGGTCTGGCGCCCAAGACATTCGAGGGCGCCAAGTGGAGCCCGCTGTTGCTGCTGCTGCTGCTGCTGATTCGCAGCTGGTATCGATGGCGGCCGAGCAATCCATCGACAGAAAAGTACACTTTATTCAGAAAAAAAAAACGGGACAGCACGGCCGTTTCCATGAACATGTAGTATGCGATGTGCTTGCGTCAAGCAAAGCCATATAAAATAGAACATATCACTTTGGCAGCCTCCGAGTGAAGACCGCCGGTCGCTCTCCGGTCTCCACAATCGACATGCACACTGGTCTCGGAGTGCCAGCGATGGATGGTGCTCTTGGACACATTGGCGAATGGTCCTGGCCAGCGCGCGATAACATTGGGGAACAAAATATTCGATGAATGGTCAAAATCCCGGGTGTCCCGTTTTTTATTGGATTGATTGTAAGAGTGTGCCGCGGCCTGGTGGGAAAGACAGCGACGGTTCACTCTGCACTGCCGTAGCATTGCTGTTTTACCACTCTGCATTGCTGTTTTACCACTCTGATTTACCGTGGTATCACTCTGCATTACTGTAGCATCACTCTGCATTACTGTTTTATCGCTCCTCGTCGCTCTGCCAATATTAACACCCGTTTGCATCGTCGCCCTCCCCGCCTTTTCTGCGTCGCCAGTTCTTCTTTTCCTCGATCTGTCCGATCGCCTCCCCCGAGCAACTTCCTTCCCCGCCGACCTCTTCGTCGTTTCCTGCTCGCCCCTCCCCTCCCCTCGGGCCGGGAACCCCCGTGGAGCCCGACCGTGCGCGCTCGCCTTTGCAGACCCAGCCCGATCCCAGAAAGGCCGACCTCTGTCTGCTCTTCATCTCGCCTCCGTCGTGGTCTCCGTCGTGGCCTTCTCCTGGCTGCTGCAAGGCCTGGCTCCCGCCCACACCAGACCGCCCCCTATGGATCTCCCACTCAGGCACAAGGAATCTCCTTCCCGTGAGTTCCTCAAGGAATCGGATGTCATCACCGTCCTGATAGCCCCGTGGACTGGCCCCGTCAACCAAGATCTGCTGCGACCGTCGCCGGCCGTCGGCTTCGTCGCTGGGGCGCCAACCTCGCATCTCGATGCAACCTCCCTGCCTGTGGGGCTGCTGCATCCTCCTCCTTCTCCTCCTCCCTCGGATCGGCCTGCCTCTCCAAGCCCATTCCCTCGCCGGCCTTCCTCGGGCCCAGTGACCCGCTCTCGATCGCGGTCACTCATGAACTCGGCTCACCGTTGCCATGGCCATTCGGCCGCTCCTGCAACTCCAACACCGGTTCCGGCGACTCCTCCTGTCTCCCCTCCTCTTCTTCTTCCTCTCCCTCTTCCTCTTTCCCCTCCTCCGGGCTCCCTGCCGCTCTCACCTCTGCCGTCGTCGCCATCGCCGTCGATTGCAGGCTCCTCCTGCGACCCCGTCCCGCGGCTGCCATCGTCGCCGCTGTCGTCGTCAATGTCTCCGTTGCCGCCGTCATCGGACCTGTCACCGTCACTCGTGCAGGCCTCTGCGCCTCTACCGATCTTCCCAACACCATCCGCGCCTCTACCACCCTTTCTGCCGTTGCTACCGTCACCGCCTCCACGTTCTCTCTCGCCATGCAGAGCCAAGACCCTCAAATTTCCAGGCGGCCTCGCCATGGAGTTTCTGTCCAAACACTCTGCCGTTCAGTCGGTCTTTATCCTGCGGTTCCTCGACTTTACATACGTCCAGGTCTCCAACACCGATGTCGCCCGCTTCGGGACGTCGCTCTGGGACTCGGCCGACACCACCTCGCCGTCGGACTGGCCCCGGGTCGACATCACTGCCTGTCCGGCATGCAAGACCTGCGTCACCCGCGGCTTTTTGATGTACGAGAGGCTCACGGCAATCTCCCACTCGACCGACTCTGTACGTAGCCGTTTGTTTTATATTTTCTTTCTTTCCGCCTGTCTGTCTGCATGGTGGAATGCTGACGGAGACATTCGCTGGGATGACGAGCCGACGAGCGCAACTGCGTCGGCAGATGCATGCGTATCGGGTCTGCCGTCGTATTCGTATCGGTCTGCCGTCGTATGCGTATCGGGTCTGCCGTCGATCCCTCGAAGCTTTGAATGGATTCGATTGAATGTCATTGGATATCGTTAGCATTGCCTTCCCGTTGTGCATCTTCACCCACCTTCACCCAGCCGCATCCATCTTCATCCATTTTTGCCCATCTTTGCCCAGCTGCATCCGTCGATGCACTCATCGCTTACCCTCCTGCTCTGACTCTTCCCTGTGACTTTGTATTCTGTTGCTCACTTGATACCACCATTCATGCATCCCCCCTTTCTTGTCCTGCATCTATCGCCATCGTTGGCTCCGAGCTTTCTGTCGATTTATCCCGCTCCGGCTCCTGCGCTCTCCGTCTCTCTTTTCTTCTGCTGATGCCGTCCGATCCCTGTCCCTGACCGTCGCTGTGGCCTCGCCCGCCTCGTCCGATCCGCTCCGCAAACTCAATCGCACGTCTGCTCCGCCTGCCCCTCCCGCATCCTCACTCTAGGCCAACCGAGGCGGTCTGGGATTCCGCCTGGTCCCGCGAGTACTGTGTCCAGGCTGCCACTCAACCATCATGCTGTGTCTGACGGAGGCCAGCTCTCCTCCTGTCGAGGGCCCACCGCCCCCGTCTCTCTATGACGTCTGGAGGAGCGACGACGTCCGGGCATTCGTCTCGGCATACGGCCACTACTGGCTCAACACCTTCAGCATCCTTTCGTCCAAGCGCATCCGGCTGTCGGAAGACATGACATCGATGTTCCTGTCTTTTGGCATCTGCAGCCGGTGCCGCAAACCGTCCAAATGGAAGTGCTCCCGTTGCTCCAAGAGCTACTATTGCGGACGGCGCTGCCAGAAGCGGGACTGGCTCGCACACAAGGAGATATGCGACCAGAAAGAGAGTCCTCTGGCGCTATTCTGAGCCATGGACAGGACAGCACAGCATAGGAAGGGACAGGGTCTCTCAAGCAGCCTGTTGTGGGCCTGGTTGCTCCACTCCCTCCTCTCCGCGTTCCGATCTCGCCCTATCCCGCCTGTCTTTTTGCCTCCGACAATGGCTCGGTTTTGAATGTGTACCATATCAGCTAGCGATGAGAGAAAGAATCAAAAGAAAGAATGAAACAACAAAAAACAGACCTCTGCTCTCTTGCGTCCATCTCAGTCGCTCCGCTCTATTCCTCCAAGTATGGGTCGATCGCATGGCCGAATGGCGGCGATGGGCCGGGAAATGATTCAACAGCGGCGTGTTTGTCTCGAGTGCGATGGTGTATCCCGTTTGCCCTCAACATGCTGGAATCATGCGGCATCAATGTTTGATCGCCGTGCCTGTCCCCGCAGGGACGCACCCGGTCGATGCCGCTGTTGTTGGTGCAGACTTGGGTGAGCGATCGCTGGCCGGTGCAGCCAAGGTGCGGCTGTGCCGTCTGCGGGTGTCATAGCCGACACTGTCAGCGTCGCTGGGACTGGCCCCGCTTCGCTTGTGTGCTTGCTCCTCTTGACCCATCGTCCTCCATCCATCCATCGTCCTCCATCCATCCATCGTCCGCACTTGCCATCCAGCCTGTCCTCCGTCCTTGCGCCAGCCTCTCTCCCTCCCTCTCTCTCTCTCTTGCTCGCTCGCCTGCTCTCCAATGACCCACCCTGCCCAGTCCCAGCGCCCGGCCCTGCCGTCGCACGTCCAGACCCAGCTGCAGAGGTGAGCCCCAGCCCTTTCCTGTGCCGCTCTGGTCCCGGAATCCACCTTTTGTCCGTGAGTCGGTCCCGGTCCTATCGAGCCCAGACTCGGGCTTCTGACTCACTCGCTCATTATCTCCTCACTCCTTCCATCTGTCGCATCTGTCGCATCTGTCGCATCTGTCGCATCTGTCGCATCCATCGTGTCCGCTAGCCTCGGCATGAGGATCCGCAAATCCGTATCCGACGGCTACAAGATCCAGCGGAAACCGGCAAACCCGTCTCCGGTCCAGCCACAGGCCCCCGCCCACACCTTCATCAGCCTGAACCTCTCGTCACAGGAGAAACAGGACGATCAGCGGGGCCACTCATCTGCAGGGCTCCGGTAATCACACGTCCTCCTTCCAGATCAGTTGCTCGATCCCAAGAGGCCCATCGATCGAAGAGCATCATCCGTTCGGTATTTTCGCATCAGCCCCGGATGAGCTGGCGTGTGGCTCTGTCTCTAGTTCTGGCTCTGGCTCGCATCACCAAATCGCCCGAACGCTGCCGAGTCCGATGCCTCCAATCGCCTTCCATCCGCCCTGGCCAGCAGTTTTGTTCTTCCCTCGTTTGCTTTCCCTCTCTCGTCCCGTTGTTCCGTCATTGTCCTGGCTCCCCACGGGCTTGGCCACTCTCCCGCTGGCCTGGCCAATCTTCTCCCCTCTTATCCTATAATCTCTCTCTCTTTTTTGGCTCCTCCATTTCCATTATCCCTTTTTGATTATGAGGCAAAGGTCCTCGTCCGTCGCTCGTCCCGGCAGGCGCATGAGCTGTCGACGATGCAGCCTTGGGCACTTGGACTTATCGACTGCTGGCTGCTGGCTGCTGACTGCTGACTGGCTGCTGACGCTGTTGATTCAAAATGGCCCTCCCTGCGATGCAGTTGGTCCACGAAAGCACTTGCAATATAGCTTGACACAAGCGGAACCAGCATATCATCGAGATTGGATGCGTGTTGCCGGGGTCCGCTGGTGGCTCATTCATGGCTCCGTACCGATTGACCGTCGAAGATGGCGTTTCCTTGATTTCATGTGTGTCCCGCTTCTGGGTTCTCATGGCCCTGCTGAATCATGGCTGCCATGTATTCATTGCATCGCTGAGCCCCGCTGAGCTCACAAACCCTGCCAGTGATGGGCCGTCGCTCCCACCAGACCAGTCGCTGTTCGACAAAGTGTTTCTACGGACAGGGGCCAGTTACTTCGTCCACCTTTGATTTCTGCAATGCAAATGACGGGGTGATCCATTCGCCACAGGAGCACTGCGAGCCTGTGGTTCACGAATCGTCCGATTGGTGAGGGCGGCAGCAGGACAGCGGTTAGGACACACATTCGGGGGGGGGAGTTGGTGGAAGTAACAGAAAGCCAGGTCGGTGGGCGGCGATTGCTCTCGCCGCTCTGCGCACCAGCATGACTTCGTACCTGACCAGTTATACGACCCCAACTTTGATTCGCATTTGGGGCACTGGATCTTGCCCTCGACGCTGCCGTCGTCCAGGCCGTGGATCCACTCCATTGGCTCGATGAAGAAGAGGTTGCACTTGGATTTGGCCTGGGCATTGGGTCCCAGGCCCTGGCCGCGTTTGTTGTACGCAAAGCTGGTCTCCCCGGCTCCAGGGTTGTGTTCCATGATGTTGTCCTTTGATACCAGGATGCGTCTGTGAGATTCGTCGACCCGCAACGCCCCGCCCCATGACGCAAGTCGTTGCAGCCCAAGAGATTAGATTGTCGTGCTGGTGGATCGCTTGAGGGTCTTGTGTGGCCCGATTCAGGAAGGCTGCTCTCATCTGTCTTGGATCCCTGCCTCCGCTCCCAGATGCATCGGATACCTCACCTGCATTTCTTGCAACGCAGCTGCAGGATTCGGATCCCGGTTCGTGGAATCGGCTGCACCCCGCCCGTGATCGACGGCACCCCGGCAATCGGGGCGTCCTTGAGAGGGTCGCATCCCAGTACCAGTTGTGGGATGTATCCGAGTTTCTGCAACGTTAGTGAGCCGTGATCACAATGGTTCAGGACGACACATCATGGCGGTGGTGTGTGGGACAGTCGGTCCTGGCTCGTGGGATCCGGCGGCACAGCCAAAGCAACAATCCAAGGCACTTACGTCTCGCTGCTGTGCCATCCGAGTCATCAGGAACCGGCGATACCGAGTCTCCTCCAAGTCGACAACGTAGTTGAGTTCGGCAAAGAGCCGCAGCTGTTCCTCGAACCCCGAATTGGGCTCGGCCCGGGGGTGTTGTTGGTGGAGAATCTCAAGCGCCTGTTCATATTCGAGCTTTTGGGCCTTCATCAGATAGGCGACGATGATCGAGGCGCTGCGCGAGATGCCCGCGACGCTTGAGGAAAGGAATGGGAGGAAGGGAAGAACGGAGCGCTGGTGAGCCACTGCAGACGAGAGCGGGAGGGGGAGGGGGAATGCAAGAGTTTGATGCACTGCTGCCTTTGGGACCATGTTCATGCCGTCCCAGGCACCACAACGCATCAAAGGCAAGGGCCCAGAGGGTCGAATCATGAGCTCACCAATGAACCAAAACTCGCCCATCCTTCGAGATGGCTTGGGAAATATACTCGATCGCGGAGGGAAGACACTCCAGCAGATTGGCTTCGGCCGAGTCCTCAAGCGAGACGATCTTGTACTTGCAAAGCTGGCGAAAGATTTCAGCCCGGGGGCGACGGATAATGGCAAAATCAGAGCGAACGCGTGGGTGATGTCAGAAACCCCAAATCGCCAGAGGACTCGCACGATTATGCGGGGGCTTGGTCGATATCTGCGATTCACGCATCGAGAAGCAGTCTCGGTCGAAGGAAGCGAGTTTGGGGGAGGGATTATGTGCAAGACAAACAGGGAGAAGGGGATGGAGCGAGCACTGTTCACGAATACGATCATCCGAGAACCATCGATCTATGCATCGGTGGCCCCAACGACCGAACCCGAGCCCAGACGGAAAGCGCTGGCCAGCAAACCTACGTTGGGAAACGGCGACTGCATGTTCAGGCCAACGGCCAGTACATGTGTGATGCGATTCTGGTACAGAATATCGACGCTGCTGGCAGGTTTCAGGCTGGCGAGGGAGATTGGTGATGAATGATGCCAGATGTGGCGACATCGTCAGTGCCATCGTGCCCTCCGAGCGTGTTCAGCAGCATCCACGCTGTCGGTGGTGCAGAAGGTGGTTTCTCCATCCGAAAGAAACGAAACAGAAAAATGGCCGAGCGGCAGTAAAGGGAGGATGAGCAAATCATGCCAAAGGCGATCTGGCCGCAACACACCTGGATATGTACAGACTCGGGATGACCTCAACAAGCCCAGTGTCCACGTCGGAGGAATCAGCCATGTGTGCTATCGACCGGGATCGAAGATAGGAATGCAGGGGGGTTCTGGCGGTGGCCTCGGGCAATGGGTATTTGCTTTCGGGAGATTGAGAAGGATGAACAGAATCGAAGTGAGAACTCCCAGAGCGAGAGAGAGGGGCGTGTCGAGGAGCGGCGAGAAGCATCTCGCTCGCACGAGTGCCAGGGGCAACTCCAACGAATCACTTGCAGGCCGGGCTGAGGAGATTCTCGGGCAGATTGGATGTGGTGATGGGGCAGCACGGCCCTGAATACACGAGGTTGGTCTCCCAAGGTGACAGCCGGCCTGCTCGCTGCGACATGTTGCCACCCCGGATGCGCCACTCTTCCCGATGCAAGATCGATTCTGTTTATTCTGGATACATATCCAGCGGCATGTACATCAAGTCTGGCTGTCTGGCCAGTGTCGGTGAGAAGGAGGCTGCATGAAGGTGTTCTGTCAAGATGACAGTGTAATGCGATGCAGAACATTGGAGACAAACTGGAATGATCGCATCTGGGCCGAAATGATCGCATCCGAAGCCGAAATGATCGCATCCGAATCCGAAATGATCGCATCTGGAACGGACTCAGTCAGACAATCATGTCCCAAACCAGCCCACGCGAAATTGCCAGTCGGGCGGACGGCCGGGCCATCGTCAGCGACCGCGGCATTGTCGAATTGCTGAGTCTCAGCGGACCGCTGGGTGCTCCTCAGCGGATCGGGATCGGGCGGCTGACGGCCTCGGCCCGCTTCTGGATGGCAATCTTGAGCACTCCGGCCTCGTCCAGGCTGGCGACGGCCGTCTCAAAGTTGGCGTCTTGGTTGAACCGCAGCTTGAGCTGGAACTTGCCAAAGGATCGCTTTGAGATCAGGAACACAGACTTGCGCTCGGCGGGCTGTGTGGCTCTGGATGTGCTGGCACCGGTGGCATCGGTGGCATCGGTGGTATCGGTGGCATCGGCGGGATCGTCGTGGACATGCACAAACTCCTCGTGTGCGGCACTGGCGGTTGAAGTGGCTGCCGGCTCGCCCGAGTTGGTGTCGGTCGAGGGGGTTGTTGGCACGGCCGACTCGGTTGGAATGCGGGTCCGCTCGCCTTGGAGAACAAGGAGGTCCTTCTCGGTGCTCAGGGAGATGCTTCCCTATGCCATGCAAATCGATCGAGACAGTGGCCGTGGTGGGAGTGGTGGGAGTGGTATGAGTGGTGGGAGTGGTGTGAGTGGTGGAATGGTGGAATGGTGGAATGGTGGAATGGTGTGAGTGGTGGAATGGTGGAGTGGTGTGAGTGGGAGCGACATGGAAGGCTGACAGCAGAAGCGACATTGGCAGAGGCAGCACAGGGGTGGCTCCTGAGAACAGGCCCTGAGAACAGACCCTGAGAACAGACCCTGAGAACAGGCCCTGGGTGGTTCCTGGGAGCAGACTCTTACCTTCTTGACACCGGGGAGATCAACAAAGATCTCGTACGAGTCCGGCCGCTCGACGACATCGTATGCGGGACGGTAGTCGTACTCCTTGTGTGCGGTGTTGGTGCCGTCGACGGTGTAGTAGTAGAAGATCGGGACTCTGGTGCACATGGCTGGGGTGGATTGCTGGTGTCTGGATGGTGGTGTCTGGATAGTGTCTCTGGATGGTGGTGACTCTGGATGGTGGTGTCTCTGGATGGTGGTGTCTCTGGATGGTGGTGTCTCTGGGTGCTCCCAGCAGCCGTGCTTTTATATCATCCTGCAGCGACCCTGGTCGACTCGCACTCGGCCGGCCTGCACCCCTCGCCCCTGCGATTTCTCATCCGCCCCCCTGGTCTCTTGGCGCTGCCGAAGACGAGCGAATGCATCCGAAAGCATCCGAAAGCATCCGAATGCACCAGCACCACCGCGACCGCGCCGAAACCGGGGCGACTGACAAATGCATTGTGTGTAACATTGGGTTCCAGACAGCTCGCTCTGCCAACATCACCCCGTCCACCGCCGATCCCGATCGCTGCGTCGTCTGGGGCAGCCGGGGCCGCTTTGCCTCCATGTCGATGGCGGCACACCAGCGCTGCTCGACTGCCGTGGCTGATGCATCGGCATCCAGGGCCGCCGTGTGCCAAGGCGACAGAGAATGTGGGTGTGAGTGTGTAGGCCGTGTCCTCGCTGCCGCTCTCGCTCTCCGAGATGGGCCAGCTCCACCGAATCGTTAGCTTTGTTGTATTTGTTTGGGATATTCACATTCGGTAACCTCGTTTCAACGCACAGGTAGAGAAATTCAGAAGCAGGTTGACACCATCGGCGGGAGGGCGTCGACCGAACAAGTCAAAAAAAAAAAAAGACATGCAATTGGCAGCCATAGCAGAAGGGAGCAGACCTCAAGGCAAAGACAGAGATGCATGGCACCCCGAAGCTCGGGGAACCAAAATGAATACAGCCATGAGATTCAGGGATGGGTTTCGATGACAGGCAGCCCACCGAGCAGGGACTGCCCAGCCCAGTCGCTTGGATTGACTCGGGTTTTGTGTCGGCTGCGCTCAGGAATGCCGCACACGGAGCAGCCGAAAGCGCCGCACTACCGGACTGTGGCAACGCTCTGCGAATCGGTATCGTCGTATCGGTTGATCGGATCGTCCATGTTCTCATAGGATGGAAGCCGAATCACATCCGGCAGAGACTCGATGCTGGCCATTTGCACAACCCGACGGTACGAGGGGAGCCGGTGCAACGAGCTTCGGAAGCGATCGCCAAAGCTCAACCGCGGCGTGAATGCACGGAGGCTTGTCGTGCCGGTCTCGGCATTTTCATTGATCGTCGGCGGATCCGAGCTGAGGGCTTCCACGGTTTGGTTGGAGTGTTGGTATGTTGGGAGGCCCTCTCCGGGATCATCGTAGCCAAACGTGACAGTTCGCAGGTTGCGCCAGTCATCGTTTGTGCCAGGCACGACGGTCACTGGAGCGGTGAAGCTCACCGTCTTGGCGTTGTTGAAGTGGATCGTCAGAACGCAGTAATGCTCGATGTGCACGATGGACCAGTCGCCCGAAGGATGAAGCGACCAATCGTCCTCAAAGTGGGCTCGGTAAGAGTCGACCGTCGTGTCGTTGAATCGAACCGAGTTGGGGATGGGGTCGATATGAATCATAGCCTGCATCCAGTCAAAGTGAGAAACATCCCTGGGTGAGTGGGAGACCGGGAAGTCGCCGATCGCGCGGGCGGGTCGTCGATGACATGGCTTCGAGTTGCCGGAGCAATCATCGCAGCCCAGAGCCATCCACAAGCCCGACCAGGACGGTCCGCGAGCAGCCACGGATTCTACTTACTTCGGTAATCAGATCAAAGCGGTCGCTCGGCTCGGCCTTCTTAACCCACCACATCACCCGATCCGTCGAAGATAGACTCTCCTTCTGGAAGGATGTGAGCTTGCGGGTCTCAAACAGCTCCCACTGGAGCTCGCTGACCGAGACGCCGTCGATGCAAGTGACCCAGTACCGCAGAACAATGTCGCCGGCTCTGGAGATGATGCTCCGGTCAACAGAGACCATCCACGAAGCATAGCTGTTGACCCTCTGCCATATGATGGGCACAGGGTCAGCCAGGATCTCAGGGAGTATGTTCATGTTCCAGGCATCGATGGGAACATTCTGGTCGAATTCGATCGTCGACGACTTGAAGAGACTCTCCTTGAACTGGACAAATGTTCTCAAAAAGTAGGCGCAGCCACCCACGGGTTTGCCCGGAGATGTCTCAAATGCCATGCTCGACGGAAGAGCCATGCCGTTAAGGGTGCCCTTTGTGCAGCATGTGGGGATGGAGAAGCGGAAGGCTGACTCAAACGTTCCTCCCGGCGATAGGACGAGCTCCGGAGGCTGCTTTTTCGACATGCGCTTTTGCTCCGACGGCGTAGGGCCGACATAGACTTTGGTCGACGATAGCCAAGGCGTGCAGAAGAGCGTCCACACAAGACCAGACCGATTCCGACACAGGCAGACCAATAATGAGCCAAATGGAGGATGCGTCAGTAAAGCAGAGGGGCATGTGTCATCGTGCGAAAATATCGGCTGATGCAGGGGTCAGGCGATCGACCATTCAGCGTTTCGCAGCGATAAACAGTGTCCAGGCTGTGGTTGAAGGCCGGGCGACAGGCGGAAAAATGCATGGCTGGTGATGGGCTGTGAGTCGCAAGCGGGGTGGCAAGACAGCTGCGCCAGCGGACCGAGAGGGCGAGTGGATGACGACGCTGATGCAGAGTGCAGCTGGACTCAGGACGCTACTCACTGCTGGTGCCGGCTGTGATGAGGTGGCGGTCGATGAAGACAAGTTGCGGCCCATAAACGAGTATCGTGCCTGCCAGCGAGCGAACGATTGGACGAGAATATAAATACATCGGCCTGCTCTATCGATGGCGACCGCTGCTCGGATCGGCTGCGGATGCCAGGTCATAAGCAGCGACATGACGAGGGGCCGGCCAACAGCCTGGCCGATAGTCCAGCGCGATGTTGGCCAAGGGGGTGGATGATGCCGGTTGTGGTATTGGACAAGGCTGGCTCACCCTTGAAGGCAATCGTCAGACGCTTGATGGTGATCGGTTTGGAGGTGACGTTCCTGACGACAATGTTCCCGACGACAACGCCATCGACACCGGCGAAACCTCTGACGAGAACCGATTCGTTTCGCCTGGGCTTGAGGGTGATCTCCAGTTTTTGGGGTTTCATGGTGGTGGTGGTGGGGACTGGGCGAGCAGATGCAGCGAGACAGATGCAGCGAGGCAGAGGCAGGACAGGAGCAGCGGTGCTTGTGCAGGAATCAGAGCAAATATGAGATCCAGACAGAGTCGGACTGCCGAATGGCTCCGAGGGAAAAGCACGGAGCAGCCAGTGGACTTGGCAAGAGGCGAGATATGGGGACCAGCCAGATGGCGCAAGAACAGCAATGCAAGAGATATGGACGGGCACATGAGGCCGCAGCAAGGGCCGCACATGAGCCGGTGCACAAACACAGACACAGCGAGGGCGAGGACGAGCGAGAAGGCGCCGAGGACGAGCGAGATGGTAGGCGAGAGGACGGGCGAGAATGTCCAGCCACAGAGACAGCGCAGACACAGACACGAATGGCTGGCAAGACACGCCCGCACAGCAGCACCACAGGAATAGCGGCGTGGCAGCGCGGCACCGTCACGGGACACAGGGACACAGGGGCACCTCAGTGGATCACCATGGGCATCTGGCCACTCAGACAGCGCACGCAAGCTGTCCCATGCTTCGCGGTAGACCCTCGCACCAACGCGCCGGCATGGGCGCCTTGGCGGCAAGTATTCGTGTGTGTGTGTGTATGTCAGTTGGAGACTGCGCAGTGTCAGTGGGATACTGTGGATGTCAGTGGGATACTGTGGATGTCCAGCACAGCCCCCGCGCAGTCAGCGCAGCACGTCGGTGCCAAGGCGGCTCGTTTTCGTTCTCGTCCAGGGCCATCGGCTCCAGGGCCATCCGTTCCAGGGCAACGAATGTTCCGAGACGCAGATTCCCTGGGTGCGTCTCGCTCACTCATGACGATCGGCTCGACTCGACTCGAGCACAGCCAGCCCGCATCCTGCGCATCTCCCACAGCGACCGCCGGGTTGGGCTTGTGTCTGTCTGTCCGAGCTACTCGACACGCACCAGCCCCCCGACCATGGCAGGGGCTGTTCGCCATATTCCACGCCTGGGCTGCAGCAACGGCGACTCGAGCACAATCCCAAGGTTCCCAGGGGTTCCCAGGGGCTCCCAGGGGCACCCAGGGGCTCCTTGGGACATCCAGAGACGGGCGACTGTCCATGAGGGCCAGACCCGCACCAGCACAGACCCCCACAAGCCGCGGGCGCGATGTATTTTACGGGGCCGGCGCCGTCTGGGCGTCGCGCTCTGGGTATCGCCGTCCAGCGAGTTGCCGCTTCTGTTTCTTGTCCACTCTCCTCCAGGCCACTCTATCCACCGATCGCATCCGCCAGATCGCTCGCAATCGTGCGTCCCTGTATCCGCCTCTCCGCTCCACTACGAGATCGCTCGGCCGGTCGGCGCACCTGGTCTCCCGACCGCTCCGTTCCGATGCTCGCCAATGAGCCACTCCCCCAAGCCAGCATTTTCTCTGGCTTCATGCTTTCCAAGCCGCTGCTTGCTCGTCGATGGCGGCCAAGGACCAGCACGCTGATCGTCTTGATCATCGCCAGTGCCTTGCTGGCGCTCGTTCTGCGCACCCTCGATACCCGCCAGGCTGCCCGCATCGCCATTCTCAATGAAATCGGGCTGCCGTACTTGCTGTACAATGACGTCACTCCCATCCGCGACTCGGAACTCGGGCTTGTCTCGGACCCAGGTACAACCAACTTTGCTGGAGCTGCAGCGGCCACACGCTTCCATCGAGCAATCAGTTGCGCATCGAGCAATGCCAATCCTCTCTGCGTGCATGGCGCCGGCGTTACTCGCCCGTCACCGGGGTTGTTGCTCAGCTTCCCTCATCCCACTCACCCGATACACCTCTCGCCAGGCTCGGTCGTCAGCAAAGGTCTTCTCGTCCACGGGGAGCTGGCTGGCGTTTTCACCATCTTCAACATATCCCGCTCGTTGGGATGCCAACTGCCGATCGGATACGTACTCTCGGTGGAATCTTTTGCCCTTCTCTCGGCCAACGAGCTCTTCCAGATCCGGTGAGGGCCGCACCAGTCCGCAATGATATCCTCTCGACTAATCGAAGCTGATGCTGAAGCTGAAGCTGCAGCTGACGCCCGCCAGCCCAGCAAACAGACTGACCTTCAACATGATCTCTGACCCCAAATCGCATCACCAACAGCGAGCACCAGATCGATCTTGTGGTCGTTCGATCGTCGAGCGAGCCCAATGCGTCACAATCGCCGCGCTTAACCGAGCACGGCATTCTTCCGCCGACAGCGGTGCAGGCGGCTCTGGCATCTCGCTTCGATCAAGCTTTGTGGATGAGCTCCGACACCGTCCCGCTCTCCGATCCGTCTGCTTTGTTTGATCTTCCTCAGTTCCGCCAAGACGGCATCCTCACCTGGCTTCGACCGAGCCTCGGCAGATCGAGCCCATCGACCGTCGACTCCCATGCTAGCGGCGTCTATCTGATTGATCGGCGTCGACACAAGGACATGCTACATGAGGTAGCAGTACTTGAGAAGCAGTCGGCTTCACAGGTAACTCTCGACTCAGACAGCGGCCATACACGCATGCCCGCTGGCTTGGTGGTCCTGTGAGTCACAATATGGCTGATATATGCCGGATAGGCCATTCTAAACGCAAATGCCAAATGCTGTGCTTTCTCTGACAGACGAGGTCGCAATCATCACCCCACGGCGATCAGCTCCTCTTTCCGCGAGTAGCTACCCGTCTCGCAAGCCCAGAATCGGTCTGGGCCCACAATGACTCGAGCAGCGCCAAGATTTGTGCGCTGGCATGGGTCCTGGGCTCTCCCGGAGCACCCCATTTCATTCAGAGCTCGGGCGAGATTGAGCTTCCTGCACCTCTCGATATCCGTGGGCCGCTATTCAGCGCCGTGTGCTCGGCATCGGAAAAGCACCAGCGTCCTGCACGATGGAAGATACATCGCCAAACACATCCGAACCCGACCCTATCAGAGTGCCTCATGCCCGCTGAAGAAGCGGATATGGAGTGCACCGCACTGCCACAGGCCCACCATGAGTTTAACGACATCTATGCGGCGGCGTGGTACTGGGCTGCTCAATCGGTCGGTCGTTACCGCGGAGTCCTGTCGGCGGGCTGCAAGTCGCCGCGATATCATGCACCTGTCGCCCCTGTCCGGACACTCACATATGCTGCCTATCGGAGCGACCTCAAGTCTATGCTCAAGTCCATGCCTCCATTTACGTACGCTCGGTCCCGGGTTCGTCCGGGCACCCGAGGCATCGTCATGACGGGGGGCCCCAAGGACGTCGGCAGAGTGATCGGGCTTGTCCGGCACCTCCGAGCCGTTGGCTGCCTGCTTCCTGTCGAGGTGCTCTACTTTGGAGACGAATATTCTGCTGACGTGGCGGCGCGGCTGCGGTGAGTTTATGCGCATGATATCCCCTTTGTCCTCTCAAGTCACGGCATTCTGTGCAGTGCAGTGCAGTGCAGGTTCTTGTTCGTCATGCAGTGTCGGGCCACAGGCAGTGGACATTGTCTGTGTAGTCGCACTCCGGGTAGAGTCTCGTCGCAAAGCTCCCATCCATGTAAACTCACACCTATCGATTTTCGATTTTCGCAGCACCGTCAATGTGACGGCTCTTGACATGTCCGATCCCAGCCATGTGGCGTTTCCGATCCAAGCGATCAGCAGTCTGCGGTCGAAAAAGCTAGGATCCGGCAAGCTGCCATCGATTGTTGGATCGTCGTTCGAGGAGGTCCTCTATCTCGACCCCGACAACTTTCCGGTGCGCGATCCAAGCTATTTGTTCGATAGTCCCGAATATCGGCTCGCCGGGACGGTACTGTGGACGGACTACTGGCGAACGAGTCGCTGGAACCCGATTTGGCATACGATGGGTCTGTGTTGGGAGCGTGAATGGGAAACAGAAAGCGGAATGGTCCTGGTGCACAAGCGCAAAGCCTGGCGTGGACTTGTGACGGCGCTTTACATGAATATCCACTCGGATTTTTACTATCAGGTAAGCCGACTCCGATGGATTGAGGCTGGTGTGGGTGGATCTTGCGGCTCACCTTATATCGCACCACTCACTCACTCACTCACTCACTCACTCACTCACTCGCTCACAGCTGATCTTTGGGGACAAAGACACCTTTCGCTTCGGCTACAAGGCATCTGGCACACCGTACTACGCCAATCCCTACTGGGTCAATGCCCTGGGCTCCTTCAACAGCCTGGGCTACTTTTGCGGCACGTCGATGCTGCAGTCCGATATCTCTGGAAACTACTTGTTTGTGCATGCGAACCTGGTCAAGTACGATCTGGATCCGATCAACAGCTATGCCAACGGCGATCCGTTTGCCTGGATCGTGACCTTTGATGTTCCCCGTGGCCACGAAATCGAGTTGGCCGATTCGTTTACTGAGCTGCAGGGACGCATCTCGTTTTCGTATCTGCGGGGACTGGGACTGGGGTGGCGAGGCGGCTGCGTCGAGCTGGGCCCGTCGACAGCACGCTTTGAGCAGGTTGGTCTGCGTCGGGAAAGTAAGTATCTGGTGCCATTGCATTTGAGAAGGCCGCCATGGCGGCGACCGAGATGTGCGCAACTGACGCTGTCTGCATCTATTGGCCTCTCTCTGCGGCTTCAGGATTCGACGCCATTGCGCCTGACTTTACCGAGCAGTACATGCAGTCTTGGTATGGGTACTCCAGCCCGGAACCAATCCAGCGTGACCCGTCCCTCGGTCCGCAGTGAGGGCACAGTCGATGCCGCTTGCGCAACAGCGCATTCCGCCGCCACCGTGTCGGCCCACCCTCTCTTTCTCTCTGCGTCTCCACTTCTCTCTCCCCGCCATTCTGACCCAATACATCGCCGCGCCGTTCCACCACCAGCAGCAGCAGCAGCATCACACCACCGCAGCAGCACAGCAGCTCGTCTCCATGACCAGCACTCCATGACTGGCGCTCCATGACTGGCGCTGCGCATCGGATGCACGTGGCAAAGTACCTTGCTGCCAGCCAGCCGTTGGCCGCGCGTGTGGTGCTGAAACCGGCCGTCACCAAAGAAGCGGGCGACGAAGAAAAAAAGTGCAAGCCAGGCCGTTGTCGTCTGCGCCAGCCCCCCTCGCTTTTCTCTCATCACCCACCGCCCTCACCCGTCCGCACCACCAGCACCAAACGACATGGACGTGCTCAAGCTTGCCGAGGCTGGCGATGCCGAGGCTCAGTATCAGATTGGCTTCTTCTACGACATTGGCGACACGGACGAGTTCCCCCAGTCCTATGAGAAGGCTGTCGAGTGGTATTCCAAGGCTGCGGAGCTGGGCCATCCCCAGGCCCAGTCCGAACTTGGCCGCTGCTACGCCGAGGCCCTGGGCGTCTCCCAGGACGACGAGCTGGCGCTGCGATGGTACCGAAAGGCTGCGGAGCAGGACGACGTGAATGCCCAGGTCATGGTCGGCGTCTTCAACCTCAAGGGCCGGGGTATGGACCGACCGTCATTCGACGAGGTGAGTGGCCGTCTATGGCTCGGGCTGGCGAACTCCTGGCGACGGGGTAGTTGCCGCTGCTGGAGGCTTCCCTGCACTCGGACCTGCTGGGTCGGCTCTGGCAAGTCGATGGCGCCCAATTCACTCTTGATATGGCTCTCTTCCATCATCCAACATAGGCGGCTCTCTGGTTCCAGAAGGCTGCCGATAACGGCGACGCCGAGGCCCAGCGCCGGCTCGCCTTCCTCTACCTCGAGGGCAAAGGAGTTGCTGGTGACAGATTGCAGGCCATCCAGCTCTTTGAGCGTGCGGCTGCCAATGGCGACGACATTGCCCTGGTGCATCTCGGCGATATGGTCCTCGATGAAAGCCCGCTCAAGTCGGGCGACTGCTACGAGAAGGCCGCAAGCCTGGGCAACCGCCTGGCCCAGTACAAGCTCGGCCTGCTCTACCAGAGCGGCCGCGGCCGCGAGAAGGACGTCTCCGAGGCGCTGCGAATCTTCTTGGAGCTCGAACAGGGCGGCGTCGACTACTCAGGCCTCTGGAGCTTTGGCGAGCTGCTGTCCCATATCCACAAATGCTACGAGAGCCTCGGAAACACCGAAGAGGCGGCCTATTATCTCGAGGAGGCCTCGCACTTTTCCCCCAAGTAAACGGCGACGTGCCTCGAACTCTCCGGTCAGGCCGAGATGGTGAAAGGGACAGATCCGACGATGTACACCGCTCATCCCTGCTCATCCCTTGCTCGCCCCATGCCAACTCCATTGCCACCGATTCTTCGCTATCAGCTCTGCCATTCTCTGCCATTCTCTGCCATTCTCTGCCATTCTCTACCATGCCTCGCCATGCTCCACCATGATTCGCCATGCTGCATCACCTGTCTGCATTCCATTCGCATGTCCGCCACCACAGTTGTTGTTCTCGTCTTGGCCACCCAAGGTTCTTTCGTTTGCCCCGCCCTGTATTGACTCTTCGGCTTCTTCAGGCCACCCAGCGCTCGCTGTCCACCGACAGCCCATGGTCTCAGCCTTCGCTCTTTCTCTCTTTCTCTCCGATAGTGGGATGCTCGTTTGCCAGCCCCGCTCCCCCTTTCCTCTTGTCCAAGTCGCTCTTCTCCAGCCATACCCTGGCGGCCAGGGCATTGGCAGCTTTCCGGATCGACACCTCAGCTGTTTCGCTGCAGCGGTCGTTGCTGCAGCGTTGCGATGCCGATACGGTTCTCGCTTCTCTCGGCGGCGAGTCGATTCTGCCCATGTTCCTCCGTCATCATAGCCGAGCAATGGCTTTCTTTCTCGATATTTCCTGTCCTCTCGATGCTCTCACGAATACATAGCGCTTTCGCTTGACTTTGCTTGATGTCGTCCGCTGTCGATGCCACAGCAGTGAGGCCAAGCAGTCCGCCCAGCGACGCATGTGCTGCACCAGATCACATCCAAATACACCGAACCCGCCAGAGTGCGGCCCTGAGACCGGGGGGTGTTGCTGGCTTCCAGCCTCCGACACATTTCCTTCCTTGCACCGGTCGTCTCGCTTCCCTCCTCCCCCCTGGCCCCCATCTCAACAGCCGGCCTTTTCGCTTCAGGTCCTGCAGCAGCTCAACCTGGTCCTCCGTCCCACACCGAGCAGCACGTTCCTCTGACGTTGGCGGTCGAGCACACTGGTCCATCGCCCGCTGGCCATACGCCTCTCCTCAAATCTCTCACGATGACGCTCTCCAGCCTGCAAATCGAATCGCTGCTTGCCGAGGCTTCGTACGAATGCATCGTGCCAGCAATCGACTCGGTCACTTCCGACTGCCTCGAAATCCCTCTTCGCGATGTCGCCTACTGGGGTAAGGGTGCCGAATCGCTGCACAGCCGGGGGTCGCTTCGGCGCTGTCGTCGAGATGCTGAAACACAGACCCGGTCGGTTATCGCCTCGCCAAACGAATCTTTGCTGATGCAAAGCCGAGTCGAACCGATCCCTCGGGCCTGGATAACGTCGGCGATCCCTTTGGTCGAATGGCTCCACAGAAGAATGCCTCGGGCAGTCTTGACCTGCAGGGCCCGACTTGCTGCCGTGCCGATTTGATGCAGCCGCCCTGTCTGATCTGCCATCGCATCTAACCTCGTGGTTCTGCCGTTCCTCGTTTGTGGCCGGGTAGATGAGGTGCTGTCGTTCTACCTTTGCGCAAATCCCTCGGAGAACTGCCCAATTGCTGCCACCGCAGAGTCGCTTCCGTCGATAGCCCAGGCGATCTCGATCCAAATCACGGCCACCCTGACCTCAAGCGAGTTTCCCTCGACCGCCTACAACTCCTCCGAGAGTCTGGCCGATGTCTCGGCCTCAGCCAGCTACAACGACATGAGCGCAGCGAATGCTGAGGGCATTGTCGCCAACCCGAGCCTCTCGGTTCAAACGACCGTGTCGGCGCTTCCTGCTGCGGTGCTATCGACCATTCGCGGCAACTATAGCGTCCCCATCCCGGGTCTGAACCAGATGAAGCGCAACCCTGCATATCGCCGCGATACCATCAACAGCCCCATCGCCGCTGCTTCTCCTATGGCCGCAGCAGCAACCAGACGCACTCGCGGCAGCACCATTGCCGTCATCTCGTCGAGACCATCGGACTCGCCTGTGGTCGAGAGCGCCGTGTCCGTTTCCAAGGAGCCGGCCGAGGAGGTCATGCTTTCATACACGTACCACTACACAGAGGAGGTCGAGGATCTGCCCATTCTGCTTACCGATGGACGAATTTTGTTTCCGCTCAAGGTTCCTCTGGGTAAGCTCTGTCTGTCCAGGCTCATTTCATCGGATTCCGCACCACTGTCCTGTCCATTCCCTGGACTGCAAGCTGAAGCAAGCAGCTTGCGGCGGTGTACTCGCAACGTACCCTTGGCTATCTGGCAGTGCGTTGATGTCCTGGGACTCTGTCGCTGGCACTCCAGAGATTATCCATAACAAGGCCGGATCGTCAAGTCGCTCCAAGCTCGTGCTCAACATCTCGGTTGCACCCAAACCCAGCTCGTGGTCCGAGAACAATCGCGACAACTGTGACCTCGATACCTTTGATGCAGTCAATTTGCTGGAGGGGCTCTCTATAGGTATGGATGCCGCCCACTCCGCCGATAGCGCAGCGATTGCTCAGCCTAAGAGTCTGGAGCTTGTGCCAAAAGCAGCCCTGCTTCCTGGGCTCTTGAACATCTCGGCGACTGCCATCCATTGTTCCTTGCCCGTCACTTACAACATGATATCCGCCACACCGCTGCCACGGGCCCGGCAACGCAATATGTCTCCAAATGCACTCGCACGCTTGCTTTGAACCTCGACAACGGCTCAAGACCAGTACTTCAACCCCCACAGCATCCCCTCCCATCGTCTGTCGCATCAGCATCGACGGATCCCTGGTCTGCCGGCGCCAACCGGCCCCACAAGGGTACCGAAGGTCGTCCGGATGGTCTTGCCGCTCTCCGAGTTTCTGACCGTGCGCTTCAACACCAATCTCATCACTCCCGAGACCATGATCCTGTCCGTCAACATCTCTAACAACCACACCAAGCACCTATTTGACTTTATCGTGAGCTCGGTGCGGGTCGAAATGACCAACGCCATGGTCGCCTACATCCAAGGAGACATTGGCTCGGTAGGATCATACGTCCCCACCCCTTGCTCTGAAGAGCGCAGACATTGCCTGTTTCTAGAGGCCCTTGTCTGGTTGAAGCTTGCTCTGAGCCAGCAGGCAACAGTTGCTTGGGCCGAGCGCCGGCGATTGCCCCATCTAGCTTTGTTCGTACTCACACGGCCTCGACCTTTTGTATCGCTTCTCCTGTATCTTGGATACACTTCCCGCTACACATCTGCAAGGCATTGCCTGTTACACTGAAGCCTCTCGAGGAGATCGACCTGGTTTACAAAGTCTCGTTCTTGGACGCCGGCAGCGGCAGCGTCGAAGAGTCCCAAAAGCGGCAAAGAACCGGGGCCCGGCTCCACAACCCTCCGCAAGAGTCGATGGTCTCGCTGTTCTCGGAATCGAATCAAATGGGTCGCCTGATCAACGTCTTGATCGAGGGCATTCCGAGCGTATGCGGCATTCGTGGACAGACTGTCTGGTCCGAGTACTACTGTTGGGCACAGTCCAGCCCCGGTATCGGTATCGGCACGGCATCCTTCCAAGGCACCGGGATCCACGGCCGCAAGCATCTTGTGCCCAAGCGCATCATCCATCTCCGATCGTCGACGGCCGAGAAGACAGGGGAAACCGTGGGCGGGGTGTCGATTGTGTTCACTGGTAGGTTTCCGTGGGTACCAAAGCCCGGGCGGACCAGGCATGTGTGTGTGCGAGCGATACGAGTCAAATCGGTATCGTCGGGTGCAGTTGATCTTACCGAGCTGCTTGACGGATGTACCATGTGATGCCCTATCCCTCATAGTCTCTCTGCATCTATATTTTTGATTTGCTCGACAGTGGTATCGCCGGTCTCTCTATGCAAGATCTTCTCGATACAGGCCTTCTTTGTCAACAAAACGTCCCGGATCCGCAACTTTTCGCTGATCATTCCCCAGGCCCAAAAGAGAGACAAGTTCAAGACTGCCACTGGCAGCTCGTTTGAATCCAAGCTCTCTGTGAGCTACGAGGGTAAGTGGGTCTGGTGCGTGCTGTTTGGAGCGTGCTGTTTGGAGCGTGCTGTTTGGAGCGTGCTGTTGGTGCTTGCTGATACGCTGACTGGTCATGTTTTGGGACGGAACAGAGATGGTGGAGAGCTACACCGAGGACTGCAAGACCGATGCCTCGCTCGTCTGCCTCGAGAGCGAAGTGAAACTCGGGTACGTATCGCCTCGGCTGGCATCGCCAGCGCGTGGCCCAACAACCCGAGTCCAGCAGCATCATTGCTATCGTGGCCCTGACATTGCTCCGCTCGGCTGTGCGCTGGCGTGGTGTGGTCGCTCAGACCACTCCGGCCCAACACTTGCCAGTCCGTCTACCTGCATTTTATTGCCACAAAGGGCAACTTCCACACCCTCGAGACCATCCAGGTCCTCGACCGCGACTCGGGCAAGATCGAGGAGCTCAAGAACGTGCTGCAGATCTATGTCAAAAGCACCGCCGCGGGAGGGGAGTTGGCTTGATGCCGCGTCGTCTATACACTATATCGCCGTTGAACATCCCTGCTGATGGTCCCTGCCATCGAGGTCTCGTGCGCCATGTTCCAGACCCAAAGCCCGTTGCTGCCCCGCACCCATGGCCGCTTCGCCCGGCTCTGCGTCTCGGTCGCCTCTTTGTCGCACGCCGCCCTGTCTCTGGGCACTCCCAGCACGACACCAATTGCGGCCAGTGTTTGTTGGTGCGCTTGTTGGCTCTTGGTGGCACGGTCCAGCGCAGGCCACAGGCGGCGCCAGGGCGGCCAGCAAGCTGGTCCTTCCTGGAGGACAGGGCCTCAAGACCCAGTCGTCAGCGAGGGGCGGTCGGCTGTGTCTTTCTCTTCCTGCCGAGCGATCCATCTGCTGCCTGCTTCTGAGGAGCCCCCCCTCCAACCGTACGTCTCCTGCAGCACGCCTCTGTCTGTCGATGGCATAGTCCAGAACAGCATCGCCGGCTTACTGTCTCCCATAACCAACGCATGGCCTGCTGCATTCGGGAATGGGCTCGGTGCTTTGGAGGGGGGAATGGGGTTTTGGTCGCATGCATCTCCACAACAGCATTTTCCTGGCGGATGCTGCTGTTCTGGCTGCGGGCCGTTGGTTGGTTGGTCGGTCGACTCTGGACTTTGCTGGCAAAGCATCTCCTGCTCGGCTGTCGAACAGCCCAGGATCACCATCCAACCTCGTCTCTCCTCCGTCCTCACACGAAACAGCCCGTTTCCCCCACAACACACTCTCTGATTCAGGTTGCTCGTCTCGATTGCATGGAGCCCATACCTACGCCGCAGTTTGTTCTGCCGACCTCGGTGGACGAGGCCGAGAAGTGGAAGATCAGCCCACAGGACATCAAGGACGGCGTCGCCAAGGCCAAGAACATCATCAAGGCTTCTGAGAAGCTCCGGAAGACGCTGTCGGCTGTTGCCACCGCTTACTACGACTATGGCATCAGCGTCAAGGAGCTGGCCTCGACCAAGTCGGTTCGAACGGTCGAGTTGCTAGGCTCGCCCAAAGGTCGGTTGGTTGCTGGCTTGCATGGCGGCTTGTTGATGCCAGCTCGCTCATGCCAGCTTGCTTGTGCCATCTTGCTCATGTCGGTCCTCCGGAACGGTTATGGACAGCCAAATAGGCGCTGCTTCCTGTCGGTGGGGTCCCACTTCGGCAAGGACCCCAGCCGATATTTCTCTTTGATTTTGTCGACGATCATGCATGATCTACCCGGGCGAGCGAGCCAAGCTCGAAGGATCCGTTCGGTTAGGCTACTGACCACTGCTTGCCTCCTGCCGCCTGCAGGTCTCGACACCTATGCCAATGCCCACCTCCAGCTTGCTCGCCACATCCGGGGACTCGTAGGTTTATCTCGCTGCTTCCGCCTCGCTCGGCTGTGGCTCAGCCCAAGGCATAGACAGATGCAGCGCTCGCAGTCAAGGGAAGAGCGATGGGGGCGGTGTACTCACACTGCATGTTGCCATCCATGTTGCCATCCATGTCCAGGGCGACTGTTTGTACAGGTCCATCGAGCAGAGCATCCCGACAACAGTGGCGACCCACAACATCAGTGTCCAGGTACGAACTTGGGCTGATGAGCAGCTGCAGCATGCGGGAGTGAGATAGTGTTCGGGGCTGGCCGACAGCCTCCAAGAGTCGGGTACCTTCCCTATCCTCCCCCGCCCAGCACAAGCGACAGCAGGATACAACACGCTGGCGACGATCATTCGAGTCTGGGCTGATTGGACATCCGACAGCCGGACCGGGGCATTCTTCGTTACATCAAGGGCTGCGGGTCGGCCGTGGGCTGCCGTCGCTTGCGCCAACGCTCCCATCCGCCCTTGCTCGTTCGTGCATACCTTCTTACTCGACCGCGACTGTTTCTACTGCACAGTACCACGACCGAGTCGTTGCTCGCCAGAATGAGGAACAGGATAAGAAGATCCAGAAGGCCGAAACCGAAATCAACAAGCAGCGACATCGAGCCTCCGAGGCCGACAGGGCCGTCCAGGATGTCATGACCATCAAGGCCCTGACGGACGAATGGGTTCGCATCAAGAACCTCGGTATCCTCGCGACCTTGAAGGAAGAGTCCAAGTTTGTCTCCCAGATCTACGCGCACCTCCTCAGTGTCGCTTCCAAGGAGCGGGAGGCCTTCCTCGAATTCGACCGTGTGATGATGAGGAAGTTTGGCGGTCAGTCGGATGACGATCTCGCTCGAAATGAATCGCATCTGGCCACACCGATTACAGCTGTATCGGCGTCAGGCCAGGGCCTCAGCGCGACCGAGCTGCCCCCGACTTCAGCGGAACTGTTGGATGTCCCCGAGCCCGGCCCACCCCGAGAGATGAACAGCTCCGTCGGGGCCGAGCGCCAGTCGAGCAGCTCGCCAAGGATCCTCGACGACATGCTGACGCCGCAACCGGCTCCGCAGCTGGTTCCGCAGGGAATGGTCAATGTGGTATCGCCAGATGAGTACTTTGAGTTCTCAGACGTCCCCAACCACGATGTCTATATCCCCGTCTCGAATTCGGTCCAGGAAATGGCCTCGGTGGACGACTACATGAGTGGCTTCGAGGAGTCGCCCTATATCGACCCGATGCAGTCCCCCGCCCCTGAGCGGAAGCCTTTGCCTGGCATTCCTGCGGAAGCCGTCGGCATGTCCGTGACGGTGACTCCCATCGACAGGTCTCCTTCTTCGCACGGCTCCAACTCCAACGCCAACCCTCCCAAGCTTGTGCCGCCTTCGCGTGGCGACAGCTTGATGCCCAGCCTCGGCATTAGCCAGTTCCCTCCCCACGCCAATGTCGTCAGTCAGCTGGCCAAGCATGTGCAACTGCGGACACAGCTTCCTGGTCTCGAAAGCCACGCAGAGCCGCTGGCAGAGAGTGCCCACCCACAGCCCGCCCCAAGTGCGGACCTGCCAAACTCACCGAAGGATATGCCGCAGTACCTGGCAAGTCTCGCCATGCAGGATCCCGAGGCTCGCGTAGTCCAAGGCTTGCAACAAACCGTTCAACTCAATGTTCCTGCACAGCTCAACGTCCCGGCACAGCATTCAGAGCCGTCAACGTCGTATCACACCGACGAATACAAGCCATACGAGCCTCGTGGCGAACGCACGACAGGCACTCCCAAGGTCATTCTGCCGGCCACCGAGTCGCTGCGACCTCAGCCTGGGTCGTCGCGCGATTTGGGTTCCTCGAAGAGGCAGGAGGACCTGCGCAAGTCCATGAGCACCTTCAAAGAAAAGGTCGAGCGCCGCGACTGGATTCTGGTTGACCCCAACGCCGATCCGACCTTGGGCGTGGATGAGACGCCAAGGATATATCGGTCGCTGCCACGCGTGGGTGCCTCCCCTCGACCGCCGATGGTGAAGCTGCAGACGCGCGACGACCTGTCGCTGACCTCATCGCCGACGCCGAGCCAGTTCAAGCTTCAGCTGGCCGGATTTGGCAACCGGTTCAAGAAAATCATGGGATTGAAGCCTCAGGCTCCCACCCAAGTCCACATTCCAATCATGGAGAACTCTCCATCCTTCAGTGTACGGAGCACATCCGTGGCGCCGTCCAAGGCCAGCGACGAGTCTCTGACAGACACAAGCGATACTGCCGGTGAAAGCGAGTCGCAAGAGCCCGTAAAGCCTGGAGCCAAGACTGGCCGTCGAGTCCACTTTGCCAGCTCGCCGATGGTGCAGCACCTCGACTCCGATACCGAGAGCGCTCCGCTGGATGAGGAGGACTTTATCGCCATTCCTCAGAACCTGCACGAGGCCGTGATGGATAAGCTTCCGCAACATGTGCGCTCCGAGCTCAACGAGGCGGCCCTGGATCAAGCCGAGGGTGCTCCTGAAGTACCAGACATACCGGCTCCTGAAATGGCTGCTCGGGCTGCCTCGGGCTCGGGCTTGGGCTCGGGTGTGGCACAAGAGCGTGATGCTTCGAATGGCGACCTGCGCCCCGATGCACCGGCTCTCCAGGACCAGATCAAGCAACCCGCTGAGCCACTGGAAGGGCCCGAACGACAAGATAAGGAGGCGGTCACTTTGACAGTTGGCAACGTTTCTCGACGGCCCAACGTCGTGTTCCCGGTCGAGGCCGATGTCGAAAGCATGAAGGGAACCGTTGTGGATGAGGATGTCTCCTACGAGCCGAGTCTGGCTACAACCAGCGCCCTTGGCATTCGCCCGTCGTCAAGCCAGATCGGAGCACGCAAGGAGCTTGTTTGGGTCATCCACAACCACATTGCTCGCAGCGACCGCGAAATGACCATCGCCAAGGTAAGTCTGCTTTGCTGCCTGTGGTTGTGCGCGGTGGGGTTTCTTCCTGGGAGAGGTCGTTGGCATGCTACCAGCGACTCGGCCAGTTCGCTAACGTAGGGCCGTTCTCCAGGGCGATGTTGTCTCGGTGCGCAAACGACACGGCACCTGGATCTATGGAACAAAAGTGCCGCCCGAGCTACTGAAGCCGCAGATCCCACCCGAGCGCACGAGCTCCAAGAGTTCACTCGCCAGTCCAACCGGTGCTGGAGAGCCCAAGCTCGTTAGCTCGCTCTTCACGGACGAGCGACAGGCCAAGAATGTGCCCCTGACAAACCCGACCACCCGCCCGGTCGCCGGCTGGATTCCTGCCTCATATGTCACGCGATTCTCGAGTGCATAATACCATGCTCCAGTGGCTGGCGAGCGGCAACGTTGCCGGTCAAGCATCACAGGCCATGGTGTCCACAATGAAGCGGGGCATTCTGTTATTTGAGCATGTTGGACTATTTTCTTTCTGTATCCTGAATACATCCGTGTATCGTGAGCGCCCCAAGAGCACTGTGCTATGTGAGCCTGCAGCATTGGAGCACGACCACAGTTTGTACGTAAATCATCGGAGGAGTTTGTAGCGAATGATTGCTCCGTGCCATGTAGTCGAGAATGTGGTGGGCAGCCGTTGTCGGCGATGGGTGCTGGCGATGGGTGCTGACGATGGGTGCCGGCATGTCCAGAATCCAGCAGAGCGCCTCGCCTCGCTTGATCCTGGCGCTTCGCTGGCGACCCTGGTCATCTCGACCTTCGTCCCTGATCTCCCGATCGCTGCCAACCTGCCCCCTCCGGCCGTGCTTGACACTCCCAATCGCCCCCACACCCTCGGCGACTCCATCTCTGCACCCTCTCGCAGTCATCTCTCGAACGTTGGCTGCTGCATCGCCTGCTCGCTTTTCCAGCCATGGATCCGTCCAGTCCGAACAACGAAACTCCCGAATCGGTACGTTCGTCCGGTCCTCCCGATGCATGGCCGCTGCGACGTTGCGATGCTGCATTCGGCGCCAATGCGCTGTGCTCGGAATACTCCCATATTGAGGCGTTGGCCTGGTTTCCGTCGCAATTCGGGTGTTCGTTGAACTGATCAAGCCGGGACTGTGTGTTCTCTGTTCAGCTCCGTCAGAAGCGACTCGCCAAGTTGGCTGCGGCCAGCACCAGTCCTGCAGCTTCGTCATCGGCACAAGCGGAGCCGACCACTGTCCTCTCGGCCGGACCGTCCGTGAAGAAGGTGAGCTCACAAGTTCAGTCCGCCTTGGCCTTGATACCATCGGAGCAGAGTCAGCACGGCCCTAACAGACGGCTCTTGCCGTTGGCGAGTCGTATCATCTGCACACAACCTTCTCTGACCAACTGTACGATCGATCTATCAGGCCGCAGTGGCAAAGGAGAGTGGCCCAAGCACCCCGAATGCCTTGAAGCTCCAGTCGACCGCCTCCCCTACTCCATCGGCCACCGCAACGCCGACGACCGCAACGACCCCTTCTGGCACGGATCGACTCGTCAGCCAGTTCCTGTCGTTCGCAGACTCAGATTGGGAGGGCCAGACATTTGAGTTTATCTTCCAAGTCAGCTTCAACGTAAGAGTCCTTTGGTCAGAGTTATTGCAGGCTCGGCTGCAGCCCTGGCTCCTGTGATTGCCCGGGGCTACGGCCCATGGAACATACTCGGTGTGCGCTGGGTTGTCGTCGTTGCTTGGCGCTCTACGACGCTGGGTGCTGATCCTTGTACTGGATGTAATGTTTGCTGCAGGTGGATGTTGCTCTGCGCAAGTCCTACATGTACATCCCGTCGCTTATCGAGGAACTGCAGTCCGAGTCGATTCCGTTGGTGTTTACGCACGATCTTGTCGAGCGAGTGCTCTATGCACGCTTGCTGACTCCTGCGGCGGATGATGCACCCTTGATCGACTACATCATCGGCTGCTGGAAGAGAATCGCAGAGGTCAAGCGCCGCGCCACCATCGTTGTTGATCGAGCCAACGGCGAGACCCGCAAGCAGGTCCAGGAGGTCGCCGCCCGACGTGTCGGCTATGTGACCGCTGCCAAGGCTCTGATCATGAACTACAGCTGGCTCGTCATGATGCCTGGCATGGCCGATAGCTTTGCCCAGCCCGCAAGGTATGTTTGCATATGTAAGGCGACTTGGTCGGGACGTTGCCGCACGGGCCTGGGCGATGCACCTCAGGTTGCTGATACTTGGAGGCCGACACCTCGACACCTCGACACCCCGTGGCTGACGACGCTATGCTTGATCTAGAGTCGCTGAGGTGGCATCCGGACTGCTTGCCGAGAAGCTTTTGCTGCCCAACCCTGACGAGAGCGAAAGCCAGCTCCCTCCCGAGTTCCTCGAGGACTTTGTTGCCCGCTATGAGAATGACGAGTTCTTGGAGGTCTGTCGATATCGCCATCAGAGAGCGCATAAGCCGGAGGCAACTGTCGAGTCGGATTACTGTGTCGAGTGTGACGCTGACTCTACATGATCTATGGCAGATCCTGGGGCCGATCTTTTCGTCGGTCTCTGCCAAGATGCTCAAGGGCTCGATCGAGCAACACGAGCAGATTCCTTTGCAGGTGCGGATGTGTGTTTGGTGTCGCCTCTCGATTCTGCTTGCACAAACGATGGCCTTGCCGATGAATGTACGATGCGGTAGCTGCGTTCCAGGATCTCCAACAGTGCATCGAGAGATGGCTGGCTGACTGACGGGCTGACGGGCTGACTGGCTGACTGACTGTTGTTACTTTAGGCGCTTATTCGACTGCTTTCGTTCAAGTCTGTGGCCGCAGCGGTAGGTCTTTTGATCCATAACCGCGACTGTCGCCACAGTCTTCATATTCGTATTGCTGGCAGATCTGCCGGCGCAGCACTGCACAGAATCTCTCAGTGCTTACAGGTGGCTGTACACATATCTCACCATCAATTGTATTCGCCGAGCAGGTTACTCAGCTCCCGCAGTTCAATCCTCAAGATACGCCTCCGCGTTTGGTCGAAGTTGCGACGACCCTCGGCCCGTTTCTCTCTCGGCTCACCACCTTCCCAGACTCGGACCAGTCCATCGTGACCAAATACTTTTCAAGTTCGAATCCTTTGGCATATGGCATGGAGCCTGGTACCAACTATATTGGGTTCGACGTTGGCATGCGCAACTACGGTGACCTCCAAAGCACCATGGGCAGCCTGAGAGGTATCAGCGCCCGCACCAAGGTCAGTTCCATGCTTGTCTGCGTTGTGTTGTGCTGCTCTGTGCCATGCCGAGCCGTATCCATTCGCATAGCACGACCCAACTCGCATGTAGTCACCTCACCCTCGCTGAACCCACAATGACGGATCGGTTTATGGTGCTTTTGTGTCGTCTGCGGTCCACCAGAGCTCCTTGGGCGGGGTCTTCCTCACGATCATTCGGTCTAGTGCCGAGGCCAAGGAGGCCATCCTGCAGTTTTCGGCAGACGCTGTGTCCAAGAACATTGCAAGAGGGAAGCTTCAGGTGGGTCATTATGCTTCTTGCAACTGTGGTGGCCCTCGGGACCCTCTCAGACGCTGAGGTCTTGAGGCTATCGAGGCTCCGTCGCTTTCATGGCTTCTCCGCACTTGATGCATGGCCGATCCTCAATCGCTCAGCAACGCGCACTTGCCTCTTCTCGTCGATATGGACCAGGTCGATCCACGTACCGTCTCAACGAACGGCTTTATGCACAATCTTCGGAGCGTCTTCCTGCAGCTGGCCGATCCCATCATGGATCCCAAGTTCTCCAAGGTTCATCTCATCGATCCGCACTACTTCAAGCACTCGCAGCGGCTTGCCTGTGTTGTGGACGAGCAGACGCGAATCAACTCGGACAAGATCTCGGCTGATGCTTACTTCCAGGAATGGCGGGCTGAAAATCCCACTCCAGCTGCAGCAAACTTTGTCAGCGAGGTGTTTTACCTTGCCCTCGCATTCCACCACTACGGATCCCTGAGCATCATCCGGACGTACGGCAGCTTTTTGAAGGAGGTTGAGGAGATGCGCAAGCAGATTGATCGCATGAGAGCAGAGAAAGAACGCCTTGGGGCCCAGTGGACTCCTATGAACGAAGAGCTCTTCAAGCGATACCTGGTATGCATCAGCTTTTGTGTCTCAAAGCGCCATGGGCATTCTAGCCGTTATGGCAGCAGTGTGATCATGAGGGCTGCTGCTGCTGCTGTTCCTGGTCTCCGATCCCAGCCTGTCGCTACCAGAACGCTGCTCCTTGGCGTTTAGATCCGCTACTCGTTCTGACGACCGGCTGAAATCATAGGTTCAGTTGGATACGTACATTGGCTACAAACTTGCCATGGATGTGGCGTTGCTGGACCCCATCGAAATCGAGCACTCGCTCCGATTCTTCAACTTGGTCATCGTCTGGCTCATTCGGATCATCGTCGTGGGTATCGGGGCCATTCACGCCAACGGCTCCAAGCCTGACAGCATCCAATGGGACCGCGTCATCCGTGGCGATCTTCAAGGCCTTCCGCTTTTCCCACTGCCTGCCGAGGCACCAAAGCTCTTCACGACCCTCCCGGAGTGGATTATCGAGGACATTTGCGACTACTACCTCTTTGTGTGCAGGTATGTGTCGTGGCACGTACGAATGCTTCCCCCTCTGCAGTGAGCGATCATCGTGAGTTGGAGTGCTCTGCGATATCAATGCGGTGTTCCGAGAACAGCATCGAGCCACAGCTGACTTTGATGCCATCGCGTTTCCAGAAACAACCTGATCGTCTTGGAGACGTTCCCACGCGACGGAATCTGTGCCTTTGCCATGCTCATTTTGCAGAACTCTGGATACATCAAGAACCCCTATCTGAAGAGCAAATTGGTGGAGGTGGGTGCTGGGCTCAGTTGGTGCGGGTGCTCTACCGCGCTTGGGCTGTCAATGGCGGCTCGCCAGAAGTGCTGTTGTATTTGCACCGATTTGACGCGCTGCTGTGTGTCGGCTCCAGATCATGTTCTTCTTTACAGTTCCACTGTACCGTAATGCCGCCGGGGAGGTTGTCAAGCGTCTGGATGATGTCTTTGGCACGCATCCTCTGATGCGTGAGCACCTTGTTCAAGCCGTCATGTCCTTCTACATTGGTACGTGGCGCGGTGGATTGGAGCTGTCGCTCTGGCAGCAACGCAGAAGCCGTGCTTACAAGAACCTCTCATTACTCGCAGATGTGGAGCAAACGGGCATGGCATCGCAGTTTTATGACAAGTTCAACATTCGCTACAACATATCACATATCCTCAAATGTGTCTGGAACGATCCTACTCATCGAACCAACGTGATCAAGGAGAGCATGTACGACCACTAAACAACCAGCTCGTATGGGCAGCCCAGAAGCGCCGCGAAAAGACAGCTGCAATTGACAACACACGCTGCCCAACTTCCAGGAGTGGAGCGCTTACCATTGTTGCTTGCCTTGACTGCCCAGGCGTTTGGAATCGTTCGTCAAGTTTGCCAATCTCCTGATGAACGATACGCGATATTTGCTCGATGAAGGCCTCGACAAAATGACCGAAATCCGCACTATTGAGAACGAAATGGCCGATGCCAGCACCTGGATGAGTGGCACGCAGCAGCATCGTCAAGAACGGGAGGCCACTTTCCGCATGGCCGAGCGACAAGCATACAGTTACATGTCCCTGGGCAACGAGACTGTGCATATGCTCAACTACATGACCACCAACGACCGCATCTGCATCCCCTTCATGCAGCCAGAGATTGTCGAGCGTCTGGCTGCTATGCTGGACTACAACCTGGCTGCGTTGGTGGGCCCGCGCTGCACCGAGCTCAAGGTGGGTACCTGGATGACAGATGATGCTGACCATAACGCAGTGGTGGGATAGCAATGGATGGATGGGTGGGTGGATGGATGGATGAATGGGTGGGTGGATGATGGATGGGGGGCTGACATGTCCCAGACATATGTCTGATTCTGCGCTGGCCTGGTGCTGGGTGAGGGTGATGGGTTGGATGGTAAATCGTGGGCACTGGACAGCGGGTTGTCTTCCTGCGTTCTACCCCATCCATGATTGCCTTGGCAATGGGCAGAACACATCTGCTGACTCCTGCCCTCCCCGCCGCCAGGTCAGGAATCCCGAGAAATACAGCTTCAGGCCAAAGTCGCTGCTGAACGACCTGATTGGCATCTACCTGAATCTGGCCCGCAGAAAAGAGTTCCAGGTTGCCATCTCCAAGGACGGCCGCTCGTACAAGAAGGAGCATTTCCATCGCGCCGCCGACATTCTGGTCAAGAGCAGTCTACGGAACGAGGCAAGTTGCGGCTGAATGGTGGCACCGATTTCGCCTTCTGCATCGGCGACGGTCACGGGGCGGCGCAGAGTTTGCACTGTGAATCCCGGGACGCTGGTGCACTGGCCTCCAGACTGACAGTAGTCGGCATGGACAACATCCTTTGGAATCTTGATCACAGGGGGAGCTTAGTGCCCTCCGAGACTTTGTCGACACCGTCGAGGCCCTTATCAAAGCCGAAGCCGATGCCGAACAGGAATACGGAGAGGCTCCAGACGAGTTCTTGGGTATGGACCGTGCGCGACTGAGCGTTGTCGCCATCTCAAAATGCATCAGCTTTGGCATCGGATCTTGCCGTGAAACCGATGGCATTTCGCATGTGCTGACTGAAATGATGTGCTTCCTGTCCAGATCCGTTGATGTTTACGCTGATGGAAGACCCGGTCATCTTGCCCACGAGCCACGTCACCGTGGATCGGTCCACGATCAAGAGCCACCTTCTTTCTGATCAGCATGATCCATGTGAGTTTTGTTTGAGTTTTGTTTGAGTCCGAGTCCGAGTCCGAGTCCGAGTCCGAGGCAGCTCAGCCACGAGCGGATGGTGTCGACCGGCCCGATACCACTGGCGGATCATTTGGTGATAACTGGTGCCCCACTCACATTCCCTCTCCTCGAACCACAGTCAACCGTATGCCCCTGACAATCGACATGGTCGTTCCAAGTGAGTGTTTGCTTTCTGTGTCGGTCCGACCATTCATGCTGCTGGACAAAGAGTGGTGAATTATATAGAGATGGAGACTTGGGATGGCGAGGGAGCGCCCTGGTTTTGTTGGGTCGCATCGAGATGCGCGAATGAGGTTCGGACCAATGTCAGAAGCAGCGCCAATGCAGAGGCGGTGAGGCAACCAACTCGAGGGACGATTTTGACCAACCAAGCAACTGACTGACTGGTTACTTTAGATGACGAGCTCAAGCAGCAGATCTATGAATGGAAACGCTCAAAGCGGGCGGCCAAGGATGATCCCATGGAGTTCTGAGGGCTCCTCGTTTGCAGTGAGCGGGTGTCGATGGCTCCGTAAAGTGTGACACGAGAATCCAAGCGCAGACCATCTCCCGGAGCCGAAGGATGTGTATTTCCCATCTCCTCCTTTCCCGAATACATGACTCGAAGCTGGGCAATGTCTTTTGGGGGGCTACGCGCATACGATGAGCAACCAGCGATGGCAACGAAGATGATGGTAGTGATAGCGGTCCAGAGAGACTTTCTGGGAAAGCCGAGCCATGCGATGTTTTGGTATGGTCGCCACCGGCTATAACTGCAAGCCGTCGGTTGTAATTACAAGCCGTCGCCATCGATTGGCCCACAGATGCGTTTTTGGATCTGCAAGAGAACGGACGGCTCGTGCGTGATTCTATCGGGATGTGATGTGTTTCTCGAAAGGACCGTGTATTCAATCGGCAGCGGAGAGATGGAGGGAAGGGGTGGGGGCCAAAAGCACAGATGAGGCCATTGGGCGACTCTGCAGACAGAGCTCAGCAGGCTCGTCAGCAGTTGAATGGGTTCCGCGGATCCGGATCTTCCTGAGGGACTAACCGGCATGATGACTTTGGCGTCGGGACGCCGTTGATTCCTGCACAGAGACAAAGACAACGATCGGCGACAGTCAGTAATCGCTGGCTCCACTGGTGCAGGAAAAGGACAACATACACTCGGGGAGGAGGAGGAAGCAGATCAGCAATGTGACAACCTGACGAGCGACGACGCTTGAATGTGTGTGGCGATTTTCTAATAGGCGTGCGCGAACCTATCGCATATGACCAACGGAAACGACATTGGCGCAGTTAAGTTACAGGTCCTCAAAGCAGGAGGCAGAGCAGCAGCAGCCACCTCAGAGTTGACACAAGTCCAGCCAAGAGTCGAGATCGGGCCAAATAGGAGGGAGCACAGCAAGCCGTGCTTGTGCATTCGTCCCCACCGACAGCAGGAGTTGGTGCCACAGATAGAACGACGAAATGAACGGAATCTCACCAATACTGGAGCGCTTCCTCGTGGAATAAATAGGCGTGGGATAGGCTGTGTTCTTTGCGAGAGTCCGAGGCAGGCTCGCAATCGATTCGGTATCATCTGGGCTCGCGTGCTTGGTTGGGTTGGTTCCGTTTGGCAAGAGTCCGTTTTCGTTTACCGAGCTACCAGCGCTGAGCGGGCCGGCCCCGTTGGCTTCAGAAGTCACCAGCTTCGCGAGTTGCCGCACGGTAGAGTCCTGGGAGAGCAGGTTGGCGGAATCCTTGTCGATATCGACGGGTTCGAGGACAATCTTGCTGTGGTCCAGCAAACCGCAGCCTGGAAGCTCGTCATCGTCGTCGTCGATGTCGTTGTCGATGTCGATGTCGGCGTCTTCTTCGTCCGAATCGATCACCTCCCACTCGGTCAGGAATTCCTCGTTGTCCGAGTTCTCACCGGCTACCAGAGAGGCGATGAACGAGTCGGCGAGGGATCTGCTGATGAAGGGGTGGTCGTGGCTGTGGGTTCGGCGGGAGAGGGGGGGGGCGAGGCGAGGGCGCGAGAGAAAAGGAAGCTGCGTTGGCGCGAGACCAAGCGACGACACCATCCATCCGGTTCGCTTCTGCGTTTTGACAGAACAGGGCGGAGACAGCCCGAGGGACGTGCGACGGAGGGCCCGACGAGACTTACTCTGCATAGAGCTTCTTTTTTATGAGGACATGTGCGCCGTTGATGCCGTCCTCGCCAATCTCATGCTTCCACACCTTCCACTCTACCAGCTTTACGTTGGCTTCGCTCTCCATTGTGGTGTCATAGTCACAGTTTAGCGGCTCGTTGTCCTGCGAGAGCAAGAACGGGCAGATGAGGGTCTGCACTGCGGTCAAGCGAGGGCCAGTTCGAGCAGACGAAAACAGGATGCTGCGGGTTGCCGAACCGGCCGGGGGACTCGGCACCGTCGGCGATGCAGCAGATCTGTTGGGGGGGGGGCGCTTACCAACTTTGAGGTGCAGCAGTTCTCGACGTGATGCTCGAATTCGTCGAGCGACATGAGCCATTTGTTATTCCCAATCTCGCTCTTATACCACCGGTAAGCCCTGTCGATGGGTGTTGTGCTGGGGTCGACAGAAAGGCAGGACGTCAGCACCGGCGAAGAGCAACCCGGACACGCCGACAGCCGCCTTGCTCTGCAGTGCGGCCGTCGTCCATCATCGCGGCATGACCACTCGCTCGAGACTGATCCGGTGATGCGAAGCGCTCGTTCTCTGGCAGCAAAAGGATCCGCAAGAGATGGACCGGGTTCTGGGAGCGGTGCAGAAATGCACCAGGACGAGTCCTGTCCAGCAAACCACGGGAAAGGGGTGGCGGACCGGGATCAAGGAGAGAGACGGAACACGGTAGATGCGAAATGGGAGAGACGCAGAAACGATGCTGCATATGGAAGCAGGACAGCAGACAGCGGGAGAAGCAGAGAGCGGGGCCAATATACATCAAGCAGCCGACGGATGATAGCGGCCAAGGGCAGAGCAACCAAGGGCAGACTTACTCGGCCCCAAGGAAGGAATGGCCGCCTGGCCAGCCCCAGATGCGATCAAAGACTTTGAAGTCTGTTACGGTATCTTCCTCATCTATACAGAGTCTTGCGCCCAGCACAAACGGCAGCACCCGGGAAGCCACAAGCTTCGGGTTGGTAGAGGTCAGGGAATGACAGTAGGAGATGGTATAGTTCCAGTTTTCTACGTTGCCGGCGCAGATGACGATCTGATCATGCTTGGAGATCGGGGCAGCCTTCTTGGTGGGTGCGGTCGAGAGCATGAGGGCGGGCCCGAGGAGACGCAGGGTCGGGGGGCGTGTGAGGCTCTGGCGAGGAAAAGGAGGGAGTTGTCCAGAGCGGGGGCAGAATAGGAGTGAGCAAGAGCCCAACAGCGCCGGGCGACGACGCTTTGTGCGGACGCGCCCTTTGGCAAAGGACAGCACTTCCATTTGGCCATTTTTGGACAGCGGCCGATGCAGAGTGACCAGCGACCCAGCCGGGCGGTGCGGTGCGGTGCGCCTGCGGGTGTGTTGTGTGTGGGGGTGTGCACGATATGGGATGTGCGATATGGGATGTGTGATATGGGATGTGTGATATGGGATGTGTGATATGGGATGTGTGAGGTATGGGATGTGTGATATGGGATGTGTGATATGCACGATGTAGTCGCATCGGCCGACAAGTTATCGGCAGACTACCTGGTTGTGTATTCCGAGATGCCAGCAACGGCACCGCTGCTGGGATGGACTCGCGCTCGACCCTCGCCATGCATCATTCGCAGCCGCGCCTGTTGTTCGGGGAGCGCCACCGCATCGTACTTGGTCGCAATCTTGGCGACCATGGTGTACCATGTACTTGCGAGCACTTGTCGCATCCGCTCTCAGCAACAAGCCGCGACGGAGATCACATTCTTGGGTCGAGAAGACCTCGCGTTGGCTGAAACAGCACAGGCTGAAACTGCACAGGCTCCGTGCAGGTCTTCATTTGCTCGTTCAGTAAGGTCTGTCTCGGTGCGATCGTCGATCCTCCTGGCGCCGGTCTCGGATATCACTTCCGCCGCGTCCTCCGAAGCCTCGGTCGCCGCCGCCACCACCGCCGCCGAAGCCTCGGCCTCCATAGCCAGCGTCCGCGCCGCCAAATGCGCCGTCAGGTTTCGGAGCACGGCAGCGGAAGCATTCGCTGCGCCGAGCAAAGTTGTTGTTGCTGCAGCTATGGACGCAACGTGAACGTCGTCGCCGAGGGACACGGGTAAATGAAGCAGTGGGAAAGTAGACGAAAGAGAATGTAAGCACCAGACACATAACACATAGCCCGTGGCTCCGATCGACTGCCAGGGATCGATAGTATGCTCAGTTCGCGGCACTGATACATCCAGGGCCATCAAGCGTGTACATCCGTTTCGCAAAAACGGATTGCAGTCCGCCAGTAGCCACCTACTGCAGCACCAGCACAGTCTCGACAAATAGAGCTGCCCCAGGGTGCGCCATTACGAGCATCAAACTCCATCGCCTAATACGACTCTGACTGGAGCAAGCGGCGTTCAATACGTACCTAGAACAGACCCAATCGCCGGGCTCGCTGCCAGGACGGCCTCCCGGACCGCCTCCACCACGACCGCCGCCGCCACGTCCACGACCTCCGCGGCTGTAGCCTCCGGGAGGAGGTGCTTTCTGGGAAGCACGTTCAACCTTGATGACATTTCCGTCAAACTCCTTGCCTGTGACGATAAAAAGGCCGTCAGCAGTCTATACTGGCACTTGATCCAGACGATTGCACTGGCGAGGTGCGCGTTCTTTTGAGCCACGGAATAGGCAGCAAGACAAACTGATCAATACCGTTGAACCACTGGATGGCAGCTCCGGAGGTCGGGGGATCGTCAAATGTGATCGTTGCATCGCCCTTGGCAACACCCGAGACTTTATCTCGGTACACCCAGATCTTAGGCTCCCTGGTCTTTTTGTCGATCTACAACGAGGAAAGGCAGGTACTGGTGAGCCGAGAGCACAGCACTCCACGATTCGGTTCATGTCACAGTCGACTTGGAGTCCAGCCTGGTGTGGGGGGGGGATTCGGCAAGCATGCTGTCGATCGCATTTGGCAGCTATCTTGCCGGGCCGGAGCTCATTGGCCGATCTACCTTGATGATACCAAGGACTCCAAAGAATTCTCCCAGACGCTTGGCCGTCACGGTCTCGGGCAGTCCCGAGACATAGATTGTGTCCTTGCTCTTGGTGTCGTCCTCGGGCTCGTCTGTGGATGGCACGGGTGCCCGTGTGTTCGTAGTGAGATTTAGGGACACCGCCAACCGTCGGATCGGCGAGTCGGTAGCAGAGTCTGTAGCTACCCCCAGCTCAAGCGAGCTATAGGGATACAAGCTCGGAAACACCGACATCCAGGCCGTCGCGATCAGATGGCCAGCGCACTCCCGGATGTGCAGACGATGTACCTCTTGGTCGGCTGTCGCCAAAGCCGCGGGATGGGCCGTCGTCATAGCGATTACTTCCGGTGCCGTATCGATCGTTTCCGCTGCCGTACCGGTCGCTGCCGCCGTCGAACCGTCCACCGCGTCCGCCGGGGCCGCTATCGGGAAATCGGCCTCCAGAATCGTTGTTGCCATAGCGGTCTCCTCCATAGCCTCGGTCGTTTCCGCCCCGGTCGCCTCTGCTGCCTGGCCCGCCGCCATAGTCGCCTCGGCGATCGTAGCTGGGTCTCTCGTTCTTCTGCCAACTGCCAGCGTCTCGAGGTCCGGCCTCATTAGCGTAGGAACCATAATCATTTAACCCGGATTGGGCATCCCTTGGAGCACCCGGGGCCTGGGTATTTGCTGCTGCCGCGCCTTGCTGCTGCTGAGACTGATCGTAGCCGTACTGCGCATAGTACTGGGCACACCATGCTTCGTCTGTATGGGGGGCGATTAGGATAAGCGTCCAAAAGGTCAGCACTTGGCCGGTGCGATCGAGCAGGCACAGGGTGGGATGTGCAAGCCGAAACGCATGCCCTCACCAAGTCAGATCCGACACCAGCCCGGCACGTTGCAGCGGACGAGGGGTGGGTCTCGCCAATCCTCCCACACGCCAAACACTCCACGAGGCAGGGCCAGCTTCCATTCGCCAGGGGAACGTCGCCGCTGGCCTAGGCGAAACAGAGCGATCCGATCGTCCGTCACAAAGATCGCTTGGCGGTGCATGAGACACGCAGAGAAGGCTGGGGGGGGGGCATCGGATCGAGGATGGCCACAGAGTCGTCTCGGACGGGCGGTGGAAACGGAAAGGCCCTGGTGCAGGCAGCGACACCGTCGAGCTGGCGGAAGAGGCTGCGGCCCTTGGCCAAGGGCGCATCTGCTGCCACTGCAGCGAGCCTCCCGTGGCCGAGCCGGACGCCGATCGTCTACTCACAGGCGGCTTGTTGTTGTTCGGGGGTCATCCCGGCGTAGGGATCGTCCGGATTGACTGGCGCAGGGGCATCTGCGGGGGCATCCGCCTTCGGGTGACCCTCGGAGGACATGCTGGCGGCTCGCGATGGGATAGATCGCTGGCGAGGATGGTTTCGAAGACGGCCGAACAGCAACGGCGGCCCTGGCCACGGCGAGAAGCGCGGCCGGCGAGAGCGCACCGAGAGTGCACCGAGAGTGCACGAGGCCACGGCACATGACCACACACACACACACACGCACATGGCTGGGTTCACATGCCGCCCCAATCATCCGCTGGCCCAAAAGCAGGACGAGCCCACTGCCCCCCCCCGGCCGGCCATCTCTCCCCTCGATCGCCCAGCACCCCGCTATGCAAGTCGCCGGAGCCACGGTCATCATCACCGGAGCCGCCTCGGGCTTTGGAAAGGCGCTCGCCCAGCGACTCTTCAAGAAAGGGTGAGTGTCGCCCGGCCATGATCTGCATCCGCGTTTCTGGCGGTTGACAACCGCATCCGCAATGTCTGCTTGGTCTGCCCATGTCCGTCCGGTCTACCGAGCCTGGGGCCACGTCCACAGAGCAACGCATCGGCATATCCCTTTGTCGAATTATGATCTGGTCGCTCGTTTGAGCCGCTTCATCCACACCGCCAACCGAGCCGCGCTCTGGAACTCACTATGTTGCCCTGGATCCACGCTCGGCTGACTTGTCCGCAGCGCCAACTTGCTCCTGACAGACATCTCACCGGTGCAGTTCGAGCCCGGAGACATGATCTCAGCCGGGAGCAACAGGTTTGTTTCTGTCCGAGCCAACGTATGCAATGCCGACGAGATGCGTCACGCCTTCCAGCGCGCCCTGAGCGAGTTTGGCCGCATTGATGTAGGTGTCTGTCTGCGAACGTGCCCTCTGGATCTTACGGCTCTCCAGCATCTCGAAGAATCCCTCGCTGGCTATTACTGCGGGACTGATCCAGATTCTTGCGTCTCGTGATGGATGGCTGTAGATTGTAGTGAACAACGCCGGTAAGTCGAAGCGCTCGAGTCAACTGGGCTTGCAAACCTTCCCACGATGCTGAGACTGCAAGTGTCGTGCAGGCATTGCCGAGACTTTGCCGTTCACCAAGCCCGATGAAGCAAGTAAGTAAACTCTCGTCGACCGACTTGTACAGCGCCTTCTCCGGCAGCGCCAACGCATACCCACCGTCGTAACGTCGCTCTGTCGTTTCCCGGCTCCAGGCAGATGGAAGCAAGTCATTGATGTCGACTTGTCAGCCGTGGTCCTCGGAACCAAGCTTGCACTCATGCACCTGCTGGATCGCCAGCAGCCGGGTATTATCATCAACGTCGCCTCGCTTGCGGGCCTGTATCCTCAGTTCTTCCAGCCAGTCTACGCCGCCGCCAAGGGAGGTGTCGTTCACTTCACTCGTTCATTGGCTCCATATAACGACGAAGGCATTCGCGTTGTGGCCCTGTGTCCCTCATTTTCACCAACACCGCTCCTGAGCCAAGTTGGTCCCGATGGAAGAGAAAGCCAGCTGAAGCCCGAGGGCCTGGTTCCCATTGAACTGGTCATCGATGCCTTCATTGTCATCATCGAGAACGACAAGGTGAAAGGAGGTATGCGCTTGGTACAAAACATGGCAGGGACGACCAAAGTCGGGTTCTGTGGCGGACGCACCGCTGAGCTCTTGCCTCAGATCATCGGTAACCCAGATTCCAACTACTGCATGTGCACTCATCAAACTCCCTCGCAGGCTCGTGTGTCCGCGTCACCCCGCAGTTCGGCATCGATCTCTACGGCATCAAAGGCCGATCCAAGTTGTAACGGCGCTCTGACGTATATGGTGCCTGAGTCGCGGTAGACTCCATCTGAGTCGCGGTAGACTCCATCGATGCAATGATTTATTTGCTGTCCAATCGACTCGCTGACTTTCAAATAAAGCAAGAACGTTGATTCCAGAAGACCGCATTTTGTACCGGACTACGACTGAGCGTACCGGCTGTCTATGGCCAAATGGTGATCGTCGCATTGGGTCGGTCGAGCTCCATCAAGCGGAGGGCAGAGTGCATTGCCAAGCAGAGCATGGTATGCTTGATTCCATCCCAATTGGACCCTGCACAAGCCAGTCAGAGGTTTTCGTGGCTCAGACGGAGCTCGTCAAAAATACTGTTTGCGCGGCCCGGCAGTACATCGTCCTGTTGTTTTGTCGCTCCTCTCTCCTTCTGGTCGCGGTCGCTCCTCTTGATGGTGCCATCATCGGTTGTGGCATAGCGATCGACCTTTGGAGCGAGTCCGCACTTTTTGATAACATAAAACTTGATCCGCTTCGGAAGCATCAAGAATATTCTCATGGGCAGCAAAATGCAGATGGGCAGGATGAAGAAGGCCAGGCTGTATGTGCTGCAGTCAACAGCCTGCAGCCCGCCAGTGTTCATGGCAATCGCCTCCAGTTTGAATCCACCCAGGATTATGATGCTGATATACCCAATAATCTTGACCGAGTTATCGACAATGGTCTTGGCCGGCATGAAAAAGATCCTAGAGCGAGTACCAGGTAAGGATCATCGCAGATGAGTCTTGGACATGGGCTTGGCAGCAGCCCAAACCGTGCTGGCAGTCCAAATCATGAAAGCATCATACCTCACAAGCAGCCAGAACCAGACGATGAAGACCAAGAAGAGCGCCCGATGAAAGTCTGGTGTTTGATATCCATGCGCATGGGAGTGGGAAGTTGGAATCGCGTTAGCTGCACTAACGACACTAATGCCTGCTGCGACCGTGTGCGGCGAGACTTCGTACCGTCAGCCCCAAGAAGCACAGAAATAGCCACGATAGTGGTGCGCTCGATCAGATCCACTGGAAGCCACCAGTGGTACTCGAGTTTGTACGCCCCGTATAGGAAGTAGTATGGAGCGGTGTGGTCGAGGGTGAGGGTGCTGCCTGGTAGGGCTGCTGGCGATATTCGTCGCAGAGCCATGAGCGCGACGACCGGGATCACGAGCCCAGAGATTACGATGATGTTGATCGACACGGCTGCGGCGCCTGTGTGCTCGGGGCTCCAGCACTGGTCCAAGAGCGCCGAGATGGTCAGCTGTAGGCCATCAGAAAGTACTCGGCTTGGCTCGGCCGTGTGCGCCTTGGCTTGTGGTTTGGCTCGTGAGAGCCGTTTGTGCGGAGAGCTGCACTTGGCACCGAGCAGGAAGCAACATATCCCAAAAGCGACGTAAACAGGAGACAACCCACCGTTACAGCTGGATACAAGCGCACGACCGACACGGACCCGACGGACTGGCAGGAGAGAATTTCCATGGCTACAAGGGAAAGTGCGTCGCAGTGAGGCTTCGAGCATCGCCGATATGCACAACGTCACCCGGTCTCATTGATATTGGGCCAACACTTGATCGCAGCATGCAGATACTCTTGAGGATGGCATCAACACGAGCCGCCATCGACATCCTACAGCCACAGCAGCGTCGGGCTCTCATATGGAGCCACAGGAATCCCAGGCGATTCCAAGACAGTCTCACCTGTTTCGAGAGTTGGGATGAAGCAGAACAGTGCCAGCGCAAAGGTCGTCGAGTAGATATTGTTTCTGACATTTCCCTTGAGATGCCTCAGGAGCCGCGTGCTCAAGACCTGCCCGCCCTTGCCGATTGCCTTGATGATGTACGTAACAAGGAGCAGAAACAGTAGCGAGAACATGATCAAGAAGGGTATGATGAACCCTGAGAGCATCTTGAGGAATGGCCCGATCGGCGCAAGGCAGACATTCTGGACAAATGGCATGTTCATCTGCAGCGCGCAGAACTTGAGGATAGACGACATAATGCTTGGCCCACCATCTGCAGCCAGCAGCGTCGACGAGATCTGGACTATCAAAATCTGGGGGGATGGCCTTGCTCAGTTTGCTGGCGCAGAAAGCGTGCTTTTGTCGCAGGATGCCCTTGGCGACACACGGCATGTAGTAGACTTTGCGGTGACTCATGGAGCCTTACCAAATCGTCGAGGAAGCTCTCGGCCTCCTTCGGGAAGATGTAGATGATGACCACAATGAGAAAGTAGCCGAGCATGTAGATGGCGAGCAGAAAGCTGCCAAATGTGTTGTTTGTGCAGTCGACGCATTTTCCATTCCATTCGTAGAGCCCTGGATCACAGGCGCTGCACAGTCTGGGGGAGGAGTTGCAGACAGCCCGTTGTCAACATTATTGCGAGAACGTTAGGTTTGGGGTGTGTGAAGGTTTGCGTTATCAGAGGTGAATAGACTGCGCCTTGAGTCCAGTCCATTGACCCGTTCTACTGTGCTGCACAGCAACCACCATACATTCCGCTAAAATTGGCCTGGCACTGGTTCCCGACAGTGCATGGTATGTCCATGTACGGATCACGAGAGCAACCTGGAGGTGTGCTAGGTCAGTATACATCCGGTTCTGCACGGCGCGCGGCGTATGGCCAGCACGAATGAGTTCGATGATGTGGCCCATTTTCCCGGCAATGGCCCGTCGACCGAGGCACCGGCTCTTACATCCGCTCGACGGTCCGCAAAAGTAAAAGCTCTTGCTGAATGCGATGCGGTTGTACATGTTTGCACTGGGGTCCTGCCAGTATCCGACGCTGACATGGACGTTGTTCCCGTTGCAGACTGCACCGATCGGACAATTCAGACAAGTGGAGGAGCGATTGAAGTTGTACCATCCTATCGATCGACATTGGCGCGGGAATGAATAACGGCGGCCGGCGGGACACATTTCGTTCTCGGGTAGAATTCACATGGACGAGTCAGACGGGCGCTCTTGGATACGACGGCCCTCACCATTGGGACAGACAGCGCAGATGAGCTGGCCATTAAACGTGATTTGCTCCCAACCTGGATCGCAGTCTGTGGAACAAAAGCACGATGTCAGCGGATGTGGATTATGTGGCATAAGCTGCTTGCGTGTCGCCTACCCAGAGTAGTTGGTGAGTCTGGAGGAACCTATTTTGGTTCGCGAGGCCCATGTGATTATTAAACAAGGATGCTGGCGTATGGCTGTAGAAATGAACTGTTGCGCATCTTGTGCAGGCAAATGAAACGGGTGCATGGTCCCACGAAGCTTTGAAGCAGGGGTGATTGATGTCCCTGAGTATATGACCGACAGCGGCACCGGCAGTATATCCCATGCACAGTCCTTCCTGCCATGGCACTCACCCTTTGTTGATAGTCGAAATCCCAGAATCCACAGCCGCTGCAGTTGACGTTGACGCCCAGCGACGTTCCGACACCAACGAGCTCGCTCGAGTCAAAGAAGTTCGTCCCGTTTCCGGCAATCAGATTGTATGTAGTCTGGGCATAGATCCAAGGAGAGGTGGTGGGACGCTTAGTGCACTTGTCCATGGTGCTGCATCCTGATGTGCCCGTGGCAGACAGACATATTCACTCCGACGGCACAGCTTTGTCAACGCATCCATCATCACTTGAGCACAGCGAAGACAGTGGACGAGCAAAGACAATCGAGTAAAAATCCTACCACGACTCCATTTCCGTCCCAGATAATTTGTCCTATGGCGCCAGCGTAGCTGAAGCTTTGATAAACGCTTGGAGGCGAGTAAGGAACTGTGCCATTGACGATGTTGCCGGACGACCAGGATGCATTGGTGGCCAGTAGACGGGTCTGGATAGAGGTACCGTCCCGGAACAGTTCAGCATAAGGAGCAATCCAAAGAATCGAGGCTCGACTACCGCTCTCTCCGTCAAAGTCCCACATCTAATCGCAGAGGCAAGTGTAAGCCGATGCAAACAGGTGAAGCCAAGCAATGAGGCATACCCATCCTATTGCAAAGAGATAGATCACATCGTACGCAGCCCTGTGACGAGGGTTGCGATGAAATCGTCAGCAATGCTCGATGGAGCATAATACTCGTTGGTACTCGCCGAAGCAGCTCGCTCGATCCGATTGTCGTCTCACCTTGTGTTGAAGAATGTGTCAAACTCGGTCGTGTTGACTTCGTACAGTGTTCCAGTGTCGAAGGCATTTATGTTGTTGCCATAGAGCGCTCTGTAGCGCTGATTCCAGGCCAGGGCACTAGGAGTCCAGGCGTTGGTTGCGCCATAGTCTGCGACGGAAAGATAGCAGTACCAGTCATCCCTCAGAGTCAGATTGAGCAACCTAGCCCCGCTGGAATCCGAGCCGATTAGGTGTCGCACTCACTGGTTATAAAGCCCTGAGTCATCCGGACGGCATCAGGGCGGATGGCTTGGATTTCATCGACGGTATTGCCAGGGAAGTTGAGGCCCTATTTGTTGCGCGGGGAAGGCGGGGGTGGCAAATGAGGTTGCATATAGATGACGTAGCGCTGCGATCCTGCTTTCGGCGCCCACAGTGCAACAACCGTGCTATTGGAGGTGAGATGCCGCCACCATCAACCCGCATATCGAACTGCTCATCCGGCTGGGGGTGAGTCGTACGCTACCATCCAAACATAATCCGGGCCGACCATATTCCAGGTCGAGTTCATGGCACTGAAATACAGGTCAACCGTGTACGGCTCCGTGGCTAGGACCAATATGATCCGGGCATAGCTTTGCTTGAGATTATTGAGTGGCTCAATCAAACTAGTCTTGTCGCGCGCCAGTTGCTTCAGATGATCTTGATAGAAGGCCTGCTTCAGCACCACGGTGATGCCTAGCTGAGATGCAGCTGTCTCGGCGGCATCAGCGGCTGAAAGGGGTTCGGACGAAAGGAAGTGTCCGTGAGTCACAAGCGCCCGCACGCCCCAACGGAGTGGCCGATGCAGCGGCGGTTGATTGCCTCCTACACTGGACGATAGCTTACCTCCACTTCCAAAGGTGTCGCTGGTATACATAATCGCAAACTATTCTCCCCAAACACGCATGTTGACGCAGCCACAGAAAACAGAGTAAACATAATGCCGCTCAAGTGCTGCACGCTGTGCGAAATTGCGGTCGCCCTGGCTGGGCATGCAGTACCCGTTTCCAGCCGCGAGACTTGATGAATTGGACAAAGAGCTGCGTCTGCTTGTCGGCGCCTTGCATCATCCGAAAGAAGGTCTATGGGAGACGCATTTCTTGTGAGAGACCGAGCACATGCAGAGCGACACTAAATGATATGCTCAGGTACTTACTGGATAGAGCGTTGCCGACCCGAGCTCAATCGCGGCGGTGCTGAGGCCGCAATGCGGTTTCTGCGGGGGAAGGCGTGTCCACCGGATGGTAAGTCTTCCCACGCGTAACACCTGGCCAATTCACGAGCAGAGATTCCGGGAGTACGAACGTTGTAAATGCCCGAAATGACGGCTTCGTATTCGGTAACGTCGCTGGTGCCATCACCAATGATGGCGACGACCCCGTCATTCCAGATGGAGCTGATGGTTTGTCCGCTTTGGTTCGGTTGGTCGCGAATCCATGGTGTCAGCAGGCCCAAGGCCCAGCAAAAGCTCTGCTCACAGATTCCACTCGCTGCTCCGACTACTGCCACGAGACAGTCATCTGCAACCCATCAGCCCGATGGGCGGTGGCGAGTTGGGCAGAGGCACTACTAACGTTCCGGTCAGGATGCTGCCGGCCGAGTCTCGTGTCACAAACTGGAGTGTGGCATCTGCAACCGAGAGATGAGACGGAGAAGCAAGTGTCAAGCGGCTACAAAGCTCATTCTCGTGAATATGGTGCTTACGGTGGGCCACATATCCCGCGAAGCATCATCCAGGCGTCCCTGACGGAGCCTGGAGCGATCTGGAACGATCCTGGAACGGCACAGTGCATGCTCGCGCCAACATACCTGGAAGCAGGGATGTGTTGGCATTGATCTCGTTGATTGCCATCTGGATGCCATAGACCAGCTGCGAAACCGAGTCTGCCGGATACACGACGCCGATTTTGAGGACATTTGCAGATTTGTTGTTGACTACCATGGCTGCCCCGGGAATATAGTGGATGATGCGACCCAGAGATTCCGGGGTGTGGTCTGGGCAACAGGCTGGAGGGCGAAGCCGGGCGTCGGTCGAGGCATGTGCTGTTGGCATCGAGCGTCCATGGCCCTGTCGCTCCAATCACGACTCTGGCATTCTTTGCTGTCTCGATACCGGGTGATGGGGCATTGCGTGCCGACTCGACCATCGCTGACAACCATGCGACCCTGGAACCCACAGATTGCTGCCGTCTCAAATCCCATGCGGCCTGCTCGCATCCAAGACATTATTTCGCTCAGGAACGTTGGTCTCTGCACCTGCCCTAGGCAATGATGCTCTCCACAAAGTTGGCCATGGTAGTCTATTCTACATCGACCCTAATTGTCGGTCTCCCACTCCTTCCTCAGACCAGGGACGTAGATGCGATCGACGATTGCAAGGACCGGGCGCTCGGGCTGCTCGGGGCTTTGCTTGGCAAGCTCGAGACAAAAGTCCTTCAGCTGCTCGGCGTAGTGGACCTCGCGCAGGGCACACGAGATCTCAAACTTGTCCCAGCCATCGATGCGATTGAGCCATGAAGATAGGACAGCCTTGTAGCGCATCATGGCCTCCGGGGTCAGAACAAGGTTTTGGATCTTGTTGTCGACCATGGGGTTGCCGGTGCGGACGGCGCTCAGGTCCTTCTTGTGGACGTTGACTGTGCCAAAGAGGGCTTCGAGCTCGGTCGACATGCCGGCACCGATCTTGGCGCGATCGTCCTCCGAAAGCTTGCTCTCGACTTCGTCGACATTGGCTGGTGCCAGGGCCGTCATGGATCGCTCCAGGACCGAGCTGGGGATCTGGATCCACTCCAAAGGCAGCTGGTGCTCGATGGCATGTAGGCAAGCCACGGTATGGTCCCAGAAGGGTCGAATCCCCGTCAGCTCGATCGCCCGGATGTAATTGTCCGGGATCTTGTTCTCAAAGCGATCGCGATGCTGCTCTACAAAGCTGGCGATCTGATCGAGATCTGGTTCGGCTGTGTCGCTGCCGAGACCTTTGTACAGCTCGGAGAAGAGCGAGTCATAGGTCTGGTATCGCTCTTTGCTCCTGGGGTCTTCGTCGATGGCTATGGCGCGCGGCTGCAGCTGGGAGATGACTGCCTGCGAATGGGGTTTGGCATTGAAGTTGAGGCTGGAAACTCCTAGAATGTGCACCTTGGTGTTGGTGGGTTTGTGAACGAGCGGCAGCTCAAGGGCCTGATTGAGCCATTGGTAGTTGGCCTGGGCGACGGCGTTGGCGAATCGGGTGGTGGGCAGGATAGGCTGGCCGGTCGAGTAGGACCGCCTGAGGATGGCTCGGAACATGGCGGTGCTCTCGAGGCTGCAGATTGGCTGGCTGTGGGAGCGATCGAGCGAAATGCGCAATCCAACGAACACCATGCAAACAGGGGCAGGAAAGCTGTTCTCGGAGACCCATCTCGGAGAGCGAGAGCGGCAGCGAGGACACGGCCTACACACTCACACCCACATTCTCTGTCGCCTTGGCACACGGCGGCCCTGGATGCCGATGCATCAGCCACGGCAGTCGAGCAGCGCTGGTGTGCCGCCATCGACATGGAGGCAAAGCGGCCCCGGTGGCCCCAGACGACGCAGCGATCGGGATCGGCGGTGGACGGGGTGATGTTGGCAGAGCGAGCTGTCTGGAACCCAATGTTACACACAATGCATTTGTCAGTCGCCCCGGTTTCGGCGCGGTCGCGGTGGTGCTGGTGCATTCGGATGCATTCGGATGCGTTCGGATGCATTCGCTCGTCTTCGGCAGCGCCAAGAGACCAGGGGGGCGGATGAGAAATCGCAGGGGCGAGGGGTGCAGGCCGGCCGAGTGCGAGTCGACCAGGGTCGCTGCAGGATGATATAAAAGCACGGCTGCTGGGAGCACCCAGAGACACCACCATCCAGAGACACCACCATCCAGAGACACCACCATCCAGAGACACCACCATCCAGAGACACCACCATCCAGAGACACTATCCAGACACCACCATCCAGACACCAGCAATCCACCCCAGCCATGTGCACCAGAGTCCCGATCTTCTACTACTACACCGTCGACGGCACCAACACCGCACACAAGGAGTACGACTACCGTCCCGCATACGATGTCGTCGAGCGGCCGGACTCGTACGAGATCTTTGTTGATCTCCCTGGTGTCAAGAAGGTAAGAGTCTGCTCCCAGGAACCACCCGGGGCCTGTTCTCAGGGTCTGTTCTCAGGGTCTGTTCTCAGGGCCTGTTCTCAGGAGCCACCCCTGTGCTGCCTCTGCCAATGTCGCTTCTGCTGTCAGCCTTCCATGTCGCTCCCACTCACACCATTCCACCACTCACACCACTCATACCATTCCACCATTCCACCATTCCACCATTCCACCACTCACACCACTCCCACCACTCATACCACTCCCACCACTCCCACCACGGCCACTGTCTCGATCGATTTGCATGGCATAGGGAAGCATCTCCCTGAGCACCGAGAAGGACCTCCTTGTTCTCCAAGGCGAGCGGACCCGCATTCCAACCGAGTCGGCCGTGCCAACAACCCCCTCGACCGACACCAACTCGGGCGAGCCGGCAGCCACTTCAACCGCCAGTGCCGCACACGAGGAGTTTGTGCATGTCCACGACGATCCCGCCGATGCCACCGATACCATCCATGCCACCGATGCCACCGGTGCCAGCACATCCAGAGCCACACAGCCCGCCGAGCGCAAGTCTGTGTTCCTGATCTCAAAGCGATCCTTTGGCAAGTTCCAGCTCAAGCTGCGGTTCAACCAAGACGCCAACTTTGAGACGGCCGTCGCCAGCCTGGACGAGGCCGGAGTGCTCAAGATTGCCATCCAGAAGCGGGCCGAGGCCGTCAGCCGCCCGATCCCGATCCGCTGAGGAGCACCCAGCGGTCCGCTGAGACTCAGCAATTCGACAATGCCGCGGTCGCTGACGATGGCCCGGCCGTCCGCCCGACTGGCAATTTCGCGTGGGCTGGTTTGGGACATGATTGTCTGACTGAGTCCGTTCCAGATGCGATCATTTCGGATTCGGATGCGATCATTTCGGCTTCGGATGCGATCATTTCGGCCCAGATGCGATCATTCCAGTTTGTCTCCAATGTTCTGCATCGCATTACACTGTCATCTTGACAGAACACCTTCATGCAGCCTCCTTCTCACCGACACTGGCCAGACAGCCAGACTTGATGTACATGCCGCTGGATATGTATCCAGAATAAACAGAATCGATCTTGCATCGGGAAGAGTGGCGCATCCGGGGTGGCAAGTGAGCGGTGCATGACAATCCGGCTTGGCAACATGAAGGCGATCCGGCTCGGCAACATGTCGCAGCGAGCAGGCCGGCTGTCACCTTGGGAGACCAACCTCGTGTATTCAGGGCCGTGCTGCCCAAGACATACTATCGACAACTGGTTGTGGAAACAGCAATGGCGACTCAACGGACCACCAACGAACGGCTCGGCGACCACGACCATGATTCCGGATACTTCAGAGTGTCTCGTTTGTATCCATTCCTCTTCTTGGACCATCTGTGAACGCATCATCAATAGGTTTACCATAGACCAAATCGCTCCGCGAATCTTGTGCAGGGACGACTCTAGTAGCATCTGCAAAGTGGAGCAGGGAAGCTGGAACAGAAAACTCGCAAAAGTTACAGAAGCTTCTGGTACAACTCAACCAGCCGCTTATAGCCCACGATCCAGCGACCGTCTTGATCAAAGTGGCCGGACATGAGCTTGGCAACGTAGGAAGATGCGGTGACAGAGTCGCGAGCATCAAGGGCTACTCCCACATGTAATCGGCGGGCATTTCAATTTGCAAGTTGGCGATGGCGGGTTGTGTGTGTGTCATGGTGTTCGTCGAAGTCGGAGCAGCGGATAATGCGATTAACGTCGTCGACAACAGATGAATGAGCGTCAGGCAGGTCGAGGGGTGTCAATTCAGGTCAGATGGGTCAGTGAAAGCTGAGCAGCTCCTGAGAAGCCGTGATAACGGATCGATAGAGCGAGGCGAGAATAATCGCGTATGCACGGCGCCTCACTGGTCGTCTGATGCAACGGATCGCCTGGCAACGATCCTACCTTGAATGGAGCCAACCAAATAAGCCACGACAGCGTCTGAGACGACACCATCGCCCAGCTTGGCAAAGAGCTCGTCGATCCGCTTGCTCGTATCGGCAATCACACGTCTTTGAGCCGGCTGTAGCGGGACGCCAAGAAAGCCGTGTTAGTCAACGATGCCGCTGGAGCTGAGCTGGCGCCCGGAGGCGAGTGTCGTCTGTTCGCTGCCTTTGCTCAAGCCTGTAGTCATCCAGATCGCCCAGAGCGCTTGGCCACACGTACATCTTGTTCGTAAGCGGACGATACCACGGCGAGCATATTGGTGGTCTTGGAGACAATCAAGCCCTTGGGATCTTGGATGCCCTGCAGCTCTGCAACGGGGACGGCGGCTACTTTGGAGGTCATATGGGCCGGCGTATCGTTCCAGCCTCCAAGGCCGACAACCTTGCCCTGGTAGGAGATGGATGACGACGAGGTACTTGCGGATCCTGGAAGAGGCGTGGCTGACGGAGGAGGGCCGAGCGGAGGCTGCTGGCCGTAAAAAGTCGAGCCTAGGGTTCCAGGGCCGACCGGAGGGGCCGCAAAAGAGGGAGGAGTGACAGGGGCATAAGGCGGCAAGCCGGTGGTCTGCGATGGGGCAATTCCCGTGGCTGCCGGCGCTGCCGCGGGATAGGTCGGGTATCGACTTGAGGTGGTAGGGCGAATGGGCTGCTGCGGGAGCGGGTCCTGTGCATAGGAAAGCTGGGGCTGATCGGGCTGGGTGGATGCTGGCGTCGATGCCTGCGTGGATGCTGGTGTTGAGGCGCCGCTATCGGCGGCCGTTGCAAACACGGGCTTGGGGGTGAACAGGGGACGGCTGTTTGACCACATCGCTGGACTGTGCTGGAGGATATTCGCTCGTGGCTGCGGAAATCAGGAGGGACGGCCGAGGATCGGAGCCGATGCGGCTGGAGCAGTCGACGGGGCCGGCTGGACGGCGAGTGCGGCGGCTGCGGTGGACGGCAACGGAACGGATCCGAACAGGAGCGACGATGGCGACGATGGCGACGATGGCGACGATGGCGACGACAACGAAAACGGGGATCGCTCGCGGTGGGAGGAGGAACACGTGAGCCAGCGTGACACAGACGCGCGGGGCGGACGGAAATAGACAGGCGCCTGGCTCGAGGGCGGCTCGAGGGCGGCTCGAGGGCGGCTCGAGGGCGGCTCGAGGGCGGCCCAAGCCACGCAAGCCACACGGACAGAAAATGCCGACGCGCGCATTGGTCATCCGTCACATGCCCCTCCAACACGGGTCCAAACAAAGCCCGCCCGCACAGATCGCGTCTGTGGCGCGGGCGCATGCGCAGCCACGCCGCGCTGCGCACCACACTCTCAGTGGCGCCACCCGTCCGCAGGCAGCCGTTCCCGCGAGCGCAGCAATCCAAACACGCGTTCCGCGTTCCCCCTGTCCTATCGTCCCGGCCGTATCTTGCTATTTAACCATGGCCTTGGCCGCCGTTCTTCGCACCGCATCCCTCCGCGCATTTGCGTTTTCTCTCTCGCTCCTCTGCCGATCCAATCGCCTCTCTGAGATCCCCTCTCTCTTCCCACCACTCGCCATGACCATCACCTCCACCCAGACTGCCACCTCGGTTCTGCACCTCTCGGGCAACCAGGCCGATAGCGCCGATCAGTACAACCTCGCTGACTTCCACTTTGCCCCCATCCGCGAGTCCATCGTTGCCCGCGAGATGGTCAAGCGCTACATGGAAGACATGCTCGAGTACGCCGAGAGCGATGTCGTCATTGTCGGCGCTGGCTCGGCGGGTCTCTCCTGTGCCTGGGAGCTCTCCAAGAACCCCAACCTCAAGGTGGGTTTACCATATCGCTGCTGGGCTGCCTACTCCGCGATCTGCCTGTCGTCCAGTCCCTGTGCTATCTGATCTACGTCTACGGTCACCACCACCACGATCGCCCGATCCATTCTCGCTTGCGACCACTGATCCACTCCCTCCTCCTTTGTCTGGCTCCATCGGCCGATCCATTCTCTCCACAACTCCTGTAGATCGCCATCATTGAGCAGAGCGTCTCGCCCGGCGGTGGTGCCTGGCTCGGCGGCCAGCTTTTCTCGGCCATGGTTGTCCGCAAGCCCGCTCACAAGTTCCTGGATGAGGTTGAGGTTCCCTATGAAGACTGCGGCGACTATGTCGTCATCAAGCACGCCGCCCTCTTCACCTCGACCGTCCTCAGCAAGGTTCTCCAGCGCCCCAACGTCAAGCTCTTCAACGCCACTGCCGTCGAGGGTAAGCGCAGCTGCTGTTGTTTTGGGAGCGCATAGCGGTTTGCCCAACTCATTCGATTTTGTACGCGAGGTCTTGTTTGACTCTCACTGATCGCATTGCACTGCATGTTGCGCCACTTCCCTCGTCGCTCCCAGATCTGATTGTCCGCAATGGCACCGTTGCCGGTGTTGTCACCAACTGGGCCCTGGTTGCCCTCAACCACGATACCCAGTCGTGCATGGACCCCAACGTCATCGAGGCCAAGGTCGTCGTTTCCTCGTGCGGCCACGACGGACCCATGGGTGCTACCGGTGTCAAGCGCCTCCAGTCGATTGGTCTGGTCAAGAAGCTCCCTGGCATGTCCTGCCTGGACATGAACGCTGCCGAAGACAAGGTCGTGGAGTACACCCGTGAGGTCGTGCCCGGCATGATTGTCACTGGCATGGAAGTTGCTGAGCTCGACGGAGCCCCTCGCATGGTAAGGATCGCTGCAGTCGCCGCCACACTGCTCGAGACGGATATCTCTCGTTACTGATGAATGCACTTGCAACCTCCCTCTGCTTTCGTCCCTCTGCTTTCGTCCCTCTGCTTTCGTCCCTCTGCTTTCGTCCCTCTGCTTTCGTCCCTCTGCTTTCGTCCCTCTGCTTTCGTCCCTCTGCTTTCGTCCCTCTCCTCCAGGGCCCCACCTTTGGCGCCATGTTCATCTCTGGACAGAAGGCTGCCCACTGCGCGCTCAAGGCTCTGGGTCTGCCCCACAAGCTCAACTAAGCAGAATTAGGGCACTTCTGTGATCGGTGCCCACGCTTATGCTGGTATACTGCGTGAAATGCCGTTTGGTTTGATTGTCTGCACGCCCGCTGGCATGCATGCCCATGTCGAACGTACTTGCACTAGGGGTGCTCAAAGGATGACAACCGATGCGAAACAGCAACAACGGGTTCCTCAATGGAATAAATCCATCTGCCTTGGTGCAGAGAGCGACACCCCGCCGTTGCGTTTCTCTCTGGCTGCCTCATTTCCTTTGGGCTGAGACTATACCCTCAGCACCTGATCAAGGTAACTCTTGCGAAGGGAAGCTGCAGTACTGCTAACCCCCTGTCCTCCTGGAGGGCAGTTCTCTCGACAGATGGCGCCGGCAAAAGATTCCCTCTGGCCCTCCCTTGATGACCGACCAGGCTTCCCCCCCCCGCTGCCAGCACCCAAGCCATCGCTCGACCGAGCTAAGCTTTGCATAGGGGGAGGTCCAAGGTCACGCTGCCAGCCCAGCCAAGGGTATGTACGCACGTCGCTTGATGTAGCCAAGAGTGTTGTGTCGATTGCATGACGGCGGTTTGCGTGGAGATATCTCCCGTTTCCTCGATCGGCCGTGTCCAGGGACAGCAGTTCTCCTTCACCACATTAACGTTCTCACCCTGCACATATACGGGCTTGCTCTGGCCCGCTCATCATCTTGGTCCCTGTGACCTCTGGTCCGCACCCTCATGCCACCTGTCGCCGCGCGCCGCTTTGGCCGGGCAGGATGCAAGTTGCCACTTGGTACTCGGCAGAGGGACGCTTTTGCTTGGGATGCCTGGGCGTTTGTGTTTGTGAGAGGAGTGGGGGAGGGGAGCAGTTGGAACATGGGGCGACACAGGACTTTTGAACATGCAATATACAATATGCAATTCAATGGACACAATGCACCGCACCTCACAGTGGCATAGACATGCGGCTGCTCGTTCAGGATGCGCAACCAGCAGCGGAATGACGGCGGACCATAGCCCCCCTTGTTGCTCTGCTGTCATCACAGCTTTCTAATGATATTGCAGATATGTGATTTCCCACAGCATCTTTATGCGTCCCGCTCATCGCTTTCCCCCGCATTCCATAGATCGATCGCTATTGTTCCTTGGCATCTTTGGCATCCTTGGCCGTGCCCCGAGTCTTGCGCTGCCATGCTCGCACTGCCATGATGGTCCAGTCGGCGTTGATGTACCCAAACATGGAGAACATGAGCACAGCCGGAATCGACAGTCCCAAGGGCTCGTTGCGCAGGGTCTGCACAAACGGAATCCAGCCGCCCGAGAGCACCGGGATCAAGTAGAGCAAATACGGGACCACCCAGGTGCGGAAGAAGAGGAAGCCGCACACCCGCACAAACAGCAGCTGGGCATACGTCCGAGATCGCTTGGCCTTGAGTTTGAGCAGCTCCACAGCCTCAGTCTCGGGCGAGAGTAGGGCCGACGGATCGACGTTTTGATGGAACCAAATGACATTCTGGATCGAGGCCGTCAGCTCCGTGATGAAAAAGTAGACCACCAGGACCGCGAGGCGTCGGTAGATGGGCATACCGAAGGTGGCATAGAGGGTCTGTTCTCGGCGGATTGTGGTTGTTTCGATTGGGGTGGCGAGAGTAGTCGTAGTCGTAGTCGTAGTCGTAGTCGTAGTCGTAGTCGTAGTCGTAGTCGTAGTCGTAGTCGTAGTCGTAGTCGTAGTCGTAGTCGTAGTCGTAGTCGTAGTCGTAGTCGTAGTCGTAGTCGTTGTAGAGACGATTGCATTAGAAACCCGGCTGTCGGACGATATCTGGCAACCATTGCACTCGCCCACACATCGGAAGGCATGCACCAAATCAGGCACCAACAGTGTCGGGAAGTTGCTTCACATGGAGATCCACAGACCCCCACATTCCCTCGATACTTGCCATGTAGTGGTGAATCCACATGGCCATCGGCCAGTCGCCCTGGAGATACATGGTTGCGGTGTCGTAGATGGTATATCCAACCAGCTGAGGGAACACCCAGTCAAGCTCGGGTGGATAGGTTGCGAACAGGTCGGCATTGGCGAACGCATCGCTGACCAGGACAAAGTAGAGGCCGGCACCGCCGATGAAGAGCGAATTGACCGTCGAGCAAACTCTGTCGAAGAGGGAATGGGGCAGACCGTCAGCCATCTGAGATGATTCCACTACAGTCGGTCCAGAAAGCAACAGCTCGCTTGCTTGGGGTGTCGAGAAAGTCGGAAAATACGTGCTCGGCAATGAATCCGTCAAAGTGGCAGAATGTTGTCGACCGGATGGTCCTCCAGTCCAAACGGCGAGCCTGAGTCCGATCCGGAACCTCCCTCTCAATCGGACCATAGCACACTAGTCCCCAGGAATTGTTGGGAAGGTGGGGGGGAGACCAATTCACCTACTTTTCCGCCAAAATGCTCTTGTCTCGGTTCGAAAATGCATTCCAAATCTTGGGATGGATGCTCTGGGCGGCAATCGTCTTGGCGACGATATGGAGCACCGAGTAGAAAACGGCTGCGAACGCGGAGCGCAGAGCAATGGTCGCCGCAGAGGGGACAGGATCGTAAAGAAGACCCAGGGACTGGCTGGTCATTGTCGCGGGCAGGCGTCAAGGACGGTGTGGGGCAGCAGGTAGAGGATGACTGGCTGGCTGGCTGGCTGGATAGGAAGGCAGTCGACAGAACGAGGAACAAATGCAAATTGGTCAGAGCACGACCGAGTTGGCTCGCTGACGGATGGTGCGGAAAAATCAGCGGTCACTGGGCAGCGAAACCGGCAGGATTGGGTGTGGACCTGTACAGAGAGCCGGCTGGTTGGGATTCCGGGCGGGCAATAGAGGTTGGCCAGAGGACACAGACCCGAGGGACGACGTTGACGAAGGCCGGAAAGATGCTCGGCAGCTGAGAAGAAAATCCCCGAGAAGAATATCCTGACCAATTTTTTGGGGTTCGACTCTCGACAAGGGGCGTGCAACAGCGAAGGATCATCGAGAGAAGCGCGGCTGCCAGACATGTGCCAACATCTGCCCGATAGCCCGGACTCGGTGGCATGGGCTGGGGCGGGATCAATTCGGGAGAAGGCTGCCATCGACCAAGCCGTCTCGGTCTGCACAAGCTCATTCGAATCCTGGGCCGGGGGTACTCTCGGCGATGGTAATATCAAGTCAAGTAAATCGTGTTCTGGCTCAGAGAGCACACAGAGCGGACGTTCAGCCGCTCTCCCTTCCCTGTCGTCGCTTCCAGCAAACGCATTACAGGGTCAAGACCTCCTCGGGGTCCTCGAGACTACCGCCGCTGATCGACTGGGCGTTCCACATGGCCGCATAGACACCTCCCTCAATCTGGAGAAGCTCGTCGTGCGTGCCTTGCTCAACGACTCGCCCGGCCTTGAGCACGAATATCACATCGCAGTCCATGATGGTCGAGAGGCGGTGGGCGATAAAAATGGCCGTCTTCTTGCTGGACGAGTCTGCCTCGGAGCCGATGAAGGTGTGGACGGCCTCCATGATCGACTTTTCGGTGGTCAGATCCAGGGCCGAGGTGGCCTCGTCAAACATGAGAATCGGGGGATCCTGGGGAGTCGGTGGTGACAACAGAGGCAGTAGTGACAACAGAGGCGGTGGTGACAACAGAGTCGGTGGTGACAACAGAGTCGGTGGATGGGTTAGCAACGTTCTTGGAATGCCATCCGCCTGCTCTGAGCTCCTGAAAACACACCATCCACTTCCTCGCCGTGTCGGCCAATCTCCCTCCCGCATCCACTGGCCGCCATTGCATTTTGTTTCGGCTGCTCAGCAGACTCGACCCAGAGTGCTTACCTTCAAAAACACTCGCGCAAGTTGCACGCGCTGCTTTTCGCCTCCGCTGACCATCAAGCCGCGCTCGCCAACCCGAGAGTCGTATCCGTCCTTGAAGGTCTGGACCACGTCGTGGAGCTGGGCCATCTGAGCAGCGGCAATTACTTCCTCGTCCGTGCTGCCAATCTTGCCGTATGCAATGTTGTACCGAAGAGTGTTGTTGAACAGGATCGTGTCCTGCGGCACAACACCCATTGCCTGGCGCAGCGACGACAGCGAGTAGTCACGCAGGTCAGTGCCGTTGATCCGGATTGTGCCGTGGCTGGGATCGTAGAACCGGAACAAGAGTCGCAGGATCGTCGACTTGCCGCAGCCACTGGGGCCCACAAAGGCAACCCTGGCACCAAGCGGGATCTTCAGGCTGATCTGGTCCAGAACGCGGCGATCGTGGCTGTAACCGAACGACACGTTGTCAAAGTCGATGAACGAGGTCGAGGTGCCCGGCACGATCTGGAGCTCCTTGGGGTTGGCGCGCTCGGGCACATTTGTTTTGATGTGGTGCAGCCGGAACATGGTGTCCATATCGATCAGCGACTGGCGGGTCTCGCGGTAGACGGTTCCCAAAAAGTTAAGAGGCATCGAGAGCTGGAACAGGAGGCCGTTGAGCATCACCAAGTCGCCGACGGTCAGTGCTCCCTGGATGACCCCGTGCGCCGACATCCACATGATGATCGTCAGGGCAACCGAGAAGACAAAGTTCTGGCCGGCATTCAGGAAGGCCAGCGATGTTGTGGTCTTGAGGGCCGCAGCCTCGTATTTTTTCAGGGAGCTGTCATACTGCTTCATCTCGAATCGCTCGTTGTTGAAGTATTTGACGGCCTCAAAGTTGAGCAGCGAGTCCGTGGCCTTGGTTGCGGCTTCGTTATCGGCTTTGTTCATCTGCTGGCGGAACTTGGTGCGCCAAGAGGTCGTGAGGAAGGTGAAGGCTGAATAGGCAAACATGGTTGTCAGCGCCACGCCGGCGTATCCGGGTCCAAAGTTGTACGCCATGATGCCACAGACCAGCGAGATTTCAAAGAGGGTCGGCACGACGTGGAAAACCATCGACGACAGGATCTGGTTGATGCCCTTAGTACCGCGGTCGATCGAGCGGGTGAGCCCGCCGGTCTGGCGCGACAGATGGAAGGAGAGGTCCAAGTTGTGGATATGGTAAAAGATGTCCTTGGCGGCGGAGCGGATGGCTCTCTGGGCGACATGTCCAAAGACAGCGTTGCGGAGCTCGCCAAAGAGCGAGCCGGCAAAGCGGAATGTGCCGTAGGCGAGGAGCATGGTGCCGGCCAGGGTCATCACCGTCATGGAGGGATCGGGGGTGATGTTGAGGGCATCGACGATGTGCTTGAAGCTAATAGGGACGTAGATCGTAAAGAGCTTGCCGGCGAGGAGCAGACTGAGGGCCAGGACGACTCTGGCCCGGATGGCGATGTTGTTTTTGGGCCACAGGTACTTTGTGAGTTCGCGGATGATCTGGAGATCGTGCTGGGAGGCGTGGGTGCCCTGTGACGAAAGAGACAGGTTGCCGAGGGCGGGAGTGGGCTTGCCTGCCGTGGTCGTCTTGATCGCCTTGGTCGCCTGGGCTGGATCGCCCGCCCTGTCGGGAGTGTAATGCCTGGCTGTCGTCATCTGCAGCAGAGAACCGGCGGTCTTGCCGGGGCTGTACAAACCCAGCATTGCTCTGGCCGGCGATGCCAGCGCAGCTCCACACAAGAGGCGGGTCGGTTGCAAGTGGACCCTCGTCGTTGCGTAGGTGCGGACGGGCCAGATGCTGCTTGGGGTTGGGATAGAGCTTGCGACGGACGCTGCTCTGGGAGCCCGGGTTCCCCGAGAGCAGAACAGAGACCCGCAGCGGGTCAGCAGGGACAAACGTGCCGGCAGCACCATCGATCCGGGCCAGATGCGGTTCAGGCGAAAGCACCGAGGATTCAAGCCGCTGGACAGGGATGGCCAGATGAGGGACCAGATGAGATGGCCGGATGAGATGGCCGGATGAGATGACCGTATGGGCAGAGCGTGACTTTGCCAGAGCCAACAGCAGAGGCAGCGGCGGTGGAGGCGGGTGGGCTCGGACGAAGCGACGGAATAAATAGAATTCCAGGGGGGCGGCAGTCGCATCATCGCATCGGAGGCGTCCCCATCCCACAGGCAAACCGCTGGCCGAGACAGGCCGCCGTCGTGCTGCGGCTGCGGTTGATTTGCTTGCAGTCGCTGCGTGGACTGCATCGATTGCATCGATTACATCGATTGCGCCTATGGATGAATACATTGCACGGATTGCATTGCACGGATTGAATTGCATTGGTCGGAGAGTCTGCCCGGCATTGATGCATTTCTGCCCAAGCTCTCGGGCTGTCCGCACAATCGCCTCGGCATCGTCGCGGCCATCGCCCTTTGCTCTCCTTTTGCTCCCCTTTTGCTCTCCTTTTGCTCTCCTTTTGCTCTCCCTCTGCGCAATGGCGATATTCCCTATGCAGATCGCTCGACGCACCGCATCCGGGGCATCGTCGCGCAGGCAGCCCCGCCAGACATTGTCTCGCCTCGCAAGCGCCGCTCCGCCATTGGCCAGCAGCACGCACTCCCACGTGACTGTCCCGGCGTCCCGATTTGCGCAAATTGCTGCTGCGGTGGTGTCGGGCGCATCGGTCTGTCGCTGGCCTGTCATCCGATCTATCCCGCCGTCGCAGCCAGCAGCAGACGCCCGCCATGAGCGACAGCATCAGCGAATACGAAAACATATTCTATGACGGCAAGGTATATTGTGGTGCATGCTGGCTTATCCGTCGCTCGGAGTGATCGCCCGGATCATTTGCCAGAGCATTGGCAGAGCATCCGGTCCAGCTACTTCGCAGCCTTTCTAACGATGGCCTCCATGCATCGCCCGGCATGTTCCCTGGGGCTCCCCCGAACGGGAATCAAATCCTACGTCGCTGACCCTGGCGCTGCTGATCGGCGAAATACGATAGATCCTCGGCAAGTTCAAGATTGCCGAGGTCGGCGTGGGCTGGCGGAATGCCGCCGATCGATCGCAGAAGGTCACCATTTCGGCCGCCGATATCCGCAAGCTGGTCTGGGTTCGTGTGGCCAAGGAGTTCCAGTACCGAGTGATCCTGAGCAACGGCGTGACTCACAAGTTCGATGGATTCCCAAGAGATGTGAGTCTTCAGCACTGCATCCGGACGGACGGGGTGGGGAGAGAGAGCGAGGAAACAGCAGACCAAGCGCCAACCAATTCGAGGCCGGCTCGCAAGCCCGTCATCGGCAATCTCTACCATGCCATTGCATCAAACGGAGCCCGTCTCGCTGACCTGGATGCTCGTCACTCGCTTACCGGCCCTGTTTGGCCAGGCATACGACTCGCTGGCCTCGTTGTCCAGAAACTGGTTCCAGACAAACCTCGAGGCCAGGGACATTTCCCTGAAGGGCTGGAACTGGGGCCACGCCGAATTTTCCGGGCCCAACATGTCCTTTGTCGTCGGCAAGAACCCGGCATTCGAGATCGCCCTGACCAGCGTCGCCAACACCACCCTGGTATCCAAGAACGAGGTCTCGATCGAGTTTTCCCAGGCAGAGGACGCCTCTGGTGATCCCAAGGCCAAAAAGTCCAAGGAAGATACTCTGGTCGACATCCGCTTCTTCATCCCGGGCATGGTCACGCAGAGCCAAATCGGCGACGACGACGAGGGCCGGCGCCAGCTCAAGGACGTCGAGGACGACAACGCCCGCATCCTGCCGGACGGCCACGAGGAGGGCGAGATCACAGCCGAGTCAGAGGAGCTTGTCCTTGGAGACGACGGAGAGGCCATCTCGGCAGCGGCCATGTTTTACGAGACCATCAAAAACAAGGCCGACATCAGCACGTTGCAGGGCGAGGCCATTTGCACCTTCAAGGCCCTGTTCTGTTCGACCCCTCGGTATGTATGCCGGTGCTGGCCAGATGGTGCGCTGACTTTCTGGCCTTGCGCCACAATCGCCTGCGACGCCCGGCCCCTCATCTCATCCGCATCTCCCTGACCATCGCTGTTCGTCCACAGTGGCCGGTTCGAAGTCGACATGTTCAGCGACTTTTTGCGATTGCGCGGCAAGTCGCACGACTACAAGATACAGTACAAATCAATCCTCCGCCTCTTTCTGTTCCAGAAGCCCTCCGAGTCGCACTGGCTGTTTTTGGTGCAACTCAATCCCCCGCTGCGTCAGGGCCAGACCTCGTACCCTTTCCTTGTGTTCCAGTTCGAGCGTGAGGATGAAGTCGAGGTGGATCTCCAGCTTGAGGAGTAAGTTGCAATGGCACTGACACGCTCGTTGCACTCGGTAGCAGCGCCGTGGTGGGCAGAGCTTGGCGATCCAAAGAACGGTAATGGGGAGCTCGGCAATGGTGTCCGCTCTCTGATGCCGATGCCGATGTTGATGCCGATGCTGATACGGACTGACACTCTCCTCTCCATCCAGCGAGGTTATCCAGACCGAATACGAGGGGCGGCTGCTGAAGAGCTATGACGGACCAATGTACGAGGTTGTTTCGGACATCTTCAAGGGTCTCACGTCCAAAAAGATCATTGGACCCTCTCCAACTTTCAAAAGGTACGCTCCAGGCATCGATGACATGTATCTCATGGGATCTGCGGATGCCAAGGCATCTATAGATACTGCAAACCACATGTCACCAGTGCATCTCTTAGGATGCTATGAGAGCTACATACTCTGTTCTTGCTGAGCACAGCCGCTGATGTCCTTGGCCATCTGTCTTGCTGCTGCACCCATCCTAGCTCCCTGGGTGGAGCAGGCGTCAAGTGCTCACACAAAGCCAACGAGTGCTGGCTCTTCCCTCTGGACAAGTACTTCCTTGCGGTGATGAAGGCTCCGGTTCTGATTCCACACCCCGAGATTGCCCGCGTGACTTTCTCGCGTGTCAGCGCTGGCGGCGGTGCCACCACCAAGACGATCGAAGTCAAGTTCAATCTGACCACGGGCATCGACTATCAGTTCAGCAGCGTCGGCAGGTTCGTTTGTGTGGATGAGGCGGATGCACGCAAGGCACTGTCAGTGTACTCGCAAACAACGCAATCAACCATCGCGGGACAATGCACTGAGCTCGTGCAGTGGGTTCGTGTAGTGGAATCATAGGTTCAAACCGATATTGACCTTGCCTGCATTCTGTCCGCGGAACCACACCCACAGAGAAGAGTACCAGAACATGGAGTACTTCTGCCACCAAAAGAAGATCCCGGTCACAAGCGAGATGGAGGTCCAGTCCAAGTACAACGAAAGCGATGGCGACGACGATGGCTCCGGCTCCGATTCGGGAGCGAAGAGAAAGCGGGAGCCCCAGGTCGCAGTGGCTGTTGGCCAGGGCGACAACGATGACGAAGATGAAAGCGGTGGGTTTTTGTGCGCGAGCAATATGCCGAGCCTCTCACCGTCCCGTTGCACCCAGAAACAGATCACTGACAGTCAACTCCCCGAATTCCGTTCTTGCTTCGCAACCTGGCAGAGGACGAGGACTTTGTCGCCTCCAGTGAAAGCGAGGTTGGAGAAGAGTTTGCCTCCGATTACGGCTCGAGCGGTGACGAGGCTGGCTCGGGCGACGAAAATGCCGAAGAACCAGGTGGGTGTCGATATACACTCCGACAGCAATGCCACAGCCGAGACTTGGCCAGCATGCTGCCAACAGCACCGATAGTCTGAAGGCACAGCAGTGTCAGCAACATCAGCGATATTCAGTCAGTGTATCGAGTATAACGCGTGGTGTCGTCCGACAACTCTCCCCCCCCCTTCTCCAACAGCTCCAACAAAGGCTCCCAAGACAAAACAGCCTGAGAAGGCGCCAAAGGTGGAGAGACCAGATTCCGATAGCCCACCAAAGAAGGAAAAGCCACGCAAGAAGGAAAAATCGAGCGAAAAATCCGAGGAAAAGCCGGCCAAGCGTGCAAAGAAGGATGCGGACGCCCCCAAGAAGGCCATGTCGGCGTTTATCCTCTTTGGAAACGACAAGCGTGCTCAGCTCAAGATCGACTTCCCCGGCCTGTCTGTCCCCGAAACGGCCAAGAAGCTGGGCGAGATGTGGAAGCAGGTGACGCCCGAGGAGAAGAAGGTAGGCTGCAAGTCTCCCGAGCCTGGCAAGCGAGCAAAGACGGAGGGACGACCGAGAGCTTGCATGCATCGAGGATGCACATGTGCATATGTAGACACACAGGGGACTGATCCTGTGTGATCGTGGCCAGAAATACGAGGACCTGTCTGCCATCGAGAAGGAGAGATACCAGAAGGCCATGGCCGAATACAACATCAAGAAGGAAACGGATGTGGGCAGCAAGCCCAAGAGCAAAAGCAAGAGCAAGCCGTCGTCGACACCGGTAAAGACGGAGAAGGCATCGTCCAGTGCGGGACTGAGCACCGAATACATCGACAGCGACTCGGACAGCTAGACTCGGACAGCCAGACTCGGACAGCTAGATGCCTTTGTGAGTCTTGCTCCTTCATCTGGAATGATGATTGCATCGGTGGAAGCAGGAGCCACTTGAGCTGCCCAGGCAAAGTCAAAAGCGCAGAGCGTGCTCCAATGGACGCAATACAACCCGAACCAATTCACACGGCGTCCACAGTCAGCGGGCGAGAGGTGGAGTTCGAGGAGGAGCATGAGTCGCGCCGAACGAACCAGAGCTGTCCTAGGCCTGTTTGAACATACTTTGAATGGGTACGGGTTGACTTGCGCCATTCTCGGGGAGACGAGAGGAAGACCACCGGCCGCCAAGAGGCGAGGCGGGAAATGCACAGGCGACTCAGCGCGCCAAAGTCGCATGGGCTCGTGGGTTCAGGGCCATTCCAGCAAGGACCAGCCACGATGTTCTACCACCGGGATCTGACTTGACGAACCCACGCTGCGCCCCACATCCCCGACAAGAATGGAGACGCATACGTCCGACATTGATCCAGCAGACGGAATCGACACGTTTGCGAACCGCGCCCACAACTCTGACAAACCCGAGGAGCACGATGAAGGTAGCATGATCGATCGATTTACTCCCGCCGAGACAGAGCCAGACCGACGCGATGCTTTCTTCAGTTCCGACTGACCCGTTTTCATGGGGCATCCGGGCGGTTATCCAGTCGAACCCATGGCAATCAGCAAGGAGCTCCTCGAGCGAGAGCGCAAGTACCTGTACGTCTGGCGGACGAATTGCCACTTGACGCTCGGTTCCCTCCCTCATGCTGCTTTCCATTAATGGGAGCGCGTATGCATATTCCTTGGATCGGACTCACCGCTTTCGTTCCCGCTTTCCCCCGGCCTGGTCATCTGGTTTGTCTGTGTGTGGGGGTTGGGTTGGGAATCATGGTCGGATCCAGTGAACGCAACAAGAAGATCCAGATGGAGACCCACAAAGTCGTCAAGAATGCCGAAGCCGTTGTGGTGGGGGTCTTGCGTTGCTGGGATCCGATGCAAGCGGGTCATAGACGTCAAATGGCGAAGGAGCCACAGCCAGGAGCGAAGCAACATCCACCCGGAGACTCTCGTAGCGAGAAAGCGACACACCAACGCTGCGCTGGGAGGAGGCGCTCCTGTGTCGGCTCATGAGGCTTGGTGGGAAACACTAATCACCTCTACTTGCGCAATCCATCGTCTCGGGCAGAGGGAGGGCCGAGAGATTCTCGAAGCACCCTTGACCGCAGGAACACCCATGCTCAGCAAGGCCGCCGAGGACTCGACTGGGTCAGTGTCCAGTCATACAAACATACAGACAGACATACAGAGCGATGTCGTGCTGCCCTGGCCAAGTTGATGAGGGCTTGATCTGGTGTGAACGAGCGAATGAGTGCCAATTTACTTACAGCACTGACAAAAGCAATCCACCGATGCAACCCACAGACCGGTCAGCACATCTATGTGGGATGTCGATGCGCCCGAGCCCCCTATCGTGAGTGCATCTCGCGATTGCGGTTTGTCAGGCAACCGAGGAGTTGCAGCAGATTCTCGACTGATGGGCGGGCTCTCACCAGCAACGCCAGGAAAAACACTCACCGCCAGCCACGGCCGGTGCGTCCAGACCGAGCGTCGGATCAAAGCAGAGCCTTTTGAAGACAAAGGCCAAGACGTAAGCGAGCGCGGGGTGCAAGTCCACGCGATGCAAAGTGATGTAGTATGCTGTGGCGATGCTTGGTCAAGAGTCCTTGAGTGCATTCTCGCCCACCAACCTATCGTGGGGCAGCAGCGCTGGTAGCTACCTCGAACCAGAGCACACCTTGCTTCCGGTGCTGCGCTGCTACTGCTGATGACCGTTACCGGCGGGTGGGGAACAGTACCAGAGCACGCCTGGAGGTGCCGACAATACCCGAGGACATTGATGACGAGAACGATGGGATCACATCTGCGTCTGTGCGGATCCTCAAGTCCAAAATCAGCCTGATGCAGCAGGAAATCAACAAGCTCATTCAAGAAAATGCGGAGAAGGTGAGGGCAAGTGTGCTGTTGATGCTGTTGGTGCTGTTGGTGCTGTTGGTGCTGTTGGTGCTGTTGGTGCTGTTGGTGCTGTTGGTGCTGTTGGTGTCATTTTCACAGGGCAGGTCCGTAAGTATGATAATGGCGTTGATTATCTTTGTTTTCATTCCTCCTTGTTTCTCTATGTGCCGTCTGCCAGGACTCGACGATATCCAGCCAACAAACCGAGATCACAGCCCTCAGCGGCGAGAACGTGAGGCATCAAAAGGGCATCTCCAGCCTGACCGGGCAACTCGAGAAGCTCAAGAAAGCCGGGGACGCCCAAAAGAAACACTGCGACAGCTTGGAGATGGAACTCTCGACGACGCGCAAGGAAATCGAAAATGCGGTCAAGAGAGAGAAGGAACGAGAGCTCGAAGTCAATGCCAAGGATTTGAGGTCAGTGAGACACGAGGCCAAACAACCGAAGCGAGTGAGGGTGGCGATGAGAGTGGGAGTGGCGGTGAGAGCTGATGCTCAAGCTTAGCCCAGTGTCAGATTCAATGCCAAATCCGACGATGGCACTGCTGAGGAGATGAGATTGGGAGCGGAAGTGCAGGTTCCTGATCAGTGCAGGGCGGTGCTTCGTGGGAAACGACAGACTCAATCGCGCGCTGGAGGACATTGAGAAGCTCAAGCAGACCGTAGCCAAAGCCACCATGGACTCCAAGGTACGATGCCGGCATGTGGACTTTTCCGAAGCGAGAAAATAAGACAGGGAAAGACGATCTTTTAGTGCTCGTTCCCCCATGCGCCGGCTTGACTATGACCAACCATTCGATTGTTGCGCCCAGGACAAAGCCGAGGCCTCCAAGAAAACGGCGGACAGACTACTGGTGGATAACAAGCGGCTTGAGAAGCAAAAAGCCGAGATTTTGATGGCGTTCAAGAAGCAGATGCAGCTGATCGATGTGCTCAAAAAGCAAAAGGTACAATCGGGAGATGAGGGAGTGGGATTCTGGCGCATGAATGAGCAAGCGATGAAGTGCCGTGCTTGCTTGTGTTGTTTCTTTGCCTCACTTTCATGACCATGATCGTGGCCGGCATTGCCGGTCCCAAGACCTGGATTCGTTCTTATCTGACACTGGATTGAATGGGTGGGTGGGTGTGTGTTCTCTCCTGTCACATCGGCTGCCACTTGTCCGCACGGCTAGATCCACATCGAAGCTGCTCGGATGCTGCAGTTTACTGAAGACGAGTTCATGAAAGCCATGAGCTTCGAGAATGAGTAGGCATCCCGAGGGGGGGGGCGGTACTATCAATCGGTTGGGTGCATTGCACCCCTGGGTTCCGATCATGCCACTGCGGTGCCATCAGTGTCCAGAAAATACATTGGCCATCCGCCTCGAAACGAAGCGCCTCCATTCTCCCCTGCTTCGCTGAGTGGATATTGTAAACGGCCGCCATTGAGAATGACACGTACGGTGGCCTATCTCCAGAGTATCATTATTGGGTCTTGGCGGCAACTGGGCAGTCGGTGCGCATCTATGCCCATCAGCTTGGTGGCAGACTCGAGAGGATAGACACTCGTTGCTGCCCGTCAGGGAGCATCAAGTCAAGCCGCCAGCAGCAGCCTCCACTTTGCACGAGCCGCAGTATCGGTGTATTTCCGACAGAACCATCGACAAGTTGGAGGAGTCATCGCTGGTGGTGTACTCCTCCACGCACCACAGCCCCAGAGCACTTGGTGCTGCAGTCCAGGGGGAGATGGTTGGGGGGGGGCAACAATGGATCATTGCAATCGAGTGTATCGTGCACATACATTAGACTTGGACGAGGGGAAGCATGCGCGAACCAGACGGGTAAGCGGGTTATTGAATGGTAAATGCAAGGAGAACAGGGATAGGATTTGCGCTGGAGAGTGACTCTGAAACCACGGCTTATGAACCGACAAGGGAGGGGGTGGCACAATTCACCGGATTGCTATGGCAATCAAAGGTGGTACTGCTGGCGGCGGCGGAATCGGCACTCGAAGCAACATGAAGCGAAGACGCAAACACAGTGACGAGCGCGGGAGCAAGCGGAAAGATGGAAGGGTGCAAATAGACAGATAGAGGGAGGAACGGGAATCAAGTGAGATGGAGTAAAGGGATGAACGGCAAAGAACCGTCAGAACCGACAGAGCCGAGAATCGCGTTCGTCGGATTGAGCTGACCCGGCCAGTACCAATAGAATGGCGTCCCATCATCATCGCTCGAGCGTCCATGGATGCCCGGTCATCAACACAGAACCAAGCCTGGACATGCCTGCCAAAGCTGCTGGATCACTTGTTGGCTCCCAAATGGATGAGGAACGAGGTCGCATCATCGTAGCGGATCTGCCTCAAAATAAATAGTCCGGTGTTGTGGGTGGCCGACTCGCGCGAAACCAGCGACTGGGCCAGCTCAGAGAGAAGCTCCTGGAGCGGCGGCAGCGGAGGCAGGGGTTCTTCTGGCTCTTGCAGGGGCGACTCGACCTTGCACCACGTCTTGACGGACGAGGGGTTGGAGGGCACGTTATCTGCGCTTTGGCCCTGTGAAGGCGAAGGTGGCGGCGAGGGAGACGGCGTCGGCGTCAGGGGATTGATGAGCGAGGACAGCGTCGTCTGAATAACGCTGGGGATGGCCGATGAGATGGCCGGTGGACGGGAAAGTGCATCATCCGAGCGCATGCGCAAGCGGGAGATGTCGATGCTTGACTGCGCGGCGTGCCTTTGCTTGAGCTCGTTCCAGGAGTTGATGCGGGAGCCAATGTACTCGGCAATGGCATGGTTGCCGCCTTCGCCCTGGACACGCATGTGGTCCCAGACGCCATCGGTGGCAACAATGACGACGTAGTCTTGGTCGCTTTGGAGGCGGACAAAGTCGACGTCCGGCTGAACGGAAAGCACAGCGGGCTCGACCTTAAAGACCAAATCGCCCATGGTGGCGGTGAGGTTGAGGGTACGGCGATTGGAGACGCCGACGCGCTGGATCTCGGGTGTTAGTCGGCGGTAGATGCGGCTGCCGTTGAGCTCGGTGTAGATTCTGCGCTGGGGCTGGCCCGTTGCCGATACAGACGTAGGGTCTATGATTTCAACTTGGCGAAGGACACCCGCGGAGGTCACAAACTCGCCGCCGTTCTTGTAGATGTGGAAGAGCTTTTCTGGGTGAGTCATGTTGTGGTCGTCGCTGGCAAAGATCGGAGACCAGCCCGAGGCGTTGGTGGGAGACGGCGACGGCAAGCGCTGGGGAAAGCTGGGCATCAGGAACGACGGCTCGGTGCGGGCAGACTTCTGCGGTGAGGAAGTAATAACGATGGTCCGCGAGTCGCCAACGTTGCAGTTGACCAGCCAACCGCCGTGGATGACGTTGACAACGAGGGTGCATCCGTCGTCGATGGGTCGGGTTTCCTTGGGGAGTTCGGGTGAGTACAGTTCGATCCACTTGCGATACTCCTCGATCTTGGTCTTGCAGAATTCGGTGTCCATAGACTGGAAGATGGTGCCGACACAAGACTCGAAGTAGGTCCGGTCCGACGCCAGCTCAAAGTTCCAGGGCTGTGACTGGAGCAGCTGGGTCACCAGCTCGCGAGCGCGGGATACAAAGAAGCGAGCGGCATCGACACCGCCATGGCCGTCAGCCAAGATAAATAGCGAGGTTTGCGGTGCGAGCTGAGCCTGGAAGTGTTCTCGGAACGAAGAGGCGGCCGACGACGAAGACGACGAGGACGAGGACGAGAACCCGACGGACTGCCGAGAAGACGTGCGCGAGGGAAACGGACACTGAGGCAGGGGAGGCATCGGCGGCAAGCCAGAGTGCGACGGAGTGCGGCTCGATGCGGACGGTTGCGAGCCCGCTGGCTGGAAGAGCGGGTCAAAGGTCAAGCTGGGTTGGGGCAGTGGGTTGGCGACAGAGATGGTAGGGTGTTCGTTCGAGGTGGGCCAGTGAATGTCTTCCATGACGGAATGGATGGGCTGGCGTTGAGGCGAAACAGAGCTGTTGTAGATGCCGATGTTTCGATAGCCCTGCTCAGTAGCAACCGACCAGCTCACGGCATGTGCTTGGGGAATAGGCTTTGCGGGTTGGGCCGAGAGATGCGGGCTGATGATGGCTGTGGACCCAAGCTGCGAGACGTCTATCAGCTCGGTCTCATAGGGAAAGAATGCCTGGAGCGGATCGAGTGGTGGGGTCTTGGCACTTGCAGGAAGCGGAATATCTGCACAGGGCAGAGTGGAGAAGTGTGCGACGAGCGGATTGGATGGCGATGGAGAAGGAGAAGGCAGGGGAGGTGTGAGATTAATGCGATGCAAATGCTAGTTATATAAAGCGCAATTGAGACGGTGATGGTAGTCAACATGGGAAGGTGGATGGGGTGAGGCGGCGATGGAGAGACATCGGAGGGAATGTGCAGCGCTTCAATCGGGCTCGCACGGGGGAATCACAGCGCAGTGTCCGGCTTGCCGAGCCCAAGGAAGAAACCCAGGCGGATCCCCAGGCGGATCCCCAGGCGGATTCCAAAGGAGGAAATGCAGATGCCACCGGACGAATCCGGGGCGGGTCCCTGACAGATCCAAGAGCGGCTTACATCACACAGCTGCGAGCACGGGGACCAGCCGCAAAACGGCCCAGAGAAAAGACAAACCGATGCAGCAGCCAGCGATGATTATGGGGCCAACCCGGCATGGTCTCATACCCACCTGTGGTGAAGAATGCAAAGTCGTCGGCTGTAGCAGGTGAAAGCTCCTCCTCCAGAGTGTTGGCCGTGCGAAGGCTTGAAGCCTCTTTCAGGTCAAGGATGGACTCGAAGCGGATGAGCGAGCGATGGATCTTGAGCGATTCCGAGGGCTGCTTGGACGGGGAGCCGACAAAGGATTGATCGGGATTCATGTTGGCACAGTGCGGTCCGATGCAGTTGGCGGTGACAGAAGGATGCAGCGATGAGTCTTGAAGCGGATCAATCATGGAAGCCGAGTAGGAGATTGTCAGTGGCATGAATCGAGAGGGAGCGCAGGATCAAGGTGTGCAGAAGTGGATAGAGAAATGGTGAATCGGGCGGGGCGAGGGCCACGAAAGAACAGCACGACAGGGCGAGGGAAGGGATTGGGGGGTGAATTGGAGAGAGAGGAAGAATCGGGACGATCGAGTGTGAGATGGACGCTGTGTTGGTGGGAGTCTGGGGCAAGGTGGATGTGTGGGGTGGATGTGTGCGGTGGGTGTGGATGTGTGCGGTGGGTGTGGGTGTGGGTGTGGGTGGAGGATGCAGAGGCAGTAACCCGAGACCACCAACAACAATGAAAGCGACGAAGGTGCCAATAAATTACAGATGCGACTCAAGCCCGGGGTAGAGCGGGATGGGCGACGATGGTGATGGCGGTGATGGTGATGGTGGATGCGGTGGTGGGTGTGGGATTGACCGAGCTCGTGTGGGAGGACACAGGCTTCATCAACGCCAGACGGCGGTAGTCTGGGAGAACGAGAGGGAGACGGCAGGCAGGAGCCAAGGGACGCACGGGGCTCGGGGAGCAGCGAGCAAGAGGAGCAGCGAAGACGGAATGCGCAAGCGAGAAAAGAAAAAGGATGGGAACAGACGGACCACCGAGAGCCGGGTGTTGACGAGTCTGACGAAGGGCAAGCGAGGCGAGGCAGAGAGACTGAAGCCGACACCGATGTGGGCTGCGGGGCGATCGAGACAGCAGAGCGCGGCGGGGAGCGCTGGCACAACGGTCCACAGCGACAGCGCAATCGACAGCACAGAGCAAAGCAATCGACAGAGCAGTCGAGGCAGGTGAACAGGGGCTGGCACGCTGTGCGAGGCAGCACAACGGCAGGCTCTTTGTGGGAGGGAGGGAGGAGCGAATGGGCGGCGGTGCGGCCTTGATGGATACGAGATGGATACGAGATGGATACGAGATGGATGCAGAAGAGATAGATGCAGAAGAGATGGATGCAGAAGAGATGGATGCGAATGTGGCAGAGATGCGATTTGGATGGAATAATTGTTGCTGTTGCTGCTGGATACCACTCTCGGACGCAAGTGGTGCTGCAGACGATGATCGGTGCCTGGCCGGCAGCTGCTCTCAAACGGCAGGCTGATTCGATTCGGCGAGGGATGGGTGATCGAAGCAAGTGAGTGACCGAAGCAGATGGGCGAGTTGGCGAATAGGTGCGGACAAGTAAACAACCGTGTTGAAGTAACAATTGAGCACATCGTCTCATTCGGACAACACGGCGCATTCGCTGCAAGTCAGAGCAGAAGACATGCCTGGAATGGGGGAGTAAGACACAGGGCAAAGAGGGGTATCGCTGCAAGACGTGGTTCGTGCCGATCAAAGTCGTCTGATTCACAGCCCACACAAGTCACCCGTGTCCCGTTTGCGTTGACATCCGCCTTAATATCCGCATCAACGTCCGCGTTAACAACAACGGCGAGCAAAGCACCCTGGGTCATTGCACCTGATCGCAGCGCCGCCATTGCCGAAACGGGCGCAGCGCGACCGTGTGCTGCCACCGGCGCAACGCGGCTTGCGGATACAGCAGCGCCGCCACCACAGACACAACCGCAGCGACACAGCGGCAGTTGCAATCACCGCAGCCCCGGCAGACGCACGACGGGGCACAGAGGGCACAGCTCCGACGCGACGGACACAGTGCGACACACAGCACACTCGCTGAGGCAATCCACAGTCCACAGTCCACAGTCGACAGTCCACAGTCCACAGTCCACAGTCCACAGTCCACAGTCCACAGTCCACAGTCCACAGCTTGCACGCGCAAACAAACAATGCCCACAGACGTTGTGCGCCGCCCCCGCACACACACACACACGCACACACACACGCCCCTCGCCCCTCGCCGTCTTCGCCGGCTGGCTTTGCCCCTCCTTCGGTTTTCACCTTTTTTCGCCGTCGCTCCGTCCTCCTCTCCCCCGTCCCCTCTTCCCCGCATCTGCTGACTCTTCTTCGCCATGGCCGATATCCGCCGCAAACTCGTTATCGTTGGTGATGGTGCCTGTGGCAAGACCTGCCTCCTGATTGTCTATTCGAGAAACGTTTTCCCTGAGGTACGCTTCCATCCCCCCCCTGGTGCTGTGCTTTCAGGCTTGGCTCTTTTGGCTGCCTTTTGCCTCCTTGGTGTCGCTCTCCTGGCATCATGCCGCCGGAAGCCCGACCAAGAAGCCATCTTGCTCTCTGTCGATGCGTTCCTTTATCCACATGCAGTTACCCATCCCCATTCGCTTGAGTATCTCGTGAACCTTCCATCTGCTTCCTCGCCCTGGTGTCTCTCATGGTTTTCCAAAGGCAGCGACGATCGTCGGCTGGCCGTGCTTTTGGGGCTTCCATCGCCTTCCCTTCTGCTCTCATTGCATCTATCAGTTCTTGCGTTGGGTCCACGTGCATTCATCCTCTCCGTCAGCGCCCTGCATTTCTTGCTGCGTTCTTCCTGGCGGCTGTTGCTGCTGGCCCAGCAAGCCAGTTTTCTCCCCTGGCCGAGGCAACGGCAGCGGGGTCTCGTCGTTTTCGCCAAGAACGTCCTCGCCCTTGAGCAAAGCCCCCCCCCTCTCCCAAAATGAGAGCATGCTCGCTAACGCCAAGCCTCTCTCGTGCCCTCTCGCTCTCTCAACTTTCTCCACATTCTTGATGTGGTCCTTCGACTCGGCCAGGTCTACGTCCCCACCGTCTTCGAAAACTACGTTGCCGATGTTGAAGTCGACGGCAAGAGAGTCGAGCTCGCTCTCTGGGATACCGCCGGCCAGGAGGACTACGACCGTCTCCGCCCCCTGTCGTACCCCGACTCGCACGTCATCCTGATCTGCTTCTCCATCGACTCGCCCGACTCGCTCGATAACGTCACCGAGAAGGTACTTGCACACACACCCGTTTGCTGAAACCCCGGCGTTTCGTGAACAGAGCGGGTTTCGAACGCGAAGAGCAAGCAAACATGATACTGGCCCGAGCTGTCGGGGGCTATGTGCTTTGCTTGCATCGCTCCATCATTTCACTACCCGGTCTTTGGCTGCTGTTTGTGCGAGTCACGTTAGCTCTGGAACACTCGTTGCCAGGAGGAGATCGGCAACCCGCTGCCGATGCGGTTGCGTGCTTGGCTGACCCCTCCCCTACGTTCCCGCTCTCCTTTACAGTGGATCTCCGAAGTTATCCATTTCTGCCCTGGTTTGCCCATCATCCTGGTCGGCTGCAAGAAGGACGTCCGCAACAACCCCAAGGTCATCGAGGAGCTCCGAAAGTCCAACCAGGCCCCCATCCCCTACGAGAAGGTGCGTTAGATCGCTGCTTCTTGGCAGCATCTGTGATTGAGTCTCGAGTGCGTTGCTGCTGTCCGGTCGTTGTTTCGTCGGCGAGGCTGGCAAGCAAATCAGCGTGGTGCTGCACATGCAAAAGCACATCCGGTCGGAAAGCCGCCGCCTCGTTTGTCTATGCCATACGCGTGTCTGCGCCTGTTCGCGATCGTCTTTTGTTGCTTTCCTACAGAATGGGAAACCGCGACTGCGAGTCACAGCCTCCAACAAATGTGTCCCCCCGTTCAGTATGTGCTAATCCTATGCTGTATCTGCTGCACCGGCATTTGTGCCCTTGAATCGATACTCTTCAGGGTGCTGAGGTTGCCAGAAAGATCAACGCCTACAAGTACCTGGAGTGCAGTGCCTTGACACAGGAGGGTGTTAAGGATGTCTTCCTGCACGCCACCCGCGCTGCTCTGGGCGGTGGCGGCAAGACCGGCGGCAACCCCAACAGCGGTAACAAAAGGAAGCAGGAGAACAAGTGCGAACTTTTGTAAACTCGAGCGGCCTTGTGAATGTCCAGCTTGGGTTCGTATCTCGGTTCTGTCTGGCACTCTGGCTGCGATGCTCTGACGTGCGTGCCCATTCCCTGTACGTTCCGCCCCCAGATTCTGCTCATAGCGACGCCGATAGTCTTTTGTCGCTAATGCATGGGCTCGTTTCGTCTCCGTCTCCAACAGGACAGAAGATAAGGTAGTCCCGTTCCGATTCACGAATCAGCAACCCTCCGTCTTCCTGCACACTCTTCAGACACGCAATACGGCTGCATGACGCTCCCTTCCACACTGCTTGCTCCATCCTCCTCCTCGACCTATCCCCTTCGCCTTTCCCTCGCTCCCTCCCTCCTTCCTTATTAGCCTATTCTATTTTCTTTTTTTGCAAGCCACTGTATTTTTTCTCTTGTTTCACCACGTTTTGTTTTGCTCGTTTGCTTCGCAAGCCTTCCCGCTCTCCTTTCGACAATACATATCGATACTCTACTTCCCGAGCCCCCCTGGATCCGACAATATCTCACTTGTTCGAGATCAATGCCAGGGCCGTGGTTGCGAGGCACGTCGTTGACCAATAGCTTCAGCTGGCATCGTATCCGTTCTCGCATCCGTTGCGCCCAAGTGCAACCCGCCAAGCTGATCCAGTCGCCCGCATTTGCAAACAGCAGCAGGCATTTGCCTGCTGCTCTCCGTTGTTCCGTTGCCATCCTTCCGCCTTTCCCACGAGCCCATCCTCGCAAGTACTCCACCCAACCATTCACACGCCCAGGGAGGGGGTTACTCCGTATCTGGTTTCCCAGGACCTGATCGAAGCCCGTGCCAAACCCAAGAAGCCGTAAAGAATTGATTCAGCCGCCATCACGAAGCAGCTCTGAAGCACAACACTCGGGTCCTTCACTCGGCTCTCCCCCCTCCACAGCACGGTGAACTCGGGGCAGAGGCCGGGAAAAGGCGACCAGAGGCGCCACGCAACGAGACAGGGCCTGAGCACCGCCATATCCTTGGGTGAAACTGGATTACATTCACGAGCCAGTCAGTGACGCCAGCCCTCCAGAACCGGCATAGATTTGGATCTGGTAAAATTGGAGGAGCGAGGAAGGATGGGAGATGGCGCGTGCCCGCCCCTGTGCCGTGCATTTGTCGGTATCGTCCTCGGCAAGTCGCAGCTGCATGGCTGTTTTCCTCAAAAAGAGATGTATTGTCAATGACTGCTGCCTTCGCAACACACAAGGAGCGAAAGTAGCCTCAAGCAGCAACGGCGAAGAGAGCCACAAACAATGATGAGGAAAAGAGGAGGGTGAGGAGACAAAGCGGCGGGTGGGGCAAGATCAGTCAAAGGATGTATGGCGAAGAGGCATGGCGAAGAGGGCATGGTGAATGGGATATCGATTATGGGTCGGCGGTAGCGTCGGACTGGTGGACCAGACCCGACTCTTTTACTGGGCTGTTGGTGGCGACGCCGTCATTTTTCTTCAAGCTCTGAGGAATCGAATGAGGTATGCGCTCAGGCGAGGGATGTTGGGAGCCGACTTCCTTGGGGTTAGACTTGCCGGCCTTGGAGAGGGCGTAATCGCCCGAGTCAAAGTACTTGCGATCCTGCAGAAGGATATTATGAGGTCGTGAAGAGGGGAAGGGAGGGCAGTTGTGCCAATCAGCATCGATCGAGATGAATGCCATGCGACTGCCCTTGCCGAGAAGCAAATTCTTCGCCGGATGAGGTGAACGAGGTCCCACTTCGGCGAGCCTGCTCATCCACTTTGGATCATGGACAACCTGCCTTCATCTGGTGGCCAATCACGTTCTTCTTGGCAGGAGGCAAGCGTCCATACTTGTCGTAGAAGCTCTTCTCCTCGGGAGTGAGTTTCTGCGGGGCGTGATTCAATCGGAGACATGCGAGCAGGTCAATGGCATGGCGAAAAAAGAACGAGTCGGAACACAGTCGAGCCAATCTCGTCGATTAGCCTTCCTCCCCCGCCTCTTCCCATTCAACAAATATTGATCAGCCAAATCCGCAGGGCCAATACGCCCGGTGCCCCTTGGAAGGAGCAATAGACGACCATCGATCCAGAAGATGCATCGGCAAGATAGTAAAAAAAGTGAACGTGAACGGCGATTGTAAAAGGCGATCCAGTGCCGGTGGGAATCCCGAGACACCAATTTCAGAGTCGATGCTAAGTGTGAGGATACCTCCCCAGGGGGGATGGCTCCTCTACAGTCCTTCCACCGACTCAACAAGCCTCAGCGGATCGATCTTGATGGGTGTGTCTTGACCCACGTTCGCATTGAAAGCAGCCAAAGGCCTCCAGGCATCCCAGCGAGCCCGAGGATGATATCGAGTCCGTGTGTCCAGATCGAATGGAGATGCTGTCCTTGGCGATCTTGCCTCGAGTGATGGGGTGCTATCTGTTCGCGATGGTGCTTGGCAGTTGTCCCGCCCGCAATCCCTACGAGCTGGTTGACTTGTGGGTTTCTCTGTTGGTGCGATGGTCATAGAGGCCAGCACGCGACGGCTGGCCTGTATCCGAGACTGATTTGTCCAGTTTCAGCGGGCGCACATCCCGTCTGCGTTGTACTGCCTCCAAGACGAGATGCCCTCGTCGAGCGGAGACGGCAGCAGCAGCGGCAGCCGTCAACATCTCCACGGAGCGATCCATCGCGCAACACAACGGGTGTTGTTGAGCGATCGACGCGATGAGCATGGCTTGCCATTGAGAGGTCGTAAAGCCCCATCCAATACGCGAACGAGAGATGGAGGGAGAGAAAAATAACGGAAGGATACAGCTATATCTCGAAAGGAAGTTACAACAAGGATGGGATGGACGGATGGGGGGGCGGCCGCAATCGGTAAAGGTCGGCTGCGTTCTTGCGAATGGTATGCACCACCAAGCGGGGACAGCCAAGCGGCCAAGCCTTTGGAAGCGATAGACTGGAAACAAAAAAACCATGGTTGTCGCCAGATAACTTCTTGCCTCGAGAGGACCCAAGAAACACCGTCCGCTGGCTATTATCGGTCCCTCCCGCCCTCAGCGGAGCGCCAAGAATGACTTGGCTCGAGCGACTCTGAATAGAAAATAAAAGAGAAAAACCTCCTCCCCCCCTCCTGTTTCCAGCAATAGGGCCATCCTCGGGAACAGCGGAATACATACCGATACATCAATAGGGGCCGAGGACATGGTCGTTCCGAGAATACAGGGAGGAGATCGACGGCGGAAGGGTCTCTGGCGGAACCGAGGGAAAGAACAGAAACAGGCAGGTCCAAGGGCAACAAAGCAAGATTGAGGCAAACAGCGAGAGCGGCGGCGAGGAGCACAGCGAGGGCCTGGCGAGAGGGGCTCGATCGAGCCGGCCGGATCGAGCCGGCTGGTTCTGTGGCAGCGTCGGCGAAAACGAAAAACGCTCGGCACACAGAAGCGGCGGGGTGTGGCTGGGTTGGGCACGGGGCCTGGCCGGGTTGAATGACACCAAGCTGCGCTGATGGCACTGCGTGTCCATGGTTCCGAAAGCCAGTCGGCGGCTCGCCGGGTCGTCCTCAGCCGTTTCGCCATGAAGATTGTATTCAGATGGACATTGCATAGTTCGTGACAAGCGTGCTGCACAAACGACACCACCCGACGCTCAGCCGACAAGCACACGCGGCTGCGGGGATCGCATCAGAAGCAACAGCGCAAGGACAAGCACAGGGCGGGACTATACAGAGACGCGGAATGGAGAGGGAAATAAGGTATTCGACAGGCAATAGAAATCGTGGAATATACAGAGCGTCGGCTACACAACGGTAAGCCGATTCGGGACCTCGGGACGAGGTTTCAAGCGCAGAGAAAAAGTCTCATAACCTCGTCCGTCTGGGACAAGCACCGGGGCTGCAGAGATGTCCTCTGTCGCCGGCCAGCATCCGAGCCATGGTTCCCCTTACTTCTCCTTGACGGCGTCCAGGGACTCGAGTTCATGTTCACGCTCGTCGACGATGCATTCGTATGTCTTGAGCAGGTTACGGATGGCGGCTTCGACACTGAACTGGTTCACGGCGATTCTCCGCGAGACCTTCCGAGCCACCACGCGGTCCTTGAACGTCCGAGTGATCTTGTCGGCATAGTCTTCGACGTTTCCCTCCTCGAACATCCACTCGTCGATCATGCGGTAGATGGTGGCAAAGGCGCCCGAACGAACAACAACAGCCGGGGTGGCGCATGACAGCGACTCGGCGACCGTGAAGCCAAAGGTCTCCGAAGCCGAGGCCGAGACGAACAGATCGGCGTGCGCATAGAACCGAGCCGTTTCTCTTTCATCCGTGATCATTCCCGCAAAGATGACTCGCTTCGAGGAGCTTTGTTTCAGGAGGCCAATGTCACCAGGCTGAGAGCCCGAGTACGAGTAGACGCGATCCGCGCCCACGATTTCCTCGGCAAGGCCTTCAAGGCGCTGGCGCTCCGGCCCGTCTCCAACAATAACCAGCGTGGTCTTGGCGAGCTTCGGGTGTTTCATGCTCGCGATCAGGAAATCAACGTTCTTTTCGGCGGCCAGACGACCAACGTAGACGAGGATGGGGCCGGCGCGGCTCGATTGGTCGGGAACGACTCGCTGGGTCAGCTGGGAGGTCGGGGTCGCCAGCGTTTCGGCAACGGACACAGCTTCGTCCTCGCGGGGAGCAAACAGGGTTGTGTCGAGGCCAGATTTCATGACGTGGATTCTCTTGGAATAGGCAAAGACGCACCAGTCGGCCGTTCGGGAGGGGATTCCTACCACGTCCGCAAAGCAGACCAGGGGCATAAAATAGAACAGCAGATAGAGGCCCTCGACAATCATGCCCAGGATGAGATTGTCACCAAAGTAGTGGCGCTTGTAGTACTGGAGATAGACGTGGTACGAAATGTACACCTTGACGCCACGGAGCTTGAAGAGAGGCATTGCGAAGATGAAGGGGAAGCAAAGAGGTCCGACGGCGTGGATGATGTCATAGGGGACAGGGGTGGTAAAGTCCAGGAGCTGCCAGAGCAGCAGCAACGGGACGGCAATGAACATCCTGGGAGGAACAAAGGGCCAGAAGCGGTTAGTCAACGGAGAAGCATATGGACGATATGTGCCTTCCCGAAACAGAGTCGGCTGCCCAGGTGAAACGCAAATCAGGCGTATGGAGCAGCAGAATCGCCCGCAGAATCGCCCGATACGGGGTCGTGGCTCACCTCTGTGCCGTATAAAAAGGGTTGGGGACCGAAGGGGCGACAATATCGCAGTCGGTGCCAGCCACAGAAACGACAGTGACATGGTGGCCGTTATCTCGGTAGCCTTTGATCAGGTTTTTGCATCGATTTGCAATGCCCGAGATGTGAGGGGGCAAATACTCGGTTGCCATCAAGATACGCAGGGGCCTGCGATTGCGATTGCGATTGCGATTGCGATGGACGTGGGCACGAGCGGGAGGAGCAGCCACAACTTGCGTCAGTATCGAAGACTCCATGACATGGTCAACTGGCGAGGGACCACCCCGCTCTTCAGGCTCGATGGTGCGATCGTCGGCCCACCGGTGGGGATTGCATCTGCATCTCACACCATCCATCACACGACCCCTCGATTGCACAGCAAACATGTCGATTGACACAGGGCTAATCGAGAGCGGCGGACCGGCCAGACGGCAGTACGCTGTCAATCCAGACGATCGGAGAATAGACCTGGCCAACGTCCAAGCTCGTCTTTGGCTGCAAGCCAAAGCCAGACACACAAGCAACGGACATACTTGGAGGCACCCTCGTTGGCACGGGTGGAATCTTCGTCAATCAACATGGTGGCGACGGGAGGCGAGAGGGTCGAGGCAGCTGAACCAGAAGCAAGACCGACGGACAGGCAGACGGCGATCGAGGAGCGAACAGGCCGACCAGGAGCAGGGCGGCTGGAAAGGCGAGCTCGAGCAGGACTCGCTTTGGTGCGTGGGTGTGGAGCAGACGAACGGATGGTGAACGAGGGTGCGAACGGGGCGAGGAGGGCGGTTTTTGGGACGGCAGGCGAGAGGCGCCGGAGGGGCTCTCGTCCGCTCTCGCCACCCTCTCGGTGCAGCGAGAGCAGTGGGCGAGAAGGGCCCGCCTTGGCAGCAAGCCTCGTCGTCGCGGCGGTGACGCAGACAACGCGCTCGCCGCCGCCGGAACACAGGCGGTTGCAGCCAGCACCTCCTGTGAACCAGTGTGCTGCGGGGCTGGATGCAGCCAGCTCCAGTGTGTGGGGCGCGCCGCGCCAGCGACACGTGCGTCACACAGCCACACGCGAGACAGGCACCCCATTAGATGGCCGCACACGTGTGCGCAGGCTGCGTGCCAACCGGCGCGGTGGCTTGGCGGCCCCAGCGTCCATGAATCACACTATCAATTTTTTCCGGCCCCTCGCGGCTGCTCATCTCGGTCACCTGAAAGTCACGTTGGCTGTGGCGCAGCAAAAGTTGGAATCCGGCCATGGTCGGTTGATGGCATTTGGTATCGCCTTGAGCCGATTGACGGTGGTGGTGGGCAATTGGTGTGGAGGAATGACCAATTGTATCATTGTTGGAAGCTCCACTCCGATTGCGGACAAGAACCACCACCATCTGAATCTCTCTGGTTGGAAACCTAGTCAAGCGCGGCTGTGTGTCAGCGAGATGACATGATCGTTTGGCTATCAGGCAAGACTCACCTTGACAAGATGTCTTCCCACGACTGATTGAGCGAGCGATGCGTTTCTGGATCTGGATCAAGGACGCTACTGCGCAGTATCTCTGCCAGCCCAAAATGCGCTGGTTTTGAAGAGAATTTTTCTTCCCCAAGGGCAGAACCAGCCATCGTCGCTATTTTCTCGCCAGATGGCTCCCAAGCTAAAGTCACCACCCAGGTGATGAAGTGGATCCAGAGCACCCACAAGGCCCTTGGTCTGCAGGAATGGATGAGCACCACACCAAGTCCCAAGATCCCTGGGTTGGATCCCTTCCTGCGATACATTCGCCATGTGTTCGATGGAGACATGCTGGAGAAACAGCTGCACTTCAGCCTGACCCGGCGACGGCGATTCAAGCGACTCGATCTCCACAGCAAGCGACAGCGCACCGTCCACGAGATGTGCAAGCAAGTCATCGACCAGGCACCGAAGGAGACCGAAGTGGTGATTGCCTTTGGGAATGCATCCTGGAAACAGGGGAAGGGATATGCCTCCAGTCCCAGGAGACTCAGGTTTGCCAAGTATTTCAAGCAGTTCCACCATCACCAGAGACGCCCACCAGACCGATCCGTCTCCAAGATCCATGTGTGCTCGGTGAACGAGTTCAACACATCCCAGGTGTGCTCACATTGTCGGGAATTCAAGCGACTCGAGTCACCCGAGTATCTTGATATCGAGAAACCACACTTTGTCCGGAGCTGTGCAAGCTGCCATACGCTGTGGGATCGAGACATCAATGCAACCAGGAACATGATCTCGGTATGCCAGTCGATCATCGCCACAGGAGATCGACCGGGTGTATTCAAGACCATGCTTCCCAAACCAACCAAAACCACTCGATTGCCAACGAAGACAGGAGTGCAATGCCATGGCCTACCCGCTGGGCCTACAAGTCAGTCAGCGGGCTTCAGAAGCCAGAAAGTGACTGTCCCGTTTATTTCTGGATAGACTGTAAGTATCTCGCACTGTTCATTGAGTATTTCTACAGTGGATGCCGGGTCGCCCATATTCTGGGCAGTCCACTTCGGGGTTGCCATCCCTCTTGGGATGGTCGATGGGAGGTGTTTGACTCCCTTGTGCAAAGTGTGTGTGTGTGTGTGTGTGTGTTGTGACGGCGAGAGGCTTCTCGCCTTCCCTCGGGGGTCTCTCGCCAGAGACTGCTCTTCTCGCTGACCGAGGTGGCTCCGAGAGCGCGTTTTTTCGTTCTCGCTCATTTTATTAACAAGAAATTTTTTCATAGTGTCAATATCGATCGAACAGTCGGACCTGTGGTCAGCACCAGGCGACCTTTCCCCTTGCCCTGTGTCCTCCTCCTCCTCCTCCTCCCACACACATGCTCGACCGATTAGACGATATGGTCCGCGTGCCCGAAAGAGATGGCGTCCCATGGTTTGCTTGCTGTATTATTACTTCCACAGTCAATCCAGAAAGAAACGGGACAGTCGCTTCCTGGCTTCAGAGGCCTGACGCCTATTGAACTTCCATATGCTCCAGTGAGCAAGCCATGCGACGGTCTCTCGTCCTGGTTGGCAATCTCTCTGTGAAGTGCATCCACTCCACTCTCTGGACAGTTTCATGGTTTCTCGATATCAAGATACTCGACCTTATCGAGTCCCTTGGTTTCCCGGCATGTGAGCATACCTGGGATGTGTTGAACTCGTTCACCGAGCACACCTGGGATGTGTTGAACTCGTTCACCGAGCACACATGAATGAACTGCTCAAAATACCGAGCGAACCTGAGTCTCCTGGGACTGGATGCATATCCCTTCCCCTGTTTCCACGAGGCATTTCCAAAGGCAATCACCACTTCGGTATTCCTTGGACATACTTGCTTGACCACAAATGCGATGAGTGGGTGGGTATATTCAGGTTCCAGAAAAAAGCACTGTCATGCTCAAAACGGGGGTGTCCCATTTCATTTAGGAAACGATGTAATAGGTGGATTAGAGTTGGTTCCGGCCCACTGCTCACGAAAAGAGGCCGCGGTCGGGCAGCCGATCGGTGTAGAACCCAATGCCCGTTACGACGTATTTGGGAGGCTGGGGCGGCACCGGTCTGGCTTGCGCTGGATATGTGGCGATGGTGGATGGTGGATGGTGGATGGTGGATGGTGGATGGTGGATGGTGAATGGTCAGCACCATACTTAATTGCCCGCCAGCAATGCCGCTCGAGGGTTGCCATACCTGTGTCGACAGAAAGTGCCATGATCACCGCGATGGCGGCCCAGATTGACATCATTGGACAGGTAAGTTTCATTATGAACACAGTCGAGGATGTTTGCACAGGTGTGGGGTGGTGGTTTAACGGTTGTGACCAAAGACGATAACCGATGGAGAGCTCTTGGAATCGGAACAAGGAAGACGAAAGCCAATGTCAGCAAAGAGGCCAGACCCTGTAGCTGCGCTGGATGCAGAGATGGGAGGAACTGCCGGCTCACAGCCTTTATATCCGGCTCTTCTGGTCCAGGCGAAACCACCATCGACACTCCACCATTTTTCGACCGTTCCATCCAGTTAAGGTTTCGTCGCCGATCTTTCCACCAAAGCTGGTCCAATGGCCAACGGCAGCCGCTATGCAATAATTGTGGAAGCCCGTCGGCATGACTGGCAATCGATGGACTTGCATTGACAGTCTTCGCTGGCTCAATCACCGATTGGATGGGGACGCCCGACAAGGTTTCGACAACAGCCTGTTCTTTCGTCGTCCCTGCTGGAATCCCCTGGTGGAATCCCCTGCGGAAGTCTTGTTGGAACAGTCCCATTTGAACATCCAGGCGACGCATCGGCTGCCTCTTGATCGTTTGCGGCGGGGCAATACTGCCGGCAGCGACGAGAGGCCTCGTCAAGTACTCTGCGCAGTGTTGCCCATGCGAGACAAGCGAGCGGCTGTGCTCTTGCCACAGCGTTGCGTCGTCACCTCAAATCCCAGTTCTCAGCGCAATTCTCGAATACCGCCTGAGGGGCATCGTGCGCTGCACGGACACCATGCGAGGCAGGAGGAAAGCGCAAGACGCTGATCGGGTCGCCGCACGGATTGCGGTTTGTCTGATTTCCCACCCGCCGCCAGAAGCCCGAGCCGCCCCCGCGTCGCCTCTGGGTCGTCCTCTGTCGCTTCATCTCCATGCTCATCCGATCTCTGGGCCCTGCGCCGGGCCGGCTCCCTCTGGCGGCATGGGTTACAATGCGTTCCTCATGCGGACGACCACCGCTCGCCATGCTGCACAATCGCATCAGCGGCACACAGCGATATTTTGCAACCCCACCTCTGTCCTCGCCCAATTCCACGAGCGCCGGCTCGCCGTCTGCTCCAGCGACAACGGCAAGAACTCGAACTTCTCGCCGAGCTCGGTCCGAGGAGGACCTGGATCCCAACATCATCCAATTCGATCAAAAAAGCCGTGGCCCGCTCTATTTTGGCATCGGCGCCTCGGCTTTCATTCTGCTGGGTTCGACCCTGCTGTTTCATTGGGCCACATCGATCTATCCCAAGCGCTCGATTCCCGACGCCGCTGTTTTCCACCGAGCAGACGAATCGACAACCGTGACCAACTGGTCGGCGACGCATGCGGTCACGCTTCCTTCGTCGTCGGTACACTATCCCAGCAACCTCGATGAACTCGAAAAGATCGTGGCCGACTCACACTTTGAACACCGATTCATCCGCCCAGTTGGATCAGCGCTGTCGCCCAATGGTATTGGGCTTGGGCCGTATGGAATGATCAACTTGGCGTTGATGGACAAGATTCTCGACATCGACCGGGAGCAGGGGACAGTGAGGGTCCAGGCCGGCGCTCGAATCGAACAGGTACGAAGTCGAAAGGCGTCAAGGACGCTCGCCCACACAACCGCACGACAGCGAACCTCATAGCTCGCTTGGTCGTGCGAGGGCAACCGTCATCCCCCATGGATCGAGGATGTGTGATGTTTTATCCAACTGTCACCCCTCAGTCCCACCGCCTTTGGACAAAATCGGCGCTGCGATATTGCTGAGCAATCCCGGCCTGTCGATCTCATTTGTTCTTGGCCTCACCCCTCTCGACTGCCGCTCTCCTTCTGCCCCAGGTTGTCGAAGCTCTTCGCCCATACGGCTTGACACTACCCAACTATGCTTCCATCCGGGAGCAGCAGGTCGCTGGATTCACCCAGGTTGGCGCTCATGGGACAGGCGCCACAATTCCGCCAGTGGATGATTTTGTCGTTGGGATGAAGATTGTCACTCCGGGCAAGGGCACCCTTGATCTGAAGATGAGCACAGGTGACCTACGGGATGACGGCAGCGCCAATTCAATCAAAGACACGGCATCAGCTGCGGCAGTGCCAGATCGTTGGTGGGGCGGCAGCAGCTATGGCTTTACAGGTGCCCTTGGCGGTGCATGAGGCCCGGTCGCTGGTCCGAGTTTAGCAATACGACAAATTGACTTGCAAAGTGCGGTTTCAGCGATCGCCGGTGTACTCGGCTGATACCGCCTCGACTGACACTTTGTCCCATTTAACCAGATCCTGAGCTCCTCCGACTTGCCAGACTCTCGCTTGGCACACTGGGGGTTGTGGCCGAGCTCACACTCAAGGTTGTTCCAGCCCACAAACTTGTAGAGGAGACACGGGTGTATTCAATCGACCAAGTCAAGCGCAACCATTCGTCGTGGCTCTACAGCAACCAGCATCTGCGCTACATGTGGATTCCGCACACCGATAAGGTCGTCGTGGTCAAATCGAATCCACTCAACCCTCTGGATCACCATCAAGCCGATCTTGGCCACGAGTCTTCGCCGCTGGAGGAGCGCCTGGCCGGTATTCGCCGGTTGTATCGACAGCTCTCGAGCGAGCTCCCCGGCAAGCTGCCGCGACTGACCGAGGACATGGGCTACACGGCCCTGCGGGACGCCATGTACATGGCCGATCCACTGAATGTCGAACTTGTCCGGCGCGTGAACGAAGCAGCCGCCGAGTACTGGACCCGCAGCGAGGGCACACGAACAGACTGGAGCGACCAAATCCTGGGCTTTGACTGTGGCGGCCAGCAATGGGTCTCCGAGGTGGCCTTCCCGGTGACACACTCGAGCTTGTCTGCGTGGTCGTCGCAATACTATGCCGATCTCGGATATATGGATCGGCTCTTACAGATCATCCGTGACGAGAAGCTACCGGCCCACGAGCCCATCGAGCAGCGATGGACCAAGTCGTCCGGGTCGCCCTTGTCCCCGGCTGCGCGGGATCTGGGGTCGGTCTACGCATGGGTCGGCATCATCATGTACCTCCCCGATGCCAGGGACGACCGGGAGACCGAATCGCTTCGACACACGATCCAAGGAGCCTTCATGGAGTACCAGACACGATGCTCGCAAGCACTCTGGGATCGGTATGGAGCCCAGGAGCACTGGGCCAAGATCGAAGCCGATATGTCCATATGGACAGGCAGCCACGAGCGAATCCAGAGGCGCTTTGGCGCTGTCTTGGGCAAACTCAAGAAGGTCAAGCAGGAACTGGATCCGCGAGGGATCCTGGGCGAGCCCAAGGTCAATGAACTATTGGGGCTTTAGCAGGTGCATACGTCGCTGCCAACGAAGATGCTGTGCACGGCCGAGTGGTGCTGTGCTTGGTGGGATGATGCTGTGTCGGGCCCGGTGGCCTGGATGGTGTTACCCTGTCGATGCATGGAGTTGGTCGTGCAGACGGCACCTGAATATACAATTCCTCCCCCCCACCACCACCAGAACGGCGCAGGATCGCTACGGCCCTTGAAACTCGAGTAGATCCAAGACCGAAGACAGATGCCTGCGGGATGGGGTGCTTGGCGCTGATCTTCAACCTGCCCAACGATGTAACAGAGTTGCCATAGCCGAGCGGCTGTTTCCCAGGGCTGTGGGCGTTGGCTGATCCGACAGAAGTTTAGGTCCTCTGGCATACAGCCGTGCGAGACATGATCTGTGTGGGACATGATCTGTACGAGACATGATCTGTGCTGGTCCGTACAGGCAGCCAAGGCTGTACCATCTTTGCAGTGGAGGAGACAAGTTTGCGTGCTCCTTGGAGGCTCCTTGCCCCTGAGAAAGACTCGGTCGACCAGCCAACCAGCCAATACATCTCCTCTGCTCGTCAGCAGATCGCCCATGCGCACCATAGGACGGCCGTGCTTTTGCTGGAGGAGCCGGCCCGGTCGAGTACGGCTGTGGTGCGGCCCCACGAAGCCCGAGACCACGCCATGCAACCTGATGCAATCTGATTCATGTCGGTACAGCCCCGAGAAAGAGGTGCTGTGTCGACGAGGACCACGGGGACAGACGCAAGCCCACCAAGGAAGGGCGCTGCAGCGCACCAGGCAGCACCGCTGGCATTTTCGCCGGCGACAGCTTACGGCCGCGACCCGATGAACTCCGTGTCGTTGCCAGTGCTGCAGGACCACTCCGGCCCAATCTGCGGTCCATGTGGACGCCGATCTCGCGGCGTCACAGCGCTCGCCCTGGAGATCGTCACGGAGGGAAAGCTGCCGGTCTGTTTGCGGCTCCTGTCGGCTGCGTGCTTGAGCGGCCTTGTGCTCGGCGGTCAAGTGACCGGGGGGCCACAAGGGCCACAAAGGCCACAAAGGCCCGCGGCGCACAGCCGGCAGGCACAGCCGGCGCTCCTCCCGGTTTCTTCGAGCCGCCATAAAGCCCTGCGCTCGCCGTTCAACGGCCCTCTACACCGCTCCAAGCAACTCGCCCAGCCAGCCAGCCGTCTCTGCCCACCAGCCGCTCTCTGCCATCCGTTTCTTTCGCCGCCTCAAGATGCAAATCAAGTCTCTGCTCCTGGCCACCCTCTCGCTCGTCGCTCTCGTTCGTGCCGACGCCGCTACCCAGGCTGCTGCCGACCAGGCCGACCAGCAGATCCGCTTCTTGTCCCACGACCAGGTTGCCTCGGCGACCCACAACGGCACCTGGCTGCTGCTGTTCGGCCCCAAGTGGTGCGGATACACTCAGAGGTAAGCATAGGGTGTCTGCGGCCGTTTTGACAAAGGCAGGCCTGGGCAGGCGAGTGGGTGAGTCGGTCAAAGCGAGGGGAGAGAGAGCGACTGGCGGGGCCTGGCTGGTGTGGAGCGGTGCGGGGAATACTGCCGACAGGGCAGCTCGAAGCTGTCTCGGCAGAGTCTTTGACAAACGCACAGCAGTGTCGTCCTCGGTACGATACTAGTACCCAGGCTGTTGCTGCAAACTTGCTGCTAACGTCACCCGGACGCTATTGTACCCTCTGTTCCTTGTGGATGGACAAACATCGCTCAGATTCACCCCCAAGTGGCTCCAGGTCCAGAACACCGTCGACCAAGAGCACCTCAACGTTAACCTGGCCAAGATTGACTGCACCACCGATGCCGGTAAGTGCCGCTCCACATATATCGTGGTCTGCCCGGGGAGTGTGTGGAGGACGCTGCATGGCGGATGCCTCAAGGATACAGCAATCTCTCGGGCGCCTATCCTTCCTCCTGGTCCATGAAACGGTGCCGAGAAAGCAGTCGATTGTGAGCAGCGATATAACCAGGCCGCTTGTCGTCTCGAAATTGGCTCTGCAGACTTCTGCACTGGTGCTCCCTACCACGTCACCGGCTACCCCACCGTCATTCTGTGAGTATCGTAAGCGCAAGGACCTTAGGGCGATCGTGATGAGGCTTCCGTTGGCCAGCGTGCGCTTTTCCTGACCCGATTCCCCTCGTCCACCCACGATAGCGTCCGCAACGGCCAGGTTGCCCAGGAATACCCCGGTGCCGATGAGGTCCAGCCCCTCCTGGATTACATCCACCAACTCTGAATTCTAAATGGGAGCGACTTCGACCACTAGACCCCCTCCAATGTATCTACCAACTTGTACTTTCGCCCACCATTGGCTGTTCCACTTGATTCCTCCCTCGTCTTGATTCCACCCTCACCGACTCTGTGTGATTGTCACTGCTATGTTGATTTTGATTCATCCAACTCCTCACCCTGCGAACTGCAGAGGCCGCTTTGTAATGTCCCGAATGGGGTACGCTGTAGATTGTTAACAAGAAAGCGCTGATGCGATCAAAACTAACAGGAGGCCTGTTGGAGCTCCCGAATTCGAGCATCGCCATACCCATCCAGGCTGCTCAGAACGACAATACCAAGTCAACTCGGAGCATATTCGTCGCCCTTTCGGGGATCAGCGGATTCATCCGCCCAAGCCCGCAGCCCGCAGCCCGCCGACGGTCTGCGACATCGCCCTGCTGGTCGCATCGCTTGCGGTCCTCGTCCACAGTCGTTTCTTTGGGCGCAAGCCACGGAACTGCCTGTTCGGCCTTCATGGGTGGTGATTGGCTGCCATGCCTGAATCATGTCCAGGTTCCATGTCCAGACTCCACGGGCGATCCGGTCTGATCCAGAGCCAACGGCGACAGCCCGGCCACGGGCACCATGATTGATGCCCTTGGATTCATTGTGACAAGCACCGCCCTTTCTCGGGCCTGGGCGATTCCTGTGCGTCGCAATGTAGCGATACGAAGAAGCTTGGGAGTGCAGCAAGTGGTCGGCTTGGGTGGATGGGTGGAGTGGATGGGTGGAATGGATGGGTGGAATGGATGGGTGGAATGGATGGGATGTATTCAAGATCCAGAAAAAAAGTGATCGGCGGCCTCAAACAAGGCGACTCGTTTCGTTTTGTGGACGTTTCGAGAATCTATCCTACTTGTCAGGGAACCCAACAGGCAAACCGATGGTCGATGGCAGTCTTGAGCCCTCTCCCATACACTCCTATGCCCGTTGAAACCGAGCCAGTTTCTATCACAGACGTTCAAACACATCAAGCAAAGTCGTCATTAATTGATCTTGTATCCCGAATAGCCCTGCGCGCCACGTCCTCAGCGAATGAGGGCTATCGACGGCGACAACACTTATCTACCTCACAGGCCTCGAGCTTCATATTTTGGGCTTCGGAGAGCTTCTTTTGGTCCACCGAAAACCAGGTCCGCGCCTGCATCATCTTGTTGTACTGTATTTCACGTTGGTACGCGCAGCGCTGCTGCAGATTTCTCGCATACTAATGCCGCGCAGATGCGGATAGTCAGCAGAATATCAAATCCGAAAGGCCCAGCGAGGTACAAGCAGTTCCATGGCGCCGATTTCGATGGTGCACGTTGGTGATTTTCGCGGTATATGTGGCGACGTATGTGCATTCAAAATCAGTGGGTGGTCGCCGAGATATCGAATGCGAAGAATGTGAAATAATCGGAGCGTCAGCAAGGCCATCACACACCAAGCGCATATGGATATGCGAAGCGAGCGGAGGAGTGCTCGGCAACACCGTAATAAGCACAGCTGCGCGAGAGTGCATCAAAGTGTGCTTGCCGAAGGCCCCTTCCCCGAGCCAACTCCTCGGGTTCGTAAATATTCAGATTAGAGTTATCAATCCGCTTACATAAACTTCAACATCGCCTTCAAGTTGCCTCAGTCGGGAGGGCGAGTTGCCATAACGGCGCTCAAAGTTTGTCGGCTCAACCCAATACTGAACATTGTGCCGAGCAGTCTCCCGCGACATTGAATAGCGGCTTGACTGAGAAAACGCAAAAGCAGGCTCCTGATGAGACCCCCATGAAAACAGGGAAAAGAACAGAATCAGCAGCAGAGGGAGGAACTGAATGATGTGGAGTCCGTTTCCATTGCTGCTGTTGTCCTGTTGCATCGGTCGTTGCTGGAACGGATTGTTGTGGAACTGAGCTCGGAAGCCAGGACCGCCGGCCGAGAAGGTGGCAGTCCGGAAGGCAGGGCCTGGGTGAACACAAGCGAGTCAGATGCGCAATGTTGAAGTCTGCAGAGTCACATCGGCTATGCTGCTTGAAGCTTGGGTCTGTTCCTTGCCAGAGGAGATACTGCATTTGCTCTCGGCGCATGTCGAGTCACATCGATCGCTGATTCACTTACCGCCCGCCATATCGCGGAAGAACATGTTGAAGATTTCCTCTGGCGAAACCTCCTGGAATCCATGGTTTCCTCCGAATGGGGACGCTTCGGCTCCGCGCGAGTCTGAATCGACTCCATAGTTATCGAATCGTGCTCGCTTTTCGGGGTCACTGAGCACCGTGAAAGCGTGGCTGATGGCTAACAAGCCAGGCCATGGGACGGTCATCAAATCAAGACGGTCATGAATCTGTGAGCCATAATCGCCGCTGGAGTTTTCCTGTCAGCAAATGTGCGATTCACCGGCACAATATATACCCTTAAAGGCCTCATCGGTTCCAGGGGCGCTGCATTTGTCGGGGTGGAACTGTAAGGCAAGCTGCAGCGACGTGACGGGCGGTGTGAGTCGAGCTGCGGAAAACCAAGCCAAGATCCGACGCTGATTGTGTTCGAAGAGTCCCCGAACCCAACAGTGCAGGGGGAGGCCGAGACAAAGACTGTAGGACATATAGAAACCAACAACGAGCGATGACGGGTACGGGCGGCTATAGTTGGGTTCTTTTCGTGATAGCCGCCAAGACGCTGCTCTTACTTTTCGATATGCCTTCTTAATCTCCGAGTCTGTACAGTCCTTTGTGAGTCCCAAAACACCGTAGAGGTCACCCTTGGATTTGGTTTCCTTGATGCGCCTGATGCCCGACTCCTGCTCCTTGGTGAACGATCGTGATGCTGATGGAGAATCAGCAGCCGACGCTGATGTCGCATTCGTGCGGTTTCTTAGATTGGACGACGATGGCTCCGAGTTCAATCCAGAGGAGGAACCGGGGCTGGATCCGTCGTTTTGGCTGCTCTGGGTTAATTTGTCCAGCTAAGAATGTGGAGGAATTCATAGTTAGAGTCTGAACCTATGGCAGGGCCGCAACGATCCAAGGAGCAAGAGCCGCAGACTGGCAATCTCGAGGAGAGGTATCTCGGGGACCATGGAAAGTAAACAAGTGGTGCACGTCGCAAAGAAACGGCGGCTGGAGAATCCCTGCCCACCCCCAAAAATAAAATAAAAGAATGTACACAGCTCATCGACAGCAGAAATCAGCATCGGTGTTTGGGGGAAGTTGCAGTCGTGACAGTCGCCGATGCGAGACCCACCCAATCCTGAGCCTCCTGGGTGGCGTGGAGTTTCAAGCTCTTCCTGGCGAATTTAAGAGCGTTGTCTAAATCTCCATCTCTATACGCCTTCCTCGAACGATCGAGGCTGTCTTGGGCTCCTTCACTGTTCATCGATGGCAATATTCCCGAGCAGGAACGGCAGCAAGCAGAGCAAGATCAGGGCGAACCACAAGTCGACCGCCAGCGAGACCGAGACCGAGACCGAGACCGAGACCGAGACCGAGACCGAGACCGAGACCGAGACCGAGACCGAGACCGAGACAAAGCGAGGGCGCCCTGGCTGCCCAAAATGGAACGGGCCTCCGTTTCGCTCGCGATTTGGTTGCGCCGGCAATGGCAATCAACCAGGAACCTCCCCCTCGGGCCTTCTGCGTCTCCGGGCGGCCTGCATGAATCGATGTGCTTGTCGCACAGCTCTATAAACAACCGCTGAATTGACTCGAGCTGGATTGTGTCGGTGAGCTTGGCCAGGATAACCCGCCCGCCAGCCTCCAAGCACGACCCGAGTCGCCTTGGGCTGAATGAGCTTCACCGGCTGAGCGATTCAAATTTGCAGTTCATCCGGAAAGAAACGGGGCACCCTTGGTTTGCTTGGTTTGACCATTGATCACATATATTGTTACCCAATACCATCGCGTGCTGGCCATGGCCATTCTGTGATGCGATGCAATACCATCATCCATCGCTGGCACTCCGACACCAGCGAGCAGGTTGATTCTGGAGACGGACAGCGACCGGTGGTGTTCACTCGGAGGCTGCCAAAGTGATCTGTTCTATTTCTTATGGCATAGTTGGACGCATGCCATTACAGACTACATGATCGTGGAGGCAGGTGTGATGTCCCCTGAATAAAGCAGGAGGGTATGTGAGTCTGCCTATCGGAGTGCTATATGGCTCCGCTGTAGGTCTTGGCTCTGTCCAAGCGAAACAAGCGAATCCGGTGAGCCATCGTCAAGGCCTCACGTCATGGCAGTCGAATCATACTCACAATCGCAGCGTCCGCCCAATCAGCCCGAGTCGCTATGTCGTCGATGTGCTTGACGACGCTGAAGAAGATGGCAGCCCTGTGGGCATTGTGGTAGAATGGATGCGGGTGTGCTCCGGGTGTGCTCCGGGTTCACAAAGAAGCGAGGGAAAGGGCCATCGACCACAAAACAAGGGTTCTCTGTGAGCGCTATAGCCTTGTCCCCCCCCCATCGCTCCCAGTTCCTCTCGTCTCTGCTCGCTGATATGGGTGGATGTTGCGCAAAAGCCGTTGCCCCGGATGGGTCCTACAAGTTGATTCGGATATCGAACTTCATTATCGGAAAAGGCCTTGGCAAGGGGGCCTTTGGTCGAGTGTGCATTATCGAGCACAAGTCCACAAAAACTCGCTATGCACTCAAGTACATCAGCAAGGAAAAGTGCATAGCAGAGCGTGCTCTCAACCATGTTCTGCAAGAGCGTAGCTTGCTCGAGGAAGTCCATCATCCTTTCATCTGTAACATGCGCTATTCCTTCCAAGATGAGTTCAATCTGTATATGATTCTGGATTTGATGCCCGGTGGAGATCTGCGTGCCTATCTAAAGCGGCCGTTGGCGGAGGTAGTTGATCGCCAGTCGCTCGTTGAGCAGCCATCGAGCTTCATCGGGTTCTTTGCATCAAGACCGCCGCGATACCAGTAGTCCCTGCCCACCGCCTAGAACGTAGACCAGCTCACCAACTTGCCCAGCCGAACTCGCAACTCTCGACGCTCAGTCGCCCCTCCGCCAGCGAATGGGCATAGCGTGCATGATCCTCGCTGGCCCATGCTTGGTTTTGATCCTCAATGCGAAACTGTCTCCTTTGCAGGATGTCACACGCTCAATAATTGCTGAAATCGCCTCGGCGATTGAGTATCTGCATGGGCAAGGCATCATCCACAGAGATATCAAGCCCGATGTAAGTGTCGTACTGATAACCCACGACTCTGGACATGGTCCGCGTGGTCGATGCTTGCGCGATTTAGCCGTCGCCAACATACTCTCAATGTCGGTAGAACATTTTGCTCGACGAGAAAGGACATGCCTATCTGTCGGATTTCAACATAGCCGTACGATACACGCCGATAAAACTTCTCAAATCAGTGGCCGGTACAGAGCCGTGTATGTATGCAGTAGAGGCGGTGGTTATGTTGCAGCGCGCGCCGTCAAGCCAAGACCTCGGAGCGAGAGCGGCTCTCTGGCCACTGTTGGCTGAGGGCTGGAGATTGTGGTCTAACGACTGCTTGACATCACAGATATGGCCCCTGAGCTGCTTTTGGGCGGCGGATACTCTGGAAGCATCGACTGGTGGTCGCTCGGGGTCGTCATGTTCGAAATGATTTTCGTCGAGCGGCCCTTCCGCGGGAAACACAAACGTGACCTGATCAAAAAAGGAGAGTGGATCTTTCCAGCGATTCCCAATAACCATTACACCAGCGCCGATCCACCATCAAGCTCGTGTCAACAGGCGATCAAAGGTTTCATGGAAATGGATGTCAACAAACGATTTGGAGTGGGTCTCGATGGCCTCCAAGCGATGAAACAAAGCTCATTTTTCTCCTCGGTGGCCTGGGATCGACTGCACCTCAAAGAGCATCCGGCACCGTTTGTCCCGCCAGCAAATAATGTATTTTTAGAGAATCCAAGTGCCCCCTCTCCAGAACTCGAGCATCTTCGTCCCAAGGCAAACGGTACCAAGAAACCCGAGGCCCCGAATGTAATTGCTGATCTGAACACGATGCAGCGAAAGTTTCTGGTATGTTGTGGTGTTGTGGTGTGATTAGTAACGGGTCATTCGTTCGATTCTCGAGCATCTCTCGCTGTCAGAACAATTCAGATCAATGCTCTTGGATGTGGTTCCGTATCCTCCCCGGGTTGCTTCGGCTGAACCATCACCGCCACGACGATACTTTATCGCATATCGCCAAATGAATTGACTCGTCCCATTTCCTACCAATGCAAACGGAATCCATTTTATTATAGTACTATGACGACTCTCTTCCAAAGCGACTCGACATGAGCATGCCGTCCATGACCAACATTGATAACGAACGACAAAACTCATATTCGACCTTGGACATTCCGCCGGACGGAACAGCAAGCCTTTCTGGCGCAGCCCGTGTATCCTCGATATTTGGTGTCAGTTCTGTTCGAACAACCTTTCGAGGTCGATTCTTTGAGGAAGAGGCTTCTGCACGAAGTCTATCCCGCACAAACAGCCTCTCTCGCGCAAACTGCGGTAGGATATAGTTCGAGAAAATGTATTTTGTGCGTCCGAGGCTCGTCTGGGCTACATCTCCTTCGAGAAAAAGTGATAAACTGCTCTATGTGTTCATCGACGTGGATTGGTGCAATGAGCCCATGGCCTCCTGTTGCCGAGGAAATAGCCCTGTTGGACGCAGGCTATCCCGTCTGCGTTGGGCATAGAGTGCGATCAAAAGCCAGCGGGACACCTTGTGTCGTTTTCTCAGTCCGTGTCGCCGCCCGACGCCGCTGCCGCTGTGGTGGCACCCTGCGACACCTCGGCCACCAACAGCGGTTTCTCCCCCATCGCATCTTTCGACCCCACACCGCTCGGCAGCAACAGCACCGCATCTCTCGGCAGGAACAACGTCGCATCTCAACGCAGGGCTGCTCGCTTCGTTGGGCATCCTGTGTTCTCGGCTCGCCGGTCCCTGCCATCGACTTTTCGCTGCACGTTCGCTTCAGCGCCGCTGTCGCAGGTGCTCTGGACTGTGCTGTTGCTCTCTTGCTCCCCTCCCTCGGACCTTTCAGCCCCGCTGTCTCGGACCTTCCCCGGTCCTGCTGTCTCTGGGCTCTCCGTTCGTGCGGCCTCAGAGCTCCGTTGTCGCCAAGACCTGCCTCCCACCGCCCTTGGCCATCTTGTCACCAGGCACTGGGCGATCAGGCCACCCACTCCGGGCCCCATAATCATCTGCCGCGGCGATTCTCGGCGGCCTCTGCTGTCCCTTCTGCTCAGCGACCCTTTTATTTTTGGTATCTTCCGGCACGATGGAGTCCCGAGAACGAGATTCGGCTTGCTCCTTCGTCTCAGAGCTGCAGCCCTCGTCGTGCTCTCAATCTCCAGCAACTATCGTCACTCCCGGCACTATTGTCGCTCCAACTCCAAAGACGGCCACACCCAACACCCCGCTGCTGTCCAACATATCGTCTCCAGGACACTTTCCCAACGGCGCCTTGTCAAGATCACTTTCCAATAGGTACCGTTGCTCAGCGGCTGCCATTTCGTTTGCAAGGCCTGGGGCCTGCCGTCCAGGCTATGTGGTCGCTCTTTCACCGTGACCATGAATGATCGGGGCTTGCCCCCGGGTTCTCAAGTCTGCTTGCCACGGAAGCAGCAGCGCGGCAGGATATACGAGCTCGTGTTTCGTATGCACAATCCCGTCACCGACTGGCTTACGCTGGACCGGTCTCCTGGTCAATTCTCTCTCTCCTCCCAATGGCACAACTAACTCGCTGTCGCTTCGTCGACATCCAGAGGCTCTGCTTCGGCATCGCCAATCGTCTCGCTGTTCACCCGATCGGGCTCGCCGAAGCTTTTTATCCGCAGCGACTCTCCTCGCTCCAGTCTGGACGAGCACAGCCGTGGTCAAATCTCCCCACGTAACCTTGAAATCAGCTCCCCGTTCAACTTTGAAACCGTCTTACATGTGAACGATGACCTAATTTGGGATAGTCCGGTTTGTCTCTCTCGAACTTTGCTGAAAAACTTGACATATTCTCTATCACATCTCGAGCGCCTGCTGCAGCCGTTTCGCCATGCCTCAAATCTACTAATTGATTGGGGACGTGTGCCATCCAAGTTAGCTGTGCTCGGCCCTAACAGCCCATCGGTATTGGAATGTGATCTCGCCAGAACCCACAGAGTCTTTTCGAGTTCAAGGAAATGCTTGGAGAGGGGTATGATTCTGTCTTTGCGGCCACGGCTTGTCCCTTGAGTTGCGATTGTCGCATGGATGCCATAATGCCCAAGATCCTCAACACCAACAACAATACCCGCTCTAATCCCGGACCCTCCTTGAACGCTGCAGCTCGTTTGGATGCGTCTACAAAGCACATTTTTACGGACAGTCGGATAAGGACAGCGGCTCTGTAGTCGCCATCAAACAACTCGATCTGGGAAGGCCCAGTCAACGAACAATCATCGAGAAAGAGATCGAGACACTGAAACAGCTGAACCACGAGGCTGTGCTCAAGTACTTTGGTATGTTTGAGTGCCCGATTGCCAAGACTCGCCCAGTCATCAACCTTGGTCTCTTCGTACCGTTTGGGCTCGGTCGCCTTCACTCACAGCTGCTGTCGCTGTTTGCCGCTGTTTCTTCCGCCATCATTGCTAGGCTGCTTTCCTGTGGCCAATTCTATATGGGTAAATCTCTAGCATCTTCTAAAGGCTCGCTGTCGCTGTCGCTTCTGTCGTCCACAGCGATGTTACTGGATGCACGACCATTGGCATCCACGAGCATTCATGTCTTGCAGTAGCTGTTTCAACCAGGGTATTGCTGCCCACGAGTAATCCGAACCGATTCCGTTTGCCATCACTGCCACTTACCCTCTTTGGGGATGCATAGATCTTGACGGAATACTGTGCTGCAGGATCCATCTCGGACTGCATCGAGATCACCGAATGCACTTTCTCTCCAAAGCAAATAGCCATTGTCTTGGCATCGGCGATCGACGGTCTGGCCTACCTTCACTCCCAGCACATTGTGCATCGGTAATGCTTTGCGCCGCTGCCCTGTGTGCCATCGCTTTGTGCATTTTTACGAGATTGCATGAGGCAACATTGCTGACTCATGATCTCCTCGTCGCTTTAGTGACGTCAAATCCGCAAATATCCTGCTGACCGATGCGGCACAAGTAAAGATAGGTCTGTTGTGCCTCATCCATGAAACGCCTGCATACCTACTTGGGTCTTTTGGATACAATGCCTATGCCCCTCGTCCTCACCATAAGATGTTTCTGCCCCACACAGCCGACTTTGGTGTTGCAGAGAAGTTGACGAGCAGTGACGAATCGAAGATATCCTTTGTTGGGTCGCCACACTGGATGAGGTAATGACGCCGAGTCGCTGATTTTGTACAGCAAAGGCCGCACTGGAGCCACGCCGCAGCTGCCTGTGCGCCGAGTTCTGATCGACATCAATATCCATTCAAACCATGGCCGTTTCCAATACTCCATTGCTGCGGCACACCCACAACCAAACCTATTTGACTCGGCTGTAAGCCCCGAAGTTCTGACTGCCGGGATGAGCTACAGCACGACGGCTGATATATGGAGCCTCGGTATCACCGCGATCGAAATGTCGGAAGGACTGCCACCGATGGCAGAGTTGCCGCCCAATGTTGTAAGTAGACCCGTTTGGGCATGTACCAGTTTGATGGCCCCGTGGCTACTGCTGTTGCTTGAATATGGCCCTATGCTCTGTCTTGCTCACGAAAGCCGCCAAACCTCAGGTCATGCTTCGAATTCCCATCCAAGCGCCACCAACCCTTCCGAATCCGGCCCAGTTTTCCAAAGAATTCAACGACTTTATCGCAAAATGCCTGAGCCACAATCCCAAAGACCGTCCGTCGGCCAAAGCGTTGCTCTCGCACCCGTTTATTGAAAAGTACGTCGGTCTCGTCCCAAATGATCCGCTTCGGAAGCCTTTGAGGGAAAAGGTCCGCGAAGTTTTACGAGCCAGGGAAGCGGACAGCAGAAACAAGAGTCGGCTTCGACGATCCATTCATATGAAGCGCGAGAACTCTGAAGATCATCCTCGGTTAGCCCGGATGCGACCCGACCCAGCTAATGTAACCAAGGAGCGTCTCGCCCAAATCCGTCCTCTGATATCGGACGCCATCGACATTCCACAATCCTCCGAATATATACCGGCCGGAGACCATAGCTATGGCACCATGGTAATCAACGACGATGTCATGGATTACACCAAGCCAGCCGATATCCTTGGCCTTGGCCCCGGCGGCGAGATCATATACAACGATTTGGAAAGCGCTCCCGTGCGGCAGTCTCGGTCGCGCATTCCCAATCCGGACGAATCTCATGTTCGGGAGCCCTCTTTCGACCTCAACGGAGAGTCTCGGTCGGCATTGTTTGTGCCTCGGTCCGAGCGCCAGCCTCTACCGATTGCTCTCGATGGACTTGCGACGGCGGCGGCGGGCGAGCCATCGGTGTCAACACCAACAAGCGAATTCGAGTCGCCGCTCGTAGATCTGGTGCGCACAGGCTCTTCTCGAGTTCGACACACGATTCGTCAGCATCTGAAAAACTTGCGGCAAAACCTGCGCGCGGCAAACTTTGTCATTGCGCGTGAACAGAGGGATGGGGCATCGCCGAGCCTTTCTCCTCCATATGTGGTCATGCGTGCGTCCCCCGCCAAGAATGCCCGGACAAGCTCCGATCTCGACACCAAGACCAATGACCACACCCTGATTGAGGGTATGTCCGATCGACTTCGTGTCAGTACGCGAATGTATGGCCACAAGATTCGCGATTTGGAACATCCATCGTCGCTCTTCATTCCGGTAATGAATCGTGCCAAGAGCGACCCAGCAAACGGAAGCCCTGTACTTACCCACACGCGACCGAGTCTCGCTGGCACTTCAAGACCTAACTCCTTTTACTCGACTGGCAATGAATCTTCTGGCGACGTACGACTGTTCGAGAGCATCTCACGCTCGTCGTTCGAAAAGCGGCGAGCCGAGCACATGGCTGCGTCGTATCCACGGCCGTCGTTTGAATCGTCCAGGACCGTCGTTTCGGCTTCGCCCGTGTCCGGGTTATGGCCGGAAATCTCTGGGCAGCGCCCCGATGATGATTACGAATCGGGATCACTGAATCGACGAAGTACCGTTGCCATCGGCCCCAACCACCCAGGCTCCTCAGTGCCCGGGCGACAGCAGAGACGACGGGCGACGATGAGTGAAGCCGAGTTTATCCAGATCTCTGGCAGACTTTCCGAGTTCACGCTGAGGCTGAGGAGCAAGGTCGTTGGAGCCTTCAAGAAGGCTCGAGAATAGGTCATGAATAGCATTTGTTTTCTCGGGCGGCTTTGCATCCCGGGAGCTGTCAAGCAAATCCCGAACGAACCCGTGGCCGTGGCAAGAGTCACCGACACACAGATATTTTCGAAGAAGGGACTCGCGGGTCCCATCTTGTACTGCAAACTTGGAGCGACTACTGATTCAAATAGATACAGCTCGTTCAGAACAGCGGGGTACATCAGCACCGATTCGTTTCTGTTATTGTCTAGTTCTTCCAGCATAAACCGGACATCCAGCTATCACCAAGGAGGAAGAGGGCTGTCAATCGCGAGTTGCGTTCATCGACAAGGGAGGAGGGCGCATTTTCAACATATCCAAAATGAGACGGGCGCCTCGTGAAAGCAAGGTGAGGGGCATGCATTGAGCCGTGGGGTCACGACATCAGTATTGCTCGATTATGGCATCAATGCTCCAATTGATCATCGCCAAGGGCTATCGACCGGATGTATTCACGGCTGTGCACCGGGGACCGACGACGACCCGAAACTGGACACAATCACGCCACTGCCTCCCCGCTGCGTCCTGCAGATCGCTGTACTAGATGCGGCTGTTGAGGTGAAGAACACAAATAGAAACCATCTCGGTTCGCCCCGAACAAGCCGCATCGAGTCGATGGGTTGTGGTCCGTCAACTTCCTTCACCGCAACATGAGCACACTTTGATGGGCTCGTGTTGGTCACCCTCCTCTAGTGGCGGTGGAGCTGCTTGGAATTGGGAAGGAAGCTCAGACGACAGGGCTGGGTGCATATATAACACCCTGCCCTGCCTCCACGAGGGATGGACGGTCATTGAGGATGCGAGATGCTTGGTATTTCATCCAAAATCAAGAGCAGTCAAAGAGCGTGTGTGTGTCCGTAGGCTTTCGGAAAGCGCGGTAGACACAGATAACCCCACCCTTCCGAGATTACTCGGAAGATCAACGAGCTGTGGATGTATGCAGGCTCATTACTCGAGGAGCTGCTTGGCGGCGAATTTGAATGAGGTTACTGCACACTTGGTCCTGGAACAAATGCACGGAAGTGCTGACTTATTCTCAAGTTCGGGAAAAAAGACCAACCCGGTGCTTCGCTCGATGGCTAATCCAAGGGGTAGATGCCGATAACGTAAGTCAAGGGTCAGCGAGTCGATTCTCGACCACGGCTCCTGCGCGAAACCGCATACCATCGACTGGAGTCAGGAAGCTATCCAACGGTGGGTCGCCGATCTTTTGATTTGGAAGAACAAATCCGCTCATTGCATACTGGCCCTTGTGATAAGTCAAAATCACTAAAAGCAAATCAGCACGCACATCCAAAGTGCCAGAATGTCAGGGGCGGCACCAGCAAGCATATTTTGCACTCATTTCCAAACTTAAACGTGCGCCGGTGCCGTGACGCAATTGGATAATAGCTCGCCTCGACGCTGTAGCATTAGGCCATAGGAGCAAGTATAGCTAGGCAAGGAGTGGCAAGTATGCCGCCACCCTACTGCGACAGTATACGGAAGCGTGATGTTTCCTACCTTTAAAAAAATGCGTTGGCACCGCTGTGTTGGGCGGGTTGCCTATAACCTCGTATGTTGTATAGAACCTATTTCGAGTCGGGGCGGAGAGGTACATTGGTCGCGGGTTTGATCAGCTTTGGATAAATTGTCCTGACAGTGTCTGGCCAGGCCACCTACCTGCCATCGCTTCCTTTGTGGGGGAGATACAGAGGCCCTGTTACAACATAGACGTCATCGAACGTCTTGGTGAGATCCCGGACAAATTTTTCAAAATATGCCCAGTATCCGCGGTTGAAGGCTAAAGAGATGGATTTACCAACAAGGCAGGTGATGTAAGCCCTCTGTCACAATTCATTGGCCCGGAGCAACAAAAGAAATTGCAGCGGAGTGGCACGGTTTCCAAACCTTTTGCGACTTGAGGGCTGATGTTGCTCACTGCAAGGGTAGTACAGGTTAAACCCAAAACATATGTCACATTGTGTCCAACAAAATGATCGACGCTACGATCGCGACAGATATAAGCCGCAGCCGTTATCATCATTCGGTGCACGTAGCGGTGATCGATCATCAGCGGATATCTTGGCAACGGCTCATGGGCATCCAATTCGATGCACAGCCCGTGCCGACGCCAGGACAAACTCCCGTAAATGCCTCCGGTCTATGCCTCCAAGTCATAATTGCATGAAAACGCACATAAAAACGTTTCGTTGACGGCTTCTTGAGATACCTGGACATCGGCGGCTGGCACAAGATGGCCACTTGATCAAAGAGAGCAACATCGACCGCCGAGTGACAGAGACTGATCAGTTCCACCCATCCGCTGATCAGAGGTCTTTAGAACCGAGGTCACCGAGACTCTACAACATCTACAGGCGATGAAATTGGCGTGCTGGTGAGCCGGCTGGGATTGTCGTTACCGATCGAACCCGCTTCCGGAATAGTCTTGCAAATGAGCACGGAATGGGCTGGGAATCGACTGGTCTTCCTTGAATGTTGATTTGCTTCGATCCGGACTGTCTCCGTTTCCATCAAGCGCCGCCTTTGTCAAGTGCTCAGCCACCTAGTGTCAGCCATTGTCGATCAGAGCGAGCCTGGGACTGACGCAGCCGATGGAGAAGGGACAATCGGGTGCACCAGTCCAACAGAATCACCAAGCCAACGCCAGCACTTTGGCGATACACGAGATTCCACGCCAATATTGCTCAGACTGTCTTGAAATCCGGTGCCCTTTGGAAGGATGCTTCCAAGATCTTACCCAGTTGGGATTGCGAAGGGATCGGTTGTAGGATCCGACTGTTGGTACGGATCACAAACATCAAATACCAGCAGGTTTCAAGTGGGCCGTCCCGAGGTCACCAGGATAAAAATGCATTAGAACGACAAGACGGAATCGAATCGACTCATCCAATGACCTCATCCACTGATCAATTAGCCGTCCGATCAAATCCAGACGAGAATCGAGAGCCGACGGGGACTGGAATGCGCAGATATCCCAACGTGGGGGCATCTCTACCGTATGCCTGTCGGTATAAAATATCGGAGACGGGTCCTATCGTGATGAAGTACAGGGAGGACAACATAGCCCTTCCGTCAGTTGAGCTGTGACAGGCGTCGCTGGATTCGTGTCCGCTGCATGATCGACAGTAATATTGTCGTGAATCCTGGCGGACATTGACTAGATTGTCCTATCGGAAGGTGCTATCCACATCAACGCACCAGGGAATCCTTTGTGTAAAATGTCCTTGGCAGCGACTACGTGCTTGCTGATGGGCTCGCCGACGGCACCAACAGGGGACGTGGAGACCTTCGTTGATAGGATAGTCTGCGATGGCTTGAGATAGTAGTACGTTGACGCTCCGCCGATAACAGCGCCAACAACGAGGCCGAGACCCGTACCGAGGAGGGCCAGCTTCTTGGGCATTGCCTGAGGAATGCGAAGGGAAATGGATCGCGAGGAGAGTTCGTTGGTGAGCCAGGCGGCGGAATGGCCTCTTGGGCAGAAGCGCAGCCGCCCTTTCGGGGATCAGCGGATTCATCCGCCCAAGCCCGCAGCCCGCAGCCCGCCGACGGTCTGCGACATCGCCCTGCTGGTCGCATCGCTTGCGGTCCTCGTCCACAGTCGTTTCTTTGGGCGCAAGCCACGGAACTGCCTGTTCGGCCTTCATGGGTGGTGATTGGCTGCCATGCCTGAATCATGTCCAGGTTCCATGTCCAGACTCCACGGGCGATCCGGTCTGATCCAGAGCCAACGGCGACAGCCCGGCCACGGGCACCATGATTGATGCCCTTGGATTCATTGTGACAAGCACCGCCCTTTCTCGGGCCTGGGCGATTCCTGTGCGTCGCAATGTAGCGATACGAAGAAGCTTGGGAGTGCAGCAAGTGGTCGGCTTGGGTGGATGGGTGGAGTGGATGGGTGGAATGGATGGGTGGAATGGATGGGTGGAATGGATGGGTGGAATGGATGGGATGTATTCAAGATCCAGAAAAAAAGTGATCGGCGGCCTCAAACAAGGCGACTCGTTTCGTTTTGTGAATATCGTATTCCCCTTTGAGCCATATCGCGAACCAAAGGCGAGAATACATATTGCGGCGGCGGCTGTCGATCCGACAACCTAGATGTTGAACCCCATCGACCGCATACAGTCTTGGTGTGCTTTTATCAGATCGATGCATTTTTCTTCTCCCTCCAAGATCACGCACTCGTCTCGGGCTTTTCGTGTGTCGGGACAGGCACAGCAGGGCTTGCACTTGGGAGCAGCGGGAGCTTCCTCGACATGAGGTGTTTCGGGGGCCGACGACGAGTTTCCCATATTGATTGACTTGATCCGAGGCGAGCCAGCGAGCTTGCAGTATCGGTGGGAACGGGCTTGCGGTGTGAGTGGGCGGGCAATGCCAGGCTTTCAGGACAAGACACCAAACGGCTCGGCGACGGAAGATGCCTTCGAGATCGCAGGGACAAGCAGAAAATTTTGGAGGGGGCATGACCCGGCTCGCTGATTCACGCTGACGGTGCGACCAACCGGCCTGTGGGTTGGTTGCCTCATTTCGCCTGCGCATCGAGCAACTCCGCGCCCACGCACCAATGGCCTGCGGATGAACGGTGGCTTCCTCTGAGCAAATCTCAGCCAATGGGCTGTCTGGGTTTTGGGTGGACGGCCAAAGGATTTGTTGGGCATGTGCAAGAACACCATCAACGCTGTGTGCAGACCCACTGAGGAGACCGACGAGTGACCGTGGAGGCCAACGAGCGACTGTCGAGACCAGAGGACGGCCGACGGTGCTCACCCGCATCTCGGGGTTTCTCTTTATATAACGCATCGTTGGAGCTGTGTATTCACGATCCGACTTGCTCTGTAACTGAGCCTTCCATAGTGACTTGGCGAATCTGCTGGGTTCGCACAGGATCTCCACGGAGACCATGGAGGCTACGACATGCCCCGCCGAATTTCAAGCCGCTGGAGCCTGGACTCGATTTCATTCTGTTTGCGCTCGATCCGATCAAGCTGCGTAGTCATCCTTTCCAGAAGCCGCACAATCTGCGAAACCGACACGGCGGGCTCTGCTTGCCAAAACAGTCAGCCATATCGACACGAGGGCCAATCAGAGTGATGAAATTGGCAGATTCAAGAGTCAGAGCCTCCGACAGCAACCCCCAGAAGCCCTGCTTTGGACATCAGAGATATTGTCCTTTTGATGTTGCTGCGTCTCACACGCCGACATTGCCACAACAGGCCTCGAAATTAACTCAGCCCGGCTGACTCTTGCATGCTCATGCGTGCTCTTGTACACTCTTGCTTGAGGGCTCCAGCATCAGCGATTCAGCTTCCCGATATGCACTTGTCAATCGCATCCGTGTTGCTCATACCTGGGGTCGAGGAAGTCGCCGCCAGTGGTGGGGCATTCGCCTCAACTGTTCGCTCCATTCGGATCAGCTTAAGCGAGTAGTCCCCCTGGCCCGATAGCTGATTTTCAAATAGCCCTTGACGCTTCTTTTGGCCGGCCAAGATCCGCAGGATATGTGTGCTTGATGATCCGACGGCTGGTAAGCCGGGAAAAGCACCGCTCGAGACTCTGTGATTGGCGGATGATCTCCTGGCTACTTGGCTAGCACATGCGAGCGCAAGCACGACATGGCCGGCTTCCAGGTCCTGTTGGCTCGGGTTGTAGCGACATTGCAGATGAGACAAACGAGCGGGTGCGTCGGCTTGATCCACACATACATCGCCCATAGCCAACACGTCTGTGGCAGTGGTGATCAATGCAGATACCTTTGCAGATGCCATGTGCATCCAGCGTTCGCTGACACACTGTCCTGAATGATAGGACCCTCTTCCAGCAGCGCCAAGACAATCCTCAAATCGCATCCAGCATTCTAATTCGTTTATCCCAGATATAGCTAGATATGATTGCCATTCTCACAATACTTACGATGACATCGCCTTGCTGCAGTACACCCGAGGTCAGGTCACATTTGATATCAAAGATTACTGGTACGGTGTTGTTCGATACATAGATGTGGCTCACTCGCTTATTGAGGGGATCGCGGGGAGAAGATGGGCCGAGATGAGCATATAATCGCATCGCCATGCGATCGTACAGTCGCGCAACAGTGCAGTCGCAGTGATCTGGAATGCTCACGGCAAACAAGCAAAGTGCGCTCCCTTCCAGGATAGCATATCGACCCTCTGCGACATACATCATACTCGACCACGTCGATGAGTAGCAGGGGCAAATGGAGAGTTGAAAGGAGTCGGACTGTTGTCTCCAAGCCACCATCAGTCCTGCCATCTGGGAAACGTATCCAGCATAGCACGGAGTCGGCAGCTGAGTTTTGAGTCCCAATCGGAGCTGCTGCAGGGGAGCTAGAGTCTGACAAACGCTCACTGGTCAGTGGAATTGAACATATCTGTCGCTGGCGATGAGACGAACATCAGAAAATGCAGCGGTGTTCTGTTTCTTACATATGTTGAAGAGATCAGGCAGTTCTGGTTGCTGAGGTGCTACTGGAGCGAGCATCTCATTGTGCGACGAGAGCGCAACTATAGTCGGTAAATCTTCAGATGGTGAGCTTCGACGGATAGGAGCACGCACTGCCATTCGCGGGACGATATCGTCTCTTTCGAGCATCAGGCTGAAACCAGAGTCGCCAATGATGATAAAGTCGGTGGGGAGACTCAGAGGTATGATACGTCGGACCGATAGTGATAGGTTATGGGTGAGGATCTGCACCTGGGCATCCGAGAAAGAGCATCTGCGTCATGATTCGCACCGAGTCATGGCAACCGATCATGGCTCCCACAGTTGCGATGGGTTGGGTTATCACAGTTCCGCGTCAGCACCAGTCGTGGTTGAGTATGGATACCTTGGGATATCTCCAGGACGGATCCGGGGACGTTACTTGGATAGCCGAAACGCCGGAGATGCTAGAAGCATAAGTGCGATTGGGTGACCAAAAGGATGAGGCATGGCCAAAGTGCGATATGTCGGGTTTGGAGTCCAGGGCCGGTCCACCAACAGGAGCAGCGAGCGTTACCCAGTTCCAGTCCCCCAACATTACCCACCAGACAAACACCAAACCGTCAAGACTCCAGCAACCGCTCGAGAGACTAGCCTGCAATAGATCGTGGTGTCAGCGCAGCAACGATAGTCCGATCAATGGCGGTAACATAGAAATTGCCACAGTGATAACAAAGTTGAGGCCGGGGCAAAGGAAAGATCTATCAAATGCTTCGATAAAGAGCGGATTGGGTTCTGGACTCTCAGACTCCATTATGGTCTGATGTGGTAGCTGGTGGAGGAGCCAAGAGATAGTGAGGCTTACATTCGGCAGCTGGTGGAAAAATTTAGCCGAGCGAGATCCCTGTTCGTCTTGGAATGGCCATGAATAAAGTGCTAATTCTTGATTCGACACAAGCTGCGAGGCCATCCGGACCAACGCCGACGACGAGTGATGAGTGATCGGTGTCGACAGTGCAGACATGTTTGGCCATTGTCGATGGAAGCAAGATCGAGATGGAGTCAGAAAAGCTTGTGGATAAGGCACGCCAATTGCATAATAGCCACTTACCATAACGACCGGAAATACCGGGTTGCATGAGCAGCTCGTCAAGACTGAGTCTGACATGAATAGAAGCGGTGCGGTTTCTTGATAAGAGAGCGTTGATTTGGGACGGACTAGAAGGGTGTATCGATCCAGGGCAACAAGCATTAGATAGAATTGCCAACTAATACACATGATGTTGCTTGCAATAGGACATTTGAATATGCGCATCTCTGCAGTACCAGCCAGCGAGGCCGTTTGCATAGCTGCTGGGAAGCTGTAGGGTAGCTTGGGGGAGGGGCAGCTCTACATATGCAGAGGGGTCGCTGATACGATCTACTGGCTCAGGCCGGTCGCCACCGGTTGATGAGAGGCGATCGTGCTGCCGTTGCTCGATGAGGCTATGTGGTTCAACGCACCTGGTCCAAACACCCATGACCGGATCTTGGATGGATAGAGAGCGAGGAGTACCGCTTGTTCAGGATCAACAGGATCGCGGAGCCATGCAAGCGAACGAGGCAGGCTGAAAATAGGGGCCATTTGGATCCAGAAACGTGCCATGTCAGACTCATGTCGATAGCTGCTACGACAGGCATCGAGCTGGAGCCGGTCGAGATAGTCAGTTCTCCACCAAAAAGTAATCGCGCCGCTCGTACCTGGTATGCGCTATGGTGCAGGCTGGCTCAATATGAGCCAGATCAATAACTGCAGCGCCATTCGCGATAACCTCCAGCTCGCTGTCCAGAGCTGCAAAGCAGCTGACTCCGTCGGTCCAGGCCAGCAACAGATCCGACTGCAGACGGTCGTCTGCAGAGCTCTTGAGAGGCAGCACCGCGAGCAGGCCTTGGGTGCGTGAGGTTGGTAAGCGAGCAGTCCGTGAGGCTCCGTCGGCCATGCTTGTGCTTGGTAAATGCCAGGGATATAGGATCTTGAGCGCTCAGCGAACAAGATCACACGAGGGCCTGGGCAAGAGCCACTGTCGATCAAATGGGCGATCCAGGCGGGCTGCGGCCATGGAACCAGGCGCACAACCACACATCCGCAGACACACACCCAATCGATCCCCGGGATCGCTGGCTTGGGACGACGCCCACAAGTCCTCCGCACTAGTCTCAAGGGTCAGAGGAGGGAGAGCCTCTGTGCATATATTCGCAGGCGGCATCCTCGACACGGCGGCACCCGAGTGCTCCTCCTGTGGGCTTTTGTTTTCTTTCTTCCCTCACTTATTTCTCTAATCATCCTCTGCTCCGGGGTGAGATATTTGTTATTTACTTGGAGGCCACGACAGACAAGGCTCTTCACAGGGACGTCGGCTTTGGGCTGCTTGCCAGCAAGAACTCGCGAACTTTCTGGGTTCGAATGTCCTTTGGAAGACCTAACGATACCGCGCCGACGGCCATCAAGCAGATTGTGAGTACAGAGAGGCAGGTATCCATGGCCTTGTCGCTCCTGGACAAATATTACCAGCATACCTCTGCTACTATCGGTCAGGGCTGCTTCGACGGGGAGAACTGCAAACTTTTCAGGAGAAACGAGGGCTTGGAGCACCGTTTTTTCGTGTGTCACGCATTCGACTCGTCCACCGCACTTTTCGATGAACATTTTCGCATTCTCAGAGCACTTGGTTACTTCCAAATGGACTTGGTGTGTCAGGAACTCGCCGCCCTGGTATAGTTTGCGCAGTCTCGTCAATAACATTCCCAAGAAGACAATGCGACCTGGATCTGGCTCAGTCGCGGCCAAGCACAGGTCAAGAGAACAAACGGGTTGCAGAGATGGCTGTGGCGAATGGGCCGATTCGGATGCACTTGCTACGTCCGGAAGCGGCGACGACACGCACCCTTGCCAAGAGGACGACACCGTCCCTGACTTTCTTGAGGCATCTCGACTGGACGAGTTCCCGAATCCCAATTTTCTTGGAGGCATCCAGCCGTCCTGTTTCGATCCAGTGCTGCAAGGTATCGAGGCTCAAGCGGTTCAGGTACTGTTTATCACTGAGCACACGATCCAATACGGTGCGATTAAATTGGATAGGTTAAGTGTGGATACGAGCCCGGATCAGGACGCACTCGGTAACTGCACCAACAGTTTGGCGATAATGCGACTGCCTGTAGGTACAAGCGCATACCTGGAGCGGAATCCAAGCTTAGGGATTGCTGACAGAATGCCCGACTGTCCACCCTCGTATCCAGGAATGGGTCTCGACTTTCCGTGCGTTGAAGTCCAGCCTTTGTGACCCCGCCCCGAGGTTTTGCCCCGGCCAGAGCCTTCACCACGACCCAGTCTCCGCTTCTGAGCACCAGCCGACAATGCAAAACAGACGCAGAGTTAGCTCGATAAAGGATATCGCGACATCGTTGCCTGTCGGTTTCTGCACTTTTGTCTCTCTTCTCTTATCCTTGGGGCGATCAAACCTTTTTCATGGCGCCGGGGTTATCCCGGACGTTTCGTGGATGAAGATGGACTGAGGGACGGACAACGAGGGTGGCATAGGCCGCTGCGAAAGTTGGGAAGGAGATCGCTGTTCGAGGGCAGCGATACGGTGCTGAAGCAGCAACCGGCGCTCGTCCAAAAAACGGAAACAGAGGCCGCAGCAGTGATACCGGGAGGGTCATGGCTAGCGGTGCCGGTGCCGGTGCTGGTGCTGGTGCTGGTGCTGGTGCTGGTGCTGGTGCTGGTGCTGGTGCTGGTGCTGGTGCTGGTGCTGGTGCTGGTGCTGGTGCTGGTGCTGGTGCTGGTGCTGGTGCTGGTGCTGGGAAGATCAGGCCAGCCCGCACTCTCTTGATCCGACAGCGGCACCGCGGAGGGCGCGCTGCGCAAATTTTTTTCTCATGCGGGCGCCAGCGTCTCAGTGAGCGGCCACTAATGAATTTAATTCTCAAGTTCCACAGCGAACATGTTCGTTGTCCCTGGGCGTCCCTCGCTGTCCCTGGGCGTCCCTCGGTGGTCTGTGGGCCCTGGTGGACAGGCCGTGCCATTCCAGTCCTGGCAGGCAATCTCTTTGATTTCGCTGGGTTGGGACGCACGGTCTTGAACACACTCGGTCGATCTCCTGTGTCGACGATCAACAGCATTGATGTCTCGCTGTGGCAATTGGCGCATCCATTTGACCCTCAGGATAGCCCCATGACTTCTTGGTATCGGGGGAGTCGGGTGACTCGGGTCGTTTGGCTTCCAACACTGTGGCACACACTATTTGGTCGTGGTGGGCAATGGGGGTGGTGGTGTATTCAGGACCAGAAAAAAACGACGGTCCTGGCGCGGTGAGAACTAGACACATCACCAAATGAAAATCATCGCTGTTGGGCAATGTATTGATGCGGTCACGAAGCGCAGATGCAACAAGTCCAACATCGCATGGCAGTCGACATTCGGGGGATCGGCCAGGATTGCTTCGTTCTATTTCTGTTTGGGAGACATCCGAGGGGTTACCTAGCGGCCGCGAGCTGATTACATGGTACTCTAAGGCAGTATACTCTCACTGGAATCACCCAGTCAGCCGTCGACATACCTTGCCGGATTTCTGAGGTGGGGCCAATTGCGGTATAAAATAGAGCTGAATCAAAACCAGAGCATAATAGCCGATTCAAAGGGCAAAGTACCTCACAGATGAGTCCGAAACAAACCTTGATGCCACCACCACCTTGGACGGGATTGATTCGGGTTTGAATGTGTTAGTAAGGAACTAGAGTGCCGGTATTGTGCGACGAACTGTCCAACCAACGGTCTTGTTCTGCTGCGGTAACGTGGTCTTGGTATCGAAAGACGCAGATGTGAGAGAGCGTAGGTCTGGAGTGATGCTTACTGAGGGGTCCCTTCTGACCGGCTTTGGCTTGAAGCTCCTTCAGCTTGGCTGCCTCTTCCTTTTGCTTTTGCTTGAAGGCGGCATCGTCCTATGTTGCATATTTGGTTTGCATCAGTGACAGCTCAGAGGGGCTCACGGCATTAAAAATGCTGACGCGGATGTTTCTACCTCATCTTCGAACTTCTCAGCTTTTTTAGGAGTCTTGAGGGGCTGTTGGTGCATGTGTGGGAGGGTATGAGTTTAAGGGCATACGATTAGGCATACGATTAGGCATTTCGTTGGGCCATTTCGCTGGGCATTTCGTTCGGAGCGACCACTGATCGACAGTCCAAATAAAGCGGGTCACGATAGGATCAGCTGCGCTATGATCGATGACTTGTTTTATGAGCGATCCTCTTCCAAAGAAATCTAACCTTGAGTTTGCCGCCTGGTTTTCGCAGTGGGAAGGGCGGGATGGGCAGGGTTTGTCAAGAAATGCGCTATCCACGTGCAGTCTGCACGCATGCTACTCCTGATGGAGGCAGCTACGTTGAGGCTACACCGTGTGCGATCCAAAGCTGTCGAGTGTTGCGAGTTACCTTGTCTGCTGGACATTTTCGGTTGAGTGTCGGGAGGCAAAGATGCCAGAGAGTGGATGCGAACCGCAGAGGAAAAAAAAGGGTGCGCAACACCAGAGCGAGATGAGAGTGCACGCTCTCGGGGCCCTCTCGGTCGGCGAGAGTCGGGCCGGCGCTCTCGCAGAGACACAGTCACCACCGCACATCTGAACCCGCCCTCGCCCACCGCTCGCGGAAATGGAGGGCTATGGCATCATGCGTGAATTCAGGATCAATGCAAATCTGACACCGGCTATGGAAGCAAGGCGCCCCGTTTGACCAACGCCGCGACAGCAGTCGTTTGAGTGACCAGCGACCGGACGATTAAAGCTATCTATCCAACCAGCCTTGTCCTCATCACGAGCCAGTCGCAATAATCTTGGCGCTTCCGAAACGCCAGCAGGATGGCACGGCCATTCATTAAATGGATGCTCAGGACATGTTCTTGCCCGTATCCATTCTTCGCGGGCTCGATACTTGCGTTGCAAAGGTCGACAGTGGACACTGGTTCTTGGTTCCTCTGACGGATGGGGTTTCGGGGGACCAAATTCACGTGTATCAAGCATGCCGGTGACCGATGATGGTCGAGCCAGAGTAGCCCGATTCAAGACCATCCAGCACGTCAGGGTATTCAAGAAGTTCGGCGATGTTCAGATATGCAAATGCAAGGAAAGTCGTCCAGTCAGCACGACAAAATAGGTCACTTCATGCAGAAGAGCAAAGTCCAGACCAAGTGAGTCGATGTGGCTACTCACTTCGGGAGCCGCCTTCTCGCGACCAAACAGCACCAGCGACGAGGATCTTCGATGTCTCTTGATTTTCCAGAATCTCACCTTCCGGGCAACGACATCGAGCTGGGCCCAACGCTCCGCCCAGTGACTACTGTGAGTGTCAGGTCCACCACCCCATCGCTCGGAGAGGTCTCGGAGAAGACAGTTGGTCTCGAGAATGTTTGTGGGCGATAATGGCGATGATGGTGATGGTGATGCAGCTTCCTGTAGCCTGCTCTCTGCCGGAATCAGTATTTGTTCCGGCTTACGATCGTCGTGGCAGTACCCTCGGGTGCCACGGAGCTCAATCGGATACTCGCTCCAAGCTGCTGGGGATGTGCGACCTGGCGGCTGCGACGATTGCGCACGCGAGTGGTGAGGGGTAAAGGTGTGTTGAGAGGAGCTGGTGGCCAGACCATCAAACAGCATCTCCAGAGGGGGAGCCGATGGTTCGTGATCTGCCAGAGCACTGTCGCGCTCGCTCATGGTTCGACGAAGGATCGCGCCTGGGCATCCAAGGAATCTGAAAGCCCCAAATATGAGCGAGGAGAGTTGGCCGACTTTCTCGGTCAGGTGCGACGGCAGAAGCGCTGGCCGAAACTGGGGCCGGCTCGAACCCGTCGCCGCAAAGGCTGTAGCGGCAAGACCCGCGCGCACCGCACGCTGGAAGAAGAGAGGCATGGGGCTGCCCGGGCTCGATCATGGCCGGTGGAACTCTCGAGACATGGAGCTTGTCGGCGAGAAGGCAAGGCGCGCTCTCGCTGTGCTCTCGCCATGCTCTCGCGCACCGACAGATGGCTGGTTGGAACGAGGCCGGTTCGATTGGCCCAAGCCACACCGATAGCGCTCTGGCATGTTTGCTTTTTTCGGCCTGCCCAGTCGATCTGCCGCCTTTCCCCTCGAGCGCCCCGATCTCACCGCTGCTGCCTCCGGCCTGACCCTCAGCCCCGCGAAGCCATGCCCACCGTCAACGTCGACAAGGAAACGCTCTTCAAGGAGCTTGGTCGCTCTTACAGTAAGCTCCTGTTTCGGGTCGATGTCGCGGTTGTGCCAATGCGATTGCCATCTCCTGCGGCTCCGAGATCATACTGTGCCGTCCACCCAAACGGCTCCGAGATCATACTGTGCCGTCCACCCAAACGGCCCACGATATCCCCACAATATCCCCCACAATCCCCACAAACACCAATCGAGTCTCGTTGCCATACCTGGCTTCATACTGACCAAAAATCATCCGCAGCTACCAGTGAGTTTGAGGAACTCTGTTTCGAGTTTGGTATCGAGCTAGAAGATGATGTAAGGACGAGTCGTCGCCTCTAAACCAGTGTGATACTCTGCATCGCAAAAGCCGCGTTGAGATAGGGCCTTGGGATTCTTGTGTTGTCTGAGGGCGGGAGAGGTTTCCGTTTGAACTGCTCGGCATTCTCAATCTACCCAGTGATTGCTGTTCTTACTGAACGCTCGTTATCTGAACAGACATCGGAGCGTGAGATGGCCACGAAGGAGGTTGGTGCCGAGAAGGCCAAGGATCTTTCGGATCGCCCCATCTATCGAATCGATATCCCTGCCAACCGGTAAAATATCATCAGCCAACCGATCAGACAGCCCAAACTGAAAGAATCGGATCATGCTTGTGGACCGTTGTATTGATGGGATGCACCGTGACTGCTTGTCCATTTATGTGATCAGCTACGACATGCTCTGTGGCGAAGGTATTGCCAGAGCGCTTCGCACTTATCTCGGCCTCCAGAAGCCGGTTGAATATAAGCTAGCGACCCCGAAGAAGCTGGAGCAGCTCCACGTCAAACCCGAGGTCTGTATATCGCGATGACGAAGGCTATGGCTTATGCCTGTGCCTGCAACTTGCCCTCCGTCTTCAACTTAACCTCCTGGTCCCCAAAACATAGACCGGTGCCGTCCGTCCTTTTGTTGTTGCTGCCATTCTCCGCAACATCACCTTCGACCAGTTGGCGTATGACAGTTTCATTGAACTTCAAGAGAAGCTCCACAACAACATCTGTCGGTACGGCTCCTGTCCCTTGGCGCAAGCATGTTGGGAAATGAAACATATATATTCTAATGGCGCGGAAATGTCTCGGACCCTCGACCGACAGCAAGAGAACTCTTGTTGCGATAGGCACGCATGATCTCGATACGATTGTCGGGCCGTTCTCATACGAAGCCCTCAGGCCCTTGGATATCAACTTTGTTCCACTGAACCAAGCAAAGTCCATGAATGGCGAAGAGCTCATGACCTTCTATGAGGTACACTTTGACCCTACGTTCACAAAGTCGAAAATCCACAGCCCGCATTTATCACAAACATTGGCCAAGGGCTCACTGGTCGAATCCGACTTTCTGTGGGACGCAGCTACCAAGCCGAATAGCACTCAATGTGGCGGAGAACTTAGTGCATTGGGGCTCCGGGAGCCAGCTCCGACGTGGCCGTTGGCATCATCACGGCATTCGTGTCCATTATCAATGCCAATCTAACGCCATCACTCTTGATGTCCCTACTGCTCCCAGGCTGACCGTCGCCTCAGCAAATATCTTCCCATCATTCGAAGTGAACCTCGCTACCCTGTGATTTACGATAGCAAGCGCACGGTCTTGTCGCTTCCCCCTATCATCAACGGTGATCACTCCAAGATTCGTCTGACGACCAAAAATGTCTTTATCGAATGTACCGCCACGGATCTGACCAAAGCCAAAATCGTCCTCAATACCGTTGTAACTATGTTTTCGCAATACTGTGCGGACAAGTACACGTAAGTTTACCTTATTAAGTACAAGAGTGGTTATCCTTATGGGGCCTTAATGCACTAGCCCTAGGCACTGAACAATCAACAGCACACTTTAATAATGCCGACTGAGTTGCGAATGCTGATAACGATGGCCTATCTGTCGTGACTCGGAATTGTAATAGCATCGAACCCGTTGAGATTGTCCAGCCAGACGGAACGTCAGCCGTGTATCCCGACATCTCGAACCGTAAAATGGAAGCCAGCGTCGACTACATCAACAAATCGATTGGAATCAAGCTACCCGTCGATGATGTCGCAAAGCTACTCACGAAGATGTCGCTGTCTGCGCGCTACTCAAAGGACAGACGCACCGTTCATGTCAGCATTCCCCCAACCCGTAGCGATGTCCTCCATCCCTGCGATATCATGGAGGACGTGGCCATTGCCTACGGATACAACAACATTCCCAAGACTGCCCCGAAAGCCAGCACAGTGGCCGCTCCTTTCCCACTTAATAAGTTGACGGATCTGCTGCGCCGTGAAATGACTCTCTCTGGCTACACTGAAGTTTTGCCTCTGATCTTGGTAAGTCCTGAGGATGAAATATGCCCTCTTTCCGACACATCATTAATTCTACTGAGCCGATATTTGACCCCGCCGCTTTCAACAGTGCTCCCATGATGAAAACTTTGCTTTCCTCAACAAAAAAGATGGCGGTGAAGCCATCCAACTTTCGAACCCGAAAACCATCGAATATCAGGTAAGATCTCGAGATGGGAAAACGAACAGGGTGCGTTGAGGGCACGGAATGATATTTTATGCGGTTACAGGTTGTCCGCACGAGCTTGTTGCCCGGAATCTTGAAGACTGTTGCCCACAACAAGAAGCTCCCCCTACCTTTGAAGGTCTTTGAGGTTTCTGATGTGGCCTTCAAAGATGACAGCATCGAGAGGCGCGCTCGCAACCAACGAAACCTTTGTGTTGTCTACTCTAACAAGACATCCGGATTCGAGGTGAGCCATATCGTCTCTGAGCCCAATGGATGAATCGGGGGACAAAGGAGGGAGATATAGAGCGGTATCAATGAGCTGGATAGCGTATTCGGAATTCATGCCTCCTCGGTGAAAATGTCCTGCATGAGAGGGTTTTTTGGTCTAACGCTCTCCTGTCCAGATAATCCATGGTGTCCTGGATCGTTTGATGGCCATGTTGGCTGTTCCCCTCGGCCGTATCGGCGAGGACGCAGGATATTACATTGCCGAAAGCGAGAGTGAGTATATGACGGAATGGAGAGAGCGAGCATAGGAAGGAATAGCAAGCCAGCGCTGACACAACATGCAAATTAGATCCCACCTACTTTCCAGGACGAAGAGCCGACGTGTACTACAACGGCAACGTGATCGGCTCGATGGGCATTGTCCATCCGGATGTATTGTCAAAGTTCGAAATCGGCTTTCCCTGCACTGCCTTGGAAATCAATGTGGAGCACTTTTTGTAACACATGAGCTATTCAGACGTCACAAGCGACTAAGTGAGGGTAGATCCTCCGCTCAAACGCCACATCCGTCGAAGGCTTCAGACATCATTCTGGAACGTGAGAAATCGACTGACCATTCGTAGGAGATGTGTATCCCTCAGGACCTCTGTTGGAAGTTCGGAACTGGCGGCGAAATTCAAATATTCGACTCTGCGTCAGAAAAGGTGATGAATACACAAGGAAATACTTCCAACTGCATTCTTACATAAATAGTGCGGCAAGAGAGGTGCATTACTGGGGAACAATGCTGCGTAAATGCATTATCATCGAGAGATCAACCACCCCAACTCTCGAATCCCAAAAACCAATGATGAATGTCGACGGTGTTCGGCGGGTAACTGTGGCCACCGGAAACAAGGCTCTGTTAGAACAGAGCTACTGGAGGAACTTGGCGTGAGTTTGGTCAGGGTCCACAATATTGGAAACATGACGATGCCTCGTGGAAACAGGGGAAGGGATATGCATCCAGTCCCAGGAGACTCAGGTTCGCTCGGTATTTTGAGCAGTTCATACACCACCAGAGACGACCACCAGACCGATCCGTCTCCAAGATCCATGTGTGCTCGGTGAACGAGTTCAACACATCCCAGGTGTGCTCGGTGAACGAGTTCAACACATCCCAGGTATGCTCACATTGTTGGGAAGCCAAGCGACTCGAGAAGACCGAGTATCTTGATATCGATCCACCATGGAACTGTCCAGAGAGTGGAGTGGATGCACTTCACGGAGAGATTGCCAACCAGGACGAGAAACCGTCGCATGGCTTGCTCACTGGAGCATATGGAAGTTCAATAGGCGTCAGGCCTCTGAAGCCAGGAAGCGACTGTTCCGTTTCTTTCTGGATCGACTGTTTGGCGAGGAAATTGTATGGCAATTGGTTGCAGCTCTTTCGATCCACTCCGCTCTCATATAGAGAAGGTAGTTGACTTTCGTTCCGTCGTTTAAAGCCATTCCAATTCATGCGCATCCCATGAGAAACTGTGGAGCTGTCTGGCAATAGCCCGAGAGACGGTGATGTGTAAATCCACCTTAGTCGTGTTTGAGTCGGTATCTGAGACGATTCTTGGCTCACACTGTCACGGTTTATCCCTCCTCCGTGAGTACCTTGGCTTCTGCCACGGACCTATATACTCTTTCAGAGGGAACGGATTTCAAAATTTCCAATTGTCTATCATTTATCGGCGTAATCATATCGTAGTAAAATGGCATGCTGTTGTTGTTATTTTTCTAGGAAGAGGATGGGAGTCCTCTCGCTCCTCAATTTTCACAGACGAGTCCGAGCAGGGCTGTGGGTAGGTTGTGACCCGTGCCTGCAGGACCATCTCTGCCGAATTTTGGTTGATGCAGCAGCTTGTTTGTTTTTTTTTTTTCTGTAAGTAATTTCTGACTTATTTAGGTCTCTGAATCAACTGAGCCAGAAAAATCAGGCTTTAGGAGGACTGACGACTCGATGAATTGACCGAAGCCATAATCAATTTGACACTACAATGATTGGTGCCTGTACGATCGGGACCTTTACCGTCTGTTTCGCAGAGTGAGGTCTTGCGGCATTCAGTATATGGAATCTCGGGGGACGCTCCGAATCGTGCGCTAAAGTCGTCGGTTATGATTTATGTCATGAACCAACATTGGCAGGAACAAGTCCCAGCGCGCCATCATTCGCGCGCACCGCTGTGCAACATGTTCCTAATCTCCCACACCCAACCCCCGCCCAGCATCCGCCTTTTGTTCGCGATTGTTTTTGTTATACCTGCCATAATATATTACCTTTCACACATACAGGCCCACTTCCTCACCACATGTCCTCCTTAACAATTCAAGGTCCAGTAGAGTTCTGCTTTCGATTGCTTTCTTGCTATTTTGAACAAAAAATGCTGAGTGAGGTCTTATTCAGGGCCTCTGATATCCAGAGGTAAGTGTGTACAACATTTTGAAACCACGCAAATAACAAATGCAGAAATAATGCCTCGGAACTTGATCCACGCGCTTGCATAGTTGAGTTCACCTGAGAAGTCAGTAAAATCTTCGGTGGGGGGGGAGAGTTGTTTAGCTGTTCTCTAATAAGGGCCGTGCCTCTCAACGTTTTTTGTTTAATTACATTATGAGACGTTTTGGACTCTCTAACTTTATATACAATTATAATTCCCAACGCCCTGGTCTATTTCAGAACAACGTTGGTGGTAGCAGGTCCCGTCACCCGCCACCCACCATCCGCCACCGATTCGTGATTCCATACTACATGCTCCTATCCCGATTAGTTCTCCTTGTCCGAAGTCATCTTCATTATCCTACACACGATAATATATTGTTTCCACGCATACAGGATTTCCCCCATCGCCTTGCTACTCTTTCTAAGAATTCGTGGCATATAATACGTCTCTTGCATGGTAGCAAAGCTAAGGTTGTAGCTGTATTCAAGCATGATTCTAGCCTCTTGGTATGATCTATTTAGGCGGTGTACGGTTACGTTTCGATTTTAATGCTGCTCAAATATTTTGATTGGTGTTTTATGGTGTTGATCATCTTTAAGATGCTTTCTGTCATCATGGACGAGATACTTTGGCGACGTCCCTGGTGCGCTTGATGGTGGTTATGGTTGCAGTGATATTGAATTCGCCAAAACTTCATCCGTACTCGATAGCGTTACGCCAGCCTTTGGTTTGAATGCAAATATTTACTTTGTTCTGGACCTGTATCCGGGGTAGTCGTCCTCGTCGATCTTGGTCCGTTAGTCTCTTGACGCGGTGAACCTGTTTGAGAAGGTGCGGTGAGAGGAAATGCCAATATGCTTGAAGGAAATTTATTACAACTATCAGAGCAAGAATAATCATGAGCAAGGGGAACTCGCCGGTCGTGGAGTGAGCGTGGGATTTATAGATACATGTCGTACGGCGATGCGCGCGGTTATGGGATGCGCTGTGACACGCTCCCGCCAGTGTCGGTTCATAACAGAACTCCTCATGCGGATGAGATTTACTGTACTCCACCTCATTAACTCATTTTCTGAAATCGGGTATTTAGCTCTTATTCCTTGGGACAAACCTAAGTTCCTCTGATTACGACCCCGATATTGTATCTGGACGTATCAACCCGCTCCGGACCAATTATGTATATGTGACTGGGTTAAGTATCTTGAAAAGCATATATTCTACACCCCTCCCATTCTACTCTAAGTGCTTTTCAGGGGGGTTATTATCATTATTATTTTTATTATTATTTATTTTATTATTAATTTATAATTAGCTCGAATATATTATATGGGTTTAAAATCTTGGTATTGAGTGGTTTGTTGCTAGGTGGTAAATGAATATAAGTTAACCCAATGATCGAAATTCCGGCATTTTTCTCTTATGAGTAGTGCGATATACAAACGGACTTATGATCCTGATGGATAGTAAGTGACCCAAAGAGATAATACACAAAGAAAACTCGAACTCCTCGCCATATTCGGAGCAAATCTTGCTTGGCAGGGTAAATGCCTTGGCTATGCTATTTTGATCATTTATAATCCTCGTTAAGAAAGGCTATTCCGTTGCTTCCGGGAGATCTTTGGCTATGTTCTAACTTTTAAGCGAGTGCCTGCATACTAAACTCGCTATTTGTGTAGGACCTCGGGACACTATGCTGGGACGTTGCTCCCTTCGTAGATGACTTCTTGTGAAGCTCCGTTGGCGCAAATATGACTGAGCGATTTTCTACGCTGATGATGAGATATTTTTGTCCTCTACCTCTGATATTAGGTGATATCCGATTGTGGCTCCAGGGATGAGTGAGCAGTAGTATTTTCTACAAATTTCCCACTTGAAAGCTCCAAGTGCATCCACGTAATTCGGACAGTAGCTACTGCTGACCAGAATGGCTATGGGGAAATGAAAGCGTCGATGGGCGAGTTGATTGGTACGAATACTACCAAATTCCGAATCATGAGGGGTGTTCGGTTTCAATTTCTCAGTAATGTCCAAGGATACGGTTTCTTTTTTTTCTGTTGAATTTGAGAGTGAGAGGTTTGAGGAGTCGCCGAAGAAAATTGTGATTAGAAGAACTGAAACAAATTCGGGTTTATGCTTGAGTTGTAGCTAGCGGAGGTTGAAAGCGTTGGCTTGTGAGATGTAACGAATCCCTCCTCGCTCGGCCATCTCGTCTCTGCGCTCCGCTGTCGTCTCTCCTCTACCTTCGCAAGTCAGTTTTGTTTTGGCTGGACGGCTGGCCAATGTCGGGCAAGCCGAGCACTGCCTTGGCCAGCCGGACCACAACATCTCGGCCTGCCACCCCTTTCTCACACAGGGGCTCTGCCAATTATTACCCCTCGCCCCATTCTAGGCCTCCATGGGCGAGGTTCTTTGTTTGATCGGAGGGGCTCCATGTAACGTCCACTACTGGGACGTTGGGGCAAGACGGGGAGGGAGGGGGTACAAGACAAGACAGGACGGGGCAGAACAGGGCGGTGCTAGGCTACTCTAGCGGACGGGTGAGCTCGGGGAGCACTTACGTTTATTCACGATAAAACCGAACTCCAGACAAACGGGGGGAACGGGGGCAACCCGCAGGTATACCCTGCGGTGGCCTGCCTGCGGTGCGTGAAAACGCAAAGCGCAGCACAGGTCACGACCCACTGCGCCGCGCAGTACGCGCAGTACGCGCAGCACAGCGTCGGAGATACCATCTCCTACACTCCCACACTTAAGAAGGCTTCCTGCGAGGAGCCCTGCGTGTGCTCTTTATTTGGGGCTCCTCGAGGTGTTTACCGTATTTACTCAGCTCCTCGGGTGCATGGGACAAGTCCTCCAGTGTTTGCCATGTGTTGCCCGAGTGTGGGTAACCAACCCACTTGACATAAAACCGAAGTGACCCATCAGCCACTTTCTTGTGCCTCACGATCCTTTCGACTTCATATTCTTGAGTATAGTATTGTCCGAGGTCGTCTTCCAGTGGTGCGTCGTCCGGGACACCTTCGTCGGCGTCGGGGAACTGTGCTGGACTGCGGGTCGTGTGGCGACGCAGCTTGGACACATGGAAGACAGGATGGAGCTTGCTTCCAGGTGGCAAGTCCAACAGGTAGTTGAGGGGACTGGGTCGGGCCGCTATCTTGAACGGTCCTCGGTACTTGGGCAACAACTTCTTTGACTGGGCTTCGGGGACCTTGATGTTGTCGGCGTCCAGGTAGACAAGGTCTCCAACTTCAAAGGAGACATCCTGGTGTCGGCGGTCGTAGTACTTCGCCATCACTTG